CTTGCGCGATAGGGCCTCCCCGAAAACTACGCCCCTCTTCTCGTCGAGAACATTAAGAAGGGCGAATTCACCCACGTTGTTGCAGGCCACTCTGCCTTCGGAAAGAGTCTGTTGCCCCGCGTGGCTGCTCTCTTGGATGTGCAACAAATTTCAGATATCACCGGTATCGAAAGCGAGGACAGTATGTGAATAGCCGAGGAAGAAGTTTGACATGTGATCCGGCCGCTAATCATAATTCAGCTTTCGTCCGTCCCATCTACGCCGGTAACGCCATTCTGACCGTCCAGTCAACGGACAACGTCAAGGTCATCACAGTGCGAGGCACAGCCTTCCAGGATGTGGAGATCGAGGGCGGCTCCGCCGAGGTCGTCGACGGAGCGGACCCTAATGTCCCCGCGATGACCGAGTGGGTGTCCGAGGAATTGACCAAATCCGAGCGCCCGGAACTCGCCACAGCCGCCCGTGTCGTGTCTGGAGGTCGAGGCTTGAAGTCAAAGGAGGAGTTTGACCGCATCATGCTTCCGCTGGCGGATGCCCTCGGCGCTGCTATTGGTGCTTCGCGTGCTGCTGTTGACAGTGGCTTCGCCGATAATAGTCTGCAGGTCGGCCAGACTGGTAAGAACGTGGCTCCTCAGCTGTACCTCTGTGCTGGTATCTCCGGTGCTATCCAGCACTTGGCTGGTATGAAGGACAGCAAGGTCATTGCTGCCATCAACAAGGATGCCGAGGCCCCCATTTTCCAGATTGCCGATGTTGGCCTTGTCGGTGACCTGTTTGACAAGGTGCCTGAGCTGACCGAGAAGGTCAAGAGCGCCTAATTTGGTTGCACGACTACTTTCTCTTTTGTATCACGACCTATCGGCCAGGCTGATGCATGCACCTTTTTTTTCTGTTAAATGAAACGTACAGTATACCATTGATTAGAGGACTAGAACCAACATTGGTTCAGTACAATACCAAATTTCCATTTTTGATCTGATTTCAATATAATTGGAAATAACCGAATTCCTTCATCTTCGTACTTTACCTTTAGAACAATCTAGTCTACAAATCAAACATTGGTTGAGTACATTTGGAGAGACACTCTTGAAGAAGAGCCTGTAAAAAGACTATGCGGCCAAAACGGGACTAGCGCGTTTTCACGCGTCGCGCGTCTATCAGAGGGGAATTATGCCGGAGGCCATTCAATGACATGAGATGTCTGAACGCTTGAATGCTTCCCTCCTCGCCATCATTCCTATCCTCGTTCGATCCTGCCCTTCACCTCCACTCTGAAGGTCTTGGCAACCCAAACCCTCCGTCCGAATCGTTCTCTGACGATCTCGAGGCAATCCACCTGCACCGCCGCGAACAAACCCGCAACCGAGTAGTGATTCAGCATCGAGCGTGGGATCTATCTGATGTGTTTCGCAGTGAAAGCGACATACAACCTGGTTTGCGATCACAATCCCTCGTTGCCTGGCATAATAGCACTGACAACCACATAGTAGATACGCCGACGAAGAACGTTACGACCCCGAGACCGCTTTCTCACACTCCTATTCGAAATCTCTCTTTTATGCCATCCTCGCCGCCAGTTTCGAGAATGCCGTTCATAGCATCTCCGGGGGCGCTTGCACCCACGTCTGGCAATGCAACCAACGATTCGCAGAAGAGGAAAGTCACAAGTGTGGAGGCAGGCGTGCAGCCGACAGAGCCTAAGCGCCAGCGCATGGTTGGAGGCTTTGTCGATGATGATGACGATGATGAAGAAAACGACCTTGCTGCTTTCCGGGACGAGCAGCCGAAGGATCAACATGACCTACCTGGGCATTACTTCGAGGAGCCTCCGGCGGAACTCCCTAGTATACTGACACGGCAGCCAGCATCTACGGGATTGAATGGGACGACCAATGCTACATCTAGCTCTTCCCGAACACTGCTTCAACTGACACCTCGGCCTGCTCCAACGGCCCCCAAGAGGTTCCAGATCAAGACTTGTGCTGGCAAGACCCATAACATCCCGCAAAGGAAGGTTCAGGCCTCTGTCTCCTATAAAGCAATGATCGCCAGCCGGTCAGAGACAGAACCCGGAAAGGCGACAAAGAGTTATTATGGTATCGACATCCACAAGTTGCTCGACGATGCCGCCAACGAGAAAAAGCCCATGAACACAATTCCCCGATCCCAAGTCCAGCAAACCGTCGAACCGAACAACGTGAGCTCAAAGCAGAAGAAGATAGACTCTTCAATGTGGACAGAGAAATACCGTGCTCGTAAATTCACCGATCTTATTGGAGATGAACGCACCCATCGATCAGTCCTACGCTGGCTCAAGGCGTGGGAGCCAATTGTGTTTCCTGGTCTAGCGAAGTCTCGATCGAAGAAGCCTGCACATGAGGATGAAGAAGAATACATCCATCGAAAGGTTCTCTTATTGAGTGGTCCTCCTGGACTTGGAAAGACGACATTAGCGCATGTATGTGCCAGACAGGCTGGCTTCGAAGTGCTTGAAATCAATGCAAGTGATGACCGTAGCAGGGATGTGGTCAAAGGCCGTATTCGTGATGCGCTGGGAACGGAGAACGTCAAAGGTATGAACGTGGAGATTGGTGAGAAAAAGGTCCGCCGTGCCGGTAAACCCGTATGTGTCGTGGTGGACGAAGTCGACGGTGTCACTGGTGGTTCTGGAAGTGGTGGTGAGGGCGGTTTCATGAAGGCCCTCATTGACCTTGTTTTGCTTGACCAACGGAACGCGAAATGGGCTTCGGAGGGCAATAAAGGCAAGAAGCGGAAGGGTGACAACTTCAGATTCATGCGGCCGTTGATTTTGGTTTGCAATGACCTGTATCACAGTAGTCTCCGACCTCTCAGGGCGTCGTCCATTGCAGAGATGATCAATGTCCGCCAAGCACCATTGGAAAATGTTGTTCAACGAGTCAAGATTATATTCGGCCGCGAAGGCATCCCCTGTGACAGCGATGGCGCTCGAAGGCTCTGTGAAGCAGCCTGGGGTATGGCGAGCAAACGAAATCGCAATGCCAAAACCCAAGGGTCTGCCGAGGGCGATATTCGTAGCGTTCTTGTTGCCGCAGAATTCGTGGCGCAAAAGCTTCGAAACGAGTCGTTACCATCCTCTCTCAGACTGACGCGGAACTGGCTGGAGAATCGAGTCCTCAATGCATCGGCTGAGGGTTCCGCATTCTTCAAAGAGTTAAGTCGTGGAGGTGTTCGTGAGATTGTGAACCGTGTGTTCACAGAAGGAGCTGGCTTCTCAGATGCTCCTGCTGGCATGAGTTTCCAAGATCGCTTTGACACCACCAACAGCCGTGTTCCTGTTGGCGTGGCGGATCTGCGCAAGCGACACGCAATCAACCGACTGCGCGAAATGGTAGATTCCAGCGGTGATCATGACCGTTGTGTATCGGACTGCTTCGCTTCATATCCCATCCAGCAATACCAGGATGATAATTATTTCTCCAAACCTAATGCCGCCCACGACTGGCTTCATTTCCATGACTCAATCAGTTCGAAAGTCCATTCTTCTCAAGAGTGGGAACTGATCCCATACCTCAGCCAGTCGGTTGTCGCATTCCACCATCTATTTGCTACGGCTACTGGCAGAACCACTGAGGATGATAATAACGAGGATGACGAGGAGATCGAAGAGCCCCATCCTTTCTCAGGACCAAAAGCCGATTTTGCTGCCTTCGAAGCACAAAAGCAAAACCGTGCTGCCATGATTGCATTCCAAGCCTCTTTTTCGGCACCTATGGCTCGCCTTTTCCGGTCGAATGAAAGTATAATCATAGATCTAGTACCTTACTTGATCCGCATGCTGTCACCAGACGTCAAGCCAGTCATCATCCGTGGAAATGGAGAGCAAAGAAGCACCGCCACCGTCCGCAAAGAGTCCGAACGTGCGCTTGTCCAATCTACCGTGCGTGTCATGACCGGAATGGGCGTAACCTTTGAGAAAGTCCGAGTTGAACACGAAGGAAGCCACGGTGGATGGGCGTACAGAATGGAACCGTGAGTGGGATTCTAAATATTTCTTGAAACACACAAAGCTAATAAACCCTCAAACAGAGCAATCGACTCACTTGTTGTCTTCTCGAAAATCAAAGGTAGCACTATCGAGGCTTCGGGTGGTACAGCGCCGGTGCGGTATGCCGTCCGCCAGGTGCTAGACCAAGAGTATCGCAAGGCGACGGCGCGCAAGCAGCCTGATGCCATGAGTGTATCTAGACTCGGCGTCAAGGGTCCTGGGAATTCCGCTGATGCCGCAGCCAAAGCAATACGGGATGCGGCTGTCAAACGCGACTTCTTTGGTCGGATGATTGAGCAGCCTACGCCACGGCCTAATGATCCAAACGACGCAGATGGCTGGGCCGATGAGTCGTCCAAGGCTGGACGGAAAGTCTGGGTTACTTTCCATGAAGGCTTCTCGAATGCGGTCCGGAAACCGATATCTATGGGGGAGTTGATGGCTGGGCTGTAATATATGCATTGAGTTCCAAGTTGCCTCATTTGAGCGTTTGTCATGGTGTACTGGAGTTTTTTCTCATGCTTTTGTTGCTTTCATGATGACCACTGTTTTCTACGAGATATTGAATACCAGACATTACTACTTTACTTGATTAATGTTTGAAGTGGAGATCAGAACTTCACTTGAATGAGACCAGATTTTGAGAAAGAAATCAAGAATAAGAGCTTTTCATCTATTTTCAGGCATATTTGAGCATCGACAAATGAACCAACCAAACAGCCAAACAGCCCAGGCAATGACTGTTGAAAGTCGCCATAAAGACAAAACACATTGAGACATTAGTGTGAATCACAGATTATTAAACATAGTATGAGGTATCCAAATCATTCCATCGTTGAAGCGAAAGGGCAAAGCACAAAAAAGACAAGAAAAAAGAAGTGAGGCTGAAGTATCAAATGGAGGGAGGTATGGCCAGTGGATCGATCGCGCGGATATATAGTCGGCGCAGAAGTATCTATTGCTTCGAAACAACTTAACGCATGCTCAAGTATGTGGCAAGAGCCTCGTTGTGCAGCTTCTTCTTCTCAATGTTGGCAGCATCATTATTGAAATTGGAGCTCAAAGACTTCGACCTGAGCGAGTACCACTTGTGGTTCTTGGTTGATGCATCGGATGTATTGAGAGTTGTCGCTGTGGAGACAGTGGAGTGTGTTGAGGCTGCGCTCGATATGGTCTTGGAAGACGAGTTGGAGGAATTGCTGAACATTTTGGGTGGTATTTGACGCTTAGCGTGTGTGTCTTTTGGGGTGATTTTGGAGGATTGCCCGAGAAGATATATGGAGGGTTCGTTGACAATGGAGGTATAGATATAAACGAAATATGAATTGGTCTGGCGTTTGTAGTTCGGGAGAAAGGTGCAAGAAAGATGTCACTTTTCAGATCTTTGGGATCTAATGCTTTTGCAATGAATTGGAATGGAATGTTTCTTTCTAAGGGACTATCATCGAGTCTTTATATAAAGATGTCGGGTGATCACCAAGCACATCGTTTACTCCGTACCAGCTTGTCACTCCGAGAGAAAAGAAAATCTCAAAACGCCAAAGCCCCACTATATCGGCCATAGTATACAAATCTAGAAGCATTGAGTCTGTAAAACCCACACAGAAAAGCCTAAAGCACGGCGTCAGGGAGTCACAGCCGCCCTATGGGGACGCTAAGGATCGGAGTAAGGATCGGAGTTGAAATTACTAATCGGACTACACGAGGTTAGGGGCTGGAGTGAAAAGCTAAGAATATCTAATAAATAATCGATTTAGAATTGTCCAATGGAATATATGAATGGAAAATCAAGAATATCCCTCTAGCGCATGTGTATCCATCCTCTCTGCCTAAATGATGACCCCGAACAGGGCGGGTTCCTAATTCAGTAATTCATTGGCACGCCCTTTGATACCTCGTGAGAAGTTCCGCGTTCAGAAATAGTATGAAAGGGCGCAGTCAGTTTTCAGTGCCCGAATGGCTTTGGGTTTGATGCGTTTTACTATCCACGTGTTAGACCGTGCCTTGAGGCTGATACTAATGCCGATATTTTCTTGTTTCGGAGTTGAGGCCTAGAACTTGTCCTAGACAGCTTTAGATTTATTATGGATGGCAATCTAGGCGCATATGGAAGATTATATATTATCTTAGATATAATAGAATATACATAGAGTGTACTCTGTAGTGCGAGGATAGCCTTCCGTGTCGGGTAACAATAGCCTGCTTTAGAGCCACTGGTAAAAATGAGCCCTTTTGTGGTATAAACTACCTGGACACTAGTCTCCGAGGGTGATCTGATCTCATGCTTGATTTTCAAGCATTACGTCCCAAGGACTACTTCGTATGCTAAGGCATTACCGTCTACGAAGTGGCTTGGGATGACTCAAAGAGCGGGGTTGTTTGCGGCTTCACAATAAACCTAGGACGAAGACATTGCAAATTTGAAATCAAAGAATAAAGAATGAATACTTGAAATGACTCGGAGATGACTAGAGGATTTTTGCCAGGTATTTTTTAGTCTGGAAGTTACTACGTACAACTACTCCGTACGGTGTAGAACATGGGATGTGGGTAGTCCGATGTTAAGTCCGAACATGTGGATTTTTAGTCCGATATTAAGTTCTCAAACTCTTGATCACGCCAATATAATAAAATGCTATGTAAGATTCAAAATACGGAGTACTTTTCGGATAGACAATTCCGCAGGGCCATGTAAGCACAATAAGTATCGGAGTATATTTGGCGGGAAGGGGTGTTAGTCCGATCGAGTCCGATCGATGTGGCTGTCAACCTTGTTTCTACTTCGTTATATGGATTCTAGCCCTATTTACATCACTCGATAAGAGGAATCATTATTTCTATAATCCTTATCTCTTTTGATATTCTGACTAGCACGCCCTGCGGCCTTGGAAGCATCCACAGTCTTCCCCACGAATATGGTGCATTCGACCCATTTTCAAGTTCCCCCACAAGGATGTAGAGTCATTGAGTGACGCGTTAGACTTTCTTTCAAATGCTAGAAAGAGTCATTTGATCTCAGACAGTTGTGATGAAGAAACCCATGGGATGCTCGAATATTCTGAGTCATGAAACAGTCTAAGTATCAACTATGCTATGTTAATGTACTTTTCATACCCACATTAGTTTTTGCAATTGGCTCTTCTCTCCTCGCCCCCAAATTATTTTATGGTGATTTTCTTATTCCAAGCTATGAGCTTTGGCATGGCCGTTCGACCTTGTGGTGGAACCTTCCAATATCAATATGATTACTAATACTTTCCGGACTTCCCCGAGGCCACCTGCAGGTCCCCTATGCACCCCAGGGGCCACCGGTCATCGCAGATACCTAACAGTTCAACTTGGCAGCAACACCGGTTTTTGCTGGTACACATGAAGTATTGCAACTGCATCGACGTGAATACAATTTCGCGCTCTGGACGTTCCCAAGCCTTCCATCCATGGCTCGGTCCTCTGGGCCATTTGTCAGCTTCAGGTTCCACTGGGGGCAGTTTTTGAACCGCCGGGGACCTCCTTGCAGCCCCCTTCCAATGAAAATCAATGAAAATTCGAGATTAATAATAGATAAGAAGAATTGCGAGGTGAGGAGATAGGTGGGGGGACAGAAGCTTGATTTAAGAGAGTTCCAGTTCCTGGTCTGATAGATCATTTTCACTCACTTTCTATAAATTCCTTTCAATCTAAATAATCTATCCTACCAAAACCAAAACAATGTCTCTCAAGCCCATCACCGTCTGGGGACATGGCCCAGGCCCCAATCCCTGGAAAGTGATCATGGTCCTGGAAGAGCTGAAAATTCCCTACATCCACAAGATCATCCAATTCCCAGAAATGAAGAAAGAGCCATTTCAGTCTATCAATCCCAACGGTCGTGTCCCTGCAATTGAAGACCCAAACACCGACATCACCCTATGGGAATCTGGTGCAATTGTCGAATACCTGGTTGACACATACGACAAGGAAAACACCATCAGCTTTGCCACTGGTTCCAAGGACTACTACCTGGCCAAGCAATGGCTCCATTTCCAGATGTCTGGTCAAGGTCCATACTTCGGCCAGGCTGTCTGGTTCACCCGAGTCCACTCAGAGAGGGTGCAAAGCGCAATTGACCGCTACGTCAACGAAATCCGCCGTGTTTCTGGCGTTCTCGACCGCACCCTCCAGGGGAAGCAGTATCTCGTCGATGACAAGTTCTCATATGCTGATATTGCTTTCATTCCTTGGTATGTGGTTTTCATCGAGTATAAGCTTGATGTTGAGACAGATATGGAGAGGGATTTCCCCAATGTTGCTGCTTGGTTGAAGCGGATGCAGGAACGTCCTGCTATTGCTAAGTCGGTTGAGGGTCGGGCTAAGGCTTCTGCGAAGCCCTAGATGAATTTGATATGGGAATATTTGCGAAGTGGATAGAAAAAACTGAATTGAAAAATTATTACGTTTTAATTGGATTTGTCTATGTGACTGGCATATCCCAAGGAGTAAGAGCCAAGTCATTGATCATTCCTCCGTAGCAGACTTCTCGTCTGAATACTAGGTAGCCACTCGGGGTATGTTCGTTTGCCCACTCGAACTTTCCGTCGGCTTAAAGGCTGTCGAAGCCTTTGTCAATGAGGCCCCATTCTTTGATTCTAGTGGGATATACTCGTTTTTGATTAACTCCTATGTCCCAGTCAGCTAGCAATCGGGTCTTCACCCATCTTTCTTGGGGAATATCCACGAACTGTGGCTTCGAACGTATGTTGTATTATAAAAGGATGCCTGTAAGCTTTGTTGTAGTGCCTTGGGTCACTGTAAGCGGTCAGCCCCGTTTGGTAGGATGGATTTGCGGGGCGTACAGGAGAGCGAAGTGCGTGTAGCACTATTTGGCCCAGAGTGTCAGATTTGGGAACAATACGGAAGTCTCCGTACACCCAAGTGGTATGACAAGGATCTATACGGTTCCGTATTGTGATCCATAGGGACTAGAGACGTAGATCATACGACCGAAATGAGCCTCGCGGACAAGAGGGAAAATTTGGATAGAAATATCATAAAACCAGTGAAATTGGGCGTAATCTTTTGTACTGGAGGTTGGGAGTAGTTATAAAGTTCATAGCTCTAGAGGTTTGTAGAAGATTAGAAGACTAGTATGGAGGTATTTGGTGCTCACCTTTCTCGCTGCTTTATGTGATCCCCAAAATTTTATGCCTAACGACAATTGGAAGGGTCGCGTGTCGCGCGCGAAAACAGGGCGCTTAGAGATTTGGGAGAAAAATATCCGCTAAAATCAGTTCGTGGCTTAAAATATTCCCCGATTTTCCTACGCTTCCTCCAATTTATAGTTTCTGCAGTTCTTAACAAATTCAGATGTTTGGAAGACTGCAAGAATGATCCAACGCGTGACACGGCCCCCCCCTCGAAAACTCCCGATTGTTGACAGAGACCTCGGCCACGTTAAAGCCAGATAATAATCAGTACTGGCCAAATATTGAAAGCAAAGATGTGATTCCAGAATGGCTGCGGGATAATGACTATATCTTGGAAGGCCATCCGATGCCCACATATTCCTACAAACGATCTTTGCGTCTGTGGCGTTGTTTACACATGGAAACAATGAACATTTGGACCCATCTTCTGGGCTCGATAGCCTTTGTTGTGGTTGGTTCAACTCTATATCATTCCGACTCGGTTTCAAAAGTCTCTAATTTCAACCGCGGCGATGTATTCGCTTTCGGGTCCTTCTTGACCTCAGCAACCATCTGCTTTGGCCTCAGTGCTGGATTTCACACCTTAAGAAGCCACTCGTACAATATCCATCATCTCTGGGGTAAAATGGATATTCTTGGCATCTGTTTTCTCGCCCTCGGAGCTGGTACCTCTATGACATATTATGCATTTTATTGCAGGCCCTTCATTCAGCGGGTGTATTGGGGACTCAATGTCTTCTCGGGGATTAGCGCTGCAATCACTTTATTTGATACCGGCGATGGAGGCAGCAAAATGAGGACTCTGCGAGGGGGTGTATTCTCTTTAATCGCTATTTCTGCCATGCTACCCATTCTCCAAAGTGTGATTGAGTTGGGTTGGACTCGCGCGAGCGTTGATATTGGGGCTAGGTGGTATATTGCAGAGGCTCTCTCCCTCATGATCGGAGTGAGTGTTTTCGTCTGTCGATTTCCAGAGAGATTGAGCCCCGGGACCTTTGATATTTGGGGTCATTCACATCAGCTTTGGCATAAATTTGCTGTGCTTGGCAGCGTTTTTCATGTTGTTGCTTTGGTGACTGCACATGACTACCGTCGGATGCACGACATGTGTTGAATTACCTCGCAGTCAAATTTTATTAGACTTCTGCCTAGTATTTGAAGCAAGTGACTTTAGAACGGTACGGATAAAAATAAAAAGCAGAGTGCAGCAAATATGAGAGATCTTTGAGAGTAGTCCCCAGACAACGCAGCTTTTAAGACTTTCCTCTTTCTTCAATGGAGGATCCTCCATTGGGAGGCTTCCACGTCGGTCGGTGCTTGATCCATAGCTACAATACACGCCAATTCTGTTATCCCTAGGAGACAGCAAGCAACCTTCGCTAGATAAAACAGCCGAATGGTGCCTTTTCTACGTCGAAATCCCAGATGTTCAACACGACTTCCTTAACCCAGATACGAGACCTATTTTTTCTCTTCCAAATAATGAAGAATCTCCTCTTGATCAAGTTGGCAAATCCGGTACAAGCCCAATCCATTGTGGCTTTTTTCATGATTGAGGAAGTTCGGTGACCCATGAGGTTCGATAAAGTCATCCAAATCTTCAAGGAGCAACAATTGAAATGGACGTACAGGCAAGCAGTGTCCTCGCTCCTGCTTGATCACGAAGCTCCTATCGCAGTTACCTTTCACTTGAGCCCCACAGTGTTAGGAGGCATCTCATGGACGGAACTGTCGAAAGTACCAGATTGACATGCGCGAATGTCCACCGTCACTCTAGAAGTTACGGCCTCAGAGACATAGGTAAACTTGCAAAGTGATATCGAATTGTGGCTCAATTTGAGCAGAAATATCCCGCAAATATGGGGGCAATACTGATCATCTTCAATCCGATAAAGAGTGAAGAACAATGCTGCCCAGGAAGTCAGGTGGCACAGTTGTCGGAAGAAATGTTTACTGCAAGCAAGAGTGGATCAATCAATCAAAGTTCAATTAACTTATAGTATAACTACAGAGTAGTTGCGTATAACCATGCAGGCGCTTCATCTAACTGAAGCAAGAACTCGAAGCACGCCGAGCTGGGATCCCTCCTAGGGAGTATACAGAGGCTAATCTGTAGAAGTGTGGAATCAGCCCATTTTTTACATCTCGTGAAGCCCACAAACCCGAAAACTCATAGACAAGAAAAATGTATAATGAAAGTAGTGAAGTGCACCCTCCACCTTTCAGCTCCCACGTTCCTCTCTTTTCCTCACACTCTCCCCCTATGCTCTGCATCCTCCCCCACTTCGGTTTCAATTGAAATTGTATTTTCCACGACCAGCTGCTTAGCATGCTTGTCGGATTTGGCAAAGCTTCTCGTTCCTTGGCCTCGTTTTTTCGTCATTGGCTAATACCATCGTCTTCCACACCTAGGTCCATTGCCGCTAGGCCTTTCGGTTCGCCATTCTCCCCCTCGAGTACCACGTGCTGAAACTGTTGGAGGACTACTGTCGCATAGTCAGTTCTTTCGCTTTCTTTTACTTAACAATTTCACAGGTGGAGTACTCTGTATATTAAGTAAGATCGGCTCATAATTTGGAAGGTTGATATTGTCAATTTCGCGTTGGTCGTTAATTAAGATGTTCACTGTTTTGTTCTTCATAGCCCCTAAGTTTTACTCCCATTCGATTCCGTGTCTACTTCGTACCCCCTTCTCTATCACAGATACCCTCAATCTATTATCTCATATGATATTGATTGCAAATTAGATATTCCAGAAAACCGAGATAGCTGTTTTGACCACTTCTTCAACTCCGGTGGACTCCGGTGGCTCTGGCATTCTTAGTGCCGACCCCGCAATCTAGTTCGCGAATCATACATCGTACTAGTAATTATTATGTTCTTATCTCATGACAAGCCCTTGAAAGGCTGCTTTTTTTTGCTGCAACAGCGGCTGGTTCCATGTCAATGTGACTCGCCTCAAGTGGAAACCGCCGGCAATTGAAAACTATTTAATGCAACCAGATTTTCAATCATGGTCTTCATAAAAAAACACTTCACGAATCACTTTATACTGAGACCTCCCTGAAAGGCTTCCAAACAATGGTGTCTCTTTCCAAGGTTGCTTTCGTCACCTTTGGGGTGTTTCAAGGGGCAAATGCGTGGGGTGTATTGGGCCACGCAACTGTTGCCTACGTTGCACAACATTACATTTCTCCTGAAGCTGCTTCATGGTAAGTGCCCTGAAAATCTTGATAATAACCTGAGTATCCAATGCTAACATATTTCAAGGGCAAAACAAGTTCTCAATGACACCTCCGACTCATACCTAGCAAGCATTGCTTCTTGGGCAGACAACTATCGCCTTACAGCTGCCGGCAAATGGTCAGCTCCCTTGCATTACATCGATGCCATGGATGACCCCCCAACAAGCTGCAACCTGGACTACGAGCGTGACTGTCCAGAGGAAGGCTGCTCAATTTCTGCCATTGCCAATTATACTCTGCGTGCAGGCAATAGCCAACTTAGCACTGCCCAAACTGCCGAAGCTCTCAAATTCCTCGTGCACTTCATCGGTGATCTCGCGCAGCCACTGCACGACGAGAACTACGAGGTCGGCGGAAATGGCATCGCAGTCACCTTTAACAACTACAGTGACAACCTTCATTCAGACTGGGATACATACATGCCTGCAATGCTGGTTGGCGGTAGTTCGCTCGCCGATGCGAAGGGATGGGCTGGCAGCCTAGTTGATGAAATCAGCTCCGGTGCCTACAAGAAGCAAGCTAAGAAATGGACCAAAGGCGATGATATCAGTAATACCATCAAGACTGCCAGCCGATGGGCGTCGGAGGCGAATGCACTTGTTTGTACTGTTGTTATGCCGGACGGAGCTGCTGCCCTGCAGACTGGCGATCTCTACCCGGGATACTACAACTCCGCTATCGGCACGATCGAGCTGCAGATCGCCAGAGCGGGCTATCGACTGGCCAACTGGCTTGACCAGATCTACAAGAAAAAAGTTGCTAAGCAGCATAAGCCAGGGAAATCCGACAAAGGGCCCCGGGATGCAGCTCCTGAGCCCGAGTTTGTCCGCGGGTCGCTCGAGTCTCGTCAACTGAGTCGCGCAAATCTGGTTAGAGCTGCTATGGGAGGATCATGCTGTAAATCAGAGGGACGTGAGCACAGTCATTGATTCTGCGATGAAATGTGTGATCGAAAGGAGATAATATATGTTCTGGATCTAGCTCGCTGTCTGAGGCCAGCAATTCTTGTTCCAGGACCATTTTTGATACAACCACATCCTTGCTAGCTAAATATAAGATAGATATCGCTCGCGAGTTCCTTACCTCTATAGAGTAGCAATACCATTTCCATTTATCTAAAAAATCAAAAACATACAACAGTGAGAGTAAGGTAGTGATCACATAGCGCTTACGGTTCGCGCGTGAGCGGTTCACCGCTCTATTCAGGGCATCCTTAGGGATATTCACCCACCTGAATATTCCTCACGCAAATATTCAGCCTGTAAAGTAAAATGTACATTTTATATCATGACAAAAAAAGCTGTAAGTACCCTTTTTCCCCCCCTCCGTTTTTATCTTCCCAGCCTCGCTTTATGCCGAACATCAAGTGATCCCACTAACACTAATTAATATATGGTCATCCGAGAAACTGCTTTTCTCCAGAATTCTGACCCGACAATGACTATCGATCTATGCGACCTGCAGCTCCTATACAAGGAGCACAATCCCAGTGCCAGAAATGAATATAACACCCTGCCTTGGGCTCTGGGTGTGTTGGCATTGAAGAAGTAAAGCATTGGGGAATACTGACCTTCAAGATCGAATTACATACCGAAGGAGATAACGATGATATCAAGTTCATCACCTAAAAAGCCATGGATACGAATATAGCTAGCAGTTTTCTTTCTGGATCGCATGAGAATCGTAAACCTCCTTCAGTCCTTGTCTCTGCGATAACACGAATGTTGGCAAGACCAAAGTAATGAAAGCAATAATCTCACGGAACTCTGAATAACTAGTGAAACAAACAAGAGAATTACCCCTAGAGCCTTTGGCTCGAAATGATTTAGATCCGGTCATAATGCTCAAACCAAATCGTTAGTAGAATTTGATGTGAAATTCACGAAAACGGTCCATGGAGTTAGGCATGTCCCTAATTGGAAAGGTATGTATATCGAGATCAATTGTCTAGACCAAAGAAGACTAGAAACAAGCAATCGTGGGCGGACGACGATACTCTCTCTCCCAAGCACAGCCACGCAAGTAATACCAAGGAATAACCATCACACCATCAAATGGAACCTGCATCCATCCTACATCTTCCAAGGTGCACCCCTCAAGCGCCTCCTGTTCCTCCTCTAACCTCTCCCCCTCCTCGTACGGATCATACTCCCTCCAATCCCCCCGAATCAGACGCACAAACCCGTCCTCACCAGCGAGAACCGAGTCTAAAACATCCCGCGTAACTTGAATACAGCACAAGTATCGTTCCGACATTCCCGGGCCGGTACCTTGTTCCTGCTGGGCTGCAGTCGCCGCCCACCGCTCGAAATGGTCCCTAACCACCGCCGCAGGGGCCCCGTCGAAACTCGAATCCTCAAACACAGTCACAGCCAGATTATCAAGTAAATCAAGGCCCCCTTCCCCTTCTAGCGTCTCCTCAGTGTTGGCGAGTAGACGACGCATAAATACCTCCCAGGCCGTGTTGCTCTCGTAGTTACATCGGTATATGACGAACCCCCAGGCGCGATGGCCGTCTTCGTGGAGATATTGCTCGATTTGGTCGGCATTGTTGAATTGGGCACTCCTGGTCGGGATGCGTGGAGATAGGTTCTGTACCGGGGGGAATTGAGCAGGGTGAGCGTGTTTTTCCATTTGATTTAGGAGGTTGGGAGTAGTATTTGCTGTGGAAAAAGGTTGAGCAGTTTTCCGATACCAGTTTCTTTGCCTGGGGAATGTGCGTGACGCGACAAAAGGTGAGGTGAAGTTTCGAAATAACCTGGGGACACTCCTAGCAAAACTCATTGCTAGGTGTGATGAGGAAAGTAAATTTCAAAAAAAAAAGGGTATCTAAGTATTTACATGTAATAATTAGTCCGGAGGCTAGGCTTCTTAATTTGCAAGATTAGTTTGACGATTTTTCTTTTGCAACTATTTGTATGCCACTATTGGTATGGCTTGCTATGGGGACTGTTTTGTTTTATTTTGTTTATTCTGCTGTTTACACCGCCCTTCTTTTGATACATCAGTCGACATGTCGACTTTCACATCGTTCCCCACTTCGGAGGTCAATATAATAAGTATAAATCAATATACAGCTCGGTTTTTGTGTGGAGCTCCGTCCCCGGGATCCGGGAACGGGACTGAAAGGCTGTGGCGGCACCTCAAACATCTCACTGGCTCTAGCTTGATGATGTCTTTGTAACCGGAACTGCAGGCATACGCAGAGTGTTGATCTTACTCTGGAACGAACCCAGAGCCGCAGCAACCTCATTATTTGTTGCCAGAGTCTTGCCCGCCGCACGAGCATTGGTATAAATCCCTGCTGCTGCCTGAATCGCCTCAGCAGCCCAACTTTGCCCGCTATCCTCAACTAACTGGAAGTAATCCACCGCCCATTCCCACCACCATTCCCACCACCATTCCTGCAGCCCAGCCTGCCCGACGTCCTTTTCAATGTAGCTCCACTGGAGAGCAACCTGCTGGAGTACCGTATTCCATTTGCCGGTGACGTGTGGATTATTTAAATATTCAAAGACGGAGAAGCCCTGTACACATACAACCAGTTAGCAATCTCTCTTTGTCCCCCTCTCTCTCCCCCTCTCTCCCTCTCTTGATATTTGTGCTTGGTGGGAAGGAGGGGGACGGATGAGCTTACGTCTCGAATAGCAGTTAGCAAGACGGCGGCTGATTTGCTGTCGTCGTTCTTCACTGCCGCCTTTGCTAGGGACTCGATCCGGCTGATGGAGGCCGCTGCGTTGAGGCCCATGATTCGACCCTTGGGACCGTTGATTTTCCCATCCGTCGCTGAAAAGGGACTTGGGTAAAAGCGGGACCCGAAGGCCTCCATGATACGTGCATTGGGAGTGTTGGGACTAATTCCATCACTACTACCGACAACAGGACGTTGCCCGAGAGCAGCATTGCCAACTAGCCACGCGGCTTGCCAAAAGGAGGCTGGAATGGGAGTGAGCTTGGAAAGCTCTCCTGATGCGAGAACGCCACTGGCAGCTGCCTTGATGAAAGAGATCATGACTTGTCGCTGTTTGAGTTGGCCGTTAGCAAGCAATCCCTGAACCCTAGCATTGGAAAAGGACGGTTAAGGTTGGGGGTGGGGGGACCGTACGTCGATAACGTGCTCCGAATGCATGCCTGATAGGCCGGAGGGTTTTTTTTCCAGATGGAATGGTGAACGTCGACATCCCAGGGACTGTGCAGTACCTCTCGGCAAGCTTGAATCCTACCAGGAGGACCTGGTTGGCGTTCTTCACTTTGAAGAGATCTCCTATGCTGGGATACCCTGCGGCCAGAATTTTGACGGCTAATCTGCCGGAAGTCGCCAAGTACTCCGCGGCTGCACCGCGTTTATCAATGGCTGATGAGGTAGGCCACTGGGTAAATATCACGTCTATCGTGTCTCGCTTGGTCCAGTCATTGGCGCTTTCGTCGTCGTAGTCAGTCGGACAGTAGCCCGGGAAGATTGCACACATATCGGAGCCGCACACGGCCGGCTTGAAAGGTGCGCTGCTGACGGTACAGCAGGCGACCTTTTTTCTCGTCCCTGAAATGAGGTCAGCCTATGAGAAAAAAAAGAGAGAAGAAGCGCGTGTGGGAGTTTTACAATCGCAAGATGACCAAGAATCTCCATACGAAGCTCGATCCACAGCCACCTCGGTGTCAGCGCAAACTGCATTGGCACAGTCCTTGCCGGAGCTCCCACCAACCCAATGGCAGTCAGTCAGGACAGTGTTGTTGGGACAGCAATATTTCTGCCCGCGGGTCCAACACTTATCAACCTTATTGAAGAGCGCAGTACTCCCACTAGGGCAATCGGCCCCACTATAGTCATGTCAGAATCCCTTCTACATTGAGGACTTGCTTTGACAAGGAGCGGGGAGCAAATACCAAGAGGCGTAAGCGCATCCATCGACGACATCGCTCCATTCAGGATCTGGACAGCAGAAGGCTTTATGTCCCTGACCACACTTATTCGTGTCCCCGCCGTTTACAAAGCCACCGCCCCAGGAAGACGTGATGCCGGCGACATTGATCTCCCCGGCATAACACTGGCCATTACAGTCAGAGCTCACGCCCGAGTCGCCCGTGCTGTCACCGCGCCACTTGCAATCTTTGGGTGCGCTGCTCGTCGGACAACAAATGGGTTCTCCGCAATGCTAGATATCTCGAGTCAGAGAGTGGACCTGCGCATGCAATTGGGAGAAGAAGAAGCATAAACAACTGGATTAACCGCATCCTGCATCGTCCCATCCAACCATCGTGAACCCAGAACCACAGGCCTTCGCCATGGCACTGTTATCATTGAGATTGACGCATTTACCATCGTATTTGAAACATTTTTGCCCGTTCCAACTGGAGAGGTCTTCGACAACAGACTTGGGATTGGACAAAGCCTTGTTGATGGCTTTGAGGGTCGGATTAGTCTGGATCGTTTTGCCCGTCAATGCGGCGTGAGCCGAGTACTTGTCATCATCTAGTACCACGTTAGAAAAGCCGTCACCTCGATATAGGCTATGTGATCCTATTTAGGCAGGACTACGTACCAAGATCTGAAGCCCAGATCATGGAGCCTCCTATACCAACCTCGTTGGCCCACTCAAGCTTCTGTGCAAACGTCGTCTTGTCATCATACGAGATCCACTGGTCATCGTCGAAGGTGAAATAGTTCACCGCACCCGCCTTGTCATGGACGGGCGTGATCGTCGACCGCTTCGTCGAGCTTGTGTCGCTAAGGATGTCCATAATCTCATAATAACTAAGGATACCGCCTGTGTCAGAGCAAGGACCCGGATTCGAAGCACCCTTAAACGGACACCCGGGGGTTGTACAACTCGTATCAGCGAGTGTGAACGAGCGGCCATAAAAGCCAAAGCCCATAACCAGCTTTGCGGGTGGAACGTTTGCCCGCCAGAACAGAGATGTGGCAAGTTTGATCTCAGTCAGATTGGTGTGCGCCTGCACAATACTTCCAATTGGGTTTGTCGCATCCCACACGCCGTGGAGATCATAGCTCATAAGGTTAATCCAGTCCGCGTACTTGAGCATACCAGGGAGGTCAAACCAGCGGAGATACCAGTACGACGAGGGAGCCGTGAAGGTAAGCCCGAAGTCGCTTCCGCTGGCGTCGAATGTCTCACGCAGGGCCTTGAGAAGCAGGACGTAGTTTGCGGTGTCTTCGACCTTACCGCCTCTGTCGCCAGCACCGGGGTATTCCCAATCGAGGTCAATACCATCAAAACCTGAAATTGCGTTAAAGGGTAGTCTAACTTTTGAGATGGGAGAGTGAAGGGGCAGGGATTGGTTGCTTCCATACCATATTGCTTCATGAAGTGAACAACGTTGTTGGCAAATTTCTGTCTATTTGTTGCACTGGCAGCTATGTCACCAAAAACTGGCTGTGTTGCTGTGTCATTATCGGAGAAGGTCCAGCCACCAACACTCACAAAGACCTTGATGTCTTCCTTGATGGACTTCAAGTTCGTTGTGTCCGAAAACAGACTGGGGGGAGTGTCGCTGTCCATGGTCACGATCTGGTAGGAGTCTGGATCAATAGACGCAAACGCAAAGTTTACGCTGTATCACACTAATCAGTTCATTGTCCCTATATATACCCTAGGGATACATACTGCGTAAGTGCATCCAACGGCAGGTCAGTAGGAGCAACTTTGTGGCAGGCCTTTCGGGCCATCCAAGACTCGTAATATCCGATGACCTTGTTCGACAATCTGCTGGCTTTAGTGGGCTTTAATATGAGGAACAGAATGAGGCTTTTTTTTGGCTTCCAAATTCGGCATGAGGTGAGTCAATAGAACAATAGCTTTAGATTGAGGTCGTTTTTTGTGCCCTTAGTGTACCTTAGTGTACCTTTAGTGGGAACAACGGGCGTAGCCGACATATCCGCGAGGCTAATTTCAAGGCTAAGCTTGCGCTAGATGCCGCCAAGGACTTTTTTCATTCCATTCTGTACGGGCGAAATGCTACCTTTGGTCTTGTTTCGCGTTGATATTTTCACGATTTCTCTTTTAGCGTCGGAATTAGCGAGCCGAGATATACCGCCGAATCAATCCATGAATGCTACATGCAATTCATGCCGCTGTTAATATCGCATAATTTTCAATAGAATAGTAACTAATTTCACTGGACCCCATTCAGGCGCGATGTGGCTCCCTCGCTTGAAATTTCCCTTTCTTCTCTTCTGGCCTCTACAGCTGAGCTGGCTAAATACTAGTATTGCCCGGCATCGTACACTGTGAATTAATATCCTACCATCTCACGTTTGGTTTCTTCTCTGAGGGTTATCCTTCAGACCGAGTAAGCGTGATGTCAGGACTCCGGATGGTCGTGACTGCGGCCCTGGCAGGCCTTGTGCCTCTTTCGTGGGCACAGCAGTTTACCAATACTACGATGTTTACGGCGTATGAAGGGCTGAGCACGGCGTGTCAAGAGGCCCTGGCAACCAATGTCACTTGTTCGCCGACTTTAGGCCTTATCTCCGAGAGGTAAGTGAACGCCTATATATCTGTATTCTTGACGAGTCACTAACCACCCTCCGGATAGTAATGAAGTCATGACATCAGATGATGTCGCTGTAGTTTGTGTCGACGGTTGCTATGCATCTTTGGAAAGCGCCAGAACGGTTATTGCAGCTGCGTGCACACTCGACACGGATGTTATTGTGACTGATAGTGTCGCATATCCGGGTATGAATTATCCAGGCCTTGCTGCCGAGATGGCTAAATTAAATGCGCAAAGCTGACGTGGTTGTAGCTACCTTCATCGTGGACAACTATCTGTTTGCGTACCAAGTCTCCTGCAGGACGGACAGGTTAGTACAGCTTCCAATCCACTCCTTTTGTGCAGCGCTGAATAAGTTGATAGCTCGACGGGCGAGTACTGTGATCCACAGATCGTGTCATGGTCCAACCAAACCCTAACCACGGAGCAGCAGTGCTCTGATTGCTGGCTGGGTGGTCTTGCTCTGCAGCTAGGCAACCCCTTGGGCTACGATGACAGCTTGGCAACAAATTATGCGTCGTTGATTTCCAGCTGCAATGCCACTGCGTATAGTTATACGACATCCACACAGTATGCGATCAATGCAACCGCAACTGCTACTCCGACGCCTGTTACGACAACTGCAGCACCCGATTGTACTGGAGCGTATACGGTTCAAGTGACGGATGACTGCAACTAGGTCGCGCAGGCCCTGAATGTGTCCACGTACAGTCTTCTGTACAACAACGGGCTTGATATCTACTGCCAGAATTTCGCCGCTGCCGTTGACTCAAGCTTGTGTATCCCGCCGCAATGCAGCACTTACGTCTGGCAATCGACGGACGATTGTAACAGTGTTGTCAGGGAGCTCTCGGGTGTGACTGTTCCCCAGTTCTTGTCCTGGAATCCGAACTTCAATGCGCTTTGCCAGAACGCTGTGAATTACGTTGGATATACGGTGTGCGTTGGGTATGTCCCTCCTAGAAAAAAAAATATTTCTTTATCACCAAGTTCTGACATGTATATAGCCCGCCAGCAGGATACCTTAACCACACAACGGACATGACAAGCAACTCGACTTCACCAACTAGTTTCACCACTGCCGCGGCTGTGCCAACGAACACTGTTAATGGCACTAACACGAACTGCGGTGCATGGTATACTTTAAGTAGCTGATGCATTCCCGGCAACCGCGAGCGACGTTGACTAACCTGCGCACAGGTTGTGACGGGAGACACATGTAGTCGTGTGTCCATGGCTAACGGAATCTCTCTCACGGACTTCTATTTCCTGAACCCCGAAATCGACGACGACTGCACGAACCTAATCCTTGGCGAGGCTTATTGTGTGGCGGCTGTGGATTCCATCACTACATATGTCAGCTATCCCATTACAACGCCTCTCTTCACAGTAACTTCGGCCACCTTTCCTTCTGTTGACACATCAATTCCCACAAAGACCAACGACCCAGGGTATATCTACGTCCCTACATACCTTCCGACTGCGCCCGACACGCTCACGGACTGTGTGCAATATCGCGACTACTCCAGCACGACGTCCAATTCCTGCATTTATATTTCGTTTGCATTCCATGTCACCACTGACCAGCTGATGGAGTGGAATCCAAGTCTTTCAACCACTCTAAGCACCTGTGCCTTGCAGCCTGGCTACAGCTACTGTGTCTTGGATAGTGATGACTCCAGTAAGTGTCAACCATCAGTGAATATTCTGCTCAGCTGAAGCTTACAAAATAAAACAGCAACCACGGACGACGATTCCTTCACCTTCTGTCTGGGAATCAATGCTACAGAGTCAACCACCGTGTCAAACTGTAACTGCTTCACCCAAGTCTATGGCTACATGAGCGATGGTAAGCATCACCCGTCCAAGAAATAAGAAACCACGATCAAAGGTGTTCGGCCGGCTGACGTACACGCTAGATTATCCTTGTGCAGATCTTGCAGGAGACGTCGACATCACAGAAGCTCAATTGCTGGCGTGGAACCCCTGGCACGCCGGCGACTGCGACACAGAACTTTTCGCAAACCTCGATAATACTGACACCCGCGCGATTTGTATCGGGATCGACAGCTCTGCAACGCCTACTACCTCAACTACAGTAGCAGCTCCAACCCCAGCCGACACTATTGCCGGCTGTTCGGAATTCTACACCGTTGTCTCGGGAGATGACTGTTCGAGCATCCAAACCAAATTCTCAATCACCCTTGCAGAGTTATACGCATGGAACCCGAGCAGTAAGCATATCTCCCTCACCAAATTGCGCCCCTTCCCCCCGTAAAAAAACAAGAAGGGAGAGAAAAGAAAAATGCTGACCACATCAAACAGTTGGCAGTACCTGTACGAACCTCTGGCTTGAAGAAGTGTACTGCGTCAAGGGTCCGGCGATAGCAACGGCGACGACCACGACAACAAGCGCCGTTCCTACACAGACTGGTATCTCTTGGGCAATACGCTATATAGGGACCAAAGGAGAGGAGGGAGAGAGTTGATTCCTACTGGGAGCGGCGAGCTTCCAACTATCTATCTAGCTAGCAAACGAGGGGTTGATGCCTGAGGCATCACTGGTGGCCTGAGGCTGCCACAACACACCCCCCCCAGGCACAAATCCCGAGGAAATCTCTCTCTTGTTTATGCAACCATTCCGGTTTACATAGTAAAAATCATATGTTTTTGTAGGTTTTTCCAGCTCATTCTTAACCGGCTTCCTCTCAATTCCTTCTGTTTTTGTCTTTTCACTTTTTGTATATATATTAGGATTCATCCTCTATCAACTTTATCGTTCATCGTCGTCTTTATTAACTGATTGCGCTATCATCTTTGTCCTTATTGGTTCGAAAAGCTCCTTCGCAAGCGGTTTCGTAAGGGTATCCGCAATATTGTTAGCGCTTGCGATTAACTCCAGTCGAACGATACCTTCTCTCACTGCGTATCGTACAAAATGGTATCTTATATCGATCCACTTCGTTCCTTTTGCGTAGTTGTCCTTCTTTATAATCGACACCGCGTTATCACTGTCGGTGTATAGTGTGATCGGAAGTTCTTGTTCAATCCCTATTTGATACAGAATTTTCAGCAACTATATACACTCCCTAATCGCGGCGTTAAAGGCGATATACTCGGCTGCAGTGCTGCTTCTCGCAACAATCTCTTCTTTCCGGGATAACTAACTAATCGGGCCGCTAGCGTAGTAAAAGATAAACGCCTCTGTACTCTTACCGTCCTTACAATCTTGATATAAAGTATCAATATAACTATATAGTCCTTACTTTGGCTTTCCACCCAGTAAGATACCAAGGTATATCGTCCCTTTTATATAACGATTCAGTTGTTTCAATACCTCGATATCCTCTTATCTTAGTGCTAACGCTCGCCTTTGTAGTTTATTAACAGCTAGGGCAATATCTGGGCGAGATTTGTCTGTTAACTATGCCAGTTTACCAATATCTTCGATATATACCTTTGTTTCTGTTGTTGAAATCGAAGGTTAATCTTCTTGAATATTGAGATCGTTGTTACTCCTCCGGATATCTCTGTCATTCTTCGAGTTAGTTATTGCTTTTATATATCGTCTTTATCGGAAGATAAACAGCAGTTACCGTTTGTAAACTAGCTTTGACGATAATTTCTTCCGTATATACTCCTTAGCTGAGAAAGATACTATACCCCCTCTTATTGCGTGATAGACTACTACCTAGGAAGCGATTTAGCTTGCTAAGATCCCTATATTTGAACGGGATCTTACTTTTAAACTAAGCAATTCCTTCTTTATTAGAGGCAGCGATCAATATATCATCAACGTAGAGCAAGATCTAGATATTCTTTTCTTTATAAATCATGATACAGGGTTTATCTTTAAGCGGTTGAAATCCTATTTCTTTCAATACTGTAGTAATAGTCTTATACCACAGATAACCCGCTTATCGAAGCCTATACAGAGCTTATAAGAGGATATATACTTTATCTCCTTTCTGCTACCTTTTTATCCAAAATGTCACCTAAGCGTGTGCCCGCTGAAGATGTTGACCCTGCGCCCCTAGGGCAGTCGCTCCAGTTCGAGTTTAGCGGCAGGACAGCGCTCAACCGGTTTCTTAAGAGCGCTATGAGTGAAAAGTTTTTGAGTTGGAATCCCCGGGATCTTGAGGATAGAGGCTTTCCATCAAGTGGACTGATAAATCTTTACAAAAGATGGGGCGAAGGTGGATGGGGAGTCCTTCTTACGGGCAATGTTATGCTCAATTATGACCATCTCGAGGGTCCAGGCAATGCCATTATCCCCCATGGATCTCTTTTCTCCGGGAAACGATTTGATGCCTTCAAGGCGCTTGCGCATGGTGCAAACAAGCACGGAAGTCTCATTGTGGCCCAACTGTGCCACCCGGCCGCCAGACCCCGGGCAATGTGCAGCAACACCCTATATCAGCCAGCGATGTCCAGCTTGAGGGCCGGACTCTTGGTTCACTATTTGCAAAGCCACGCGCAATGATGAAAAAGGACTTCGAAGACGTGATAGAAAGTTTTGCCCATGCTGCAGAGTATTGCTACCAAGCTGGATTCGATGGCATTCGACTCAACGCCGCTCAGTGAGCCCACCACCCTCTCGCGTGAAACAAAAAACCGACGTAACGTAGCGGCTATCTCCTAACTCAATTCTTGTCCCCGACGACCAATCTGCGAACCGACCAATACGGTGGTTCAATTGAGAGCCGCAGTCGTATTATCTTCGAAATCACAGATGCCAGTATTGCTGCTGGGATACAGTAAGTCCACTGCCCTCGAGCTGTCTCCATATTGATATTTTTGCTAAATAGTTTAAGGATGCGGCTCGTCGAAAATGATAAGCATCCCTTGGACTTAAGCCAGGAGAAGGATATGGATGTGTTTATGACTACATTACAGAGGCTTTTGGGTGAAATGTCGCAGAATGCAGACGGCTCCAAGTACGGCTTCGCGGACATTGTGGATTTCCCCCTGAATCCCTTTGGAAGTCCCTACTCGGAACAGTGTGATTGAAAGTATCGTAGGAGTTAGAATATGAATGAGACATCAATGTGCTTATTTATTTCAAGTTTCGAGGGCTGCACCTCGGAGTTCTTGATACCTTGCGTTGTCTTATGCCTTAACCATACGGAAGCCACCTTTCAATATCCGTGTGAAAAGAATAAGAAATCCCCCGAAAGTCATGACAGAACCAGCAAAGGCAATAAGGCCTTTGAACCCAATCCAGTCAGAGTCCGCGAGTGCCCCAAGCATTGGCAATCCAGTTAGAGCCCTAAAGTAGGTGTTAGAATGTTTGTCCTGATTACCCAAAAAGCCAGCTCAGGAATAGGACATACGCAATAGCGATGATGAACATGAACGAACCCAGCTTGGGGCCCAACTGGTCGATTTTACCGTCGCATAACACCACCACAGAGGGGGTCATTAAACTGACAAATCCACCACTTGCTAGACCATACAGAGCGGCAAATCCGATGATAGCACCAGTAGACGGGTAAAAGGCGACTGGCAGCCAATACGCGAGAATTGAAAGCCCCGATAAGAATGCAATGAAAACCATGACATTGAGATGGCCAACGCGGTCAGCAACAAAGCCTGGGAGAATTCTACCAAAGATTGAGGTAGCACTGCGGATATCATAAGTCAATAATGGCATCTGGGGCTTTTTAATGACTGGAAATGCCTTACTTAGTGATAGAGATTGTGTAGATTGCCATATCTTTTGACATTCCGATGGAAACACCCATTGAAGGGAGATAGTTGATGGGACAGAATAGACCCCAGCTATTGTAAAGCCCATTTGGTGAGAAAAGATCAAAGAATAGAATGAAAAACAACTAGTGAAGATTGACTAACAGCATAAAGAAGCACCCAGCGCAGAATACGACGAATGGAAGATCTTTGAATGCATCAAGACCAGCAGCCTTGCGCTTCGAACGACCTGGAGGAAATGGCGCAGAAACGCAAAGAGTTGCGATCACGAGGCAGACGGCCATCAAAAGACCAATCCAGCGAAGAGCATTTGGAAATCCAACCTTTTCGATAAGACGAGACACTATAATTGGGAATATCACACCCCCTATTGATCAAAATTAGCAGATGTAAGTATATTTGGATTAGGTCACGAACCAAGGCTACTTCCGCTAGCCACGATACCTGCTGCTAGTCCTCGTCGTTTTGTGAACCATTGGCCAGCGCAAACCATGGGAGGTAGAAATAGTCCAGATGCCCCGAGGCCATATACAATCCCCTGCGTAAGCATAATTTGGTAAAACTTTGTGCTCAAGCTCAGCATAAATATTCCGAGCAGAGCTAGGAGAGACGCAGGGAAAATCAACTTGCGCGGTCCCACTATATCTACCAGGACCCCCATGATTAGGCCAAAAGAGAACATGAGAAATATCTGGACTGTGATGATCCAGGAAATGGTTGACTTGGAATAGTCGGAAAGAAGCTCTTCCTCGTAGTATAATTGAAAAGTACCACACCTGGGATGGAGTCAGAAAATTTCCGATAGCGTTTATTATGAAATGACCAACGCATTGAGAAATCCGAATGAGCAAAACTGGCAGAAGAATCCTCCAAGTACACAGAGCCATGCTTTAGTGCCTTCTTCTGGCACCATTTCTTGCTCAACGGGTGTAGTAGTCGACATTTCCTTTGACTCTAAGTCAGCCACGCGCTCCGAATCGGTTTCCATGTCTGCAGGTGTATTAAAATGAATTGAATTATACAGAAAATACAAGAGGGCTGAGTGATTAAAAGGGTAATATTAACGTCTGCAAATCCAGTTTTATAGAATTGGATACTGGCCGAGGCGGCCGAGACGGCCGAAGCGGCCGAAGACACCGGGATCGATGGGAACTCTTCGCCTCCTTTATTGGCACACACTAAAAGAGAAATATTTCACATCTGACACACTAATACTTCCTCGTTATTTTATTCTTGGCCTTGTTTTTTGATCTACATCAACTCCACTTAGTGCATTGTTGCGTCTATGGGACCTGAACAAGCTGCACGAGGAGTTGACGTTTGTCACATCCTTGAGTCCCCTAGCAACAAGCCGGCTATATGTCGGGCCCCAACAAAGGTTAATGCCACCATGAGGAAGCTCAAAAAGCTATGGGAAGAGTTGGACGTAGGTGCGGTCAAGCTTGCAAGGCAGGTATGTGCACTATATGAGATTGAGGAATCGAAAATACTGGCATGTTCCTAGATGTTGGGTGGGGCCATGGACACCAAGCTTCGCTCAGACTTGGACTCATGTCCCGGAATCAGTTGTTTCATTTGAGAAATTGCCGTAAAACCCTTGTGTCGACATTTATTTGATGTGTGCTTGCTGTGTTATTCAGAATATAGGTACCTAAGTAGGTCATGGAGATCTGTTTTCCCTTTTTTGTTTTACAAAACAAAGCGCTTCAGGTTTGTCGAAGCTTAGCCTCGGTGTTGGATTTCAATTTTGATGGAGGTCGTTAATCATTTCGTTTACCCTTAGGCCAGACTAAGGAAGTGCAGTTGGTTTCAGGGTCCTGTGCCTAGGGCTTGTCAAAGATCCATGCCACTATTACCACTGAATCCAAACGAAGAAAGCTGACCACCGAACAGTGACTCGAGCAGGTTTGTACCATCAATACCACTCATAGCAAAATTAGAATCAACTTCTCCAAGCGAGTTTATGCTCGTGTTTCCACTGATAAACCCCTGTGTATATAAGCGAAGCCTCACTTGTTCCCGTAGATTGTGGAGAAAGGTCCACAGTCGTTCCTCTTTGCTACTTTCTCCTGAGCTGCCTGAACCGCCGGATTCCATCTCCACGTCGGCAATGGTTTCCCAAGCTTGTTTGCAAAGAACATGAATATCACCTGGTAGTTTAAACGTCTCTATTGTTGATAGCTCGTTGATTATATGGAGCATTCCATGTAGTTGGGAGTGCCGGCGAATGTGCCAATGGAATCGTCTGATATAAGGGTCGGCCAAAAGGGTTTGATAGGAGGAGATGAGGTCTTTAGCATTTTCCATAGCCCTGATTCAAATCAAAATTGAGCACAAAGCGGTAGGAATAACGTTGAGGAAGAGGGGGGGTTATGACATACTTCTTTCGAGCTGGGCTCCAGTAGGCATTATTGGCCGTGCCATCACGTTCTTTCAGGAATCGATGATACAGAATGAGCCGGAGTTTATACTCACCAAGGCGGCCAAGCTCCAGCGTGACTGTCTGAATAGGATCGCTGGCATGACAAAATTGCAGGTAATGTCTCTCCACTATTTCCACTGTTTCATCAAGACACTTCTGAATTGTGTCAGAGCCAGATGGAGGGGCAGGGGTTGTCACTAGCTGTCTCACACCGAGGGAAAGGTGGTAGCGAACGAGAGACATTGTCATGTCGGTAAAACGTGCGTTATTGTTATCTCCTAGTGAGTTTTGCACAATATCCTCGTCATTCATGTTCGTGGGTAACGCAGTCGCAAGTGTAGTAGGCCATGTTTGGATGGTTATGGGTTCAGGATCTACGCCACGTGCTTCGCTAGACATGAAGTCGAGACTTTAAGCGTTATTAGACAGAGTCTCTGCGTAGTGTTCACGCACGCAATACTTACTGGACAATAACATGCCACAGTCGTCGGCGAACTTCAGTAACAATGGCGCTAAATGGAGCTTCTGTTGGCTTTTGTATTCGCTTCCGATCTGCCAGCGCTTCTGGGTCCACATGGAGAGAGAATGATCGCGCAACACGTAGTAACAGACCAGTTAAGCAATAATGGTATGGTACATCGGTTTCCTCACACGTAACAAACTGAAATATGATCGCGCATTAGTACACACCAAGAACAGGTGACGTGGGGTAACGATTCACGTACCAAAAAGAGACAGCAAGCCGAGATTGAATGGAGGCGGGGCCGCTCAAGCAGCTCGGATCGGACCAGACTCTGTTCTATAGCAAGCCGAAGAGCTTGTAAGCAGCCCTGCTTGATCTGTCCAGGGGCAGTGTCCTGACTTGGAGGCGATGGGTCCCAGTGCTCCTGCTCAGACAAGCTGGTGAGAGCGGCAAATAACACGGAAAAGAGAAGCGCCTCAAATGCTGCGGTCGATCTTTTCTCAGCTCCATTATCCTGTCCAACTTGGATGTAGTACTCTTGCATCTCCTCAAGAAATGTCGGCTTATGAATGATGCGCACGACTGGGTCCACCCTGTCGACGAAGATGGTGTACAATCGCTCGGCGTCAGCTAGGGGTGGAATGTAATCATGGGGGTGAAATTGAGGGTCTGGAGCGACGAATAAGTTCAAGGGTCGATTGGGCTGTATTCGTTTGGGCGGTAGGTCTCCATCTTGGTTCGCGTCTAAGAGGGCGTTGAAATCGGGATGCTGTTTTAATGCCATTCTGTCAATGTTGGGCTACACGGCTGTGGGTTCAAATATGAGTTACGCACCTGTGCAGCTAATTGCTTCCAGTATGACCCCGACAACAGGCGTGGCTCACTGTCCACAATATGGACATCACCAGCATTGGAAACAGCAGATCCCTCCGGAAGGGAATCCTCGGGCGCGGTGCCTGCCAATCGCGCGACTACCGCCTCCAGATGACTGAGTCGCTGTGAAAGCTCCTTGTAAGACCCATCCTGACCCTCGGGTCTTGTGGAGTTTCGCTCACTGGGAGTCGTAGGGGTATATCGGCAGGAATGCCCATGACGTGCGCAGTTTTGACACTCTGGTCTTTCGCGACCGCAGCGAATCTTTCGCGCACGGCATCGAAGACATGAGTTGACTGTCCGCTTGGTAGCGGGGATCATCGAGTCCTTGGTTCCCTGGCTGCGGCGGCCATAGGAGGGAGCAAACCTCGGAAGTGAGTTGTTCTTGGTGAATCTGACGTTGGGGCCAAACGATTGGTGTCGGAGCACCTCATGTGTATTTATGGTATTGTCCTGACACCCTGATACTATATGTACATTTGTACACATATGTACAGGAGCTCTAAGTAGCGTTCGGTTAGAACTGTATCTATAATACTCGATTGTAACCGACAGAACTGCATAAGATTATTTGAATATAACCATCACAAACCAACAATACTACATAGTAGTATACACATACATGGAGAGAGAGCGGTACACAGTATTGTACACATACCGTTGTTCGGAAACGGACCCACCTACGGGACATCCCGAGCCCCTTCCAAGGTTATCACGCACGGCATCGGGAACACAGAGCGGCCCAACGGGAAACCTTGAAACAACGACATCACTCCCGCAGGAGGCGTGCATGTAAATAATTCCGGAAGATGATCAGACCCACGCTGCCCTAGCACCAGTGGAGATAACCAACGCCAGAACCAGCGGATGAGTGACAAATGACATTCGGCAGATCAACACCTGCACCACATGATGACGAGCAAACCATGCCCATACAAGCCATCTGGAACAAGCTGAAAGAAGCGAGATGCAACTAGAATGAGCTCCAGGTCAAGACGATAGGTTGAACGCGCTGACTACAACGGGATCTTGGGCCGCCGTAGTGCCTAGCACGAACAAGGTTGAACCCTGAGAGAACCCCCCGCACACCTACAAAGAAGGGAACTGTGTTTGCATCAGCACCTACCGGTCTCTCGACTAGTCGCACGGCACGGAAACCTCCGTAGACGCCTTCGGCCGCTACCATACCACTCGCGCAGCAAACACCTACATTAGAACAGCACTACTGAATGCCACCCTATCTAAAATACTCAAGTCGCTGGAACTAGCACCACGAAGACTGGATACTTATCCCGCCTAAGACTAACTTTGGCCGACCTGACTGAGCTGGCCTGCAATAACACGGAATGTTTAACCGAGTTAGGCAATGGCACTGAGCTGATAGTGCTACGATTTAGAGTAGATTTGTACCACATTCCAACCCAAGGACTGGACACTGAAAGAGATGAAGTAGGCACCACCAAGAAAATTCCCGAAGAAAACAACTTTAAGGCACGTGGTTCTGAATCGAAAACATCGCTTGGCTGAAGAACTGGCAAGTTGCCGCTAGGTATCAGACCACGTTGTCTGCAATATACCGGGAAATTCCAACACGAGATATAGCATACCCAACACCAGTCATGGAGCCCTGGCAATTTTGTAAAACACCCTCCAAACAGCTAAATGCTACGAAGTTGAGAACGGGCATGGAAGTCCTTATCGACGGCCATCAGAGCCAAGACTTGGGTGTGCTACTCATCCAGGAACTACATGTACTAATTACCATATACCAAACCTATGTAACCCACAACGCGTGACGACTATAACAACCAACGGTGGGAGGCCTTGTTTGGTTCACGGGCGCAAGCGCTAGGTACTTCGTATCTGAAGTTTTATGGGGGAATGCATCAATATATATATCTCGAGGTCGGCTCTTACATAGTACTTGTTAGCCATCGTTGGAACGTTCAAAACTCCTCCAAATTTTCGACTTTTGCTATTCTTTGTAATTCAAACCAATCTCTAACACAGGAATATGAAATAAAACATCCTAATAAGTATAAAACTGAATCGCAGTTCCAAATATAGCGCGTAAAGACGAGGAGAGATTGTGTATGTTCTTATACAGGCCGTTTTAATTCTAAATTAATATTCGTCGCACACTACTCTAAACCTTGGTCATTAACTTCCATCCACCCATTTGAACACGGGAAAAGATGAAAGCCAGAGCGCCAAGAGCCATCATAGAGCCGGAAAGGCCGATTAGCCCGCCCCAGTTGCCAGTTTTGTCGGCCACAGCGCCACTAACAGGAATTCCCACCAGAGCCCTAACGATTGATTAGCCATGCTATTGGAGCAACCAGGATATTTTCAAAACTTACCCAAATGCGAGACATAGGCAGGCAACACCAAACTTGAGACCAAGACCGGTTACCTGGCCATCTACCAGGGCGACAACACAAGGTGATAATAGACTGGTATATCCGCCAGAGACAAACCCGTAAGCTAAGGCAAAGAAGATGATGCCACCATTTGTAGGGAAGTAATAGACTGGAAGCCAAATCACTAGTAGAGTAATGGCGGAAAGGGTGGTGACGAGGGCCATGATATTGAATTGACCAACATGGTCAGATATAAATCCTGGTACAATACGTCCAATCATGGATCCAGCATTGATCATGGCGAGCGTATACTGAGACAGGTCACGATCCATACCAGCTTCCAAGGCGATGCTTGGTAGATAGTCGAAAGGAACTAGAAGGGAGAACGTGCAGCAGAAGACACCGAGACAGAAAGCTATCCATGGAATGAGATTGTGGCGCATACCAAGATCCTTACTTGCAGGCTGATCGGGGGTTGCTGTGTCTTCAATAGAGCATGGCACACCCAGATTATTTGGGTCATGTTGTTCATCCGATCTGGAGGATTCTACGGAAGGATCGGCGAGTTTCGAGGATTCCGAGGAATGGTTGACGATTGCTTCCTTTTCTTGAAGGGCAGCCATGCGTTTTGGAGGAAACGGCCCCTCGCAACAAATCAAGCCAACAATCATACAACAGCCAACCACGAGTGTAGACCAGTGGATCGCTGTTTTGAAACCATGGCTATTGATCAAACGAGAGACCATGATAGGGAAAATGAGACCCCCAAAACTGCTCCCGGAGCTTGCTAGACCAACGGCAAGTCCACGCCTTGTGGAGAACCATTGAGTGACACAAATAACCGCAGGAAGAGTTGTACCAGAGCAGGCTAGACCAAAAGCGACCCCTTGGCTGAGAACAATCTGCCAGTAGGTTTTGCAAAGACTGAGTAGACCGAGAGAAACAATCCCCAAAGCAACAAACGGGGCCACTACAGGACGAGTGCCATAGCGGTCTACAAGAGCGCCAATCGGTATGCCGAAACCGAAAATGAGAAATACAGCGATTGTAGCGATCCAGCCTAGCTGAGAAGCTGAGTATTCCGGCAGCATAACCTGTTTGTAGTATAGAGTGAAGACACCGCATCTATCACAGGATCAGATATTCTAGCCACGATAAAGCGTTTAGTTTTTTTTGACGAAGATGGTAGGGGTCTCACGCTGTAACATAGCCGTATGATGAGGTCTGTAGCAGGAATGAACCGAAGACAGTCCGCCAGGCCTCCCAACCCCCATTCGGCGGCTCAAACTCGATCTTGCTAACAGCAGCCATTGGGGATGAATGTATTATTAATTAGTCTTTTCTCAAGAAATCACTGAAAAATGTATGAATGGTACTGAACTAGTATAGGATATTGTATGTTTATAAGAAATGCGTGAGAGCCATTTCCCAAAGAGGTAACTCTCCGAGTCCGCGGACTTAACTGGAGGCTAGACTCATTTCTATTTGTCCTGTAAGCGAATTAAATGGAGGTCACAGTGGCCTCTCAAATTACTTTGTACATTCGCATCCTCGTCTTGCTGATTAGCGTCGGATGTGGGTCTCGCACGAAGGCGGCCGAGCGCGCCCGCGCCCGCTCCACTTCGACGGCGAGCCAGGCATAAGTCATATCCACTAGGTAGTTTAGTGCATTTGCCATGTCGAATAAGGATACGGAGTGATTCCAACTTGTATGCATGTGAATTAATAGAAATAGATGGACATCATATTCAAATATCGGGCGATCTAGTCGGGTTTTCTCGACTGAGCGAGTCTCTACTTTCCGAAAGAAGTTCCTAAAGTTCTGGACTACTCAACTACTTACAAGTATGGAGAGAAAGCCCCTTCACACCACCTTTGCAAATCAAAGGTGTCGTCGACCGGTTTCTTGTGAGCTTTGTCGAGCTAAGAAGCTCCGTTGTGACCGCGGGAAACCTTGTGAGAATTGTCGACAGCGCAGAAAAGCCTGTGTCTATGTTGGACAGGTTGACACAAGGCGTGTGAAAAATGCGCCACATTCTTCTTCTCAGTCAAGCACGTTTGGTATGGAAAAAAAGCCAATAACGCGCCACGATATCTCTGCCAACATCCCCGAGCTGTTTTCGCGCATCGAAGTCCTGGAGGAAGCTGTACTGAGGCACACAGGTAAAAGCAGTTTGGTAGCACGTTGCGGGACCACTTCTTTCAAAACCTTGGCACCTCCAAATCCTGAGGTATGCATGGTCATGTGTCATGAGTGAATTGAGCTAACTGGCTACTATTAGACTCGCATATCAGGCACTGGGTTTGGAAATGCACTCATTTTTATGGAATCCAACCAGCATCCTCGCGACCAGAGCTCAGCATGTCTTGCCTTTGAAATCAGCTGTCTTCCAACCCTTGGTCAAACTCATGTTATATTTGATCATTTTGTCCACAGTACGCATCTTAATTTTGGTGTACTCCATGTCCCATCTACCCGCGCCATATTAGAAGACAGCTATCATCGTCTACAGCTGGGGAAAACTCTCTCTGCAACTACACTTCTGCTCCTGTTCAGTATTATTTCTAGTGCCGCGTTTACATGGACCCCAACCTTGCTGAAAAGGCTTTGCATAACATCTTTTGAGGCCAAGGACTTACATGCTGCATACAGTCGCTTGGCTTTGGGGCTTCTTGATCATGATTTACCACCCTCTACTTCCGCCCTAGCTGGGATAAGTACCCTCACCTACCTTCACACCAATGCAGAAGGTCTCCCTGATAAAGTGCATCAACTGCGTGCGCGGGGACTTTTGATGGCACGCGCGATGCGTATCCATTGCCTCGACACCCCCAAGAGCCGTGACCAGCGCCGGCTAAATGGATACGATGGTATTGAAGTTGAAGTGCAAAGACGAATTTGGTGGCACATGGTCTCCTCTGATTGGTATGAGTGCATTCTAGTCTGTTCTACATACATAAAAAATTAATACGTGGCGCAGGTTGCTCGCATTCTCTGGTGGACCCCAAGAAGGAACCTACATCTTCCAGAAGAGGCACATGGTGGTGCAGTATCCCAGCAATCTGGATGACAATACCATCACTACGACCTTCGACCCTGACAGTGTATCATATGACTTATCATGCTCGGTCCCCACAACTATGTCCGCTTCTATCGCCCGAATTAGATTGGCGGAAATATGTGAAGAAGCAGTTAATCAACTCCCATTCAATGGGCTCGAATCCAGCAACCTGGATTACGATACCGTCCTTGGTTTAGATGCACAGTTTCAAGATTACCTGCGCAATCTTCCATGGTTCTTCCAGCTTCACCCAGGAAGGGCCCATGAGTTTCAATTCGGTTTGCAGGAGCACCCCTATATCTCTTGGCAGCGACTCATCATTCACTTCATGACCCACACCCGCTTATGTTGGTTGCATCGCCGGTTCCATATGGAGAGTTCCTTAAACGGTCGCTATAAATATTCACGGCAAGTGGGCATAAGCTCCGCTCGTATGGTACTCGAGTTACGGCGCCTCATGGACGATGCAGGCCCTCCAGTGAACATCAATCCATGCCGCTTATGGTCGATAATGCAACACGTCTTCCATGCTGCCACTCTTCTAGCCAGTGACTACTCTCTCTATCCAACCAGTTCAGATGCTACTACTCGCCAGGATGAAGTTTTGGCGGCTTGTCGCACACTTGAACAGTCCTCACCAGATGTAGACGGTATCCAGAGGGTAGTTCAAAAGCTCCGTGCTACTCTGCAAGAATGTAAACTCAAAAAAATCCCTTCTACCACCAAAAACCCAATATTATTGGGTTCAACAGCACGCAGACTATCGCGATCGATTTCAAAAGATGCCGATGACCAAATGATGGAATATACGGCAGATCCTAGCTCGGCCCTGAGCAATTGTGAGGGGGTTTCCCCACCACCTCTGGACCTACTCTGGCCTGGGCTTGTTGACGCGGCTCCTGAAATGGACCTGAATCTGTGGACATCCCTTTTAGATGAAATTGACGGGACTCTTGGCGCAGCACCACTTGGGAACCTATGGGGAGGGTTCGAATACAATAATTGAATCCTTTTTTTCAACAACTCTCTCATTATGAACATACATTAGAATACTACTTGATCCTACGTTTGAAGGACCTCAAAACTAGTCGTATACATGTAGACCGACAAAGTCAGCACCATACGTCTGGAAGACATCTCCAGAAACCTCGTTTCCAATGACAACATCATTCGGACCATTCTTCCATCCATCAACCAAAACTCCCAGCCTCGAGCTATCCCACCACCCTTTAGCGGGGCCGAACAACTCGCTATGCCGACCCGTCAACGGCACCTCCAGTCGAACAGCGTCTCCACCATTGACAGAAATTGTTAAGTTCCTAGAACTAGATCCCCAATCCCAGCTGGTCGCAAGGGCAATGTCGTTATTGATATAATCAATTTCCAGATATTTAGCAGCTGTAATATTTCCAGACCCATCTCCGACGGTTGCTGGGATCGTGACCTGCGCAGTGCTATCCGCAGTAATATAGCCGATCTTGGACCCGACAGGAGTACAGAAGCCAGTGTCGCACCCTTCGAGTTTGGTAGATCCGCCCAGTGTAAAAGAAGTGCAGGGATAGTATCTACCCGATGGTGCGGAGATTCGGATTGACTTTATCGACTTTGTCGAACCACTCGACCAAATGATGATTTTGTTCGAAGAGCCTGCGGTGAGGGAGATTCTGGTCGAGATGCTTTGTGCGGAAATTGGCACCGGAAGACTCACCCTCTCCGATGATGATTGGAGAAGGAGTGTTGTATTCGATGTAGCAGTTGCGCTGAATTCGATTGTTATCGTGTGGTTTGGACTAGTTGTATTGGCGTAAACTGAATGGAATGTGGTCCGGTTTCTGAAGGTGAAGTAAGGTCAGTCTCACACTGACCAGAGTCAAAAATACTCTAGAAGCAGCAATTCAATTCAATATATTACTTACCCGTTCACGGTGGCGAATTTCCCGCTTGAGTAAGTCCCAGCCGGGGCTGTATTCTGAAATTCAAGAAGCATCACGCCATGGGGCTCAACCGAGGCAGTGTAAGCTGTCTTAGTATTCGACGACGTCTTCTTCCTCCAGATATTCTTTACAGTAGCAGCAGACTGTAATCCAATATCAGGCAGATTCAGAGTCAACTCTCGAGCTTCACCAGCCCAGTTGATAACGGCCGCGACTGTTCGGTCCCCAGACAAAGGGCCACTCCAGACCTCATATCCCTGATCCGACCAGCGACGTCGAAGACTAGCACTCTGACCCAGGGAGTCCTGATTGAATGCAATGACGTCTTTGTTAGACAGAATCGACAAAGACGCATCGCTAATCGCCGTCCGTTCATCCTTCAATGCGCCACCAATTACCAGTGGGCTTTTCAAAATAGCCCAGAGCGAAAAATGTGTTTGTTCTTCCGGTGTTGTCAGGATCTCATTCCCAACTTCCATCATATCCAGATCCGGCCATTGACCAGGTGCTGCAAATTTTGTCTGCGGGACCGCCTGGTTCAGGGTTCGGAAGATGGCTCGCCAGGCGGGAATTATGTCATTGCCAATACGCCATGTGTGGCCCAATTCCGGCGCCCAAAGAGCTGGGAAGTCGACTCCCCATTCGCAGATTTGAAAAAGGACTTTCTTGCCTTGTGCTGCTAGAGCGTTGGTCATGTTGGCGTATCGCGGGCGTGGAGATGTGCTTGGGGTGTACTCTACGTTTGGATAGCCTGTATCTTCCTGGGAGTAACAATTGTCATCTATGTTTGCGTTAGTAGGTGGGCATAGCGTTGTCTGTGATGGAACTTTGTACATTTAAGGGCATCAATGTTCCAGGACATAAACGTTGCCGCATCTTGTTGCTCGTGAACTAATAAAGGTTAGTATAGACTCAGCATGATAGGATATACAAGGCTCACACAAACTGCCTGCTTGTTCAATGCCCGTGTCACAAGTATTGATACCTGCATCCTCATAGACCCCGAAAAGCAAACCCAGGTCATGAATGTATTCCCCTAAAGCTGGGAACCCGCTGGGGAACAGTGTTTCATTCCATGTCAAAGATCCATTCGAAAGTCGATGTGCAACTGTCCACCCGCAGTCGATTCCAACATACCGATAACCAAGTGCGTCGAGGCCTAAATCAACTAATGCCTTTGCATTTGAGCGAATGATTGCCTCATTCGGCGAACATGAGTAATGGTTGTAGCTACTCCATCTTTCAAAAGATTAGTGGAAGTATCGCTCTAGTTTTAGAGTAACGAACCCCATTGGTGGTGTTGTTGCTACGCCATCATTAAGACGAGGACGTAATGCTGTGGCATTAATGCAAAGCGAGAACGATACCAGCAAGGCTAAAATGTACAACATTGTCGCTTCTTGCATTATATATTTACATGGTAGGAATTCAGATGTATTTATAATGGATTTTTGAAAGTAATACAGTGTAATACGGCACAATTTGAGAGGTGCATGATTGTGAAGTGTTCCGTCAACCGGAGAATTCCCCCATTTGGAATCATGGGGATGCAACACAACTACAGATCGGCGAGCAAACAATATATCATTCGTCCCTATCCCTCAAGACGGAAAAATTAGTCCCGGTCACACTCGCTTCCGTTTGATCTTGCATTAGATCATCCGCTGTCCATTTCAACAGATCGGACTAGCAAGATGTATGGAAGACTCGACTTGATGATTCATACATTAATCAGATTCCAGCAGAAGCTGCTAATGATGTAAATTTATGTGCAATGTTTTTCAAGAAACACCGCTGTCGGTATCCGATCAACTCCAATGCCGATGTCAAGCTCTTACTGTAGGTAGGCACTGGATAAATAGCTCGGTCATTTTGCCTGTTCATAGTAATGGATGAGTTCCCTATTCTCCTCAATATCAGGTGCTGACATGTGCCACATGCTATGGTTTCATTGCGGGGATTTCAATACCGAAGAAAGTATTATTTTGAAAGTCACCGCTCGTTCATTTTTATATTCAGTAGATCGATCCTCCTCGCGTTCTGATTTTGGATTGGCTCGGATTCTCCCGAGCGGGGAGGGATAACCGTGCCAAGCCAACTCCTTGCCCACCCGATTATCTTCTTACCGAAGGACCGCTAGTGACTGGTAGAATATTTAGATACTCAGGTGGCTCTACAATCTCGGATTGTCCCGACTTCTCTTATCACCAACATCTTCCTCCAGACTAATCAATATTGAGCGACATGGTTATCTGATATCTCTTAACCTTGATGAAGAAGATAGCAGCGCAGTATATACATAGCAACATACGAACACTGGTATATGAAAGCTCCAGACATCGCCCCTCGTTCTCGGATATTCTATTTCATTGCCTCCCACAAAACAAAAACCGAGTTGTCTCATTTACGTGGGTGATCTAGAGTTCATTGCAGCCATGGCACTCAAGGCACTCAAGGCAAAGCTGGCAGAATCGACAATTGGCCACTATGTCGAAAGCATCAAATCATGCCCTCGTGAAATTATCGATAGTAGGCGGCTTTTTTTATCGGCCGCCATGTACGCGACGTCGGCACTTCCAATTAGTATGCTCCCGTGCCCATGCAAGGGAGGCTCCCATTAACGAATTTTTGACAGCTTGGGACCAAGGCTCCTCTTCCGTGATCTCATCACTTCCTGGTTTCCAGAATGCCTTCGGAATCACATCAGCCACGCATCCCACCGAAGTCTCGAACTTCATTTCATTTGTCTATATTGGTGCCGGCGTGGGCGCTGCCCTTTCATACTTCCTCAACGATCGTATTGGACGTCTGTGGTCTTTCCGCTGGTACATGGTCATATGGATCATGGGCCAGGTGATAGCTACATTTTCTTCCGGTAATATTCGAGCTTTGTATGCAGCGCGCATAGTGTCGGGTCTCGGAATCGGCGCTCTTACAGTCATCGGCCCCGTCGGTATTGTCGAGATCGCACCAAGTGAAATGCGAGGACTGCTTTCGGCGTGGTTCAGCGTGGTAATGCTCTTGTCGCCGACGTTGTCTGTTTTTGTGGTCATGGGTGTTTATCTTCATATCGCTAGTAGCTATCTGCAATATCAGGTCGTGTTCTTTGTGCCGACTATTATTGTGGCTTTGATCATTCTCGGGAGTTTCTTTTTATCCGAAAGTCCACGGTGGCTATTCCTCGTCAACAGATCCGAGGAAGGCATCGAAGCTCTGGTGGCACTACGCGGGCTGCCTGCTACCCATCCGTGCATTGCTGCCGAAATCGAAGATATCCGAAACCAGATCGAGTAACAACAAAGATTCGAACAGAGTGGCTCGCGGTCAACACTCGTGGAATTGTGCAGGGAGACCTTCCTCGTGCCATCGAACCTACGCCGGGTTCAACAGACATTGATATCCTACGCACTCGCACATCTGTCCGGTGCAAACAGTGTGACTTCATATTTGGTACCAATCCTCGAGATTATGGGACTTGGTGGTGGAACGGACCGTTCGTTGTTCTTGACTGGCATGTATTCGATGGCGAAGTTTTTTTTCTCACAATCATTTCAAGCTTCTTCTTCATTGATCTAATGGGACGTCGCAAGAGTTTGTTTACTGTCGCAACACTCCAGATGGTCTCTCACATCTACATTGCTATTTATATCAAATACAAACAAAGCGTCCTGGTTTCTACAAGCGCGAGCAAGGTGGCCATTGCTGCTATCTTTATCCACGGCTTTGGATATGCTGTCGGTTAGTTATAGGACGGTACAATTACTGATTTTCGGTCAGTGCTGACTTTTCGTTAGGTCTTCTAATTCTCCCATACGTCTTCGGTGCAGAAATTTGGCCTACTCACCTCCGATCCTTTGGTTCAGCTATGTCGCAGTGCTTCCATTGGCTTTTCTTCTTTGCCATCAATAAATCAACTCCGTCCCTCCTCGCCAAGACCGACAATTGGGGCGCATTCCTGTTCTTTGCGGCGTGGTGTCTCATTGCAATCATCTATGCCTACTTTGTCATTCTAGAAACTGCAGGAGAAAGGCTTGAACACTTTGACGAAATCTTTGAGCAGCCGCTGTGGAAGGCATACCGTGGTACAAAGCGACCCCAGGCAATATGCATTGAAGCTTGCGAGTTACCGTGAGAAAACTCCTTCTAACACCGATTTGTTATTTCAAACCACTAAGATGAATACAGTGTTGAACAGCGGAATATACCTGTGAAGGGAAAGAATGAGTCTTTGGAGGGGGTTGTTGAGGTCTAACAGCAGCTGCGAAGTTTTACATAAAATCCGATCTACTCAGGCAGTAAGACACTGATCTCTTCATTGGAAATTTGCTTGCTTGCACTCAGTCACAGCTCTTTTTGTCCCCATGAAGTATAGAGGAAGCTTCATAGTAGCAGCCAGTTCATCGCCTACATTCATTCTTGCTCCCATCCTCGTACAGATGTCGATTTTCTATTTTAATGCATTATATGAAAGGCACAGAAATAGGCGATGCGGTATACTTCGGTCGAATCAGCACAAATCAACTATCTGGGTCTTGATCTAAACTCTGGCACGTGTATATTAACTTGAAAGTAACTAGAAAATAATAAGTGAGTCAGAATAAGCGGCTAAAGAGATTTAAACTTACTCTGATCCTTCGAAGCAAGACTCAAACCCCAACTGGAGTTCAATATCGAACATTCACACGTCAGTTATGGAGAGAGACAAAAGATAATCCCTAGGATTCATGTTCTACGCATGGAAGGATGGCTTGATTGTGATACATAAATGAGATTTGGAGAATCGGAGAAATACATGTGATATGACCTTCGTTTCATCTAGTTAAGATTCTGGAAACCCTTGTAAAAACTCTTGAATGAACCAGTCAGAGCAGGAACCTTGCGGCATGGATAAATTATCAAAACCCAAACTCCAATCTCTGAGGCCAGGCGGAAGAGTATCACATGGAACAGTCCATTGTGATTGTGGAGGGGCTGGTCCAGCGAGCTGACCGTCTCCACAGATCATGTCGATGGTTTTCTCCGAGAGTGTTTCGAAGATATCGCGATAGGATGTAGCCAAATTCCATCGCTCAGCTATAATCACCAAAACTGTTGTGCAGGCCAGACATGTGTTGATTACCACGCCCTGCTTAGTCTGCTGGCGTACTCGTGATGACCGCCAGAGGCAATACAAATATGTCAACCCACCTAAGAACAGAATATGTAGACCCTCCGCCAAGTAAATTGGACGGTTGACTTCTGATATAGCTGCTGATACAGCAGACATATCTCACGAGAACAGCGGGATTAATCTTCGAATGCTCTTTGGAGGTTCTCTTCTTCTTCACTGAATTCTGTGCTGTCAAAGTCGTATTGACCAGATCCTTGTCTTCGTTTACCCAAGATTTCAGTGATGTATAGGCAATTAAGAATCAGGATCGAATGATTGTAGGCGATGTGAAACCATTAGTTTGATGCGAACACCGATAAAGGATGGGTAGCTGTATAGTCTAAGTGTATGGGAGCTGATGCATGCCAATCTTCCAATTCTTGGCGCAGGCCCTCAACAATAGCAAATTCGCTAGTCGTGCTGGGGTGTTGTAAGTTAGGTGAATAGAGCGTAGCGTGGATTTTCGCCCATAGTTTCCTTAACGCGATAACATGAATAGTACCCGTCATGATAGTCGGCAGCTGGTCATCAGTAGCACGGGGTTTTTCCAATAGACTGTCTCGAGTAATCTTCTCGTCTTCGATATCTAGAGGAAGCTAGTAAAGGTCTTAGTAAGAGAAGTGGATCGAAAGAAGTCATTAGACACAGGGGTATATATTATACCTCTGCATCGATTAACTCTTCTGGGATAGCCACTGGCCGGCCAAGGATGAACGCTGCAACACGATCGATGTCGTATGCGACCCAAAAGCACCTTGTAGAAAGTTCCTTTGTCAAGGGATCAATATGTTTGCGATACTTGTCCGCGCTTCTGTGGTACCCTAACTCGATGCAATGGCGAATGGCCATGCCTGATATTTTCCTATTGTCGAAGTTACAGTTTGACCTGGAACAAGGATAGAGGGATGGTAATACCAAAGACTGGGTCCAGTAGGTGATCTGATGGAGTAAACTGCACAGCATAATATGCTTTGGACTGATTCCAAATTATTAAGCGCAAGGACGGCGGGGAGATGATCCAAGGCCATGTTGTAGTACGTCTGATATTATTAGGAACTCAGAATACCCAAGTTGGCAGATAGAACATACCGATGCTGTATAGTCTTGACTTTGACTCATTACGAGGGAGCCCGTCGCATAGGCCTTTATAATAAGCCAATATCGTCAGATCATGTCTGAAATCTACCGCGACTACCGGAGGTTGTCATACCATAAGAACGAAAAATATGGGAATCTCGCCGGCGGTAGAATTGTCTACTGATTCGCTGGCGTTGCGAACTTCCTGTTCCCATTTGCAGAATGTTGGACGGTGCAGGAAAGGGTACTGAGGATGAATGTTATCGAAATACGCCCGCGTTAGATTAACTGACACACTCGGTGGTGGTAGTTGCGGTACTCTATCTGTACGTGGAACACGGGGATCACTCTCATCTAAATCAGCAGTACGTGGTGTTGATAAATTTGGATCGCTTTTGAGGCCCATTGTTGCACTGATGATCCTGGAGAATGAGACGGCCGACGAAGGACCGAAATATTGAGGTTCACCACCTGCGGCATTCAAACACAGCATGGCAACTTCAGAAGAGAGATGGTCTACTTGCCCAGCGTGTTCATTTTGAAGTGTCGATGATGCTTGATGTGTATGGGAAGAACCCGTGTACGCCCTCTCGGGTGAGTCCTGGCCAAAGGTTGAAACTCCAGGCATCTGGGCCGAGGTTGGTGGAACAAAGGGAACAACAGACTCGTTATTCATGGTTCTACTCTGATCATCTCCGTCCAAAGATATGTCCGGACGCGATTCTCGAAGAAAGCTTCCCAGGTAAACCACGCGTGATTCGAGCGACTGCATGTAGTTACGTGGGCGATGTAGCCCCGTAGCAGTGTCTTCCACAAGGCATTCTGAGCCACATCAGATAAAGCCACTAACCCAAATAGACAATCAACGTACCTCGTTGATGCACTAGTAATGTGTCAACACACTTTTCACTCCCTGTATGACGGGTAGTTACCTTCAGCTTCTTGCGCTTACACCCAATACAGGCTAGCATTGTACGCTCCCCTACTTTTGGTCGCTTTAGTGCATGGCGAACGACCTGACACATGGTTTAAGCAGAATTATTTGAGATAGTGTGGTGATTTGATGAGATCGCGGGGGGAGATAAAAAAGGTTGAGATAAGTTGACCAATTGACCAATAACGATTGATCTAACATTTACCCCCTCAACTATCTTTTTTTTCACCATTGAAGTTCGTATAGCTGCAATTACTTCTGAGTATCGCGTCTAACAGAATTCACTATCATTATCCTTATCGTCGCAACTACCGATATCAACATTGAGTTTTCCCCACAATTCCCAAATGATCGACCTCGCGGGTTTTATTAATTAGGAGCTCAGTCGAATCAAATATTCAATCTGTGGCCTGGATAATTTGGAACTGCGAATCGGGGGAAACCGAGCATCGTTGGTGGGGAAATTTCTCCCCTGATAACGGGAGAATCCGACCTCGGGAACCCCAATAACAGCAAAAATGATAGCAAAAATGATACAACATACGATAGACACATTCGCGCACTCGGGACATTATACTTGATAGCCGAAGGGTCTCACGAACATAGAAGGCGAAATTCACTTACAATAACCGGTTTGACCTCACCCTTGACCTCTCACACTTGATCTCACCCAGCTCAAAGCTTCAGAGAAATAGACCAGGCAGTACCGCCGAACAAGCAAAGCCCCACCGTCATTGTGGGAGCTGGAATATTTGGCCTCGGTACTGCACCCCACCTTTGCAAACGCGGCTACACCGATGTGACCGTCCTCGACAAACAACCCTACGATGAGACTTTGTACTCATACTTCAAGGGCGCGGACGCCGCGTCTGCCGACATGAACAAAATTGTTCGATCATCGTACGGATTCCAAAAGGAATATCAAGATTTATCTACTGAGACAATCTCTGAATGGCACAACTGGAACGCCGAGCTCAAAGAAGGTGTTACAGTACCTCCTGGAATGTCCACCAAGGATGCAGTCTTCGTGCACAGTTTCCACGTTTCTCTATCTACATCCGTCGAATTGCCACCATGGAACCTTGCGTGTATCGAAGCAATGGAGAAAGCCGGATACAAAGACACCCAATTGGCTACGACTAACCCTCGCCACCGGGAGATTGTGCAACAGAAAGGACTTTAATCACGTATCGACCCATTCCAAAGAGAAAGACGTGGAAAGCACAACAACGGCTTGTTAGATATCACAGGTGGTATGGCTGTTGCAGATAAGTCCTGTCGGTTTGCACTGCACAAGGCTCGAACCCTAGGAGCAAAATTCATTTTCGGGGAAGAGGCCGGATGTATGAAGGAACTGTGCTACGAAGGTTCGAAGGTGATTGGAGTCAACACTAGAGATGGGAAGACACATTCAGCGGAGATGACTGTTTTAGCCTGCGGTGGCTGGACCCCTGTGTTACTACCAGAGCTTGACGGCCTGTGTGAGGCCACCGCAGGGAGTGTGATACTTTTCAAGATTCCTCGAGAGTCGCCTCTATGGGACCGCCTAGGCCCAAAACAATTCCCGACCTGGATGTGGAATATGCGGAATGGACCCGAAGGTGGTGTTTATGGATTCCCAAGAGACGAAAACGGGTGGTTTAAGGTTGGATACCGAGGCACGAAGTATACAAACCCACTGCGCCAGGGAGATGGCAATGAACGAAGCACACCGGTGACACGCTGGTCACCTGCCAAAAAGGATGGCGATGCCCCCACAGGGGGCAAACTCACATCGTTCCCACAAAAAGCGCATCAAGTCCTCACGGGCTTTTTGAATGAGTACCTTCCAGAGTTATCCGAAGAAGGAATCGATATCGCCCTGACCAGAATTTGCTAGTACACAGATACATTCGATAACCACTATGTTGTTGACCGTGTCCCCCATAAGCAAGGGCTTATGGTTGCAACCGGCGGCAGTGGCCACGCTTTCAAATACCTTCCAAGCGTCGGAAACTGGGTTGTCGATATAATGGAGGGCGTTGATATGGATCGACCGGCAGTGAAGGCATGGCGGTGGAGATTTAGTGGTGAGGAGGAGCCATTCAACTCTATCATGGAAGGCACCGGTGGCTCAAGAGCTCTCCAGAACATACGTCTTCTTGGAAAAGTTAGCTTGCAAAGCAATCCAACTGCTAAGCTATAGTCATATTATGTAAACAATTTAATACTTAACTAACTAGTTACTTTCATACTTGCAAACAATGATGGAGGTACTTACAGAAAGAATTATAAATCGGAGATGCATTCCTTCAAACCATGCCCTCAGATATCGTACGAAATATTTATGGCTAGAGTTGAGAGGGTTGGGGAGAGAAACAGAGGAGAAAGAAAGATAGACAAGGAGGGTTTATGCCTGTTCCTTCCTACAGAGGTACCTAAAGTTCCCTTTGCACTTTCCTTTGTACCTTCCCTATCAGAAATGTCACATGTATACCTTGTCATAGTTCCTTCCATCCATCCCTTTTTGTTAATCATACGTTTCAGATCACCCCAAAGGCACCCCAAAGGTCACTTTGATTTCTCTCACTGGCTTCCGGTATATGACGTGTGAATAGCTAACGATATTATATTGATGTCTAGGTAAAGGTACTGCTAGCTAATCGATGAGCTTTGCTGATATCTGCCGTCACTGAAAGGTTGTACCGCTCTCAGGGAGTTCTTGTCTTGATATCTATGACGGGCGAGTTTGCCTTTCCGGTCGTAAAGAAAGCGCGGATATTTTCAAAGCATTCTCTCTCGGCTTTCTGGAATGCCTTCTCTGTCAGACCACCCAAATGTGGCTGCAAAACGACTTTATCACTCTGTAAAAAGTAGGGATTCGGGCTTGGTTCGTTCACAAACACATCAAGTCCGGCACGCTGTACCTTACCTGACTCAAGTGCCTCAATAAGAGCCTCCTCGTCGATGACTGCTCCTCTAGCCGTGTTAACGAGGAATACACCGTCCTTCATAGCAGAAAATTCGGCTTTGCTGATTAGGTTGGTGGTTGCTGCATTTAGAGGGCAATTCAGGGAGACGACATCTGCTTCACGAAGAAGGTCGTGTAGAGACTGGCAATATGTTGCACCATAGGCAGTTTCTTCAGAGGACGGTAGTTGATTTCGATTGTAATACTTAATCTTCATGTTGAAGGCAGCGGCTTTCTTAGCGAGGTACTGGAGGAAGAAAATCAGCAAGAAAGTCCCGGTTCAATAGACTTCAGACTACTCACCTTTCCAATAGCACCCATACCAACAATACCAAGAGTCAATCCCGACGGATCACAAGTAGGAACCAGGTTCGCGCCCCTCCTCCACATACCGCTCCGTGCACTCTTCTCGGCGTTTGTGGTGTTCCTCAGAACAGCAAGTATCAGAAACACAGTCATGTCTGCTGTAGCTTCAGCGACAGCATTCACAGTGTTGCAAAACACAATTTGTTGACTGGCCATCCAGTCCACGTCGAACTCATTGAATCCCGCACTAGCAGAAGTGATAATCTTGCACCCCGGTGCTAGCGCTTTAAGTAAATCCTCGTCGAATGGTTCGTAGGGCGGCGTACCCATACGAACGATGAATGCGTCTATTGGGCCCTTTTTCTCAATGTCTTTTGGTAGCAAGGTCTGAGTTTCCTCGCGGTTTGTTGCAGACAGGACAGAGTAGTCAAACTCCGTTTCAAATTGAGCAAGGTATTCGCTGCCCACAAATGCAGGCTCCCCGAGGGAAACAACGCGTGGCTTTCTTCCGATGGTCATGATTATTTTACGAACTAGGAAGAAAGCGAAATAAAAAATAAAAGGCTAAGCAAAAGGCTATAACGTTGCAGGACTTCGTGAGCGCAAAATTAATTCAAAGCTATCAGAAAACGTGATTTCCAAGACTGTCGCAAGCTTGACCCCGCATAATGCAATTAATCACTATCGCGTGCCCAAAGGGCATTCGGGTTCTTCCGAGAGCATTTGGAACGGAAAGTCCCGACCGATAAGATTTCTATAATCCGAGGAAGTTTCGTAAAATAATATGTCTATACCCCGGATTAATACTGATATTTGGATTTTGAGATTGCCGATAACTATTTCATGACAGAAATACAGCCAATAGCAACAGAAATCCCAAATCAAAACCGCCTAAAAAATTGTCGCTTGGAACCTGATCGTAAAACACCAATTTTAGCGATCTCCGAAAACATGACTGTCAATGATGACGGGCCTCCCTTAGGATTTATCTCTATTGATGTCACTTTACACAGGCCACCGGGTGATCCTTTCAATGAGGATACCTGGCCATTTCCTCTGATCCGAGAGAAAGTTGATGGCTCATCAGAGTCTCAAGTAGTGTGCTCAGGGCCATATGACGACACCTTTATCAACAAATTTGTTGAAGCCGGTGAGAGGCTTTCGAAGCGAGGAGCCGTGGGTATCATCACAAGTTGTGGTTTCCTAGCAATGACGCAGCCAGAGTATGTTTATCCCGTCGCAAATCGTGTATTCGGTCTTATCCACTAACTGTTCAAGGCTTGCTACTCGTATCTCTATACCTATTGCTACATCTGCATTGATTCAAATTCCCTCAATATTGACCCTGCTTCCTACCACGCGAAGTGTTGGCATCCTAACATTTGATGGCACACGACTCAGCCCTCTTCACCTCGCCAAAATGAATATCCCCGCTTCCAGGTGTCATATACGGGGGGCTCCAGAAGGTGGTCTATTACAAATTCATATCTGCCAAGGTCTTCAATATGTGCATGATGAAATATGTGCGGAACTAGTAACTGTAGCCCGTGAATTGATTGCTGAATATCCTGATATCGCAGCCCTCTGTCTAGAGTGCACGCAAATGGACTGTGCAGAATGAATTGGTGTAAGGGGCGTTCACAAGTCAGAATTGAGGATCAATTGTTGGTCCCCTCTTTTTTAGAGGCTACCGGGATCCCAGAATAATAGGTGTAACATTGATAAGGAGAATAAGTTACCCCGTAGTGTCAGAGGAGTTCACAAGTCGGAATCAAGGATCAACTGTTGATTCCGTTTGTAGCGGCTAATCGTGCCGAGCGCCCAATACTTTTACAGTGTTGGGTGCTCTGCACAATTATTGGGGATCATAGTCTAATTGGCGTAACATTGCCATGTAACACTAATAAGGAGAATGAGGATCTCGCTTTGCTATTAAATACTTCATCCAACAAGAGCATCTAACATCGTTCTTTAAAACGAAGATCCAGCGCGCGTATTCAAAGTGAGCATCCAACACGACAATCCATAACGTTTATCGCAGCGGTGATTGCGGTCGCTCTACTTCACAACTTCCATTCCGCCTCCAACATCACGCGACCTTCCGAGCACCATGGGAAAGTTCACAAGTAACATGAAATACATTACCCTCTACGCCAGCATCCTTGCGCTGGCTTCCGTTGCATTGGCCTCAGGCAAGCAGCCATGCTACAACCACGCCGACCCTGACGTGTATGCTTCTTGTTTTCCTTTGTAGCGTCGTGACTGTGCTGATGACTGCCAGTGGCCTGCCTAACTACTGCGCTTGCAACGACGGTACCTGTTGGGCAATCTCGAGTCATGACTGCAACCCAACCTCGAATGTGCGACTCAATCCATGCCCACTGGGAGATCCCTAACTACGGAGCATGAATCCCGGCGTTCTGCAGCAACGTCCATCCCAAATTTCACACGTGATGAAGATCAAGGAATAGGGTACAGATATGATCATGTAACATATGGGATAGCTGAAGTACCGTAGTTACATAAACTAAGTCGCGTGGAGAACTCCTGTTATAACGTTTTGCTCGGTTTCTACTGCCGTAGTAAGCATTTTGTAGGGGATGACCACAGAGAGAAATCTCTATTGGAGAAAGACTGTGTGGCATTGCTTAGGTACGAAATGGACGGGGGGAGAAAGGAAAAAAAGAGACGGAGTACGCAGATGTATAGCGCTCATGGTTCAATCCCCCTTTCAGGAATATGTTGATGCCTAAATGCGCCATTTTTGAACAGCAGAAAAATGAAAATACCCGTACATATGCCTTAATCAAATTACCCTACCGGGTTCTGCTGGCGTTGCAAGAATATAAAGCTTTTCACGCCATACAAATGCATACATTTCTGGTGTTCTAAGTGGTTTATAAGGTCTTTCTCCCCATATATGACAGTAGAGATTTTCGTCCTATATAAATCCATACGTCCTTATTTTTAGGGTGGTGCAAATGAAGCTTTTTACCAGATGATGTTAGTGTGCTTGGCAGACCCTACCAGCGTACTAGCGTACGGAGTGGAAGGGACGCGCACGGCGCGATTAATAAATATGGTATTCTTTCAAATGAATACACGAAACTAAATACATACATAGGATATGCACAAAAATCCTATGAGCCGCATAAATAGGCACCTAGGAAGTAACAATCGTCTAGGAATAATTGTTCGATTGCCCGTAGTATTACTACCAACCAAAAAAGCAAGTTCGCATGTGCAATTAGCGTCCCTTCTTGGCCGAGCTGGCAGGGTAGTTAACACCCTGACTTCTGCTTTTCCTGAGATTCTTTCGCCTTTTCTCTTTATGAAACTGTTATTATTAATACCATTATTCCATAAATTAATGGTTTCGTAATGGATTAAAATATCGAAGTTCAGTTTTGATTTTTGGAGCCGAAAGATCACTTGCCACACAGTTCATGGCTATCCATTCATGTATTAGTGCTCACCCGGGCACGGCCCTCCCGAGGTCCTCTAAGCGGCTCACTAAGCCATATATAACCCCGGGGCCGACGGGTGCTCATGCCCAGGTGCCCAGGACTGTCCGTTTACTACTACCGGGCCGTCATAGTATCCTTAGTTTCCTTACAGAAAAATTCCAAAGCTCGAGACGACTTAAGAATCAAGGAAATTACCCCAGTACCTACGATGTCCGAACAAAAAATCCTCGACCAACACCCGGGTGTGATACGCTCCGAAGAGCCTCAAGACCATAGAGACGACGGGTTGCCCACGACTCGGACGACGAGCCCATGGTTTACGACACTCCTATAGACTACGCAGGTCTAGCACACCGGGAGCGCGACCAACTTATCGCCGAGGGCGCCGATCCTGATTCCGTCATCCTCCAAAGCGAATTGCACAATCATATCATACGACGAGAAGGCGAGGCCCTTGATGACTATATGAAGCGCTACTCTGAGACTATGATCACCATGATTAGTCGTGGCGTTCATATTCTCAACGATCTGTCTACTGCTGATGTGGTGGCATCCGGGTTCGGAACCGAAGACGGAAGGTTTTTCGATTTGGGCCCAGGATCAGGCGCGACGAAGGGGAGTTTCGTGAATTTAGCCAGTGGTTCTCAGAGATATCGGAAATAGCGCAGAATTATGAGGTACCGGAGAAGTGGTTGAAGTTTAAGGCAGAGACACCAGCGGTGGATTTGAATTATGACAGCGAGAATAGGCCATGATCACATTTCAGGATTACTTTATCATCGAGTGCTGAAGGCAGTCTGGTATGATATATTTATCAAGTGGCCGTGTCAATGCAAACTACTACGCATTTTTAACTCAATTTGCTATCTAAAATGGCCGGCTTGCCCTGTTCTGTCGTCTCTATCAACCCTTCAATAGTCTAAGGGCGATACTTAGTATTTTTGAACTCGGTGCTATGCGTCAAATACCTTACTTCTGCCTAGCAGTTTTTCTCTGCGTACTGTTCATATTCATTCTCATAGAGATATGCTCCCGGTACAAGAGGTTCCTTGACCTGGTGTTCGGTGCCAGCGCTGACCCTGGCATCGGGAGCATCGAGCCTTGTCATTAGTTGTCCCTTAGATCACTGCGAGGATCACCATGTGCCAGCAAAGTACTACTACCTAGTTCTCATAAGTATGAACAAAAGTATCAAGGAAATAGGTCCTGGTGGGCTCGGTAAATCGATTGGTGTGATCCAGAAAGAAGGTATTTGGGGCTGAGCGCATGAAGTTGATCATTGCACGAATATCACTACTGCTTTGTCCTCCCCACCCTTGAGCTTGGACTGACCACATCTTCTCATCATTTATCCACTGCCATCGACACACATTGATATGAAACCTCGAGGGGATATAACTCTTCCCCTCTAGTGTAGTTAGTTAGTTTGTGCCCTCTCCTCTGGTCATATATCATGAGTGGATGGATGAACACAATCTATTAAAGACATATTTCTCATATTGTCTCGTAGCCTACCCAAAGCTTGGCCGTAGTGGCAGATCAGTAGTACCGTTGGCTTTGAGCCAAGAACAGCATTTCCTATTCTATATCCCACATGAAAAATATAATCAGCTGTTCGAGGATCTGGAGATCATTCCTCCTTCCAACATCACCGAGGAATGTAAGACCACCATTCGCCTTGGCATATACGAACTAGAACTTCAATATTTGGCTATCAAAACAGACTGATCGGTTGCCTTGATCCTTCTGCACGTGCTATCATACCCTAACGTAGTACAATTATCAACAAGTCAACCACTTCACCTATAAGATGATACCAACTACGAAGTTGAGTAGTTTGGGTATATGAGGCATGGCTTTTATTGGATAGCTTAGATGATCACTCGGCCGCGGCCCCCATGATGACTGCATCAAATTGGAGGGTAGTATTGTCAAATATCGCATGAAGTTTCTGGCATTGTCTATATAAGACAGCTTCACAGCGCTCCAATTTCCAAAGTATCAATCTCATCAACAACAACTCTCTCTCAACTGCTTTACCGCAATCTTCTACAAGAACAATCTTTCATCATGCAGATCACCAGAATTGCCATTGTCCTCTTCGCCGCAATGGGAGCGGTTGCCAACCCCGTTGCGACCGAGTCGAACGATCTTGATGCCGAAGCTTTCGGAAGTAAATACGGAGGAGTAAGTTCTTCTTATGAGATTTCCATATAGAAATAACACTAACCTTGAACCACGATATAGGAATGTAGCAAGCAACATAACACGTGCAAATATCGGAAGAATGGAAAGACCCACATAATCAAGTGCCCTTCGGCTAATAACTTGAAGGTAAATTTCGATTCAATTCCAGGCCAACTGCTCTGTCCTAATATCTTTTTATCTACAGTGCAAGACGGATCGCCACCATTGTGAATATGATGAGCACCACAAGAAGGTCGACTGCCAGACACCAGTTTGAACCCAATTATACTTTTCCGCAAGGAACAGAATCCTTGGCTGTTTTCGGTATTCTCCAGCTCATCAAAGGCCTGAGATAGTTTGTGTCTCTCAAGAAGGGCTTGGAACACGCAGTGGATTCTGTCTGTATTGGGGTGATATATTCGTACATTCCCAGTGGTTCTTTTTATCGTTCTCGTTGCTACCACACTCGTTAAGTATCTAGCTAGCTATAGTTTATCAACATGTTGCTTATTTACTGCCTATCCTATCGAGTAATAGTACTAGTAGCAGTCGCATTTCTGATGGTTTTCAACGTTGTTGGCCAGCTGTACTTAGCTATGTATCCAATCCAAGTTATACTACTACTACTAGCAGGTACCTTCTCGCAAGTCAAGGGCTTCGCTCGAGTATTATTTCGAACATATCGATGCTGTCGACCGTATGATTATTTGATGCTCCAGAATATACTCAAGTTCAACACAGTGGAGGCATAATTCAAGGCTACGTGGGTATATCTATTGTGGATGTGGAATTTGGATATGAAAGGCATTTAATTTTGTCATTGTTTCATTCTATTTGATAGAACAGATGTGGCTTTGATAAAAGGACAGTGAGGAGCGGAGATAGTGATCTTCAACTTGATGACTCAAAAGGCCGAGAAAGAAAGAGAGAACGGGGGGATGTCTACATGGCGTTTTCGAGTTTTTGTTCGAAGCTTCATCCAAGTCTTTACGACTCTTGCTCCTCATCGCTAAGGGACTTCAGGCACGAAAGATGCTTATCCTGATGCAGGGCATCGCCACCATTCTTGTATGCCCTGAGGACCTCAGAATTCCTTTCTTTGATTGTGTTCACCATGTACTCGATGCCATCAGCGGCAAGCTCCTCCAGGGCCTTCTCATTGGCCCCCTTGGCTTCTTCCTGAATCTCATGGAGTCGCTTCAGCCAGAACATATATCTCCATGGCGAAAATCCAGCAGGTGATCGCTGTCCGAGCTCCGATTCAAGGAACTCCTCGCCACCCTTGCTAATGTCGCTAGGGCAGTCGTTCCAATACGCCTCTGATAGTAGAAGGAGGTTTTGGCTTGCTATTTTTAGCCAAGAAACAGCGGCTGGTAACAGATGAAAGACCTCAAGTTGCTTGATACCTCGGTTAAGATCTTCCTCATCCGATTCTTCCCCAGTGCGAAGTTCTTGACGGCTTTCAAAGAGAGCGCGAAAGATCAGAAGACCGACTTGACACAGCCTATCCTTAGCGACACGAGTGGATGCAAGTTTTGCTAGGAATGTTGCGAAGTTGAGACGGTGTGTTCCCGACATGGAAGCGCTGTTATTGACCCAGAAATAGGTCATATCGCCAGCCAAGAATGGGAGATCATTCCAAAGTGTACCGTCGACGGTTCTTGCGATGTCAATCCCATAGACTCCCGGTGCAGGTCTAGTCAATGGCCCCATTCCTTGAATGCGTAGGATATCGAGGACTATACCCTCATGTTCAGGTGATTCGGAGGAGATGTTTCGGCCAAGCTCGTAGTACATATACCACAGGGAATGAATGTAGCCTTCGAGTGAATCGACACCATCTCCAATATCGCAGTATCGGCTGGTAACAACCCACGTCCGGTTACTAAAGGCCACGTCTCGAACCTCTTTGAATTCACCCCGAGCGATAGACTGACGTGTACTTTCCTGGTCTCTGCGAACATAGTCGCTCGTTGTGATAGAAGGAGTATCTCTAGGCAGAGAGCTCAATAGAGAATCACGGAGGTGGTCCATTTTGAAAAGCTGACTAGAATGATGATCGATAAGTTAACTAGAATGTAGGTGAGAGAAAGGAGACAGTGGAGTATAGGGAAGTAAAAGCGTTAGTATGGTGGAACCCCACGGAGACTTAAATCGTTGCAAGGGTCAACTTGAACGAGGGGACAGACAGATTCCTCTCCAGGGGGGACCCCTACTAGGCAGCAACATAGGTTCTGACATGCTGGCAGCCCCACCAATGTATGAATTTTTGGACTCGTATATGCGCTGCTAGGCTATACCGATTTCTTTGTTGGTTGTCGATCAGCCGGCAGCCAAGACAAGAAGTCCATGTCGATCATGCGGCCATCCAGCAGGTAATACGTAACAGGTCGCAAACCATGCGTTGCCGCGAGTAAGACTGAAAATTTTCAAGGCTGAACTGTACGAAGAGAGAGTGATGAGATGGCTCACGTAGCACTATTTCAATTTTACATTCAATATGACCAATCGGAGGCTTAGTTTGCGAGCCGCTCTGGATCCTCATGTGGGCTAGCGACCACTTAGCTGTCGGCGGGCTCGACATTACTCCCTCATAGTAGTGTAATATATACTCCGTACGGAGAACTCCGTAGAGCGAGTTACATCGGGTACATGAATCCGGCATCATCATCACCATCCTTAATAGTATGCCTATTTACAGATCTTTCGAATTCTCCGGGCCATTGTGCGTTGATGGGAACGTCAACCTTATGGAAGTCATCACCAAAAGAATGGCACACCGATGTAGCAATTGATTAGTGGCAAGCGAAAATTCAAGGGGGATGTGAACCTAACGGTCCAAAAGTGAGTTCAGAAAAGTGCAGTCGCCAAACCTAGTGAAAGACGTTGTGCAACTTCCTACGGAGTAGAGGAATACAGGTTGCTTCCTCAGGGCGTTCATCACGTGCATTTCCTGGTAGTCCGAGTGGCCCTGCAACATGAGTAGTGACTCTGAAATTATTTCGAGAATTTGGGTGAATGGGCGGAAGTATGTATACAATGACTTTCGTAACGAACCAAAAAAAGAAAAACGAAGTACATACAACAGTGAGGATTCGCTGGTGGTCACCCACCCAACTACTAACTCACCGGCGTGTGGCTTAAGTACGGCTGAGCGGACGGGAAGCCCTGTTTTCCACACCCTATGGTCGTATGTGGTTGGATATGCTTTCTGAGAATATATATACAATATTTTAGGAATTATTATCGCAACCATAACATAACCATGCAAAGCACTGAACACAACACTACCTAGTATATGAGAGATCTGTGTTCGCTGTCTTAAGGAAGATCGACCGGAGGTGAGAAGGCTAGGTGCGCCCGCTATAGGCAGGGTGAGAACCAGAGTGAGAACCACCCTTCGCGGCGCGATCATGGCTCTGACCCTATCAGCTCAGCTGCTTTCACCTATAACATTTGGCGCCTAGGCATCCACACATAGCTACTTCTATGCTCAAGTGACGTGAATTATCTCGTGTAATTAGGCGCGTTACACTCGCTTTCTACGTTTAAAGCCGGATTTCCTTCCATCATCAACGATAATATCGTGTGGAATCAAAAGCGCGAACACGATTATAAGCCTACATAACTTAAGATATTCATGCGAGCGATGACTCTCACATCACAATATCTTATCGAAGTTGATTGATGGCTCGGCATTTGCACCAACAAGCATCTACTCTAATCCCTGTCAAGCACTATACACATATATATAGCGAGGTTGCCGGAGTCTATTGAGTCAGACTGCACCGAGTTCATTACTCTGCTAGAAGGTCCAAATGTATGACACCTAGAGCGAGAATACCTAAGGTTTGATTGTTTCTCCTTAAATCCTTATAAAGTCTCCTTATAACTTTGTCATTTGTCAACCATCAGTAATGAGGTCCAGGTCTGTCTCTTTTTAAAACCTACGTAGAGTAAAAGCCTAAAACGACAGTTTTGCAAAAAAAGAAAAAGCCCGATCTCTACCAAAAGCTCAGAACTCTCTTCCCCATCCATACTCCCCCGCGATAAATCACGCGTTGACAGCCGACATCGCCAATCGCCTCGCAACCTCACTAATACCAACCCCCCGCCGAATCTGCGTATCGTCAGGAGAAACCTCTAAGTTTAGGTCAGGGTCGTTCAATGCATCGAAATTCGTCATGTAGAAGAAAATGCCCGCCTGGCTGACAAAGTTCGCTCGATCCAGCACGACCGCGAACATGCGAAAGGGTGTGCGGAGCATTTTCCGCGCAGCGCTGAGCGATTCCTCGGGTAACTGCGGAGATATGTAGTGCGGTGCGGGAAGGTCATCTTCGGATGCGCAGAAGGTGTGCAAGGCGCCGATAGGGAGGTTAGTTTGTTGGTGGCTAAGGGCTTCGGTGTGGGCGGGGCCGATGGCGGACCAGGAATTAGATTCTGGGATGAAAAATTCAAGGTTCAGGATTTTGTTTGCTGGGAGGTGGGAAAGTAGTGCAGCAGTGAATGAGTCGAGCGGTGCTCTCGAGGAGGGATGAACCGACACTATTGCGGAGATAACTGAGGAACGGCGCGTAGACGAGGTAATGCATGTCCGGGTCATTTCCCTCTGAAGTATTCGTAATGGTCACAACATCGGCATTTTGGGACACTTGGAATGAGGGATCAAGTGAGAAACCTCCCGCGGACATTTCCTGATCTAGCTGTTCGTGGAGCTGCTCCTCCGGTGGAGGATTTGGGTCAGGAGGCTCGCCCTCGTCCACATCCAGCGCATACTGAAGCGAAGGGCTACCAGCATTGAGGAAGACATCGCACATGATGATCTGGCCGAGATCAATCTGGCACATGACGCGCTCGGTCGACAATTCTAAAGCTTCCGGTGATAACTCGCCCTCTGAATCAGATGAACGAAGCGCTTCAACAACATGGTTGCGAGTATTGGAAAAGCAGCGGTTGAAGTAAAGTAAGCCAGGGTCATCACCGGCTCCAGCAAGCTCGTCCCGATCCTCAGTATAGCCTATGCGATAGCTGTGAGAGCGCAGCAGAATACAAAAGCCAACTGGCGTATCGTTACTAGGACGGAAGAACTGGGGAATTAAAGGAGGTGGATTGGAAGCTTCCGACCGATGTTGCTGCTTGCGGTGGGCAATCTCACACCGATGATGGTCGACGCAGGCGAATGCATGGGGCGGGTAATAGGAATAAATCTCGAAGAGTGGAACAGTTCCGGGAATATCTCATGTATGAAGCTGTGCATGAGATATTCCCGGAACTGTTGGTGATCCGCATCCAAAGGGACGAGGCTATAGACCTGGATAGGGACCAGATGGCTGGGTTCCGGGCTATAATCGGGCTCGACGAATTGCTCGAGGACCACACAGTGACCTAGATGGTCGGGGTAGTTGCGTACCTGCTGCCAGTCACTTGCAGACATTTCCGCAGACCTTGAGTATGAAGAGTAAAAGGAGGGGGAAGTCGAGGGGTTATACCCGTCTAGCACGAGATCCACAGCGCAGCGGGGAACCTTCCATTTGTTGTCGAAGTCAATACCAAATGTCACGGTTGACTTGAGATAGAGGGCAATTTTGCCATTGGCCGTGACGGAAGCATCAAAGAAGGGCTTACCGATAGTCTTTGCTTCGCAGTTGGGCTCGTCGAGGGCTTGGTCGGGGTGCGCAGCATTCTGCGGGTAGGTCTGCTAGATCTCCCATAAGGCCAGAGTTACGTCGGCTTCGAGGTGACCAGCTACAACAAAGGATGCCTCAGATGAGGCATAGACGGCGAGGTTAGGGCCGACTGTGACGAGGCCAGGAACGCGGAAAGTAGCGCCGGGAAAATCGTCTAGACCAAGCAGCTTGATATCACCGGTTGAGTAAGTCAAGGACACCACAGCGTCGAGTTCAAACTTGGCATTGATCTCTCCAGCGTTTCTGAAATAGAGATATGGCCTTTTCAGGTCCATTCCCTCTTTCAATGTGGCGATGATAGTAAAGCCGAAGGAAGTCTCGATGTCAATCTTAGCCGTGATACTGGATCTAACGTTCGCCTGCACTTGTGCCGGACCGACAGGGCACGGTCCAAATTGTTGGTCTATGAGTAGAAGCTCAAACTTCTCGTTGACATGGTGGTTGAGCTTTTTCGTAGCCTCTGCCTCACCGACAAAGATCAGTTCAGCGAGCCAGTTGAGAACATCCTCTCCAAACCAACGTTTTTGTATTTCGTGACGTTCCAAACCACCATAGTGGTAGCCAGCGCTTGCGATTTTGATGAAAGCCAGTGTCATCTTGCCTTGCTCGTTTTGCGTGTCGCTCAGCATCAGTTCCACCAGGCCGGTCAACCACAGCGTTCCAGTAACCAAGCTGGTTGCTGAAATCAATACGTACCTACACCTCCGCAAAGCCCATAAATGGGCCCGGACCTCGAGCCCAAGGCCCAACCAGTGGAGGTCGAAAAAAGGTCAATATATACTTTGATATCAGATATATATTTTAGATCTGTACGGGAGCACTATCACTTTCTTAGCAAAGATCTATAATTTATAAATTTTCTAAACCGCGTATTTTCTCGCGTTTTTAATCGTAATTGATATATTGAACTATTAGTTTACTATACATCAATTATAGTAATAAAATACTACCCCTAGATAAAGGCGAGAAACGGGGTCTATATATATAGTAATTAAAAAAGTCAGGTTTTTCGGAATATTTGTATTGTTTGGTGCTTTTTGGGCCCTAATAGGCCCCTATTCAAGGCCCAGTGGGCTTTCACCCCGGGCCCAAAACCCAGCCCATTAGTGGGTTGGGGCGGGTTGGGCTTTGGACTTTGTGGGCTTTGCGGAGGTCTTGTAACGTACCATTGGATCGCCGAAGTCGCGAGGGACGCGTTTGAATTCATAATCCAGCGTCAGGTCATACACTGATCTACCCTCGAGGTTGCGCTTGTTGAGATGCCCTAAGATTAAACTATTCTTCTACCAAAAATCCACTTCTCTCAAATTACTCACCTGTCCTTGATTTACTCATTTTCCGTTTTGGGTCAGCAGACTGCCGAGAGTTGATCCGTTCCGCCAACATAGAGCGGTGTGTTCCTCAAGTTCTCAACTCTTCTATATCAGGTGCTCATCCCTCATCACGTCAGACCAGTATTTCATCTCCGATAATGTCAGTGGTGATGGAGAAGCAAAATTCCCTTCCCATAGATAGAGCCGATGCTGAAACATGGAATCGCGACCTGATGGAAGCTTTCCGCCGGGCGCTGGAGAAGGACCCCGCAGTAGACCTTCTATCCGTTGTCGGGAAGAGATATGTCGCTGCACATCGTGCTTGTCAATACGCGGGTCTTTCTGAGGCCGCTCGGCTAAACTTCGAAACCGTTGATTGTCTTCAAGATGGGGCACTTTCCCGGCCCGAAATCAACTTGCGCGACATTTTCCCCACGGACTACGATCGCCTATACAGATGGGCCAAGCCCAAGAAAGAAGAAGAGGCCATATCCCTACAAAATCCTCCACCAGCGCGGCAGCTAAAACAGCCTCTCGACTGGCTTCGCAAAAAAATTGAACCTGTCAACACCGCTAGCATCATCTACCCATTATCTGCCCAGTCGTCAGCGCTCCTCAATCAGCCCCTTACGGCGGTGGACGGTTCCTCTGAGACATCATCCCTTACAGCAGCTTTGAAAGACCTGATCTTGAACTCCGACATAATTTTCGAACTTAGCATTAGACATGGTGCTGTCATTAGGTGCAGTGACGACCTTGTTATCAAGACCTTTCCCAGCAGTCGAGATCTTACCGAATACCACAATCTCCAGTATCTTGCTGAACATACCACCGACCTACCAATCCCTAAGCCCCATGGTCTCATCATGCTTGGCAATATTGGTGTTATGTTCATGTCATATGTTCCAGGGACTGCTTTAGACAAGGTATGGTCACGCTTATCCCATCAAGGGAAATTATCCATACAGAAACAACTGGACGATATATTCTCTCGCCTCAGAGGCCTACGCCAGGATGATGGAACTGAACTTGGGGGCGTACGCGGGGAAGGAGTCAAAGACTACCGAATTATGGAAACCCTAGCGTATAAAGGCATAACCACAGCCAAGGAGTTTGACCAGCTGCAGTTCTCGGCAAAGCATCGCGCTAGTCCTTCCTACGTCAAGTTACTTCGGTCTTTCTTGGATAAGGACAACGAAACTCTGCAGGGGTCCGTATTCACGCATGGCGATTTGAAGAAATCCAATATCATGGTGGAGGAAGATCCGGGAAATGCAGATCTCTTTGTGATTACCGGGATTATTGACTGGGAGGATGGCGGCTTTTACCCTGAGTACTACGAATCCACGACGCTGTCGAATGGACAGAGTATTATGTCTGACGACGATTGGTATCTGTATACCCCACACTGTATCTCGCCCTTACGGTTCCCTGTACGCTGGCTAGCTGACCGACTTTGGGGTAATCTTTTATGGAGCTGGAGGACTGATATAGTACGATAAAATTCCGAAATGCCTATCTCAATTGATCACAATACAACCTTGCAAGCCCTCTCCCCTTTCCACTTCTCTCCAGCTTCCAGTAACAATAACTGTTCCCACTCAGACTTTACGCCCATGACTCGCGTTTCGCAGCGACCGCCTGCCTGTTTATGATATAATCACCGTCCGTTGTATCAATAATCAATGCACGCTCAAGCCTTTTCAAGACATCGAGGACATAATCCTGGCAACTCCAATCTGCCAACTCATTCTTGATAGGGGTCGCGTATGCGATATTTTTGATAACCTCGATTTTGCTGGCATCAATCTGACAAAGGTACAGAAGCTCGATAAGGGCACTCGAACTGCGTGCGTCCGACGGTGTCCTTACATCAGGGAAATACTTCTGACGTGCACCGAGGACGTGAATGATCGTCTTGTCATCATAGTTGTCTGCTTCGAGGTAGAGGCTCCAGTGCATAATGCCAGGGTTGTCGTAGATGGCTACCGAAAGGGGAATAGTGGATGCCATATTATCTCGATTCCGAAGACATGTTCAGGGATGCGGAAAGCGAATATAAGCAAACTCAGAAGGTAATTATGGTAGGAGTATCTTCTTCTTTATGATAAATGAAGAAACGGCTCTAACAGAAAGGGTTTCTTTGGTCTAGGTTGGGATATCTCGCGGGTTAAAGTGAAAAAGAAGATCGAGGCAGCAGAGGCCGGATTTATACTTGGACTGCACGGATGGCTCCTTCCCATCACCAGCTCGGAGTAACTCCAAGCTGCGGGCTTTGGCACCCTCGAAAGTCGATAACCACTCAAAGTACCATACATATTGAGCGAAACGCTTCCCAGGTTGACGGGTGTATGATCCTTGTTTCTGAAACCCCAACAGGGAGACAAGCCAGCATATTGGTAAACAGTGAGTACCTAGGTGTGCTATAAATAATTGATAGTCTGAACCTGCTGGTGAATTCCAAATATAACTGTTTCGCCAAACGCCCTTGGTGGCCTAAGCTCATGATCGCAATTTCGAGATATGTAGCCGCCACCATGGAAGAGAGTTATGGCGTACTACGGGCGACTAAGTATACAGTGGGACCTCCGAAATATGGGGCCAGGCATTCAGGCCTCAAGAAACCTGCCTCTCGGCTAAAGTTCGGTAGATTTTGATTGGAGCGCCTTGGGCCGCCTTGGGCTGCCTTGGTCCACCTGAAACACTCAGCCTCTCTTGGCATCTGTTGACTCGGTTGTTTGATTGCATTTCTATTCTAGTATACTCCGTACTCCGTACTGCAATTGAGCTCAAATAAGCAATAATTATGAGAGAGATATACAGTAACTACAATGAAGATATAGGGGTAACTGGAAATCTCTGTATTGCGCGTGAAGAGAGAAAAGAAGAGAAGAAACTATCTATATACTAAGATTAAAGTACTGGGAGATCACATGACCTATCAACAAATTAGAATGGCCACTACTGTCCTTGTTGGCTCTAAAATTATCTCCCGAATTTGATATCTCGTTGTTTGCGGAACTTATACAGAGCTGACATGAATATAATTGGCAGGGCAACAACTACGGGACGCTGATGGGTTTCGCTTCTTGGTACTAGAATGGGCTAAGTCAATTTACCTAGCTACGCTAAAAAAAAAGCTAAATCTGATATGATGAGATTAGACACTCCAACTTCATTCATTCCTAACATCAAGTTGTACGTGTGTCTCAAGATGACTGGAAAATCAAACAAACCAGAGTCCACTGAAAACATCATTGTTGCAGCCGATCATGGCCGACTCGATGTTGTCACAGCGCTCTTAGAAAACGGGGCAGATCCGAATATCGTAGATGAGGTCGGAACTTCGGCTCTTCATAATGCAGCAAAGCAGGGCCATTGGCAAATTGCCCGCCTTCTTCTCGAAAAGAATGCGTCACCTCGGATCGAGGATGGCAATCGCGCAACTCCACTCCGCCTTGCTGTAAGAGCGAGTAACAAAGAGATTGTTCGCTTGCTGCTTGAGTGTGATCCTCCTACAAGCGAGAGGAAACAAACCGAAATTTATTGGCACCTTCACATTGCCGCAGGCTTTGGATTTACAGAAATAGTCCAACTCTTTCTGGATTGCGACACCCCCACCCTACGTGGCAGTGGGGAAGAAACAGCGCTGCACTTGGCGGCTGCAAAGGGGCATCATGACGTCTGCGACCTTCTCCTAAAGCACGACAAGTCCTTGACTCGATCACTATGGACCCGAATGACCGGACCCAGTTTGGAAGTTGACTCAAAAGATCACGCGGGAAACACGCCTTTCGCGTACGCAGTGGAAAAGGGTCATAATCAGACAGTGGATGTCTTTTTACGCAGTTATCCAGAATTGAGTAAGACTGCCGATCGCCACAAAGAGCTGCATTTCCACAAAGCTATCAGGTTAGGACGGATTGAGATGATTCAGATATTCTTGAGTCATGGCACGGATATTGAGATGAAAGATCAGCACGGATGTCGGGCCCTTCATGTGGCAGTCACCTCAGAGAATAGGCAGTACGTCACTGCTGCTACTGAGATACTCCAGCTTCTACTTGCGCATGGTGCTGCAGCCGATGCAAAGGACAAGTATGGCGATACCCCAGAGTTCTATTCCAATAATCCAAAGACCAGAATGATATTGCGTAACCATGCAGCTACGCGCCCAAAGGTCGATTCACCACTGGTACCTTCGGCTCCGCCACCTGAGTACAAGGCATGAATCCTAAAACCAAGGAGGAAAATCATGTTTTGGAATGGCCATACCAACAATCAATTGTACAATGGGTGTCCTGCTTGACAAAGTGGCCAAATATCTACTGAAGCAGTATGGAGTATAGTCTGCGGAATTCTATTTATCGATATAAATTAGCGACTTTGTAGCTATCCTATGGATAGGAAGTCAGACCTGGAAGGACACCGCAATGCAAAAAGTAGGTTGCAGTACCCAGGTGACACCGCGGGGCAAGTCAATGGGTTTGCGGTAGGATTTATGATATAGATGGTAGATCAGAAGAAGTTGTTTTCTGTGTATGTCTATGGAGAGGAGAGGAACCGGAATGTGATGGTGAATATCAGGATCAGGGGAGCACCCCTGTGTGTAACCGATTACTTTTCGTGGCCCGAACGAATACCTTGCGTAGAACACACCTAGGTTTTCCAGCGTAATAACACATTTCCATAGGCCTCCAGCTGCACAATAGCAACAAAGAAAAGCATTGCATTTCCCGTGTCAACTTAAGCATGAGGCACCTCGGCCAACGCCACCACCCCAGGGTGATTGAAATGTAACTCCCGATGATCTTTCCAATAACCAGGCGGATGAAATGTCTCATAGACTATGTATGAAAAGCTGCAGCCATCATGCTAGGGTACCTGAGGATGGTAGAACCGAAAATTCCAACAAAGAAGGAAAGGCAGGCCGATCAAACTGGATATTTGGAGCCATTGCTATGGTGGATATTAAAAAGACGAGCTTTTCAATGAAGTACGTGGAATTGTGCCCAGAGGACTCGGCAAACGGACCTAAAAGGAGACCGACCAAAACATTTACCAACAAGACACTCTTTATATAACAAAAGTAAACATGAGGGTCAAGTGGCATATATCATGGATTGATCTATATATGTCTTGATAGGGTAACCTCCCGAGGTCGGGAATAATAAATGGAGATCCACAGTGACGTCAGTGGATTTTTCCCTGTTAATTTCCTTTCCAGGCTTTTTCAAGGACTCTTTTGAACTCTCGACATTTTTAAATAGATCGTCATAGGATTTAGTTTCCTAGAAGTTTCTCCTATAATATGCACAAGAGTCACTTCAAGTTTTCGCTGGGTTCTTTGTGAGCATTTTACTTAAAATTGTCCTACCGTTTTTCAACGTACATACTTGGATACCATGAAGCCCATTTTGGCACACGCGCTCATACAGGCCTCTCTTCTCTCTATTGCCTCCGCTTTTCCAGCTCCAACAGCTTTCGCCAACAATGTCGCCCCGCCCGACCCCATCATTACGCCTTCCCCGGTCGAGCGTAATCCTTCTCCCGTTGTTGCCCGAAACATACTGAGCGACGTTGAATCTGGTGCCGACAACGTCCTTTCGGACCTTGGATCTGATCTACCTTCGTGGGCCGCATCTGGCGTGCCCGACTTCTTCCAGGGTTTCCCGACTGGAGACTCAGTTGTGAGCTCACTCGGACTGGACAGCAGTGAATTGGCAGCACTGCCAACCAATGTGTTGAACATTGACCCTTATGCCAACTGGACCAAGTCAGGCTGGAATGTTCGCTTCCACGGGAATGTTTATAAACAGCCAAACACCTCTATCTCAAAGTTGAACGATTTGGCCGATATCTTCCTCGTCAACACTAGTATCTCGGACCTTCCCAAATCCCAGCAGGCCCAGGCACGTAACCTGACTGCCGAAATATTTGTTGTGCAGCAGCCAGAAGTTGCCGTAAACAAGATTCACATCAAGCCCGCAGCTAGTCAGGGGTCCAGCGGACAGCCAGGCGGCGGTGGATCATCCAAGACAACAGGTGGTAAACAAGTCATCACTCTGCCTTACAACACGACAGTTGAGGGTGACTTCGACACATTTGTGCCAATTGACAGCAATGGCCTTACTGCAGGTAATGAAACTTCAGCGATCCAGAGACTGGACACTCATGTTGAGGGCGCAAGCATTGGAAATTCTACCGCCTACCTTGTTCCTCCCAAGGGACTCACTATCATTTCTGACATTGATGATATTCTGCGTGTCACCAAGATCTATCAACCAAAGCAAGGATTGCTCAATTCTTTCGCCCGTCCATTCACAGCTTGGGAGAACATGCCGGAAATTTACCGCAACTGGTCCATCAGCCTCCCCGATACTCATTTCCACTACCTAGTAAGTCTCCTCTAGCTCTACCTTTCTTATTCAAAATATTAAGAGCTATTCCAGACCACCACCCCAGAGCAAATTACCAGAAACTACATGGAGTTCATCTACGACAACTACCCGGGCGGTTCCTTCGACACCCGTCCTCTCAACTTCAGCGACGTCTCCGCTACCCTGTCGATCCGCAAGTTCCTATTGCAAAAGATCTTCGAAACCTTTCCCGAGCGCAAGTTTGTCCTGGTTGCAGACACCAGCAACAGCGATGTTATGCGCGACTACCCGAAACTGGCCACCGACTTCCCCACACAAGTCCAGTGCATCTTGCTCCGCAACACCTCGGCAACAGACCCGGGCGACAAGTTCCCATACGACACGTCCGGATTCAAGGGCCTCAAGCAATCGAAGTACATGTTCTTCCTGAACTCGGATGACCTGACCAAATTGGATATTGCCAATGGACAGTGCTATAATCAGTCGATCCCTCAGAATCTGACGTTCGGCTACCAGGGACTGCCAGCTGGACTGGGCAATAAACCAAGTGCAGTGAACGGGTCCGCAAACCATACCGGAGCTGCTAACGGATTGTTGACGAAAGAATCAGCTGGCGTGCAGGGCTTCATGGCATTGGTCGCAGCCATGGCTACAGCCACCTTTATGTTTTTATAGAATTATGTAGATACGATTAATAATACGAATTGAGAGGACCATGAAGTTTCTCTTAAATTAGATGTATGCTATATATCCCTTCAATGCTACATCTATCACATACGACCATAGGGAGTGGAAAACAGGGCAATCCCAGCACTCGTCAATTCAACTATTTTCGGCCAACAGGTATTTATTTCTGTCTACTATCTAATGAGAGAAGGACGCACTTTGCAGATAAAATCACAGCTAAGAGCAAGGGTTTGGAGGCCTTATCGCAAGGAAGTGCGGAACAATGCACGAGAAGATAAACAATGTAAAGAGCTGATAAACGAGCACAGATACTTTATATTTCTCTTTAAGCTCCTACTATACATAAAAGGTCATCAACAAAAGCTTAGTTCAACGTGATTATCAGTTGCTATCTAGCACAATCACCTCCGCCTCTACTTCCCCGACACTCTCCACGCGGAGCGCATCCCCAGCATTTACCATTGTAATAAAAGCCCCATCGCCCTCCTCAAGAACGGCGTCCTCCCTACCATCGATCATAACCTTGGACTTGCCCTGTTTGGTCATAGGCAAGTGAATATATACATTTCGCTTCTTCCTGGACTCGACAGCTTCTCCGGCGCCAATAGTCCACTTAAATGTCGAGGCTGGCTCAATAATTCCAGCCCCCATGACGAAATCAGCATGAATGGGGATAGTACCGGAAATTTTGGGCACGGCAGCATCTTCCTGTGCTGGGGTAGCTTCGGGTCCCGCAGCAAGCGGGGATAAGATAGGAACAAATGCTTTGCGCTTTGCTTCCTCGCTAAATGCCATAGTGTGGTACTGTGGCTTGAGGCCATGCTTCCAGGGAAGTGCCCAGATTTGAAGGAAGTGAACCGACTTGTTGGATTCGTTCTGCTCCGAGTGTGCGATTCCTGTCTCGCGTCAGCTTTAATTGACTCCAGATAGGGTAGATTGGAGGTTCGAGAGACTTACCCGTTCCGCCTGTGGTGAATTGTACATCTCCCCGCTTCATTCGGTAAAATTGTTTTCCTTGCTCTCCTTCGGAGCCCTTCTTAACCATGCTATCCCGGTGCGTGAGCTCACCATTTAGGATATAGCTGAAGATTTCCGCATCGCGATGCGGATGCGTTGGGAATCCATTGCGCGCTGCAACACGGTCCTCATTTAGAACACGCAGACTTCCAAAATTCTGGAATCGGTGATCGTAATAGCCGGCGAAGCTGAAAGTATGGAAAGATTTCAGCCAGCCGCCATGTTCAGCGTATCCACGGTCACTGGATCGGCGGAGAGCAATCTTGGCGTGGGCAAGTGGGTTCGACATTGTTTTGGTTTTAGATTGGTCAAATAGCACAATTAGAATGTGTTTGAGGTTATTCTTTTTTATGATTAGAAAAAAAAAAACAGACGTGGGTCTGAGGGTTTATATAGCTTGAGATCAAGTCGTCTAGACGGCTCAAGAACCTTGGAAATCCATCTCATCGGGATTATGGAATCATTATCCATCATCAATAAAAGTGGAACTAGTCCCAAATCGGTATAGGGCCGGATGTAATCACTGACATTTAGTTGGGAATTTCTGATTCATCCTGCTATAGGAATCCTCCCAATACAAATTACTAGAAATTAAGGTTAATAAAAGACGGAGTTGACATCTATTTCGATTGGCTGAGAAGAACCAAAATTCGATAAATTATCAATGGCTGTTACGAGGCCCCGTTGGAGCTGGGTTTACAGCTGACTAAGGACAAAACATTAACAACCTTGACAAGCATACAGACCTCTATGAATGCGTCTTGATGTCATCGCTGTCTGCTCAAAGTATAAAGGTATATGACTAGTCGTGGTACCTAGCTCTGGTCATAAATGTATGGAAGCTAAGTGGAGAAAGGTTCTGGTATATGCCAATTTGAAGCTCTTTCAGTAAGTATTATTTATTCACCGTCCGCATTTGAACTGGCCGTCCTTGGCGAATCTCGCAAGTATTTGGACCTTCAGCAGCCTTGCTCTGGAAGGGATGAAAGCTGCTTCCGATTTATGGAGTGTGCCATATTTCAGTTATTCAGATGATAGCCGGCTAGAGGAGGCGGGGATGAAAGGAATTATTTGGAGGCCTTTATAAAAATGATTTTGCACCGACTATGTGAAGTTTAGTACTGTGATAAGATCGCTCTTCCTCATTGCGATTTATCATATTAAACCCTTTAGCTATGGCATGTATGGTCTCGTAGTTATAATGACTATTTCCGGGGGTAGTTCAAATTGCGGGGTTCTTGGTAGCGTTCCGCAAATCCCATACATGGTCCCGAACCCCGGGCCCAAAGCCCAACCCACAGCCCATTCGTGGGGGCCCATAAGGCCCGGGTTCAACTTCTGAATTCTCGGCATATTTGTACTGTTTGAGGCCTATTTGGGGCCCATTAACCCGCAGTGGGCTTCTACCTTAGGCCTATAGCCGATCGGTGGGCCCGAGGCCGGGCCCAAAACCCAGCCCATTTGCGGGTTGGGTCCGGGTTGGGCTTTGGGTTTTGTGGGCTCTGCGGAAGTCTAGCTGTGTGTATATACTTAGCAACCAGTGTCTGTGGTAGGCTGTCACGTCCAATGGTTTTATACCATCCTTCAGTTGAAAGAAGGTCAGTACGGTGGTCGCGCGATGGAGGGTGAGAATCGCCAGGAATCGCCAGCTTCTCACCCTATATATTGCGCACTCACCTTTCTCACTCCGGTGGTGCGACACTAAAGCGGTGCTTACGTTGCATGTAGGATATTTCGGAAAATATAAACACTTTTAACTAGCAACCTAGCACATACGACCATAGGGTGTGGAAAACAGGGCTTCCCGTCCGCTCAGCCGTACTTAAGCCACACGCCGGTGAGTTAGTAGTTGGGTGGGTGACCACCAGCGAATCCTCACTGTTGTATGTTTTTGTTTTGTTCACTCTTTGTTTTAACTCATTCTACTCCGTACTCCCTAGGATGTATTCAATAAAAGCTAACGTTTGGTCCCTATGTCCTTGGCTTTCTGGGAGGCGGAGGAGTCTGTCCTACGCATAGGACGACTTGATTGGCTTGGCTTTATGCATGGGTGCCCAAAGGCTTAAACGAGTCAATAGTAAGTCTGATAAATATGTGAGATCTAGGAACCTATGGTAGAATTTTCTCCGATAACAACCAATAGACGAGCGAATTTAGTTTCTTCAGTCATTAAATCTTGAGATGGAGTAAATATATACATATTCACCGATGAGAAAACTCAATGACCCGACTGCTTACTCTGAATACGCAGAACATGAAAATCCCATCTTACTTCCGGAGGAATAAGAATAAGCAAAAAGTGAAGAACCGGAGCTCAGCAGATGACCATGGCTCAATAGGTCCTAAGGAGATTTTACAGAAAGCGCCGAAAATAGGAAGAGCGGAAATTTCAGAAGACAACAATACTACCAAAAGCGAATTTGTGCTATCAAGTGCGACGATTCCGACGGAATCTCCAAAATCAGAGGTCGCGGACTCGGAGCATTATTGGCGATCCCCGCTGCAGGCTGGTAATGAGACGTCACACGTTCTATGGAATCGTGCATACGAGAATTTAAAGTGTTCGGAGACCACTGCAGAGCTTGTCGATGTGTACGAAAAGATTCTTACGGCTTCACTTCAACATGGGACATCGAGCAACTCCGGTACAGCGGTCTCTGGCGGTCAACCTGACCTGGCACTGGAAATCACTCTGACAAACAATGCTCCTAATATCTTTGCCTGCGATGAGAGCCAGCGTATGGTCCACATGAGAAGAGTGACTCAGCTGGCTCTGACTAGAGCCGAGAGAAATGCCAATGTAAATCTTGCGGTCTCCGAGGCCCTTCGAGTCATCACAGCTATCCAGGGTGTCGTTGGTACGATGCTATCTGCCTATTCCCCGGCGTCTCTGGCGTGGTCAGGAATTTGCGTCATTTTGCCAGTGATTGCCAGTCCATCTGTTCAAAGCATGGCATTAAAAGATGGTCTACATTTTGTCACTGAGAAGCTAGGGTGGTATCTTGCGATATCGGAGTGTTCTTTCAAGGAAATTTTGCCTGCATCTCCTGCTGAGTTGTTACATCTTCAAAATTTGACAGAATCCAAGATCCTTGACCTTATTCAGTCATTCTTGGAATTTGAAATGAAGAGTGTGTGTTTTCATTTCGGAAACCATGCCCTCGTAAGAGCTCTGAAGGCGATTCTAGCCATCGACGATTGGAAAGCACGGATAGGGTACCTCAAGGGGCTCGAATCTGAGATAAAAGACTGCATGTCTCAATTTTACGATGCATCCAACACCTTACGCCTGGTCAAGATGAGCGAAAACACCTCCCAGATATCGATGATCCTCCGAGAACTAGATCTCATGAGGCAGCTCCAACTCGACGGAAATCGGAGACTGACTGAGTCCCAAAGACTGGAGCTCGTGTCCAAATTCAGCACCAAAACCACATGTCCGTATGTGGAGAGAATGAAATCCGTCCCAAAACGAGTTGAAGGGACTTGTAACTGGTTTCGGGCTCACGACAGATATAACGCTTGGATCAAGTCTGCGTATGGTGGACTTTTGCTTCTTTCAGCAGATCCTGGCTGTGGAAAGTCTGTTCTTTCCAGATTTCTAATTGAGGATGTAATCCCAGAAAGAAGGCCCGATGATATACTATGCTACTTCTTTTTCAAGGACAGTCCAGACCAAAACAATATCTGTGCGGCTCTCAGCGCGCTCATACACCAGATATTATCACGGTACCCCGAATTTTCAGACCTTGTTCAGACAGAAATATCTTCAAATGGAACCGCATTGACGTCCAAAGAATCGACACTCTGGAACATTTTCAAGAGAATCATTGATCGCAAAACCCTGAGGATGAATGTCACATTTGTCCTGGATGCACTGGATGAGTGTCAAAGATCCGATCGGATAACGCTGGTGGACCGTATCAAGGATTTGATTGACGACAACAGCAATGTGGCACAGAATCGGACTGAGCCCACAACTCGAAAGATAAGATTCCTCATTACCACACGTGGGTACCCGGATATAATTGCTCTTTTCAACAATTTCTCTCAAGGCTTGATACACTTGGCTGGAGAAAACAAGAAAGAAGTCGATGAGATCCAGGCTGAGATATCCATGGTTGTTGACTTCAGGTTGAACCAGCTGGCCATGGGTAAGAATCTCCGTGAGGATCGCAAGAAGATGCTCCGGAAGCGATTGATCGAAAAGGGAGGGGAGCAAAGAACTTATCTCTGGGTTCGACTTGTATTCGAAGTTCTGGAAGCCAATCTCAGAGATCAGCAATTTGTTTGGAACCGTCTTGTTAATACGGTTCCACAGAGTGCTCATTCTGCCTATGAAAAGCTCCTTGCCAGAGTTAGGCAAGACGAAAGGGACCGCGTGGAAATGTTGTTCAAAATGATGATTGTTGCGCTCCGGCCCCTTTCAGTGCAGACTGCAGCTCTTTTATTGGATGTCAGAGACTTTGTAGACAATGAGAACGAATTTCTCAACTCTTATGGGATTGAATCTGGGGAGAAAATTGACCTGGAGTCAACAGAGAGTTTTAAAGCATGGATTATTGGCACATGCGGCATATTCGTGACTATCTATGATGAAAACCTCTTTTTCCTCCATCAAACTGCCAAAGAGTTCCTCTTGGCTCCCGGTGACGTGGCAAGACGGGACTCTCATGAGTTTCGGCATAGCATTACCGAGCGAGAGGCTCATAAGGTCATGGCGGAGAATTGTCTGCTTCTTTGGAAGTATGGAAGATTTGCTGGCAATGAGGAGTCCCATCGCTACTGCCTAACATACACGGCCCACCACTTCTGTGAAGCCCAAAGCTTTACGGGAAACGGCGATTGTGCAGTCCAAGATATTGACGATCGCTTCTGGGATATTTATGCTAACAGTTGGAACGATCTGGAATTTATTCGAAATCAATCTGTTAGCTCTTTCTTACGACAACATGACCGATATGTGCTTGATTCAGACGACACGGAGCAGATAAAACTAGCCTGTATGGCAACATTTGGTCACTACCGGCTGCTTGATCAAACGCTTCAAAATTCCAGAGTGAGTGGACGCATATTGGATCCTCTAGATACTCCTTGGATGCTCCCGGATACAGTTGCAGCGACTCATTGCGCTAATCTGCTCCTGAACTATCTTCCCCAACGGCCTCCGCTACTCTTCACACAGTATGACACTTAGATCAGAGGCCAGTCGTATACATAGTCGGTCCGCCACCTACATGACACTTCTTCTGACAATTCACGACTTTCTATTTAACTATCAACCACTCCACCCACTATGGCTAAAAACAATTTAGAATATATATATGCTTTGACTAAGAAGATATAGACTAAATATTCAAGTTAAAAAAGTACGATATCGTAAGAACGTGTGAATTCGCGGTTCCTAACCGTCGATTCCGACGACGATGGAAATATAGAAAATATAAATTTAGTACTACTCCTACAATTTTTATGAAGCCATGTAGTAACCTAACATATATAATAGCCTTATCTATTTGAATGTGAAATTGGAAAATTTAGAAAAGGTTTTAGGGAGCCCTCTTATAGTATTGGGATTGGAAATTTCAACATACTACACACATAGCATAAGATATATATAACTTTGAAGACATCCCTGAAATTTGGCCTTGAGATTTTCCAAAAGCACCAGCATAGCATTAGAATATCAGGGCTATACTTAAGATGAAAGGTCCTATTGTAAGATTGTTGAGAAAAAGAAGCATTTACACATTGAAGTGGGGTGCGCTGTCATAGACGCGGGTAATGCCTGTCTGCGAACCAGACAAAACCAGGGCAGGTTCTTGAAGAGCGGAAGATAGGAGAAGAAAACCCAGGGGTAATTTGTAGGAGAAAGGATTGGTTATTCTTCTAATCTCTTGGTTCTGGCCCTTGAATACACGTATTTTGCTTAGTCAGTTTACACCGCCATTTCTCACGTCTCCCTCTACAACATGTACCTTTTGTATGGTCTGCCTAGTAAAAGGTACAGTGTCACATGGTGGTGTTCCATATGGGTGGCGGACCCTCGCTTGCGAGGGTCTGTAATTTTTGCAAAAAATGCAAGGGCCGGTTAGTATGTTATATAAACATCGCTCATCTGCTAGGAGTTCTTCTTCCATGCTGATTCGGGTAGCCATGTTGATCGAGCGAGCTACAAACTTTTGAGAAAAAGCTTTGGTGAGTCTGTTCAGAGGTGTGTGATAGAAAGTCTACTCCGTACGGAGCTCCGAAAATGTAATCCCATGTGCACGGGCAAGCTCGGGAGGACTCCGAGCTCTTGTTCACATGGCACATTCGATCCAATTGCACAGAGTTGATGATTCCATTTATGTTAAAGAACGAAATGTAGTAGGAGAGAATACTGATTGAGGTTTGAATGGCTTAACTCAACTCTGTAGTCTGGTCTATTATTTTTAATTTTCATTATGGCCCATCCACAGGGAAAAACTAGTGGCAACGTATTTGGGATACTGAGTTTTCGCTGGGTCTAAGACCATGTGGCGTATTAGCACAGACCGTTCGTTATACGAGAGCAACTGGCAGTTGTTGGGATTTTCCCCGCAGTATCCGGATTCTTCTGATCCCAGTCTGGGGAAGAGACGAATCAAAGCGCCTGGCAAATGCAACGAAAAATTTCTCCATGTTGATATAAGTGGGACTTCAACCGGAGTAATGTAAAGAGTGAAACTATCGTGTCAGCACTATGACCAAAACAGAAATAATATGAGAAGAAATGAAGGAATCCCCGAGAGCATCCAAGCCCGAGCTATCATTTTTGCGGAACTCACTACCACTGCCGACGCACCCGTCGGGCTCTCGGACCCCTGAGACTCTAAGTCCGAACCAGCAACACGTGGCTTTCAGATGCCTTTTGTGGGGTAGGTGTGAATTGTTAGGAACTATGTATATTGTATGTGTCTGCTAGGTTAATAGATAAATGGGCCCAAATGTCTAGTTGACGAACTAAAGGACTACGTGCACCTGTGCCTATAGGCAATGATTCGAAAGGATAAGGTTAGAACTAATGTAGGAACCCCTTTGCATTTAATAATTGGCTCTCTTGTGGCCACTGACGAAGCGGACGAAGAGACAAAAGAATTGTTATTCAATCTAGGAAAAAGCAGGATATTTATATCCCGATGTCTTCCAAACAATCATGGTGCAACGTTCAACGGACCTTGCTATGATGCCTAAATAATGTCGGATAGAAGGATACAATAACTTAAGATCAAATGCTCGCGTGAGCTATGCTCGGAATGCCTACTGTTAGAATTGCTCATAAACCGATATACTCCCGTCGCAAAGGTGAGTTCCGAAAGGTCAAAGCCTCAAACGTACCGACGTACCCCGCTTAGAATTGGAAGTCCATATGGCTATTGGCTTGATTTAATGCGGGGGAAACAGAATTTCTTATGCCAAGCCCGTAACACACAGACCTTGTGTTGGTGCGCCCCCAACAGCAGAATTTTACCACTCAATCTACAAATTAAGTGTCTTTTGTATGATTTGCCCACACAAAAAACACTTAAACACATCCTTGACACCATACGAGTTTGCCCCAGAATGTAAGCTACTTATTGAATGTGGGAATTAAGTGGCGCTTAGGTGCGAAGCTTAGCGTATTTGTCTCCTGCTATTGCCCCAATAAGAATCACAATCACCGTTTTATTTCGTGGTGACTAAGCCGGATTCGTTAAGGACTGCAAAGGCGTTTCCAGTTTTGTAATTTCGTTCGCTAGTGGCCATGGAATGTTGCCATTTCGTTATTAGTGTGGAAATTGAGGGCCACAGAGTGTCCGGTGTTTTCCCGCTGTTATAATTTATAATAATGACTATTGACGTAGTTCCTCAAATCCATCCGCCATGAACGCTCGCCTTCGCTGAGAGCAGAAACACCTATGGGCCCTGAATGCTTTGGTCGTCAACAGTGACCAATGATTCGGCGCCTGTCCAGATTTACAGACCGTCTTGCGCGTTTCACTCTCGTGCCCGCCATATTCAGCCGCCAAGCGTAAAATGTCCGACTTCTCCGTGGACGGGGTGATCGGGGAATACTCAGGGCAAGATTTCTCTGTCAAGGCCACGTTCACTGTGTTCCTGTGCATCGCTCTTTACAACTCCCTCGAACTATTGGTGCTCATTTTCGCCTCCTTCCGACGTTATCGTGGGCTATACTTCTGGAGTCTGCTTTGCTCCACGCTACTAGGGGTCATCCCGCAGTCTCTGAGCTTTCTCCTAAAGTACTACAATATAGGGCCACTCTGGTTCTCTCTCACATTGTCGACCATCGGATGGTATTTTATGGTCACAGGACAAGCGCTCGTGCTATTTTCGCGCCTGAATATTGTTGTGCAGGACTTGACTGTTAGCCGTCTTGTCCTAGCAATGATAGTTATCGACGCCATCGTTTTGCATGTCCCAACCACCGTGCTCACGTATGGGTCGAACTTCATCAGTACCCCGGTTTGGACTCATGGCTACACAATAATGGAGCGCATCGAACTCACCGGCTTCTGTCTCCAAGAATTCATCATTTCCGGCATCTATATCTCTAAAACCATCGAAATCCTTCGCATGCCGTTCCCGAGCACCCATGGCCACAACCCGAACAGGAAGATTATGTACCAGCTGCTCGTCATCAATGCCTTGATCATCATGATGGACGTTGTGCTGTTGGTATTTGAATATATGAACTATTTTGTCATCCAAACTACTCTCAAATCGATGGTATACAGCATCAAACTAAAGCTTGAATTCGGTGTCCTCAGCCGTCTTGTCTTTCTGGTGCAGTCACATCGCGATTGGCCACAAGAATCACGCGAGTTTGATGACTTGTTATGACACAAGTTTGTGAGGCGTTGTTGTTAGCTTTTTGAAACAGCGTTTATTTAGCGTGAGATATCCAACTCCAGTCGTTCAACAACCAATTTACAAGCAGATTGCTTGATATTCCCATAATGTTGAAGCATGGCATCTTTACCTTTGGAGAAGATCTATAAAGCTGCGAGAATCCAATGCTGAATGTGATCAGCTCTGGAACTCACACTGTGCGATATTGCTGCAAATCTTATGCAGGGGTCTCGGGGCTCTTCCAGGGTGAAGGCACTCCGAGTATATGTCCCATAATTTGTAGCTTCATCGCCCCTTTGGGGTTACATAGGTGGATTGTATATTGCGGCCGACCTCCGGCACCTGCTCCCAAATATCGCCCACCGCCATCGGAGGCCGATACAACCGGGTATTCCTAAAACAGTTCCTCCACGACGGTCAAATCCTAGGGATTGAACAAACCTTCTCAACTCCAAAAGAATGGCACGGTGCCCCCCTTGCGTCTATTCGCCGTACATTTGCCGCCCTTGCAAACCCCCGTTTCTTTGTCATCGTCGATACCGGTACCTACCACATGCTTGAAGAACTACGGCAGCTATACTTCAGTGGCGATCCCCTTCCATCTGAACAACTCTCCCTGCGTGATGTGTATCGGCCACAAGTCCAGACAAGTCAGAAGCACTAGCTAGAAGACCAGATGAATGACGAGTCGGGACGTTACAACAAAAAGTTCAAACATCAGGACACAGAGTGTGCTGGAACAGCTTCCGCAGCAAACCAGTACCATGAATGTACCGAATGAGTTTTGGGTCCCGAATCGACGAAAAATGACGTCGTCAATTTGTATGCACCAGTTTTTTCCTCCTACTAGCTAACTTACTACTTTGCTAAGATATTTTTAATCACACTGTGCTATCAATGCCGCATACACTTTGAGCAGAGTATGCGTTTTTATTAAAATAAATATATTAAGAGAATTACTCGCTAACTAGGCTTATAACTATTAAATAAGAGTGTATTTTAACAGAGCCCTTAGGTTGCTCTACTCCGTACTAACTATATACATATATCTTTGCAGTATCATACCCGCGAATATCGTGACAACTAGTACCCGGCATACCATACAAAAGTATATTTACAATCAATCCGTGATATCCGCACAGATATCCACACATATTGTCCAAGAGGCGGTTTTGTCATATTTTACTAGTAGTTAGAGTGATGTATATTCATTGACCATACCGTACCTTGCTTCACACCAAATCTCTGTTACTACCGATCCTCTTCTTAAAGCTATTAGGACGAGCCACCATTGCGGTTACCAGTGGTTCCGAACGGCTTACCGATTTGTTGGTGGCTGTGCACCGTACTAGCTGTATGCTCAGTTGAACAAGTGAGAGATTCCGTAGATGAAGTTATTTTCTTCTTCTTTAATTTATACTGATCAGCTTCAAATCGAGGCGGTGTGGTTTTACATGAAGACATGCAGGAGCCTAGCCAATGAGATGGTCGAAAATCTTATAGAAGCGCGTAACTAGGGGCCTGCAGCGTACGTCAGTGCGTGTCCCTCAGCTTATCTAGGATGCTGCTGTCGGCCAAATCTTGGCCCTGGCTCTTCATTGACTACTTTGCCCAAGTATTCTCATCTCATTCGCTACTGCTCCTTAATAGTTCGCTCTTTAGGCTTAGTGTTGGTGGTTTTGATCTTTACTTACTGTCTCTCTTCGCTTTAACCCTAACCCTTGACTCCCTCGCCCTAGTGTCTGTCTGTGCATTCCAATTAATGCTTATTCTTTATACCCTCACGTTCATTGCTTGTATGATTTTACTAAGCACTTCTGTTTTCTCTTCTGGTTGGTTGCGTGCTGCGTGGCTACATGTTCAACGACGCCACTGTATATTTGGTGCTCTCCGTTATCTCAACACTTCCTGAAGCTCTCAAGTTCTTATCTTCCACAGATAATCCAGGTAAATTACCATGGCTCGCTGAGTTCTCTATGCCATAAAACCTTTATTCCCAAAGTTCTATAAAAGCATGTCGTTCAAATACCTTTTTAAATTGTCGTCCATACTCCCTCAGCAGCTTCTCAGTTTCGACCTTTTAAATTGTGAATCTCGCTAAATTGGTCGGTGATCTATGTGGCTCATGTTGGGCTACAGCTATTGCACTACTGCCAAGTCGATAGGCAACGGCGTAAAGCAGCACTACGGCCAAAGTTTTATTCTCTCGCCCATGTTGAAACTTTAGGCCACGGAAGATTATATCGACAAGGTCCCGGGAATATTGAAGGGGCTAGTGTCGGAGGTAAAAACTGCACATCTTATGGGATTGCTGAAATTTCCTCCCCCTCTCAGTTCGCTATTTTCTGACAAATGATCAGAGAATAAGTTGGAATTTTTGAATGATCCTCAAGGACCACTTTAATTCACCTGAGGGATTGCAGGAGTATCACCGGATTTAATCGAGTTAAGTCTAACAGGTTTTGTATTAGTGACACTGCAGTGCAGAGGAAACATGTTGTATGAACCTGTGATAAAGATCCATGCTTCATAATAATTATGTAGCTGAAATACGGTTGGCAGATCCAGGACACCCTATGCTGTGCAACCTCGCATAATCAAGATTCAAATATCTAGCACATCAGAGCAAATGTTGTACGTTACGCCTTGCAGCAGTCCTAACCTGGTTTCTCAAAACTATGAAGAATATATAAGAGCGTCTTCTATTTCTATGGTACCAATTCTGCTTCAAACTCATTCATTCACGCTCTTCGCATAACTCCCATCTTCTTACCTGTTAATCCCAGGTCACAACTTCATTATGTACCGTTTTGATCCTTCAACAAATACGTTGACCAACATACAACCTACCGACGGTAACATAGATACAACCTTCAAAAGTGATGGACCGGAAACTGTACCATCATCCAAGGAAAAAGGTGGCTTCAAGGTTCTTATACCGGACTTTTTCACCTCTATCATGGCTATCGAGCCTATTGTCAATAAGCACTATCAGGAGGTCAAACTCATGCTTGAGGATAAATACGCTAGGTACGTGATCGGTGACATTCAGATGTTTCTGTGAATCCATCTAAACTTTACAAGAATTTTTCAAGCGAATCAAAAATGGATCGAGAAAAATTCAAAAGTCGATCTTGTGTATCTGTCTGCTATGTGGACACCTAATTGCAATGCAGCTGAGTTGGCAATTGTTGCAGATTGGAATCAGTGGGTTGGTTATATGCCCTTCCTTTTAAAGCTGTCTGAAAAATATGTGTTTATTTTCGACAGGGTTTTCTATTTGACGATCGTATGCGAACTTAATAAGTAAATCGAACTGAAAAGTGGAGCCTACTGACTACTTCCAGAATTTGATGAAGGACATCTTCAAATTGATCCAGCAGCAGCGCAGGATGAAATCGATTTAACGCTCGCTATTATGAGTGACTGCCAGCCGCCCGTTCAAGTGAAGGATAATCGTATCCGACACTTGTTTCAGACAATCTGGGATCGAGTTAAGGAGGTACGTCCCTCAATTATCTTTTGATAAACCAACCACTGATGCCAGTGTCACAGCGATCCTCTGTTGGTAAGTTGGTTTGATAAAGCATTTCTCTTTTCCTGGTCTACAAGCAGAGCTTTCTTAACCATTTACTCAGAATATCAAAAATTCTATAAAGATTGTCATCGAAGGTATTTTGAAGGTCTTCTGAAGCAAGTGACAATAATACGTGATGGAGGGGCCTTCCCTGACGTCCAATCGTATTTGGATATGAGAAGGATGACAATAGGTGTTTACCCAGCTATTGCTGTCACTGGGTATGTCCTACTCTGGGTTGAATATGAGCGGTATCAGGTCAGAGTGAAATAATTCTTACTAAGTCTTTTAGTGCCGCCCAAAATGTCAAACTCCCGTCACGAGTTCTGAAGCACCCTTCTATTCATGAATGCATGATAGCCACAGCAGATCTTGTCCATACGTGAGTTTGGATAGACTTGTTCAATTGGTATTTTGTTCACGCTTCTCCTAGGGTAAATGACGTAACGTCGCTCAGAAAAGACCTGGTAAGTCGTCAACCTATTTCTATCCATCTTGTCCTCACACAAAGGTTCAGGAGACGGGCGTCAAGCAGAACGTTGTTTTACGTCTCATGGAGCAGGGTTTCACGACACAACAAGCCATGGATCAGATACAAGAATTGTTGAAGGAAGTCTACCGGCGCTGGTACGTGGCTCTCGCGGATTTGCCTGTCTGGGGAGAGGAAATAGATCGGCAAGTGCTCAAGTTTTTGGATGCCTGCCGTGACGTAGCCTTGGGAAATCTGTATTGGTCGTACGTGGGTTGATCTCGATTATATCTACTTTTGGGTTGCAATATCTAACTCATGGTTTGATTTAGATTCATGACCGCTCGTTACCTCGGTACCGAGGGCGATACGGTCCACAGGACAAGATATTTGACACTCCCGTCCCTTGTGGATGGAAAGCTATCCAACTCGACGGACCCCCGTTTTGCCGTATGCTATGCTTAGCTTGTAGACCTTTGGAATTGAGTTTACACAATGAAATATCAAAATCTTTCAGACAAGTTAATTTACGTAAAGTATAAGCGAGGTAATCCGCCTCGCCGCAGCTGTTAAGAGAATGGTACGACAGCGTATCCCAGAGTGGTGGGAGAAGCAGTGGGAGCGGAGGATGTAGAGAGAGAGAGGGAGACGGAAGGCGGAGGGTACACTTCACCGCATTCATTTGATATATACATTTCCCATGTATGGGTTCTTAGGATTGTGGGTTTAAGATATGCAGGAATGGGCTGATTCCACACTCTTTACAAATCGGCCGTATTTACTCTTGGGAGTGATCCCAACTCGACGTTTGGCATCGAGTTCTTGCTTCAGCCGATGCGCCTGCATAGTCATACGCAACATCATGTATGTAATAGCGAGCTACATCGGGTTAGTGAGATCATCATCATCACCATAGCCATACGCAACTAGTTAGACTGCGACAGGTTAATTGAACTTTGTTCTTGTTGACCTTAGACATGCTGTTGTAATTTTTTTTCACATTTCTTTTGGCTCGTTGGAAAGGAAAAACATTTGAAAGCAATGAAGGAATGACTGGCACATTTCTGTACAAAAATTACAGACCTTCGCAAACGACCGTCCGCCACATATATGACACTTTTTTTTGACAATCACAACTTTCTCTTTAACCATGAACCACTCCATACACTATGCCAAGAATGAATTTAATATACATATATATAAGCTTAGATTAAGAACTTATAGACTAGATATCCGAGTTAAAAAAAGCATCGTAAGAACTACTTGTAAATTTACGCCTCCCAATCGTTGACCTCGATGACGTGAGGAATATAGAAAGTAAATCTAGTACTATATTCTTCTTCAAAGTCCTATTATGACCTAACATATATGATAATCTTCCAAGTCTTTAAATCCGATATGTTAGTTTTGATGCAAGGTCTTAGGGCGCCCTCTTATAGCATTACGATTCGAGATTCTAACCTGAGATGCAACTAACATAAGATATATAACTTTGAAGGCGTTCCTGAAAATTGCCCTCAAAATTTTATAAAAGCACTAGGATAGTATTAGAATATTAGTGCTATAATTAAAATGAAAGATCCCAATCTAATATTGTTGAGAAAAAGAAGCATTTATATATGTAACTTTTGTATGGTTTACCTAGTAAAAAGTACAGTGTTATTTGGGCAGTGTATTTCATATGGTAGGCGGACCACTACAATATATGACTTGGAAGGCATCTATACGCGCCCCTATATGGGCCGTAACACTAATCTTTGCGAATTAGCAGGATCGCTGAACTCGATTTAGCATATAGATATACTCCTCTCACAATTAGAGTATATCGTACTAGTCTATACGCTTTCGCTCCAACCCGACACAGCCTTTTAAGAACAAGAGAATTGAGTAGAGTAATGACATATATTTTCCTTAATCCTGCTTATTTCGAAAGGCAACTGTATACACGCTTCAGGCACACTACTGTGTGATGGACGTGATCTAGACGTAGAAGAGCGCGAAAGTAGCACCAAGTAAAGCCATGGCTTCCTTGGGAGCGCCGAACAGAGACGATGCAGCACCAGTTGAGGGTAGAGCGGAGACGGAGGGACTGGTGGATGAAGTATCGGAAGCATTGGATGAAGTGGCCGTGGAAGACGAGGTTGAAAAAGAGGTCGAAGAAGAAGAAGAGGAGGTGGAGGTGGAGGTAGTGGAGCCTGCGATGAAAAAAGATGTATTAGTATGGTCACCTAACATTATGCGAAGTTGCATCTTGCCTGAGGAAGACAAAGGACTAGTTGACGATGTGGGTGCTGGAGATGCCGAGGATATAAGGATAGAGATAACGGATGTAGAAGTGGTCGCAATAGTTGTCGCGGAAGAAGTGGAGGAGGAGAAGGAGGAGGTGGTGAAAGAAGACGTGGAAGAAGAAGTGTTGGAAGAAGACGAGGATGCGGTACCATCATCTGAAGCGCCCTTCTCGGCAGTAAAAATAGCACTGACGGCGAGCTGGCCCGCAGAATCAATTATCTGGATCTCGTAGTCATTTCTAAGGCATGGGAGAATGGCATTAGTGGTGTTCTTCTCTGTTCACCCAGTCTATCTTCTACATACCCGTTGGAAATGCTAGGGTTGGGCTGGGTCGTGTATTCGCCGTCAGAGGTCTTGACGTTGTCCGCTAGTTTGGTCTGGAAAGAACCATCCTGAGTTCGAAGGATGATGCTGATTACTGGAGGATCACTAGGATCGCTAGTAAATTTGATTGTTTTGGGAGTGGAGAAATCCCACACCGTGTCTGATGATGGAGCGGTGACGGTGATGGCAAAGGCAGATGAGAGGAGGCTCAGGGCCGTGAGGGTGAATGAGTAGCGCATTTTGATTGAATGAGTATTGAATTATTGGAGAGTGAGCCAGGATGAATCTCCCACTATTTCTCAGGAAAAGACTATATATTTCCGGTCAAGAGACTAAAAACTACTCCATAGATTGTTGAAAGATCTATATACAGAAACCAGTAATCTTCAGCTGAAGATGAGTGCATTAAGAATACGAGATAGTCCAGGCCTTGCACAGGAGCAGAATATGATCTCCAACCTGAGCTGAGCCTCCTATGGAGAGACTGAAACAACCCAGTACAACCCGGTGGTCATTCTGGTGCCCACGTAGGGTAACAATAGACGGGCACTGCTAGAATATTAGCGACCCCTGTTGTGTTGGGTCTATCAAAAGCAAGCATTGCACCTTATCTTTCCAATCAAGGCCGCAAAGCCAATTGTGACCTGTTGTCCTTGCTGATAAAGGATTAAACTTCCAACTAAGGGCTACTATCTTGTCAGCGCTAGGTTAGTGGCGTTCGCAAGCGCAGTACATATGGAGTATACCAACAGGGTTCATCGTGGATATCATAATTGAAAATCTATTTTCGTTGTATTGTATCGTTACTTACAGTCGTGAATTGATACTGGTCATGACTGGTAACATTCACCGGATGAGCTAGGTCGGTCTGCTGTTTTACTGTGTCGTGCCCAATAGTCAAAAGCGACTGTCGGACTTCTGCTCGAAGTATGGAGTTGCTATTTACTCAAATATCCCCTATTTTCCGTGGTAATTCATGAGATTTAATATGAAAGCAATAGAATTAAATGTAAGGAGTATCTCGTCTATAGTAACGCTTCTGCAGAAACCATCAAAAATAACGTCAACAAATGAAATCGAAAACTAATGCGGAGGATAGGCAATATGATCAAAACAGGAGGAATGGCAGTTTAGAGAATTAGATGGAAACGTAGGATGTGGTCAATGCAGCCGTGACTATCAATGTCCTCATCTCCCACGACAAACCGAACAAAGGAATCCCAGAGCCGGTGGAAGTCTTTGGACTTGTAGAGGAGGTTGTCGAGGTTTGAGTGTGATCTCCACAAATATTAGTGCTTTGGTTCAGGCTTTCAGTAGGATAGTATACCCGAGGCCCTCCATCTGAGCCAAGATCCACATTGAGATTTCCGCTTGAATCAGTTACAAATGTTTTGCAAGACAAAAGCTCGGTTAAATTTTGTCCAGATGAAAATCCCGTGCCGTCGGAGCCAAGCGTGATTTTCGTGGTGGCTTTGGTGGCTGGCTTGGCTCCCAGGTTGGACACAACGCTCACGACTTGGTTACCAGTAAATCCCTTGCGCATGGCTAAGATGTTTGTTGAGTTATAGATTGGCAATGAGAGGTACGATAGATAGTCGTCCCCTGAATTAGGGGCGATCGTGGACTTTTCTCCGTCGCCGCTCGCATATGATCGAATGCGATTCAACGATTGGACTAGCAAAGGTAGGGAGGTTGAGTTCATCGAGTATTTAGTAAGCCATAGGGCCTCCCGGTTGACGGGGTTAAATCCGCCTGACAGGTGCTGTTCTTCGCCGTAGTAGACTGTATTGTTTTTGTTAGTGTCTTTGGCTTTGTTTCTATTTGTGGGGGTGCAACATACGGATGGGGATACCGTCAGCGAGCATGCTGATTGTGAGAATGTTGCGAGCTAGCTGATAATGAGTTTGAAAGTCAATACGTGGTGACAAAATAATCTATGCACTCGACTTACCGATATGTCTGAGGTATACGAGCCAAAGCGAGGGAGATCGTGATTCGATGTGAAAGCTCCCAGAGGTAATACGTCGTCGCAATGTGTCCTGATGTAGTCGATAGACTGTACGATCCTGTTCAAGTCACCATTGGTCGTGTTAAAGGCCTCTGAGAGGATGTAATACCTAAAAAAGAGTCAACACGCCCTATGTTAATTTTCATAAGCTACTCACAACGGATAATTCAAAAGCCCGCTTAGACTGGGTTGCAGAGAACAGTAACCGGATGCATCTCTTGTGGCGCCTTCCCCCATAGTGAAAACACTCGCTGACTTGCTGAAATCGGAGAAGAAGGCGGGGGGAACGTTCAAGACACTGTCGATTCGCAAGCCATCAACTATAAAGGATATCTATTATTAGATCCGCGGGAGAGATAGGAAATGTATGGACCTACTGGAGTAGTTCGAAACTAACTGTGAAATCCAATTGCCCAGAATCTGCTGGACTTCTTGATCCTCGTTTCGCAGGTCTGGAAGCGATATGGTGTTGTCTCCCATCCAGCACTAATAGAGACTTAGCAATGTTCTCATAACACAAGATAATAGACTTACATCCAGAACACAGGTGTTGTTAGTGGGGTCATCAGAAAGTAGCTTGTAGTCGTGGAAATACTTCTGATCATTGAATGGATTAAACGTGCTGTAGTCGACAGTAGAGGCATTTCCAGCCCATGCCATATCACCAACGACAATGTCCAGCATCAGGTACTATTTTTCTTATCTCAGTTTCGTGAGTAGACATAGCAACCGGCGACTCACCATGCCACGCGCGTGCAACGCTGCGGATAACGCTTGGAGGTCATCGGAAGTGCCGAAATGGGAGTTGATGGAATAGAGGTCATTTGGCCAATACCCATGGTACGCTATCATCCATCAATCTTTTGTTCTCTATATCCGTTGACAGTCAAGATGACCATACCTGAGAGATCCGCCGTGCGAGTTGGCTCCTGGCTTTGCACTGGAGAAATCCAAACGGCATCGAAACCGAGTTCCTGAATATAATCCAGTTTGTTGATGATACCCTGTAAAGTTCCTCCACAATATTCTCCCAGTGCTGCATTACAAGAAGCGGTGGTTGAGTTATCGTACCGAGCGAAGCGATCGGTGACCACTTGGTAGACCGACCGACCAAGCCATTGGTCTCGGGAAGCCGCGTGTACTGTCCCAATAGTAGCAACCACCAAAACCTTCCACCACCTCATTGTCAGTGGCGTTTGCAGAAAGAAAATCAGATGGAAGTACAGATACTGAAAATACTAGATACAACATACTTAAATTAATTGACAATGTCACATAGTATGTTTGATGAATTTACGGTGAGGTATCTGTGTATTGTATCGTCTGTGTAATACAACCTGTATACTATGTATTAGTTCCTGGTGTTCCTGCTCCTGTCATATGTATTCCATCGGCCCGATCGACAAGCTTTGCTCTTGGAATCCCGCCTAGAACCATCCTATCCCGAGAGCACAGTTCTCTTCCGACGGAGTGGCCGCGAACAAAAGCAAAAAATAATCCGAGACACAGGAACTAGCCCAACAAGACCCTTATCATATATCATATCTCAACCTCTCATTTCTCATAGGTCAATTCTGTATCAGGCATGACGTGTTCTATCTTCTATAGGTGAGATCCCCGATCTGGAATAGATTACACTTTATAATCAATGATTTGATTTACTTCCGGCAGAACTCGTGTCTTGAAACCTCGTATAACTACACAGCAAGCAGTATAAGCAAGGCGCTATCAAACAATGACCCACTTCGTATATTGGGCTAGCCCTTTAGACCACTCCGGAGGTCCTATACCGATATGCATGTCAGCTTGAGGTCAATCGTCCAAAATTAGGACCGCTCAACCACTGACTATAAGTATGGATATACTTTGTTGTGGAATGAGGCTGTACAGCAAGGCTGGCTGGGATCTCCAGCCGTTCGCCTAATTCTTAAGTTTATGCTAATTTACAAATCAGTGATTGGTATTCTCGCGATCAGAATCAGTGATTGCATGGGCCTAGGCGGCTCCGGTGTGTTCATTATCTTTCACATGTCTCTCTTGCGCATCTGTGCCCTATGAATCGTTTAGTGTCTCTATTTCTATGGGTTATCCCATTCTTCCTGGTATGTACACTGTGGTCGTTTTTCAGTCGAGGATCGAATAGTGTGTTCTATGAATATCACTATAGTGGCATTCACTATACGGAATGGAGTTGATCACTTCCATCACTCGTTATCTTTCTATTGTTGCAATATTGATACGCATTGTACAATCCCTACCATATCTTCCAGAGGAAGCAGACTGGAATCTCAATCAAAACCAGACGGCGACACACCCCCTCGACTACTCGGGTCAGTGGGATGACCACATATACAATCCCTCGCCAGAGAACTGGCGATTCCCTTTTACACAATCTTCCTCGACAGATTTGTAAATGGCGATCCGAGTAACGATAATGCAAATGGTACACAATGGGAACACATCTTGACCTCCAACGAGTTCCGCAATGGCGGCGACGTTCTTGGGTTGATTGATACGTTCGATTATATTCAGGGAATGGGGATTAAGGTGAGTTTACTGCTTCATGAACACTCGATGTCGAGAATATATTGACCATATCCAGGGCATCTATCTCGCTGGCACACCGTATATCAACTTCCCTTGGGCTGCTGATGGATACTCCCCGCTTGACCTGACTCTGCTGGACCATCACTTTGGTACGATCGAGGACTGGCGTACAATGATATCTGAGGCGCACCGACGGGGGCTATATGTTCTTTTGGATAATACCTTTGCAACGTGGGTGAAATCCATATGCGCAACCGATATCCTCTGCTAATTGTGTATAGAATGGGCGATCTTATCGGTTTTCAGGGTTTCTTGAACAAGTCCGCGCCGATCAATCCTAACGAATACGACTATGTATGGAAGTACGAACGTCGATACTGGGACTTTCAACCTGGAAATGAAGTTGAGAGCGAATGTCCCTGGGAGCATCCTCGGTTCTGGGATGATAACGGGTCTGGCTTGACTACCACAACCCTTGGTTCTTCATGTCGGAATAGTGAATTTGATCAGGTAAACTTCATTCCCTTTTCTTTCGATATTGAAGATGACTGACCTCTACAGTATGGGGAAGTTGCCGCCTTTGGAAACTACACCGAGTGGGAAGGACAAATATCCAAGTTCGCATTTGTGCAGGATCGTCTACGCGGGTGGCGGCCAGACGTGCTAGCCAAGATCAAACACTTTTCGTGTCTCACCATCACCATGCTTGATATCGACGGATACCGCGTCGACAAGGCTCTACAAGTTACCCTTGACTATCTTGGAGAATGGTCCGAGCATATGCGGTATTGCGCTAAGCAGGTGGGAAAGGACAATTTCTACATTCCCGGGGAGATTGTGGGGGGAAACTCTTTTGGCTCGCTTTATATCGGTCGCGGTCACCAGACAAATCAAACCATCTCCAATATGACGGAAGCGTTCATGATGACGAACAAGACACACAAGTCAGATGAGGATCTATTCTTGAGACCTGCGGAGAGGGCAGCGTTGGACGGGGCGGCGTTCCACTACACGTTATATCGTGGTCTGAGCCGGTTTCTAGGGTTAGTTTATCCCCCTTACCACTTTCAGTTGATTCAAGCTAACATCATCTCCTTCAGTCTAGATGGTATTTACACTGCCGAAGGCGACCCGCCCGTCAACTTTGTGGAGACCTGGAATGGCCTTGTGGAGACTAACGATATGGTCAACACGAATACCGGTAAGTTTGATCCTCGTCACCTGTTTGGTGTCACGAATCAGGATGTCTTCAGGTGGCCAGGGATTAAAAATGGGACCCAAAAGCAGAATCTGGGTCTGTACATCGCTTCGTTGCTCATGCCTGGAATTCCCATCGTCTCCTGGGGCGAGGAACAGGATTTCTAAGTACTAGAGAGTCAAGCTGACAACTATGTCTTCGGTCGTGGACCCATGTCATCCGCTCAGGCATGGCAACTGCATGGATGCTACAAGCTGGGGTCATCGAAATACTTCAATTTCCCCCTCGAGCGCTCCCTGACTGGATGTGAAGATGATTCCGTCAGTCTTGATCACCGCGATCCTTCTCACCCAGTGCGAGGCCTAATCAAGATGATGCTTGAGATGCGTCAAAATTATCCTGCTCTGAATGATGGCTGGTACTTGCAGCAGTTGTCCAACCATACGTTCGACATCTACCTTCCAGGCAGTAATGGAACAGCGACCGAGACTGGCTTGTGGAGTGTCATGAGATCGCGCTTTGTAGATGCGCAAAACTTCGATGGCCAAGGCCAGGGGAATCAGAGTGTATGGCTAGTGTATTCTAATGACAACACCAGAGTCGAACACAAATTCAACTGCAGCAGTAAGGATGCTTTGATCTCGCCATTTCCCACGGGAACAACGGTCAAGAATCTTTTCCCACCTTTTGAGGAATTCACCCTGGTCAAGAGCTCACTTACGCTTGGGTATGATTGCTGTTCTGAAATTGATCCCTATCACTGACAATGATTAGATTCGAAGGGTCTGACGTTCCCAACGGGTGTCATCCCAACCTTACTATGCCGGCGTGGGGTTTCAAAGCCTTTGTTCCAAAGGATAAATTCGTGCAGCCTTCCCCATATGTAACACATTTCTCCCCGGGGCATGACGCTCGACTTGTGTCTCAGGGAACAAGTGGGGAGACAGTAAAAATTGGCTTCGAATTCTCTCAGGAGATGGATTGCGAGGATATCACCAACTCGCTCACGATCACGTCCAAAGCGCTTGACGATGAGAGACCGCGGCTTGATACGACCTCAGTCTCTTGTAAACCCATTGAAGAGACTGATGTTGTGACATGGCCGGGGGCACTAACTAGCGTTTTCAGCTACGAGGTAGATTTGGGCAATGTCTTTCCAGGCGTTCACAGAGTCACCCTTAGCAACGTGACTACAGCAAACGGAAATGAATCCACAGGTGTGAGTATATTCCTCGCCATACAAGTCGAGAAAGCCCCAATACTGATTGAGTCGGGCAGTCCATCGACCATTTTCTTTTCCGTATCGGACAGATAAACAATCCAATGGTCTGGCCACAGTTGGCCAACTACAGTAGAACACTACTGTTTGACAACCCGTCGTCTGACATTGAGCCCTTATCAGTAATGCCACAGGCCCCTGGTGCAGACATGTGGCGATACTCGCTGGACTTTGGAGCTACATTCAGTCCCTGGGTGACGTACACCGGCTTCAACACGACGATCCCCGGCAAAGGCTGGACCGACACTGCGGAGCAGGCCTGGGAAGGAGAACACATCCTTGCCCAATACTGGAGCAAGTTGACTGGAAGTAGTGCTCACTGGCAGCATGGAGACACGGAATGGGAATACAAGCCCCCGCGTCGCTTCCCAAACCTCTTCATCCAAGGCGAGTTCAACCAGTTCGGATGTGACGCTGGCTATTCCAACAAAATGGATCTTAGCAACATCACTGGCATGTGGGAGATCCACTTCATGGGCGGATGGCCCGTGCAGGTTTCATTCAACGCCTGGGGATTAAAGAAAGACGGCCTGCCCGATAAGACACAGGTGTTTGGAGACATCGATGGAGACAATGTTTTAGATCAGGTCCCCCCAGTCACCCTGCTGAGCAATGTCTTCAACGTCACTATCCCACCTCCTTCGCCCTATCTGTCCTTCAAGCTGTCAGTGGGTGATGGCGATCTCAAGGTCTACGCTACACCCACAGGATCCAGGTGGGTTCAGCTGGCCATCTTTATCGTGCTAGCGATTGTACCTGTCACCACCGCTGTCGGTGCAGTGTATATTTACCTGAAGGCCTTTTACCAAGTCAAATTCAATCAAATCGGTGTCACCGAGAAAAGATCAAGCTTCGCTCCACTGGTGAGCGTCTTTCAAAAGGTGGCCCATCGATCGAATGACAGGGAATCCAATCCCGGGATTTCCCCGACAAATATAGGCGCGTTTTCATCTGAAAGTGGAGGCGTCGTCGGTGCCACAATAAACACCCGTCGACGCACCGTGCTCATTGCAACTATGGAATACGATATTGAAGATTGGGGCATTAAGATCAAGATCGGGGGGCTCGGTGTGATGGCTCAGCTTATGGGGAAACATCTCACCCAGCAGGACCTTATATGGGTGGTCCCTTGTGTTGGAGGAGTTGACTACCCTAAGGACGATCCCCGTGAGCCGATGGTAATTACTGTTCTTGGGAATAAATACCAAGTGGATATCCAGTACCATCGGCTGCATAACATCACGTACGTCTTGTTAGACGCGCCTGTATTCCGGGCTCAGTCCAAATCAGAGCCATATCCTGCCCGCATGGATGACCTGGATTCGGCTATATTCTATTCCACTTGGAATCAATGTATTGCTGAAACAGTCAGGAGATTCCCGGCTATCGACCTCTATCACATCAATGATTACCACGGCGCTGCTGCCCCTCTCTATCTTCTACCTCGCACGATTCCATGCTGCCTGTCTTTGCACAATGCTGAGTTTCAAGGACTCTGGCCAATGCAAACCCCACAGCAAAACCAAGAGGTTTGCAGTGTCTATAATCTTGATCATGTATTGGTGAAGAAGTATGTGCAATTTGGCGAGGTGTTTAACCTTCTCCATGGAGCTGCCAACTATCTGAAAATCCACCAAGCTGGATTTGGCGCTGTCGGTGTCTCCAAGAAATACGGCAAGAGATCGTTCGCCAGATATCCAATTTTCTGGGGTCTCAAGAACATTGGAGCGCTGCCAAATCCTGATCCATCCGACATCGCTGAGTGGGATCAGAATGCAAACAAAAATCTCGAAGACGTTATCATTGACGCAGAGTTTGAAGCCAGTCGTGCCGCACTCAAGAGACAAGCACAAGAATGGGCAGGGCTCAAAGTTGACGCAGAGGCCCAGCTGTTTGTATTTGTCGGTCGTTGGTCCATGCAAAAGGGCGTTGATCTGATTGCAGATATCTTCCCCTCCATCCTAGACGCTCACCCAAAGGTCCAATTGATGTGCATTGGTCCAGTCATTGATCTTTATGGAAGGTTTGCTGCGTTGAAACTGAATCGACTCATAGATCTCTACCCTGGGCGGGTATTTTCCAGACCGGAGTTTACTGCACTACCACCCTTCATTTTTAGTGGCGCTGAATTTGCCTTGATTCCTTCGCGTGATGAACCGTTCGGTCTGGTTGCCGTGGAATTCGGACGGAAAGGAGCGTTGGGCGTGGGATCACGGTAAGACTAATCTAGCTTGAATCCACCACCAGTGCTCACCTATATTTCCTTAGTGTGGGTGGCCTTGGACAAATGCCAGGATGGTGGTTCACCATGTAAGTTTACCTCTTTCACAATCCCTCATCATATTTTCAAACTAATCCATTCTAGTGAGTCTATGACAACCAAACATCTTATCCAACAGTTCAAGATGGCCATCAACGACGCTTTGAAATCATCCCAGGATACACGGGCTGTCATGCGTGCACGATCCGGCAAGCAGCGCTTTCCCGTAGCACAGTGGGTTGAGGATCTGGAAATTCTACAGACTACCTCGATCGAAAAGCATGTCAAGTACTCTAAACGCCACGATCACAGCTCATGGAGGATTTCCCGCGGCAGCACTCTTGTAGCCGATAGCGTCCCCAAAGCTTCGTCGAGCTCAAACAATAGCCGCGAACACAGCCGATCACGCAGTTCCACAATGTCTGTCCCGCCGAGCAGGCCGATTACAGCTGATGTGAGACTATCTGGGCCTCGACCAGGCCTTGAATACGTTCTCTCGCCGACAAATTTGTCTTCCAGTTTAAATATATCCGACAACGAGCCCGACTCTGACACGGACCCAAGGAGCAGACCCTTGTCCTCCAACCCTCTTGCAGAATCCCGAATTGTTTACACTACAGCAAGCGATGGAGAAGATCTCGAGCCGCTTTCTGGGGTCATCCAAGAGGACGGTAGTGTTTGTCAATTGCAATTTGGAACACCTACTATTTATTTTGCTCAATCCGGCGCCAGCACACCAGTTCTTGGTGGAGGACCGGAAGACGGTCTTATGGGCCGAAGAGACGCAAGGGAATCTGTGATGAGTCTGGCCAGCGTCGATAATATAATAAAGGAGAAACAAAACTACAACCTCCAGAAAGTTGATCCATTTTTCACGGATGCGAACAAGGAGTACGCGGATAAGTTTGAGAAGAAGCTTGCGGATCTGAATGGCAAGAACTCTGAAGACCAGCTCTGCATCGAAGAGTTCCTTGAGAAGAGCAAGAAAGAATGGTTCAATCGATACCGCGACGTCAAACTAGGAAAGTCCCCCTTGCCTTCTCCTACTCCCTCTGTCTTCCGCTTCCAGGTTCATGGAACCGATCAACCGGAGACCCCACCAATTACTGGTCCAGGTGTCCACCCATATGCCGAGCAATTCCTTCTCCCAAATGACTATGTTCCCCCCACGGGTTTGAAGCGTTTCATGTTGGTGAAGCTAGGCGATTGGCCTATGTACTCCATCTTCCTCGCTATTGTGAGTTGGAACCCTATCAAAAACTTTCATTACAGCCGTTGACACCATTATTTAGGGCCAAATTCTTGCCTTGAACTCGTACCAGATCACACTCTTGAACGGTGAGATTGGAGAGACGGCCGAAAAGCTATACATTCTGGCGTCCATCTATCTTGCCTCTTCGATCATATGGTGGATGGTCTTCCGTCTAGTCCCCGCAGTCTATGTGTTGACGATTCCTTTCTTTGTATGTTCACGTTCCTTTATCTCACATACGAGGTTGCAAGCTAACTGCCCGCAGATATACGGGGTTGCCTTTCTGTTTGTCGGTCTTGCCGGTCCCATCCACAGTACAAGTCAAACATGGTTACAAACCGTGGGAACTGGCCTGTATTCGTTTGCATCTTCGAGTGGTTCGATTTTCTTCGCCCTCAATTTTGGAGATGAAGGTATGCAACGACCCTTTTAGGAAGTATCGAACTTTTCTGACTTTCTTGTCTAGGTGGAGCGCCTCTGAAGTCTTGGATTTATAGGGCTACCGTCATCCAGGGCACCCAGCAGTTGTTCATCAGTTTCCTTTGGTACTGGGGTAGCTGGATGGCAACTCTAAATCAAAAGGGTAGCACGCAGTTCAGCCTTGCCATGACCAATCCAGGAGCTTTGCTCGGGATCGGAGTTGGGCTGGCCTGTCTTCTGTGGCTGCTGGGAGCCCTGGTCTTCTTTGGACTTCCTGCGTATTATAGACAATCACCAGGTCAAGTGCCGACATTCTACCTATCGCTCTTCCGCCGCCGCATCATTCTTGTATGTCTCTTCAAGTTCTCCCTCAAGCTAATTTTGTTGTTGACGTTGTATTTTGCAGTGGTTTTTCTACATGGTTTTCATATCAAACTACTGGCTGTCGGCACCGTACGGACGAAACTGGCTCTATCTCTGGTCCAGCAAGCATGCACAGGTGTGGCAAATCGTGCTCCTTGTCCTCCTCTTTTTCATTATTGTCTGGGCAGCAGCCCTGTGGGTCTTCCACGTCCTTTCCAAGAGACACGCGTGGTTCATCCCGATCTTTGCCGTCGGTCTTGGTGCTCCTCGATGGGCCCAGATCCTGTGGGCAACCTCCAACATAGCCGCTTACATCCCCTGGGCCGGTGGTCCCGTAGCCGGAGCTATCCTTGGTAGAGCCCTATGGCTCTGGCTAGGAATTTTGGATTCCCTTCAGGGTGTCGGTAAGTTTCCTCTCGCAGCGAATAAAACGTAACAAATACTAATTCACACCAACACAGGGTTTGGAATGATTCTCCTTCACACAATGACTAGATTCCATGTCACCTTCACACTTCTAGCCGCACAGGTGGTCGGTTCTATTGCGACTATCCTCGCCCGCGCGACAGCACCGAATAAGTTGGGCCCTGGTGATGTTTTCCCTGATTTCTCCGCTGGCGTCGCAGCTGGCTTGGGAAAGGCAGACTTCTGGGTCTGCCTGCTCTTCATGCTATCCATCAACGTGCTCTGCATCTTCTTCTATCGCAAGGAACAACTCGCGAAACCTTGATCTCTGTTCCAAACTTGACTAGCGTTTTCTTTTCTTTTTTTTTCTGTTTTGCATCCACTTGACATTGTGCGGCGTATATATTGTGATCGGAGGATTAATTATACTATAGCGGGTTGCATTCTCTGGAGAGCAATAATGGACTTTGTAAGAGTCGCCCTATATTTTGTATTTGTATATAGTGTACATAATATAAAGACTACTAGTTTACAAGTTCTGTAGGTGTCCAAACTTAATGTTCATGTGATCCGCAATAGGCATGCTTCTAACCCCAAATCAAATTGATATTAATCTTTACATTGAAGCCGTTTCCCATTCGATTGAATTTCCTGTCAAGATCAACAATATGGAACAGAAACAGCCTACGCTAATATAGAGGACTAATGTGATAGGTCTAGCTTGATTGGTGACTGTATGCAACGGACTGTTTTAGGCCTAGTCAGGGGAACTGATTATTCCGAGCCCTCTTATAAGTAACAAGGTCCTCCGTACTCTGTATATATTCTCATGATGGTTCGTATTTGTTAAATTGCATTTGCTCGTTATTCCTGCCACTCTTTTCAAGATAACACGACACTCGTTCATTGTTTTATTCCATTCTTTCCATAAATTTACCAGTCTTGTTCTCATCCAATGTATCGCCTTTTTTTCTCGTTCGTCGTGGCACTCTGCCTGTACACGCGCTGGACGGTCGCCGCTTTAACCGCCGGTGAAATTGCTAACTCTCTCAATGAACTGGCACAGCAAGGATTCGCTGCCAAGGATCTCGTATTGGAAATCAATTCTACTGCAGACGCTGGGCCTATTCCGGTAAGTGGGTTCCTTTAGGCGCATGAATGACAGCTCATAATAAAATCTAGGATATCTACACTGAAATAGACACAATGATCTTTGTGGTTCTAACAAATGTAAAATTCATGGTAAACACACCGATCATTACCGATCAGGCAGAGGAGCAAGAGGTCTATGAGGGATACTCAAATGTAGGTTGATGACAAGAAGGGAAGTCAATCAGAGTTATTTATACTTAATTACGCTAGTTTGTACAATCCCTCCTCGAGCTCATGAACGCCTTTTCGAGCAGCGCAGCCCAGCTGAAATCCATCAACCAAACAACCAAGAACAAAGTTCCCTCTGAAATTCGTATCTTGCAAAGTGCCGTTGACGTGAGTTTCCTAATTAATTCTTTGCTACGATCGGAGTATATTGCCGACGGAATGCTGACACCTCACAAGGCCTACTTCTACAACATCATCGGTCTCTTCCCAGCCAAAAGCTCGTACAATATCCAGGCCAACAACCAGAAAGCCCAGGTGGATACGCATTGCTTCCAGGCTGTCTGGGCATTTGATCTTGGTTCTAGCAATGGTAATGAGGCTACTCATCAAGCACACAGAAACAGCTCCCTTCACTCTCGATGGATGAAGCGCGGTTCCTGGTGATTTTAGATCATGTCTATCTTTGAATATCACCTGGTTTCATAGTTGGGTGGATGGCAACTGGTAGACCTGGCAGATAGGCGGGTACACCCTGACCACAGGCTGCGCATTTGGCCCATTTTGAACACAAAATTTCTCTGATGCTAGTTAGCATGAATTTATATTAATAATATCAAGACGCATCCATGCATTACAATATAAATATATATAGTCTTATTAAGCTGCATTGAAATCCGAAAATAGGTGAGACAAGTTGATTCGCAATGTAAGACCCCTAGATAAGATCTAAGGGATACTTGGAATGAATGTGGAATGGTAAATAGAGATAAAAGACATACTATAACAGTAAAAGAACCAATAGCTGTAAGAAGTAGCCTACGAAGATAATATACTCCGTTTAGGTTTGTGGGTCACCTAACCTATAATAGCCTAGTTTTGGTCAAGACCCCTAGGCCCCTGGGCGGCCCCTAGTCCTTAAGCACCGAAGCCCATCAACTGGGGGTCGAGTCACTTAGAGCTTACCTCCCAAAGATACAAATAAGAGCTTCGGAGCCCTTCTTTTGCTCTGCCATGATATGCGTTGATACTTTGATTGCCTGTGGAGGTTGGAGATGAGGCAACCGCGACCCACGCAAGGCCCAACGGAGGCGGTGTGGGGAGACTGGGCACGAATAGACAACACAGACCTCCAGTAGGGTCATGAAGTCGCGTTTCCACGTTCATAGCACAGTTGTGTATAACACAGCCTGCGACTCCCCCAGAAAATACATTTTAGTCAAATCCGTTCATTTGTTTCTTCCGTCATGGGGATAGCTGTCTCATCTAGTCAGGCTGTGACGCTCCTCTGCGGTCTCTTGGGTCTTTATATCATCAGGATTGTCACGACATATGCCAAGTTCTCGAAATTCCGGGGCCCTTTGGGAACCGGCATCTCAAACTGGCCGCATAGCATGGCGATGCTTCGAGGAAATTGTCACGAGTGGTATGCAGAAGTCAACAAGAAATATGGTGCGAGGCATCTCTTATACTTTATTTCTCCGCGAGGGCCCTATCTACTGTACCTAACACCTTCGACTCCAGGTCCGATCGCTCGTGTCGCACCCCAAGTGCTAATCACATCCTCTCCCGAAGTTTGGATGCACGTAAACAATAAGCCTGGCTACAAGCGCTCAGATTGGTACTACAGGGCTACACGAATCGAGTACCGGAGGGATAACGTGTTCAGTCAGACGGATAATGTGAAACACGACAAACGGAGGAAGCAGATGGCTCCAGGGGTATGATAGCTATCTCATATCTCTCTTGGACTCTCCCCCCACCATTCATACTGGCATAGGCTGCTGACCAGATATTATTATGAAGTATTCGGGGAGGGAAAATACCCAGCTCGAGGGCTCTGTAGATGAACGACTCCAAGATTTACTAAACCTTATCCGGTCCAAATATATCTCGTCCAATCGTCATGTTGTACCCATGGACCTAGCAAAGAAGGTTCAATACTTTACACTCGACGTTATTAGCAGCGTCGGCCTCGGAAAAGCGTTTGGTATGTTGAAGAGTGACCATGACGTGGACAACTACCTCCAGTCGAGTGAGGAGGGACTTGCTATCAGCCATACCGCCCTTGCCATGGGCTTCAGCTCGATCACCCAGATGCCCTTCATCGGCAGGTTCATTGCAGCTTCACCCAAGGATAACAACGGCTTCGGTAGGATGATGGCTGCGTCTTTCCGCATTGTCGACGCGCGCGCCGCGGAATCCACCAACGAAAGATCTGATATGTTAGCTTCCTTCATCCGCCACGGCTTATCAGGTGACGACTTGCGTAGTGAAGCACTGGAGCAAATTATCGCGGGCTCCGATACCACTGCTGGTGCCATCCGCGGCACACTTCTATACATCATTACCAATCCCCGGGTTTACTTAAAGCTACAGCGCGAGGTTGATGACGCCGTGCGTAGCGGCGGTGCTCCGGGCATAGGCGAAGGTCTTATTACTGCTGCCCAGGCTAAGAATCTTCCGTACCTTCAGGCCGTGATACGCGAAGGTATACGAGTCAGGCCGCCCGTTGCAAACATCCTCCCGCGCGATGTTCCGACAGGTGGTGACACTATTGTCGTTGATGGTGAGAGCATATTCGTACCAGGTGGCGTTTGCATCGGGTACTCGTCATACGGCATGCATAGGAGCGAGGATATCTATGGCAAGGATGCAGAGGCTTTCCGACCCGAGCGGTGGCTCGAAGCGGACCCTGTTAAGTTGGCTGTCATGGTTCGGACCAATGACCTCACATTCGGCCACGGCAAATTTCAGTGTTTAGGGAAGCCAGTGGCCCAAATTGAGATTGGGAAAATGATATTCGAGGTGAGTAGAAAGCACTGCGCATGTCTCCTTTGCTCTTCTTTCTTCTCGGTGACACGCTAACTGTCTATTGGACACAGCTCTTACGCAACTTTGACATAGCACTCATCAGCCCGACCCGTCCCTGGGATGCGCGGAACTACCTCGGACTTTTCGCTATTTCAGATATGTGGGTGCAAGTAATGGAGCGAACGACCTCTTTCCCTTGAGCGGTTAGACGACGCTTCCCGTGTTGTATCAAGAAGTACCCTGTCATAGTGGTGCTTTGCAGGCTTCCTCAGTGATGGTTCTAAGTTGATTCTTCAATGTCTGATGATCATTTTTGAATTTGTGATAACAATGCACGTTTCTCTCGGTTGAATATCGCTTTGAGGAGGAGTACATTTATTTTGTATACCAACTATACAAACACCATCTCCGTTCCTTATTTCACAGATACTGTTGGGGCCACAGGTGTATCGGCACATTCGACTTGAACAATCCGATGCTGAATCTCCCCGTCCGAAGCTGCAATCACAACGGCACTTAATTGGTTGCCGTATAAACACCCCGAATCCAATCCAATTGCGTATCTGCTTTTCTGCAAACGTCGTTTTGCATCGTGCCCGAAGATCACAGTGGTCTTGGATGCTAGCCTATCTTGCCACCGGTCCCATTCCGTAACCCAGGTTTCTTCCCCGGGACTTTCTGCCGATATGAATACATCCTCATCGCCCGGCGTATGGACTAGGCTCCGCATATGCATTATATCATATGGATCCTGGTCTTCAAGTGGGATATTAGGAACGAATCCCGCATGTACGACAACTAGAGTCTCGCCGAGGGTGGAGGGTAGGCCTTGAGGTAGCTTAACACGCAAGATAAAAGGTAAAGCAGCAAGCCAATCGAGCTGGCGCGTCGAAAGTGCCAAGGCCGTACCGCGCGTTGTAACAGATACGCATTTATCAGGAGTCTCGAAGTTTTGAACAGTATGCCCCGGTACATCGGCTTCGGGGTGCTCGGGTACGGCCGAACTGCTACTCAAGTTTCCAGAAGGTGGTAGACGGTCACTTGTGGCATTAATCTCCGCGGCTGCTTTGAGAACCGCATTTTCGTGGTTGCCTCTCACTGCGCTAGCGTCTAACTTGATAGCCAGATCAATAACACCTGAGCTATCGGGGCCTTTATTAACTAGATCGCCAACTAGTATAAGATGATCTCCCTTGCATTTGTCGAAGCCTATTTTGGCTAGCAATGCCTCAAGGGACTTCCTCATTCCGTGTACATCGCCTACAATGACCAATCGTCCACTAGTAGGGCCATTCTCAGAAGACAATAGAGAAGACTGCGGAATATGGTTGATTGGTAGGTCTGAAAGAAAGTTTGTGATTGGAAATATTCTGTCCGTAGATTTCGTAGGGCCCATCTTTTTAGACTTGAAGGATCTCTTTAATTGGAAGGAAATGGAAGACGGAGAATGAAATTAGCGTGTGGGTGTGGGACAGCAGACTAGCGTGGTTTTCGGTAGCCGTCCTGTCGCATGCTGCTCTGTGGTGGGTCTTTCTGTGAGTGCAACAATTGCGAGTTCAATTGTTTGAGCGACATCCTGGATTGAATGTGGAAAGGAAGACAATCTTTGTTGATTTGCTAGATAGGTTGAGAATTTACTTGACTAAACTTGCCAACGATACCCAGATACAATGACAACGGGACGCCTCTATATATTCTTCCCAAATAGTGTGGCTCCATAATATCTTATGAATCAAGTTTGTATCTAGGCAAACTACTGACAGTAGTCCGTATGTCCCCACCACTTTTCTACCGACATGAAAATAGTCTTAGTCTATCATATATGAGGATTTCATTTACGAGAATCTATTTTAGTTAAGAGTTGATGCTACCAGTCGTGGCTACTGCCCCCCCAGTTTCCTCTTCCCTGTGGACACAAGAAGTATATACTCCTGGATAGGAATATACATTATCATATCTTGCCATACCTCAGATTTCTGTCATATGAAAAAAATACGATATGCTGCACTAGGGTATACACTGTCACTGTCGTTGCAGTGACGTCAATCGCCATCGTCACATTGCGATAACTATTCAGATCTTATAACATTTATCTCATTCTGTCTTCTGTTTGATTTGTAAATTTGAGTGCTATATTCCAATTTATAATGCCGTACGAGCTTCCAACAACTCCCAAAGAGAGGATAACCGCCGCCCGCGGCTACAAAGCGTAAGCTGATTTTTATAGGCCTATTTGCAAATGGCTAACAGGAGTATATGAGGAATTTAGAGCATTGCAAAATGACCGCGTCTCGGTTGAGGCCAAGGATCATGCACGGGAGATGCTGCTCAAGTTGAATGAGGAAGAGGCCCGCCAGGAACTCGGCGAAGAAAGTGGGCATGTGCCGTATCACCGCCACCAACAACGTTCGTATGAGAACGAGAGACCAAGCTCCCCTGAGGGAATAATTGGTGCAGCTCGTGGCTATAAAGCGTATGATCTCTCCTTAACACCTTTTACTTCACGAATCGTTTGAAAGAGGGGATAGTTTATCGAGACTATGAGGTTGACTAACGGAATGCAGAGCTATCCATAACCCACTCGTCTCGGAAGAGGGAAAAGAGCATGCCTGGAACATGTTGGAACAGATGGACGACGAAGAAGCTCGGCAGGAGTTATACCATCAAGATGACAGGCCTAAAGATCCTGTCAGAGTTGAGGCGGGTCTAAAAGCGTAAGACTTCGAGGTCCTTGCCCAAGTGCTTATAGTAATAATCATTTCAGCGCACAGAAAAATCCGCTCGTTAGTGAGGATGGTCATCGCCGAGCCACCGAGCAGTTACGTGATATGGAAGGATAATTTAAGGTACCTTCATCTGGCTCATGCACTCATTTGATAACACTTGCCGCAAGATTGCATGTTGCTCGGACCACTATGCTAGATTTTCCACTTGCTTAGAATCTGAAAAGACATGAATCTAAAATATTTGTTGACTTCCCGCCTCTGCGCTTCGAATTCTGAGGACTAGCAGAATTGATTGTCACGACTAGTTTTTGAGTCTCGACATTTTAGGCGATCGAGATAAAGACTTACTAAAGCTGTGAGCTCCATTTTTCAATCATGGTTAGGATTGAACCATATATAAAGATAAATACCATACTGGGAGGATCGTTTAAAAGAATCTACGGAAATTCCAGGAACAATGGTAACATGGATAGAGAGAAAGTTGTATAAAAGTTTCAGATGTCTTTCTGCTTCAAAGTTTAGAAGTTACGACAGTAACTAGCTATAAAAAAGCCCTTCGAAACTTCACTGCTTGTCTCTTCCTGTTTACCCAGACTCATTGACAGCACCGTCCCGATTCTGTCCATCCAAAGGGCAGTCAGCTATTCGTGTTCAATTATACTCTATAGCGCAGACCCACCTTCAAGTTTGAGCAATTTTCACAATTCCTGCAGTTTTCCATGTTGGAGCAGTTTTTGCAATCAGTGCAGTTTATCATGTTCGAGCAATCTTGGCAATTGGTACAACTTGTTATGTTTGAACAGTGCTTGCATTTTTCAGAGTCGTCGCAGTTGCTGCAGAATGAACAATCGATACAATCATCACAATTGGAGCACTGCATCTAATTGTAAGCATGTTTCAGTACCTAGGCAGAGACATTAAGGCTTCTCAGTAGTATGGGGCTAGAATGATCTAGATGGTGTGGAAGCATACATCATTGCATCCTGAGAAGTGGTGTTTAGCACTGCTAGCTTGTTTGCAGGATATAGGCTCACCTTTGCAGTTATGACAGTTACTATTGTTCCTGTTTCCGTCCTTATCTCTGTAGACAGAGAATTAGTTGACGAATTGGCTTAGTGGGAAAGAAACCTAGTGAACATAGTGAAATAGCTCTGAACTCACTCATTCTTAAGTGGAAGTTGTGTCATGATGTTGCCCTCAAAAATATTTTGTCTGCTAATAATGCCGAGCAGTATCTCTTTTAATACGCAGTCAAATGAAAGGGATCTAATCAGGCAGGCTATATACCTACCCGTGGACCTAGTGCATGCTTACTCTTCCACCTAGGCAACCAGGTTGGAAACTTGAAAAGTTATGTCAGTATGACGTAACTCATATAAAAGTGACCTTGGGAGCAAACAACAACTATATTCGTCTATATCATGAACTTTTGTTTAGGGGAAGAGCTTACATAACGAAGGTTGCCGGAATGAAGCTGGCGAGACTGAGAATTTATAAAAGACGCAGATGGAAGCACAAATTACCCCACCCTGGCTCACCATAACAGCCCACGTAGAGCAGCCTATTATCGCGGCCCTAGGGCCCCCTAGCCAAGGATTATGAAATTCCATAGCTGGAGCGATTTTTGAAAAAGATTCGGTTCTCTGATTGCAAGTATAATTTTACGTGTAAGTCCCTGCAGCAATAAAACTTCGCATTATGGACATATTTTGTGTCTTCTAGGTACATTAATCTGCCTTAGTTATATCCATTTGTATCTGAATACTTTATCTGACATTAATACTGTGATATAGGCGATTGCCATTGTTAGCATGATACCGTATCTTACTACACGAAAGTTCTATTATTTCTTTACTTTGTCCGCATTCATTATCAACGTTGGTCTTGGGAGAGGAAACAAGCAGTCAGAAACGCAAGTGCTGCATCTAGCTACAAAGAATTCAGCATTCAACAAAGCGAACCAAATGAGGATGAGATATATCTAGGGCAAATGGGCGATTTTCGTAGATTACCTGATTCTAGTATCTTAGAAATCAATTCGCTTGCTTCGACAAATTAGGCAGGACATCTGGGAAGTTGAGTGAAGGGTGCCACGACCTGGAGCTATAGTTATTACTAGGGGGGAAGTGCCTGGAGAGACAGATTGCCTCAGCAGCTAGCTTTGATAGTTTGAGATCTGCCAAAGTCTTGTCATGGTTCTGGTGGCAGCAAGCTCTACTAGATTGCTGCTGAGACTAAAGAGGAGACTGTCTGAACTGACAGGCTATCTTGAGCACAGCACGATACTAAATCTTCTTCTCACTACATTGCTCAACCTAGCAGCATTAATAGAAAAACTTGAAACCTTTAAAATAAATGGCCCCCTTGTTATCTGCCTTGTCCACTTTCACTTCTAATGTTCTAAGATTGGAAATGCTAAGTATATTGCGTCATATGATTGGTCTGGATTATGTTCATTCGTTCATTTCTACTACTGAGTTGCTCTTCAATAAGGCTGTTAGAAGTCTAGTAGCCTTCTGTCCTATCCTTTGTTTTTGCTTCTAGGGGATAATAATGCTCTTGTCTATCTTGAAAGAAATACTATATCTATATTAGTTTTATTTGTTGAAGAGCTTTGTTAGGTATCCTATTATTATTGACGACAATCCTTTGTGCTAAAAAAAGATAAAGAAGATATTTACAGATAAGTTCTGAATTCGGGTCTCAAAGATGTCCTCGAGTATTTAACTGTCAACGAAGCCCGTCCTATCTTTCGATATTCATTAACAACAATCATTCAAACAATCAACATTGCGACTCAAACAATCCAACAATATAACAATCCCTCAACGAAAATCATCTACCATTAACATTTTTCAACATGCCTCGCACTACCATGCGATTGCACGCTAATATGAAGGCAAACGACGCAAATGAGCGGAAAATCTGGAGGCCACTTCATCTTGATAACGCCCAATATCCACAGATTGCACTTGACCGTCAGTCTGTTCTCGACTTTATCCGTAGTGTCTACGATCCTTTGCTAATCGCTTGGCTTGCTGTACCTGGTAATACCTGGGCAAACCAGTTTTCATCAAACACTTCCGGTAACGAATTTCAAGAACAGGTTATTGCAAGGATGGAAGAACTTCCATCGGGTATTCAATCGATAGAGAGAGAGACAGTCCTTGGTAAAATACTATACGATATTCTCAGGTTTTACCGATTCACCGATGCCGCCTGGAGAGTACCTTTGCCTGGCGCTGCTGCCGCTCCTCCCCCTCCCCCTCCTCCCCCTCCTCCTCCCGGTGCTGCTGCTCCTGTTCCTGCTCCTGCTCCTGCTGCCGCTCCTGCCCATGTTTGGGAAGGCAGTGTGCTTGCTGCTGCTATTGCCTTGGGAGTGGTTACTACTGCTGCTAACCTAGAAGTGCTTGCAGATGCTGCAGAGCAAGTACTTGGGCCCGATGCTCCTGCTACTGCTAACCCTCCTACTCCCCTAGAGATCCTTGCAGAAGCTGCAAGCGTAGCCGAGCCTAGTCCTGTGGTTTCTCCTACCTCTTCCCTCGATATACTTGCAGATGCTGCAGCCGGACTTCCTTATGCGCCTGTGCCCGCTCCCGCTGCTGCTGCTGCTGCTGCCCCCGCCCCGGTTAATTCTCCTGCCTCTGGAAACAAGCGAGACAGAGACGAGGAGTCTGAGGATGAGTCTGAGCGCCCTGCCAAGAAGAAGCAAGCGGTGAGTCCGAAGTAATCCATGTTTTATTATCATTTTCATTAGTATCTATACATGTATATCATCTTGGCTTTGTTAAATATGACTATGAGCGCATTTAATCTTATATAAATCATTATTCAATACCCAAATCTGTATTGAAGCAATCCAGCTGGAAATTGGGATTGATCATTTTGATAAAGTTTGGACCATGTCCTATATCTCACCATAGTCCTACGCTACATATATATCACATCAAAATCGACAATATTTGCTCTTTTTTATCCTCAAAATCATATAGAAATATGCAATTTTTATATCTTAAATATTACTATAGCCTCGGAATACGTTCTATCAAATTTCTTTTGTGAAATAGATTTTTTCTGTTGAAATGATTGAGGTTAAAATCCAAAGAGTTTGTTTTTACAGACTTTGAGCATCCTACTCTATCCTACTCTAGGACTCAAGTGTTATTTTCTAAGTTCAAGTGGCTAATAAGAGCTTGATTTGGTTGAGAATAACCTAAATCGCTTGTGGAATTACTTTGAGGCATTAGCTCTATCCACCCCTGAAGATATCGTGGTAACACATAGGTTTCAGGCAGACGTACGGATGTGTGCATGTACAAAGGGAGAAGAGCATTGCTCTGTTGTTTGAGGATCAACATCTGCTTAAAATTAGACGATCTCTTTTGTATATCACTAATAGCTCACTACATATCGCATAGTTATAAAGCAGCCAACGTTTGCATACTAGTTTCCCCAGCTTCTGGGTTCATAGCTCTGACAGCCCTGTTTCTCGCAATCTACCATGCACTTTGACTTTACTGTAGACCCCTACTAATAAATTTTCAAGTTACTAATAGTAGTAATAGTATCGGAATAAAATAAATATTGAAGCAGATCCTTGATATACTAGCTCTCATTTATAAGCTGAATCACCTGACCGCGAGGAAAGGACCTGAGTCCGAAAGTGGTTAGTGGCGATTTGGCTCTTGGCACTCACCCGTGAGTTTTGCGTGTCGCGACCAACCTCCCAAGTGCCCCCAGTAACCCGTCCAATCATCACTTTAGGCCTCCTCTTCCATCTCCTACGGCCTTAATTTACGCCATTGCTGGCTTTTACCCATTCCATCCCATACCATCACGGCGCTTTGTACGGCAGACAGATTGATACACGGGAAAGGAGTTGACCGCGACAGCTGTTTGCTTTGATCCATCATGGATGAGACTCCCATCAACCAAGTTTCGGCCCACGAGAACGCCCAGTCTGTGGCTGGCCTAGATGGTGCAGCTGATGCAGTTCGCGACGCCTCAGGTATATCTACCCCCAAATTGCTTTGATGTTGCACCGAGTGCTAAATTCGTGGACAGGAGCGCAATCCCGCCAGGATTCGCCCGTGAAAAAGATTGAGAATACACCTGGGTCCGACAATCCGATGGATGCCCCCGCATCCCCCAGACCTCGGAACGGCGGGATTGAACAGGAAGACGAAGAGATGGGTGGTACTGAGACTGACGGTAAGCCCGACACCGAGGGCTTGGAGGATGCTTTGGGGGAGTCGCATACGCAAGCAGAGGGAACGGATGGGCTTGATGACGCTGTGGGTGAAGATCAACCCGCGCCATCTAAGTCGTCTCTAGAAGCCGCTGCGCGCGAACAACTCGTCACCCAAACACACGCCATCATCCTCCCCAGCTATGCGACATGGTTTGATATGAACACCATCAACCCAATCGAGAAGAAAGCTCTTGCCGAGTTTTTCAATGGCCGCAACCGCAGCAAGACGCCTGCCACATACAAAGATTACCGAGACTTTATGATCAATACCTATCGATTGAACCCCATCGAGTATTTAACCGTTACTGCTTGCCGTCGCAACCTTGCGGGTGACGTCTGTGCTATTATGCGTGTTCACTCATTCCTTGAGCAGTGGGGCTTGATCAACTATCAGGTGAGTGGCTTTGTCTTTCCCTTTCAAACACCTCAGCTAACATCTCTGTAGGTTGACCCTCAGACACGGCCGTCCAACATTGGACCGCCATTCACTGGCCACTTCCGCGTTATCGCAGATACTCCGCGGGGTCTGCAGCCATTCCAGCCTGGACCAAATCACAGCGTCACGTCCGGCAAGCTTCTTCCGGCCACACAGCGTGCCGCCTCTTCCGTCCCTGCATCGAAAGACGACCTCAACCTCGAATTACGCCGCACCATTTATGACGAAAAAGGCAGGGATATCACCTCCGCCGAAGATAAAGAGAAGCAGACCAACGGGGAAGCAACAAACGGCTTGGACATTACACAGGAATCCAAGAAGAAGGCACACTGCTTCTCTTGCGGTATTGACTGTACCAAGCTTCGATTCCACTACGCCAAATCCGCCTCAACGTCAGCCAATGCCACTACACCAGACACCAAATATGACCTGTGCCCCAACTGCTTCCTTCAAGGGCGAATGCCTTCTAGCCACAATGCCTCGGACTTTGTTAAGCTCGAGGACAAGGGCCACTCTCAGTTAACTGACAAAGATGCTCCGTGGTCAGACTCGGAAGTGATTTTGTTGCTGGAAGGCCTGGAGAACTTCGATGAAAACTGGGAACAAATTGCAAACCACGTTGGCACACGATCTCGGGAGGAGTGTGTCATGAAGTTCTTGCAGCTTGAGATCGAGGACAAATACGTTGAAGATGTCCCCGAGTTGCAGGCTGGTAGCGGACGTGACCCCATCAGCCAGTCCGAAAACCCCGTTCTTTCTGTTGTGGCATTCCTGGCCCAGATGGCGGAGCCCTCAGTTGCTGCCGCCGCCGCCGGTCGGTCGGTCGACGAGATCCGTAAGGAGCTCCGGAGCCAGTTGGAGAAGGGACAAGGCAAAGGCAAAGATGCAGTTAAGTCCGAAGATTCCATGGATGTGGACCCCACACGTGAGGCCGAGCAGCAAGTTTCCGCTAAGCCTAAGGAGACACTTGGCACCATCGCCCTGGCCGCAGCTGCCGCACGTGCCGGAGCTCTTGCCTCACACGAGGAGCGTGAAATGACCCGCCTGGTCTCTGCTGCTGTCAACGTCACCCTGCAGAAGTTCGAAATCAAGCTGCAGCAATTCAACGAGATGGAAGAGATTATCGAGGCTGAGCGTCGGGAGTTGGAACAGGCGCGCCAGCAGCTCTTCTTGGACCGGATGACGTTCAAGAGGCGTGTTAAGGAGGCCCAGGATGCGCTTCAGACTGTCAGCATGCAAGGCCCCAACGAGCACACCAACCAGATGCTGGCTGATGCTGCTACTACGGGTATTGGAAACCACTACAGCTTCCAGCCTGTTGGTGGAGATATGCGGGCTGGAACCCAGCCTCTGAGCGCTCAAGGCGGTCCTGACTACAAGACCCTTGAACTGTAGTCTTCCTCAATACATGTACGATACTCCCCCATGGATCTTCCGAGAGAGGAACCCAAAGGGACTGCTTTTCGTCTCGCTGAGTTATGAATATTCTGCACTTTCTGGCTTGGAAAAGGCGCACATCTTGTTTTTCTGTTATCTGCTGGAGTTCTTTTCTGTCGATTCACCCTCTCTCCAGAAAGTGGATTGTTCTTAGGGGGTTGAACTAGGGGGTTGGGATCTTTTTTTTCATCGATGTGTTTACTCCTTAATCATATGTCCTTGATGGGAATCTTATATTCTTGCTCAAAGTAGAATGTAGTGCGTCTCACCCAGGCAGGCCTCTTTGGGTCGTCAGGTTGACCAAACTTTGTCATGTAGTGTTGTACTCCAGACTCTTGAGCGATTAGTGGGGTTTATCCTTGCTGAAATCTATCCTCATCGTCCTCATTATCAATTATTGCCTCCTCAATTATCGCATCTTCGATCGAGGGAATCGGGGCGGAGAGAGCAGCTGCTGACTCGTTGTATCGGGCCCTTTTCAACGGAGGCATTTCCATGTCTTCCTTCAGATCTGCGAAATCGTACCCGTACTCCTCCCACTCGTTACGGTAGACAGTCCGGTCCCGCCAACTAGAGATATCTTCTTTAATCCTGCGCTCCAGCAGTAGCTTGGTCTCGTCCTCCGCTAGCTCTGCTTTCAAAGGTTGTTGGTCAAGGACGGTCGGCACGGGTTGATCCATTAATTTCAGAAAGTTGGCTTCTTCACGGCGGCTGACGTTTTGGTCCGCGATGTCTGCTTGCTCTTCTTCTGGGTCCTTTTCCAATTCCTCTGAAGATACAATTGGCGATGACATTCGGGAGGACTCTCGCGTGGGCAAAGGATCGTGATCAGGGTCCTCTGGTTCTGAATATGGTTCTGATTCAAGTTCGGACTCTGGTTCCGGTTCCGGTTCTGGCGTTGGCTCAGGTTCTGCCATTTGCATGCTGGCATCCATTTCGATATCATCATCCGTTGCGGTAGGATCGCCTATTTCAATGTCGTCGTCTTCACTGTCCTCGTCACCATTGTACGCAGTTCCATCTTTACGATACTGGGTCCACTCGTGTTTGTCGATGATCTCTTCGGCTTCTTCGTAGGTGAATACTGTAGGCACCCAGCCTTTCCGATTGTGAATGTCTTCTAGGACGGTTTCGTTGCGACGAGCAATATCCACAAAGTTGGGCCTGCAGTGCTTCATATTGAGCACTTCAATCGCGGCCCGCACATCTTGCATTCGAACATGCCCTTTTCTATCGTTCCCACTGCGATTCAAGCCGCGCAATCTTGACATTGCAAAGAAGAGTGATGATTGTACCAAGCGGCGCGTGAGACTAACGGCGAGAGAGTAGAAATCCACAACAGTATCTGCAGTCATAGACGGGGCATGTCCATACGCTGTGATTAGATCTTTTCTCTTGGCAAGATTCCACCAGTTCTTCTCTGCTTGTTTCCCACCGAAGTTCATGAACAAAACATGAGAAAGCCGAACCCAATCTGGGAGGTTCAGTAAATCAGCTGCAAGGCGGAGGTCACCTCGAGTACTGTCGTCTTCCTCGTCGGCCAGATGCTGTGCACGGTCACTAGTGATAATCCAGTTGTCTCCGTGCTGCTTTGTTCCGGTTTGGGCTTCAGTGAGGGACTCTTTCAATACTAGAACATCGCCATATTCATCAAGTAGCTCACAGCATTCCTGGCTGACCTCTGTGGCCGCCTGGACATCGCTCAACACAGGCATACGCTCTAGGTGCACGTCGGAATTATACTGGGCCTCCAAGGCCTTATGCAAAAGTTGGATATATTGCATAACCTCAAGTTCCGACTTGGTACCAATTGCAGCAGCAAGCTCTTTGATGCCGCCTTTGCCCTTCCGGTCCAGTCCATTGAAGAACACTTCTTTCTCCGTGGGCGTCCAGACCATCGAACCATGTTGGCTGACTTGGTATGTGTTGTCGATTTCTCTCAGCGAGGCATAATCAATAAGCTCCTCGTTTTGGACGATAAGGTGGGAATAGGCTCGGAGAAACGTGAGCGATCCACGCATTTGTGGGACGCGTGCCATGAGCGCCTCGCCGATTTGTCGTTCGACCCCATGGAATGACGGGTCATCACGATAATCATATTCGTCTTGGTTTGGAGTTGAAGGGCGTTCATTGGACGAGCTGGGTTGCTCGAAGTTTGACTCGGGCTCGGGTTGTTCGAAGTCGGACCCAGACTCGGGGTCGTCGTCGGGCTCATAGACGGAGGAATCGCTCATCGTTCAGGCTCGCGGATTTGCAGCGCATGCGAGACGATCGATAGCAACACATCACAGCTACACCTTCAATGAAACCTACCACGTCAATTTCATCAATAGTTATAGAAACAACAGAAAAAAAGTTGAGCTAGGGAGATCCACTATGAGATGCGCTGTTATCGATAAGCATGTTTGCACTGTTTGGTCTTGTTTTTGACCTTCGCCGAGGAGAGAGAGAGCATTTGCAACATCTGCATGGAGTTCATACGCTGTGTCTCACGATTGAGGCTCTCAAGGAGGTATTTGGTGAAGAGTCCTCTGTTGCAAAAATCTCTGCGCGATGTGCGCTTCAATTCCACCGAGTCTCCGGTGCCTCCAAGCATTGTGCTTCGCGACTACCAAGAGGAAAGCATTCAATCCGTCCTGAAATATTTAGGCGAAGGCCATCGACGCCTAGGAATCTCGCTTGCAACAGGAGCTGGCAAGACGGTATGGCTGAATATACTCTTTATCTAAAATAGTCCTGATCTTTGCAGGTCATATTCACACAACTTATCAGCCGAATCCCTCCTCGCGATGCGAAAGCCACCAAAACCATGATTATCGTCCATCGACGCGAACTCGTCGAACAAGCCGCAAAACACTGCAGCCTCGCCTATCCTGACAAGACAGTCGAAATAGAAATGGGCAAGAATGTTGCGACGGGAGCAGGGGACATCATCATCGCGTCAGTTCAGACACTAGCGCGGGGACGCATATACAAGTTCGACCCGAGTGCATTCAAGCTCGTGTTGGTGGATGAGGCTCATCATATTGTTGCCAAGTCATACCGCGAAGCTTTGGGGCATTTTGGGTTGAACGAACCATCTGCCGATGGACCGGTCTTGGTGGGCGTTTCCGCTACTTTTTCACGGTTCGATGGTCTCAAACTGGGTGCTGCCATTGATCATATTGTCTATCACAAGGACTACATGGACATGATTGGTGAAAAGTGGTTAGCCAATGCGATGTTCACAACTGTCAAGTCCGGAGCCAATTTGTCCAAAGTCAAGAAAGATAGTTTCGGAGACTTTGCCTTGGGATCACTTTCGGAGGCGGTTAATACTACATCTACGAACAACATCACAGTTCGGGCATGGATGGCAAGTGCTGAGAATCGAAAGTCGACTCTGGTATTTTGTGTCGATGTCGAGCACGCGCGACAGCTTACCGCCGCTTTTCGCGATCATGGTGTTGATGCTAGGTATATCACAGCTAGCACAACTAAGACAGTACGCACGGAACAGCTACAGGCTTTCAAGAACCAAGAATTCCCAGTGCTGCTAAATTGTGGTCTTTTCACAGAAGGCACAGATATTCCAAATATCGACTGCGTGCTCCTAGCTCGACCCACCCGATCTCGAAACCTGCTCATGCAAATGATTGGGCGTGGTCTTCGGCTGTTTCCTGGAAAAAAAGACTGTCATGTCATCGATATGGTTGCCTCCCTAGAAACTGGAGTCCTATCAACACCGACATTATTCGGCTTAGACCCAGACGAAGTTTTGGATAACACCAGTGTGGAAGATATGAAGAAGAATGATGATCAGGGCAGTCAAGAGGAACAAACCCCCGAGGCTGCTGAGCCATACGATGGCTCAGACAACGACCTGAAACTCGAATTTACAACATATGACAGTATATACGATCTCTTAGGAGACATGCAGTCCGAACGACACATCAGGTCATTCAGCCCACACAACTGGGTCCGAGTCGGCGATGACAGATATATGCTTACTGATATATCTGGCTGGATAACGATTGAGAAAGGAGACGATATCTTCACAGCTCATCATGTCATGAAATTCAAAGATCCAGACACCGAGGCACCGAAATTCACACGTCCTCGGATGATCGCCACTGGCTCTGATTTGGAGAGCATAGTCCGGGCAGCGGACACCTTTGCCAGTACCAAATTTGATGAACATTACATCGCATCTTGGAAGCCTTGGCGACGAGCCCAAGCAACACCAGGACAAATCAAAATGCTGAACGCAGCTCGTATTCGAAATGGCAATGTGAAGCCCGAGGACTTGACTCGCGGCCAAGCGGCTGATATGATTACAAAGCTGAAGCATGGAGGCAAGAAGCGCTTCAAGGACTTGGAGGTTCAGAAGCGGAAAAAGCTACGGCAAATGGGTAACATGGCTGAGCTGCAAAGAAGGGTTGATGTGAAGGTCGGACCAGTCGAGGCTTGATAGAATAATGTGTGGTTTCTAGTAAATCATTGGAGAAACAGACAAGTTTAACTAGCGAAACTGCTCGAGAGAGTCGTACAAAGCCTGAGAGTTACATGACTCTAATGTCAAAAAGCTCAAGACGTACCTATTCAGATTCCTATATTGAAATGCTGACATACAGAATAAGCTCTTAACATCATATCCATAGGTCTCGAACCCCATTTTAGTGATAATAGATCACAATATGGCCAAGTAACCAAAAACAAAGAAATTTCATATGAAAACATTCAACCCAAACCACAAACCCATACTCGCTAGGGAACAAATCGTCCCTGGTAAGTCTTGCTTCAATGTTGTCTGACAGGCTTCCTTCCATATACAACAACCCTGCCGAACGTCAGTTCCACCATCTCACCCCCAAGAAAAACACCCTCAGGAACTGACTCTTTAATATAAGCATGCATGAACTTATCTCTCAACTGCTTCTTAACCGTAGCCTGAAAGATACGCGAAGGCTCCGCACCCCAACCAAGAACCTGCGTAAAAAGCCTCAACCCATAAGACTCCACAGCCTGCTGGGCCATAACAGCCTGGTACTTCCCAATCTCCTTGAGATAAGGATCGCGCGGCCAAGGCGATGATGGCAGCAGATACGTAAACTGCTGCACGTCTTCAAAGCCCGCATCAATCATCCATTCTTTCAGCTTATGATAGATGTTAAGCTCCCGTCCCATTCTCTGTCCCGCTGCATTGACGGCTTGCAGGTACTGGATGAACGGCGAGTCGGCCTTTAGTGTGCCGTCGTCGCTCCAGGCCCAGACGGCGCTTTCTTGTATCTCGAAGTAGCCGCCTGGTTTTAAATGGTCGAATACTCGCGCGAAGAACTGCGACCAGTTTTCTACGCATCTGGAGCGTGTGAGATTTGTAGAATTGGTGCTGGCGATTGGGGGATGGCTTACCCGGCTAGTAGGCGTGCGTGGATAAAGTCGAAGCTGTTTTTTTTGTAGAACCATTCGCTTTCGAAGTCTTCGACGATGAACTCCACGTTCGGGGCGACCCAGTTTGGTTGGATGGCGCTGATGTCGTTTCCGATGACCTTGGCGCCGGGGAATTTCCTGTGGATGTGAGCTTCGGGCATCGATCGACGTGTTATATGTGTGTTCGTACTCGGCAATATCAAGAGCCCATATGCCAGTTCCTGTTCCAAGGTCGAGGATGCTCTGGGGATTCTTGACTGGAGCTTTGTGTAACTCTCCCTTCATCAACAATAGCCATCTTGATAGCTGGATTGTTAGCATTGTGTTGAAAATCAAGGAAGATAGCCTTAGCTGACATATGATGTGCCTGGGGGAATTAGCCATGTCATGCAGACGTAATATGGGGCTGTCATATCATACCAGATCCATTCGATCTTGTTCCTCTTCATCGTTTGGCATCCTATTCAGGTTAGTTATGCCTCTAGGCTACGTCGAACGGGGAAGCATAATACATATAGTGCCCCTAACATTGAGTCAATAACCTGGATTATAAGAGAGGTTGCATAGAAAGCAGGGAAAGATCCTTACACTCCGGTTGCTGTGATACCGCCGACCATTTTCATATTCATAATCCAGAACGCTGGAAGAAAGAGAGGTCATATCGGAATCGCTGTCAAACTCGCTACTTTCATCCTATCCGCAGGGTAAGCATAGGGACAGGAACTCGAAAAGATCGGAGATCTCGCTACACATACAGTAAAGTCATCGGCGATGATTGGACCATCGGCGTTGATCGGGGCGTTTGTTCGATCGTCGTTTGGAAGTTGGGGTTCGGGGCTTGATTCCCGACTTTGGTCACTTCCATACAGGGAAGACATTGTGAGAATAGATGATCTAGAAGAAAGGGGCTTAATGTGCAAAGATGGGTGTTGGCCGGTGACGCACACCGGGGGTTTTAATTCACAGTCTCTCTAATCCATGCCGTTAGTCTACATGTGACAAGTCTTCTGCCTATTTGACATTTTGGGCGGTTCCACCTTGAGGGTTTTTTTTTTGGCCTGTAAGGGGCTGCACGATATCTAGTGACAGGAAATGCCACGATGTGTAGCGGAGACTTCCTAATGTCTATTTTTTTTATAAACCCTCAGAACTACGGAGTATACAGTTTACTACTACTTAGAATGCTATATATCACACCAGTTCCCTAATCTCTGTTTTTTTCTTTTTCTCTTTCTTTTTCTTTTCTTTTTCTATCTTTTTCCCCCTTTATTTTCAATATAAACATCTGTCTAGAAAACCATAATAATGATATTAAAATGGAACAAATCCATCCTGACAGTTGGGTAAATAGTAGAAGGAATGCAGCATGCAGCATGCAGAAACAGGAAAACGAAACATTTTCAAATCAACATGACTCATGTACAGGAACTCAAGATAGACCAGTACCAAGCTTAGAAGGGTCGGTAAGACCAAAAGTTCTAGCCCTCATAGCATATGCACATGTAGTCTATAGTGGGGAACCTGTTCAGGTTGAATCGCGAGCTGTTGATTGGAGGATCACAAGAAGCATCCTGCTATATCACCCTGAAGAAATGCAGAACCGTTAGGGCTAGGCTTTTGTCAGTTTTTACATATAGCAGACTACCTACAACATAGATGAGGTATATGATGGTCAACCGTCAGCTTGCTCAAGATTGCGTCGAATATCTCATAGCTACATATATGTAGGTGTTTGTGGGTTAATAGAAAGAAAAGTTAATGGATATAAGGCGTGGAAAAGATTGCTACCTTCCCTCTCCACTATGTTTTATGCAAGGAAAGTATCAGGCACAAAGTGTGCAACATACGACTGGATGTTCCCCCTCGCATATCCGTAGCTCCTACTTGGCCCCAGCGGTTGACGGTGCGCGTGATCATATAGACAGTGTGGGACTATCAGCTGGTAGATAGATTGCCTAGGAACAGGCAGCGAGATGATAGAGTTTTCGAGAGTCATGTTGCTCATGATCAGGGGTATAACTGACAATGAATGCGTTGCAAGAAGCAGGCAAATACCAGGTCTGTATAGACCTCTTATGCGATCTAATAAAAAGACCACAATATATGAAGCAACAGCGAGAGCCAGGCAACCTCAGCATCCCTGGTAGGGTTTTAAACTGTACAAAAGCTGGATTTCACTCCGACAGAACGGAAAACGAACACACTGTATATTGTGATTCCAATCGGTGTTATATATCCATAGACTTTTACCGTTTGAATCATCGAAGAGTTTACTTGAAGTACAGTTACAGTTTCTTTACTTACCAAACTATCGAAACATCTACATATGTACCCTTGACTTAATATACACCTCATAAACCATCGGGATCATACTGGTACTCGGCTCATAACAAGAGGGATGGACGGCATGCCGAGATGGAATGAGGAGCCGGCGCGCACTGATAAAAATAGAATGGAGTGTGATTATAATTCGGGCTCTTGTTTCATCATAAGAAAAAGCTGACTATCTACTCTTATTTTCCTCACTAGGATGACTAGAAAAAAATTACAATCATCCATTGGCAGTATAACAAACTTGAGTGGAACCTCTGATTTAGACTTCAACGGAAGAAGGTTCTAACGGATATTTGATATAGATTATGCAAATGGGAGTAAAGGAGAATACAGAATGAATGAGAAAGCTTGTTAGAATACAAGGCTCAAGGCAAACCAGGCATGCAATTCATAGCATAAAATGAAGCCAACCCTCTAGGATGAGGGTGAACCAGCATGATCAGGTATTGACATTGTTATTTTGGGAGTGAACCAACATGAGGATGTATAGCTTTATGTTCTGAAATACGAGGGTACAGATCTACAGGCCTTATAGTAATAATGAATATTTGAACATGGAAATGTATTTTGTCCTATCAAAGCATATGAAATTCATCAAGCAATCATAATATGCATTAAACTCCTCAACTGGGAGTTTAGATGTCATCCTCATCGGAGAACACCTCCTCACCACGCTTGCGGCGGGCAGCACGCTCCTTCTTCTTCTTGCGGAGCTCAGAACCTGTAACAAACCAGTTAGCAATTGAAAATTGTGATGTGTAAGTAAGAAATAATTGGATGACATACCAGTCAGCTTGACCTTCTTGGTCACGGTGATCTTGTTGCCCATAGCATCGAACTTGTCCTCGTCATCATCGCCCTTGGCGTCGAGACGGGGACCGGAGCCCTGACCCTGGACCCAGTTGTGTCCGGAGGGGGTCATGACACCGTCGTTGACGGCCCAGACTTCCTCAGTCAGGTGCTCAGTGAACTCGCGGGAGTGAGTAATGATAACAACACCACCCTCGAAGGACTTGATGGCCTTGGAGAGGGCACCGAGGGAGTCACGGTCGAGGTAGTTAGTGGGCTCGTCAAGAACGATGACGTGGGGACGCTGCCACGAGCAAGCGGCGAGAACGACCTTAACACGCTGGCCACCGGACAGACCACGCATGCGAGAGTGAGAAACCAGCTCGGCATCGAGACCGAAGTTGGCGCAGTGCTGCTCGATCTCCTTGCGGACAAGGGGACGGAACTGACCGGAGGCGAGGGCCTCCTTCTGATCAACCTCAGCGACCTGCTTGGGGTGGGAGACGATAATCTCGGAACGGGGCAACCAGGTGTTGTCAGCGGACATGAGAGGAGTCCACTTCTCGGACTTCATGCCGACGTTGTCACCCAGAGACCAAGAGATCTCGTACTCGTAAGTGTTCTTGAACTTGCGACGAGAGTGGATGCCAATGACGCGGCGGAGGGTACCGTCGACCTTGTAAATCTTGTCCATAGCCTTCTCATCCTCATCGGTGACGATCTTGTTGGCGCGATCCATAGTCTCGCGGTCCTCACCGGTCTGGAAACGCCACTGGATGTACTCGGAAGGAGTGGAGTTGAGGTGGTTATCGATGTGAGCGAAAGCGTGCTGCTTAATGTAGGCAATACGGATGTTCTCGTGCTGGTAGACTTCACCGGAGGTGGGGATAAGTTCACCAGTCAGAACGTTAACGAGAGTAGACTTGCCAGCACCGTTGGCACCGATGACAGCAATACGGGAACCAAGGGAGACCTGGAAGGTAATTCCGTGAATCTGGGGCTTGGGGGTACCGGGGTACTGGAAGGACATGTTGGTAACACGGCAAATAGCCTTGGACTTGGTCTTGACACCCTCAAGGAAACCGGGCTCGGGGAACTTGAACTCCATCTCGGAGGCACCGAGCTCGTAGTAGGACTTGGCAGCGGGGTGAGCCTTGACGAAGTCGGAGAGGGTACCGCGGTAACGGCGGAGCTTGAAGCGCTCGTAGTGAACGACGTGCTGGATGACGTGGTCAAGGAAGCTGGAGTCGTGAGAGACCATGATAGAGGTGCAAGGGGAGTTCTTGAGGTAGTTCTCGAGCCATGCGACGTTCTTGACGTCCAAGTGGTTGGTAGGCTCGTCAAGCAGGAGAATATCGGGGTTCTCGAAGACAGCACGGCAGAGGGCGAGCTTCATCTTCCAGCCACCGGACAGGGCAGTGATGGGACCCTGGATCTGGAAAGCGGAGAAACCGAACTCGTTGAGCAGCTTGTCCTCAAGCTCCTCACGGGGAGGGTTCTGTCCAACTTCGGCAAGCTTCTTCTGAGTCCAGGCAATGACGGTCTGCTCGGTATCGGCAGAGTCGAGATCGTGCTCGACGTAGACGGTCTTGACCTCATCCTTCTTGGGGAAACCCTCAAGCTGCTCGTTGTTGATGGCACGCATGAGAGTGGTCTTTCCGGAACCGTTGGGGCCGAGGAGACCGTAACGCTGGCCACGCTTGAGGCGCAAGTGAGTCTGGTTCAGCAGAATCTTGGCACCGTAGGCGAGGGAGAAGGTACAGTTGCAAAGATCTTCACCTTCCTCCTCATCGGAGGCCATGGCATCAGCAGCGGCGGCATCGGGGCAGGCCTTGCTGCGGAGAGCCTCAGCAACAGACTTAGCATCCTCCTCACCAACGATGGCAGTGATGTAAGGAATGGTGTTCTGGGTCCAGATAACGTGGTCGTTCTCCTTCTCATCAACGAGCTGAGCGGCAATGGCAGCAACGTAGTTGATGGCCTCCTCGGAAGAGGCAATGAGGTCCTTGTGCTTAGCCTCGAGGATCTCCTTGAGGATAGCAGAGACAGTGGAGATATCACCAGCGCGGGAGACCTCGGGGATCTTGCCGTCAACGACGTGACCGACACGGGAGAGGGTGTCGAGAGCCTGGCGAGTCTTCTCACGGGCCTCGGGGTCGGCAAGAGTCTCGAAGTTCTTGTTCAAACCGGGCAACATTTTAGGCAAGAAGGGAGCGACAAGCTGGGGATCCTCCACGAGCTTACACATGTTATCGACAATAACAGCGGTCTTACGCTTGATGGCGGTCTCACGCTCAACGAGACCACGGTCAAGCAGGGGAACCATGATAGCGAGGGTAGGGCCAGTGACATCAGTAACGAAAGTGGTGGCACCGAGCAAGTGAACGGTCTCGGCGACGTTCTCGGGCTTGGCAATACACTTGATCAGCTCGGGAATGAAACGCTCAATATCCTTGTTGACGATCAGACCGCAGACCTTCTCCATGGTGGAGTAGGCAGCCTTCTTAATCTCGGACTTGGTATCCCACATAGCCTCGGAGATGACGGGGATCAGAGTGGGGACCTGGTAACCAAGCTGCATCTTGGCGGAGTCAACGAGGATGTTGAGGCAGTCGAGGGCAGCCATCTTTTCGGGCCACTTCTGGGCGTTGGCGAGAGAGTTGAGGATAGGGGTGATAACGGCCTTGACGGCGTTACCGCTAACAGCCTGGACAATGGCGACAGCGGCGGACTGAGCGGCCTGCTTGACGGGGACCATCTTGTCACCGACGGCAGCGAGGACGGGGCCGAGGAGAGCCACGAGGTGGGGCTCAACACCGGGAGCGATTGTGGAGTGGGAGGCAATAGCACGGATTCCCTCGCAGGCACGCTCACGGGCGGTGGCGTCCTTCTTGTTGGCGAGCTGCTTCTTGAAGATCTCAGCGGCCTTGGCAGGAAGAACCTGCTCGGGGATGGGACCGCCGAAGAGAGTGGCAAGGTTGTTGGCAGCGGCATTGGTCTCATCGGCGCTGGCGGACAAGTTGAGGTTCTTGATCAGGTCCTCGAGGACAGCAACCGACTGGGCGGTCTCCTTGCCAGTAACGGCAGGAGAGCTGGCGACATTGGCGGCAGGCATTTTGGAAGAAATTTTGGCGGTAGAGGAAAAAGAAGAAGGGGTATTAGAGTAAAGAAAGAAAAATCCTTCCTTTTTTTTTTTCTATGAGGGGTATCGAAGAAATTTTTTGTTTGAGCGAAAAGACTCAACTGCGTCTTAACTTTTCAGACGCGAGCGCTCAAGAATTTCTATTGCAGAGATAGAAAAACAAAAAGAAAGAAGAGGCCTACCCTCAAAAAAAAAAAAGTGCAGGAGTGGAGGAGAGGGGAAGAGAGAGAAGGGGGCGCGAGGATATTTATCGTGTGGCATAACCTGGGCGGCAAAACCCTATGAATTATGGCAATCAAATTTTTTTTTAAAAAATTTTCAGGCCCATTGTCCCGCACTAGTACCGAATCCGGCTTAGTAGATCTGTTCCTGCACCCTTATTGGGTTAAGTCCTGCTTTCACCCGAATCCCCTTTGTCTGATTGGTTGAAGCCGTTATTTGGCCGAATTTGGCTTAGTAGGTGGCTTTTTTTATTTTTATTTTTATTTTATTTTTAATCTTCTACTCTCCGTAAATGGATTATATGATTATTCTAACAATCACAGCCTATTGTATATTCTACCTATTGTAATCATTCTATTGTTCTTTATTGTATACCTCTATTCAGAAAATTTCATATGACTACACTATCATGTGAAGCAATTCTCATCTGAACTGCTTTGTCATCTCAAGTCTCATCTCAGGCCCAACTCTCTCTAGAATGTATCCGGCGATAACCTAGTACTATACAATATATGGTACTAACACACCTGTCCACGTACATAGAACCAGCCCCGATGCGCTCGCCGTTTGCCACCATGGCGGAGTGGCGCAGTACCGTTGAGAAATTCGATGAACCCGAGTTTTCCCCAAGGAACCTGCATATTTTTTTTAAAGTTGCCAGGATATTAAATCTTGTTATTTTGATACTCCAGTATTGGTCCAGGCCCAGACTTTTGTACCTCCGTGTCGCGAATGCTCAGCCGCTGGGTTATAGCCAGACTATTCATACGTAGTTGACATGTAGGTCAGAGCTGAATATAATCTCAGCCAACCTTGGAAATATCAGCCAGAAATAAAAAAAATCAGCATTCTAAGCCTGCCTGTACAACTAATCCAACAGTCTTCCAACCTGTCTGGAATTTCATAATTCATAAATCCGTACATATGTTCTCTTCGTATGAACGTCCAACGTCCAATTAGAAACGAATATCAACCACGGGATGCCCAAGATTTTCACCGCCGGATTTATCTTATCGCTTATCGCATATGTGGCCTTCTAACATTGAAGACTTGATTAAAAACGTCCGTAGATAAATTTATCTTAGTACTAAATACATTACACCAATAATAACATGTAACCATCTACGGAGTAGAACCCTGAAAGAAACCGTTGAGACCTCTTATCGTAACCTGTGCTCTTATCCCTTATCCCCCGCGAAAGGATTCGGACTCAGGTGGCAAAAAAAGCGAAAAAAGCGGAAAAAAAGATCAACTCTATTTATACAGTCCTCTATACAAAGTCCCACGGGCTCGACACGATGATACTCATAACAAGGAATCATATTTGAAACTCTGATTTTCGAACTGTTAGCACTGTGCGTTATCACTTCAATTCATCTATCAAATATATCATAAACGAATCCCCCAATCCAGCGAACGGAATCGTCCTTTGAAATGCTATTCATTCGTGGGCGTATTCAAATCACACCACTGTCGTTCAACACCTTTTTTTTTACTATTTTCAATATAGATTATCAAAAGCAATAGGAGAGCGCACGTGGTGATTACGTTTACCTCAGGTCCACGTCTTCTGAACCACTCACGGAATAGACCATTTTCTATGCCAAATCATCAACATGTACTAAAAGTAGATTTTGATGCATAGTCTGCCCAAAAGCCCAAAACAAACAAAAAGAATCGGCTCGGATCCAGTGGGCCTGGAACTCTAATTTCATTTTCAAAGCCAATGCATTTAGGGGGAAAATCTATCAACGCTACGTCGTATGGAATCCGAAATTCCCGCGCGAGCGAATCATATTTCTCTGGTCTCTCTTTTCTGAAACCAAACCAAAAACTGCTTTTGGAAGGGATCCGAGGTTTGCAGTTCGGACTCGTTTCTTTTCCGTTGCTTTTTTCTCAACGTGGCGTTGTTGTTCGCCACCTGGCACCTTACGTTGGGGCGAGGTTACCAAATCTACACCGTACACTTTGGTATATGGCTATTCTACAATATTCGACAATATACTAGACTGGACTATGGAGTATCAGATATCTCATCTGCCGGCATCCGAGGATATAGTATCATCTTTGTAGAGTGGATCCGATCTGACATGGGCATCTGTACCCGGTAGCCCCAGTTGTTTATTTGATGGGGAACGGAGGCAAATTTTTCACCTCAGTCTAACCCTCTTTGTAATTTGAATTAACTCGATGCGCCTAAGTTGAACATGCATTTGGCCTTGGGTACTTTGTATACGAGGACATGACGGGCGGCCAGAATCGGCTCCATTGCACCGCCGCTCTGCCGTCCTCGACCGCCTACCTCCGCCTTGCCCCTTCTCTTCTAGCTATGGCGTCTTAACACACCTCTGTCCACGGTGGGCGATAAGCAATTAGGATTTTCGAGTGTCCACAACGCCTATCGCCTGTAGGTATACCTATCGTGGGTACATTATCTATATATTATCAAAATACGTGAAAATATAGTGCTAAATTGTGTGCTAAATTGTATAATATACCCAAGTCATGAGGTCGAGCAATTCTACTTGTGTTGTGCTAAAATTGCCCGTGGGCGCGTACGGTCTATGGGCAATGTCGCATTCTACTAACGTATTTCACTACCGAGCCGGCCATACCACCGAGCCGGCCACCCCCCAAACACATAGTAAATGCGATTAATTACAACTTGATATCTCAACAACCACGTTTTTGTTTGATTTCATTACCTATAGATAGCTATTGATAAGAATTTTAAATACTATGTAGCAATCTTAAAAATATCGAAGAGGTGCATCATTACGGTATTGAAAATTACAGGGCTAAAAGCCAGAAGTATATATACTACAATCACAAAGTCATATATATTTCCCAAACTCGCGAGAGAAGCTAGAAATTATTTAAAGAGCATTAGTCTATAGGGAAATCGTTATATAAACGGCCGTTGTTGAGATATCAAGTTGTAATTTATCGCATTTACTATGTGTTTGGGGGGTGGCCGGCTCGGTGGTGTGGCCGGCTCGGTAGTGAAATACGTTAGTGCGTCCTTATTATTTAGTGCAGACCGCAACATCCTAGAAACACTGGAAAATGCCCCTAGCCACTTTTAAACCGCCCTCGAATCGTCTACCCCATCTCTACGATCGCACTGTCTGTCTTCAGGAGTCACGCGTATCTGGGATCCGTTTCGATAGCCCCTAGGAGCAACCACCGCTGCTATAGACGTTCTACTTCCACATGTTCGATCCGAGTGGGTCAAAAGCTCAGTCCCACGGAGTATTGGGGAAAAATTGGGATTTCGGGGATAATATAGGTAGCCAGATGTAACGAATATATCAGATATATGAGGTCTGTAATATTCCGGCTCACTTCTGGTATTGAGAATTCTCATGGCAAAGCTTCAAAATTTCGACGAAGTTCGTCTATCGTCAAAAAGCAACCACAACCAAGTGATATTTGAAACACATTTCAAATCCCCTAGATCATTTCACAAAGCTGCTGTCGATGACAACGTCCGTCGTTAGGTCAGCCAGCTTTTCGTTCAGCACTTTGGTAATTGCGGCTGCACTAGCCTTGGTATACAGCTTAATCGCTTCACTCGATTTCCAATAGGGTAGAACCTCCGTGATTCGCGTTTTCACAAAGACTTGTAGGTTACCTTCCATTTGCTCGAAGAAATCCGAAGCGTATGTTTTCCATGCCAAAGAAAACGATGAAGCTGTGATTGGAGATACGTTGGCGTTGCTTTTTGCAGCTTGGTCAAGAGCTTCCATGGCGGTCTTAATTGCATTATAGCCGTACTCCAAGGAGTCTTGGACCTAGAGTACAATTAGTTAGATACTATTCGAGGACTTTTCCAACCTCGGAAGGCTTTTTATATAGCGGGCCAGAGTTTCACTTACATCAGCATGGTTAAGATATCCTGGAAGGGTATCATAGAGCTGCTCAAACGTGAGATATTAGAAAGAGAAGATGGCGCCAGAAAGAAGGGAATAGTAAGTATCTTACGCGATTGATGAAGTCAATTCTTCCCACGGCACTCTGTTTACTGAACCTATCATCTGAGATGATGTTTTTAAACAGTTGCCAAGCCTGCGTATATGCGTATGATTTGTTAGCTGGGCATGTAGTTTGGATGCGGTTTATCACAAGCCCTGAAAAGGACTATACCGTGAGACGAATACGTACTGCAGCTTTCAGCCCGTTTGTAGGGGCCTCCAGGATTTGCAGGTTGTTGATATCCTTGGAACTGCCCAAAGCAATTGCCACAGATTCGGCAGGGGTACTTCCACTCAAGCCGCTCGGCTGGCTGATTCCCAGCTGATTCCAGGTTTGAAAGAAGTAACCATTCTGGGAGAATACTTGAGTCCAATCATAGTTCGATGCTGCTCCTGGTGCGGCTGCACCACTAGGCAGCTTTCCCGAAAGCATACTGGTAGCGAACTGAGCTGGAGTTTGAAGTTCAGTGACATGCTCCACAACATAATTGGTACCGAGAGCCCTTTTGCCCAGAACGACGGGCAGTCCGTTACAAAGGGCAGACTTTGCTCCTGACTTGACCACGCCAAAGAATTGGCGCGATGTCGACAATATGCTAACGGGGGAGTAGGGTTTGGCACTGAACTTGCTGATCTGTTTCTTGTTTTGACAGATCTTGGCGGTCCTAGACGCACGAGGGACCACCTCTCCTACCACCTCTACATACGAACCGTGTGTGAAGTTCCCAACTGACCATAGAAGTTCTTCAAAGTCTTGGTGCTCTGATTTCGGGACATTAAAGCAGTCTTCATCGATGCAAATCTTCGGGAAACCTTCATTTCTCTTCCCTGGTGGCGGTGCGACTGAACGTTTCCAAATTTCACCTTCCCCGACCTTATCGTATAATGCAAACCAACGTTTCATGAGGTCCGGGTCTCCGGTATTAGGAAGTGTGAAGCAATCATCTTCATACCAATAAAGCTCAACAAAGTCAGCTGAATTCTCATCGGAGTCAAGCTCGTCGGAGTAGACATAAGCGGTATCCGCAGCTGAGCAGAAATTGGGAGGGTCATTTGTCGGATCAGTCTATCGTGCTATCAATATATAGAACTTCCAGTAAAATGAGTGAAATTATTACCTGATTAAACGTGTCACAACTAGATTGGAAGGAGTTTAACTTGCAAGATCATTCCAGAGGAACTGTTAGATGAGACATACCAGAAATAGCTTGCTGTGTTATGCCAACACGGCGCTCGAGAGTCATGGTCAACATAGCTCTGGGCAACGATCTGTTTACCTGTTGGGCAGCCTTTATTGCATGTAAAGGGGGCCAAGATCGAGTGGGCACGGGTCGTCCTGTAATTTTTGTCAGGGTCAAGATTGATCAAAGCGGAATTGAATGAAGCTACCATGAGCAATTCTGGTAAGGAATTGGATCGGTACAGCACAAGCTTTTAAATCCTAGATCATAGTGTCAATATAGTCCATATACAGCAAATATCTGATCCAGTGAATGTTGGTAAACACACCGTTGAAGCATACCGACTCGCCACCTTGCCCATTTACACTATCTGTGAGATACTCGGGGAATCCTGAGGCACAGGATGCATGATTCTGACCACTTGCACAGCCCGGGGCGGAACCTGACCATTCTGATCCAAAATTGATCAGTTGGTGCTACCAAGACTGCGGTTATTCAAGCTGAGATTCAGGGTTTCATCACTTACTGCACTGTCCAACTGCTGCATCCGATGAACTTGTAGAGCAGCACAAGGACTTGTGATTGAACCAACAACCATGGCCACCTGCAGACTGATCCGTTGCTATTTGAGCTTCATCACTTGCGCAGCTATGTGAGCGGCACAGAGGGGCTGAGCCTTGCTAGAGAAAAAAGTAAGTAAAACGCACAAAGGCCATATGAGAATGGTGACAGAAGAGCCAACTTACCCAGTGACAGGTGGGGACATCGTCTGTCGGACAGCAGTAGTTTCGCTTTTTACCAGAAGCGCATCCAGAGTAGATCGCTACATTGGATGCTGACTTGCCTTTCCCAGTGGCTGCTGGGGTAGTCCCCGAAGGGCAATCTTCGTCACAGCCACCCCAAATAAACTGTGACAGAGGAGAAACCTTGGGGGTTTCCCCCCAAAAAAGACTTTTGCTGATGACACTGTTCAACTCCATGAGGTTTTGACTGGCTGCACCAGTGTTGTCATCCGTGGATACGGCCCAAACCATGGTGCCACCCAGACAAATGTCGTTGGCATACTTCTTTTTCATCTGTATAGTCGTTTCATCGTCATAAGATACCCATTGATCAGTATCCCATGTGAGAATGTTAACAGCGGCATCTTTATCGAGAACTGAAGTTGTCCCGCCAGCAGCAATAACAGCAGTGATTTCCGAATCCATCAATGTGCCAGAGGATGCTGAACAGTTTCCTGGATTACCGCCACTGCTGAAGGGGCAGCCGGCCTTTGTGCAAGATGGATCAGAGAGAGTGAAACTGCGACCATAAAAGCCGAGTCCAAGGTTAATCTTCGATGGAGTTATACTATTGCGCCAAAATAAATCCATCGTCTGGTCTATCTCAGTCAAATTCGTGTGAGCATAGACGTATGAACCAATGTAAGGGTCTGTCGAGTCCCATGTTCCGTGGAGATCATAAGTCATCACATTGAACCAGTCGATGTACTTTTCAATAGAAATGATGTCAAAGTTCTGCAGATACCAATAGCTCGAGGGCACAGTAATTGATAAGCCGTAGTCGTGACCTGTTGAGCCAAGTGCGGCTTTCAGGTTCTTCAAGAATGATGGGTAATTCTCAAAATCACTAGCTTTTCCAGATCTGTCAGAAGCAACGGGATACTCCCAGTCAATATCAACACCATCGAAGCCATAGGTTGTCATGAATGACAACAATGACTTGAAGAATGCTTTTTGAGCCGATGAAGAAGTAGCAAGGTCGGAAAACGTCGTGGCAGTTGGTTGATCAGCGTCGTTCATGGACCATCCACCTAAAGTCAAACTACATAAGTTCATATCCCGATAACTCGATAGACCACATGTGCATCTCACCAATACTAATCCATGTCTCAAGACCAGCATTACTTTCTTTGAGATTTGTGAAGCGCGAATAAAGACCAAGATCGCTCTCACTCATAGGTGCAACCGCAAATGTGTCAGGATTGATGTAGGCAAATCCATAGTTGAGATGAGTATAAGCGCCGACGGGGATGGCTTCGGGCGTCACTTAAAGATCCAATGTTAGCAAGCTGATGCATCAAAATGGGGTCTGTTACGTCTCGAAACGGAACTTACTTGCATCACAAACACGATTGATTGACCAACCTTCATAATAACTAAGTTGTCTCTCAGCTTGCTTCTCAACAGTATTCACCCGCTAGAAATTTTGGCATACTCACCCAATTGATCTTCCATCTGCCGAGCTTCCACTGCAGGAAGGCTTCTTGACAGTCTTTTTGCCACAGAAATCCGAGGTCGTGCCTATATCAAGCCCACAATCCGAGTTAGAAGAATCCATAAGAGAGCCTCTCCATTGAATTCATGTAGCAATTCACCTACCACAAAAGCCATACTGAGAACAGCACACATTGAGAGGACATTTCTCTGTTTTGCTCCATTCTGAACCCCAGCCTGGATCGCAATCAGACTTTGCATCACAGCTGGAGGTACAATTTCCCGCGCCACAAAACTCAGGCCCAAGTCCACTAAACAGTATGATGTCAATTTCCGTTCGTCTACAGGTCTTCAGGTCTGCTGTTCAGGTGATGAACCTACCAGACTCCAGACACACTACAGCACCCTATGGTGCATGCTTTCGTTGAAGAACTATTATTGTCAGTTTTCACTCGGCAAATTCAAGGGAGAAATTACCATGTATAATCGTCAGATGATGGAGCTATTCCCTGTGAATATCCCATGTGCAGGGCACTGAGAATACTCAGGGCCGTAGTAACCCTAAAGAGCAGATTCATTCTCGCAGCAAAGCTTCGACGAACCCAGGAAGGAAGAGAAGATTGGGGTCCCAAGGTCTGACAGAACCGAACCTAAGTGTGAAACAAAAGAGGATATGAGCAGACTTCCATACAAGATATATTGTACATTCGGCTTCTGGCGATTTTACAACTAAATTAAGGACAACCAGGCTCTATTTTGGCGGTATACTGTATTCTTTTTCTAGATTGGCACGTATTCCTTTTATCCAGCAGGTAATGATACAACTTGGGGATCCCATGCTATGCATTACTCCCCGTTGCTTATCGATTTCCGGTAATTATCTTTTTTCATCTAATTCTATCCTGGTCATGAAACTAGGGCTAGGCTACAATCAGAGGATGGGCGCTATGGAGGTCATATCAGCAACCAAAGCAGCGTTCAAAGCTAACCCGAGACTTCCGATTATCTTAATTTGCGGTCCACGCCACCATCTATTTGGAGGCTACGTAGTATAGTTGTCAATCCTGTAACCGACTAAAGTGGCGTTCACAGCTGAGTCGATTCTCCGGAAAGTCCGTTATTTGCGGATCTATAGCGGACAAGCACATATAAGCAAAAGTACAAGCCTTCTGCCCCACTCTCACACCCCATGGTCCATACAATCCCCAGTATGTAACTGGCCCCTAGCTGACTCCCTGAACAATCTAATATATTGAGGTGGCATTGCGCCGCGGTGCCCCGGAGCTAGAACCTATTTAGGCTAGTTAAGAGAACCGGCCGGGAGAGTCTCCCTTGCAAGGGCTTTTCGTAACGTTCTATATCAAACAAGAAGCATATCAAATGTGTGCATATGTAGCGCAGATTCTTTACACTAAGGCACGAGGCTTTTTACCCCCTTAAGCGAGCAGTATTTGCTTTGTTGATTCTTGAAGTTTTAGGGGTCTTAGACCTCGCCATATTGCTTTTTTAGGTACCTATGTGATTGTCCACGACCCGCGAAGGGCCCGTGAGCATGTAAATTACAGGATTGTTGTATATTTCGGATAGTGTCTTGATTTTTACATCCTGCAGTCGTCAATGAGCTAGTCCGCGCTAATCGTTTCAAACATTGTATCGCTTTTTAAGTATGGAGTACTAAGAGCGTTGTGAAGTCTGAGAGTATACATTTAGTCGGATACCTACGTTCTAACATTGGGGGTTTTAGGGACCAGTGGGATACTTTCCTCATTCCCATAAGACAATCAAAAAGAAAACAATTATTTCTTGCGACTGATTTCCTCACTTTTCAATATGAACTCGCTAGCCTTGGCCTTGTCAGTTATTTTCTATGGCCTCTGCCAGGCACAATTCCAAGTTCTAGATGCCGATGTTATTGCAAATAGCACTGCGGTTACACTTTCTGACGCGTGTCTCGATGCTCTACAAGGCACAGTCAACTGTAACAGCAGTCTTGTGAACATTGCCGCCGCAGATTCCTTTTACGGAATCGATAATGAAACCTATGTTTTCTTGTGCAGTGATGGCTGTAGCTCTTCTTTGAAGTCATATCATAACTCTGTCTCATCTGCTTGTGCTGGCCAGGATGAGGCTTGGAGCGGCTACCCTGCGACATACTTTGGAGATGTGTACTGGGCGACCTACAATCTCTCTTGTCTAGCGGAACCAACGTCTGGATCATCATGCATGGGTAAGTCTTCACTGGCATCTGGCCGACTATATTATTCTACTGACAACGGGAAAACCGTGAAAATAGATTACTTCGACACTATCGCAAACAACTATACAGATGATGTATCTCCAACCTCCATGCCTTCATCGATCGTATGCTCACCATGCGTGCTCGAATTATATCAACTCCTCCAGAAGACGCCCTATTCATACTACGACTCAGATATGGCATCCGATTGGTCTGCAATTCAAACTCTTTGCGGTGTCAGCCACCCCACGGAGGTGCCACAGAACCCCACAGACGTCACGGATATTCCTGGATTCGCACCTGTAACCTACTCTACGCCGCCCTGCTTGTCAGAATCCACGTATACTGTAGTTTCGGGAGACAATTGTATTGCAATTTCTCAAGCGCAGAACGTTTCAACTGGAGCCCTCATTGCTTTAAACAATTTGCTCCCCGATTGCTCCAATCTTAATGGTAGAGTCTTCTCCGCAGCTCCTTCCCCGGTCTTCGCAAATAATTCAAAAGCTAATCAAATGATGAATAGCTGGTGCTTCTTTATGTCTCCCACAAGCCTGTGAGATTTATACGGTTCAGTCAGGAGATACCTGTGCGAGCATCACAAATGCCACAGGAATATCTTTCGTTCAATTTACCTCCTGGAATCCCACAATCAACAGCTACTGCACCAACTTGATTGCCGACCAAGAAGTCTGTGTCGGGCAAGCCGGGGAAGTATGGACTGGAACAACCATTCCAGGCGCCTCCACGACGCAAATCGGAGTATATGCCACCACCACTGTTGCGGCCCCAAGCAATTTGGCCTACGGCACCACAACTGATTGCGGCAAGTATTACGATGTTCAAAGCGGAGATGACTGTAGCCTCATTGCACTTAACAACACCATTACAATCAGCTTATTCAAGGCGATCAACCCATCGGTCAACACTGACTGTACCAATTTGGTTCCGGGGTTGAGCTATTGTGTTTTCCCAGTGGCCAGTTGGAATAGTACCGACGCTACCACCACTACCACTGCTACTGCCTCGTATGTCACTGCCCCAGCACCAACTGTCAGTGGGACCACATCCAACTGCTATACGTGGCACGTTGTCGTCAGTGGTGACTACTGTGCTCTACTGGAAAGTGAGTATGGAATCACGTTTGCACAGCTGCAGTACTGGAACTCGAACTTGGATCCAACCTGCGGCAATCTGATTCTCGGGGATGCTTACTGCGTGGATGGGCCGAGCATTGCATCAGGTAGCTCTGTCGCAGTTGGGTCAGCAACAGCCACTGCAGCGCTCAAGCTATAGTTATTCTTGATGTTCTAAGCCACTTTAAAATTTTACTTGGAGAGATGAAAAGATTACGACCAGCTATTACCACTTCTAGTGATACCATTTGTTGTTTTTCATAGCCTTTATAGCCTTAGAGGAATGTTGACCGTGTAATCTCCGATTTCTTCCTCGCCTGGGCAAGGGCGCAAGGTTCCAATATTCCAATACAACCTTCCAAAATTAAGCAGTATCACTAGGACTAAATGACATGGTCAGCCACCTGTAGCGTAATCCACAAAGTCCTTCGACTTTCCGATAGCTACCAGCCCTCGTTCATTAATTTTTACTAATAGGGCGTCCTTTAGTCCGCGGGCTCGGATATACTGTAATATCGAACAATAGCAATCGAATGGCTGGGGTTTCGCTTAAAATGTCTAGGGAAATCCACGGGTACCTGCAGATCATTTAATGCAGTCAGACCGGCTTTATCGGAAATTGCACAGTCCAATTTCTGCGGATGCATCGGTTCGGGAGTGGAGGGGGAATGGAAGCCTAGTATACAATCTTGCCTTATTGTACTTTACGGAGTACGGAGTAACGTATTCGCAATTACTCCATACAACTCATCCCTATTAGATCCCCCAGTCATTTTTCTCTTCCCCCCTTCCCCCACTCCTTCTCCATTTCTACCCCGTGACCGCTTATCAGTCAATACATGTCGCTTCCCGCCTTGACTTCCCTTTCTCACACCTCTCCTTCCTACAGACGTTTTTACTTTCAGATTACTCCTTTGTGATTCTAAAGCCTCCGATTCCCAGCAGATAACAATCTCAAATGTCTTATCTACCGCCAGGATGGACTCTGGAGCGACTTCAAACAGCAACAGTCGATGATCTACGCCAAATACCAGAGGATGTAAGTGATGCAAACATCCAATATTTCTTCAGACAAAAACAAGAGAAGTATAGTTCTAACCCTCTGAATCATATAGAGGCTCCATGAGATTGACGAGAGTTTAATCCCCGTCGAGAATGTTCCAGTCCACTTAGTCATTGGCCGTGCAATTCATAACGAACACCGACGAAAAGTACGCGCGGAGCGCGGCCTGCCACCTGCCCCCGGAGTGCCCCTTTTTGAGAAAAAAGACGATCCAGTAGTAGAGGTAGTAGAAAGAGGAGGATTCGACGACTTTGGGTTTATTGTGTTTCGAACAGATTACTCAGACGAACAACGCTGGGAGCAGTGGCATAAAGAGTTCCACCGCATAATAGATGCCTCGATAGAGAGCGCTAGCGGGGGAAAGAAAATCGAAGATAAATGCTTCATGCCAACCTACGAGGACGAGGATATGGTTGGTGCCACTCATGAACAGATACTAGAGTAAGACCTTATTCCTACCGTTTATGGCTCTGACTTCCTACTGATTATCGAGATAGGGAATACTACGGGTACCGAGAGACTGAAGGTATCCCCCCGGGACTGGACACTGGTATGTGCCTGGTTGTCGATTTAGCTGTCATAGACTCTATAACAACCGATAAGCCATGGATATATGTATTGGACTTGTCATTCGATCATGGGAGTCAGCTCACAGATGGAGAATATCCTGGCTACTTCCGAGTTGCTGTGCAGTCTGTTATCACGGAACTTTACCCAATGCTCACAGCAATGACACCGTCAGAGCTTTGGCCTTCGGATAACAGAATATGGGAGTCGGCAGTTGAATAGGCAGCGTATTTCATGCGAGTCGCGAAGTGAAAAGACAATGGTAAATGCGGTATATGCTACACTTACATGTCAACAACCAACCTTTCCTTCTTATTGTTGTATTTGTCGAGAGCCATTGATAAGCATTCTGAGTAGCATGTATCAATTTTGAATAGATCTAAAACGTGCATTGTTGTGGTATCGAAAATTACATCTCTGAAGCCTATATTTATCTCAGATATTAATTTCTTAAATTCCCCGAAACTCCCCAACATGGCAAGATTTATATAAACATTAGGCTACAAGAAAAATTTCGCACAGGCAAGTGTTGTCGAGATATATAGTTGCCCTTTATCGCATCTACTATCTGTATCGGGCTGCACAGCTTGCTTTTGTGTGTATCTCGCATGGATACGTTATATAGTGACTCTTGAGGGGTTTGTTATATGATCGCCACGTTAGTACACCTGAAGTTTTCGGACCTTACCCCGTTAACAGGCTTTACACCTAAGATTAGTATTCACCATTTGAGTCCGGGGTAGATGCCATCCATGTCAAGCTGTACTCCGTACTCTATACACTATGTGCATGTATGTGATCTTGCATTTCGAAGATCTGATCCTTTCATTCTAATCAACATATGTATTTTACATGTGTTTTCTCGTACTTTTTATTTTTATTTATTTCTTTTTCTCACAGCCCCCTTTTACCCATATTTGGTTGCCGTTTCCGGACATGGCGCTTAGACCCTTCCACTTCTGTCTGATGTATAGTTCTAGTGGTTGATCTGGGATGACGGGCTTTTCGCTTCAGAGAAGTAGGGGAAATAAAAGGGTAAGAGGGACAGCCTATCGGAGGGACAGTCTCGTATAGATAGCTCTGAGGCTGGTCGGGCTCGTGTTACATGCGCGGTAAGTACCCCAAGGTCTATGCAAGTCATTCAAAAATTTATACCTACATATGTATGTGTTCATATTCATAAGAGTTGGCATGCATAGGCATTTAAATAGAGGACATTTCTATGATAAGATGAACGTTATGAAGCCGTATATAAGCAGTAAGTCTACAGAGAAAAAGGTAAAGAGGTAGAGTAATTAGTATGTGAGAATGCACAGCTCTATAAACCAAGAACAACGACACACAGAGGACCGCCGAGCAGAATCAGTCCATCCTTGCGTCCCGCAAATCTATGTCCAGATCGTGATCGAACAATAAAACGAAGCAGAAACAGAAAAAGAAAACACACCCGGGAATATATACAAGACTTCATTATAGCAGCCCAGAACAGAGAACCGAGTCTCGGGTCTGGGGGTTTGAGGGTCCGGTAGTATCACAAGGTCCCGATGATTCTCACTGAAACGGGCCTTGTGGGTTGGGTGTCGTAACAAGTAGTGTGGAGAGGGTTAAGGATTGGGATGAAGACAGGGAGAGATGAGGACATCGATATGCGTAAAATCGCCGAGAAAGAAAACCCCGATGTCTGTACAAAAAGGTGAAAACGCTCGTAACTCCAAACCCATATGCGCGGCACAACTCCGTGGCAAAAAAAAAATCAAATCAAACAAGCAGGACAAGAACAACAGACGTGATTAGCTTTCATGGCTTCTTCTTAACGTGGCTACTCCCCGTTTCGGAAGGGAGCTCGTCGCCATCGATTATACGCCACAGACGGCGTGGCGAGAAGTTGTTGCCGAATAGGTAAATGCCAACGAACCAGGCCGCGAGGAGATTAGCGAGGTGGTGGAGAAGATACGCGTAGGAGACGCCGTAGATCGCTGAGTAGATGGCGATGGCGAAGAAGATCATTGAGGTGACGTGTCTGAACCTAGGACGGGGATAGATATGTTAGCTTACGACTTGACTTTTGAGAGCGAAATGGAAGCCCGGATATAATCACTCTACATACCTGGTCGTGATGCGCGGTATCATAGCACCGCTGGTCATCGTCTCCACTAGAATGAGGAAGGGCATAATAGATAAGACGTTGTGGTGGGATGAGAACGGCATAAACCAGTGTACGACGAGATTGTGGGCCCAGACCAGGAGGACCAGCACGTTGATTGGCAGGATCCACAGCATTAGGATCAAGATGGAGTGTGCGTAGTTGTCGAAGCTCAGGTGCGAGGCGGATCTGGTTTCCTTGGCGTGCCATTGTGCCCGCACACACGTGGCTAGCTGCACAATACAGGCGACCATATACGCAAACTGGTAGGGAATGACAGTCGAAACGAGAATTAGAAGGATGGCAGTGTGGATGATGCGTCGGCGAGGTGTGGGGGTGTGGAAGATCGGTAGGTTTCCCCGGTCTTCTCGCCGGATATAGCCTGACTTGCTGTGTAGAAGCCCATAGACCGAGGAGAATATACCAACGAGGAAGAGAGCGAGGTAGTTGACAAGGACGCAGACACCAACGCTGATGAGTCCAAATACTGGGACTAGGAACCAGAAGAAAGCGTCTTGTGAGCCAAGCAAAAGATCATTTTTGGTGAAGTCGATAGGAGTCTCAGTCGAGTTAGATCGCCAATGGAGGGTTTCATCGGTCTGAGGCAGGGCTTTGGAGGTAGCCAGGGAGGAGGCCAGCAGAGACATAGCCACAAGTAGAAGCGGGAAGGAAGACCGTAACGCACGATGAAGACCGTCAGTGAAGGGGATAAAGTAACCAGACTCATCGTAGACCTGGAACTGCTTTCGGAGAACGAGGGCAACGACAAGTAGTGGGAACGCCGCGAAGATGGTCCGATATCGCATCACTAGCTCGCCAAGACTACTGGTGAGATCGACTTGAAGGGAGATATCGACCGTCGTGTCAGAGGTTGGATCCGTCCACAGGTGGAATGATACACCCCCGAGAGCGGCCTGCTCGCTAATCGCAGGCGGCATGTACGGCGCCACGCCGTGCAGATTCACATGAACCTCATTGACATTAACGAAAAACTTCGACTCATGAGGATCAGAGACGGATTGCCGGAGCAATGGAGCGAAGAGTTCCTCTTTCTGAGGATGGCGAGTGATCTTCAGCCGATAGTCGAGCAGGCTCGAATACAATGCAGGGATCTTTACCTCGGTGAGCATGGGTCGAATCGCAGGTAGCCGCATCTTCAGGCCAGCACTGAGTAGTCCTCCCAATCCCACCTTGGCCCGAATCATTGCATCCGAGCTGTCCGAAAACTCGGCGACAAGGAAGCCTGGGGTCGGTACATTCGCCTTGTCTACAACAGCTACGAACTGATGTTCTGCAAGGGCCTCCAAGTCGTACTGGAGATACGAGAATGGCGGGGTACGATCGTAAGGATGTTTCGATGAATGCGTCGAGGCAGGCAAATGAATACTATCCTCAGCCGCGCTCTTGCAGGCCAAACGGGTTGAGCCCACAGTGCCACCAGAGAAATCCAAGTTCAACGGGAAGTTGGTTGAGCGGCCATTGGATAGCGGGAACACGCTGCAGAAGAGGACCTCAATATTGCCATTCTTGTCAAGCGATTGATCCGTGAGCAGGGTGAACTTTTTACCAGAAACGCCCTGGGGAGGGATTGGTACAAGACGAACATCGGCGCCATGCTGTAGGCCCAGTTCGCGTAGGACCAATCGTTGCCCCTGTGCAAGAATGGTGTTTGCGTTGTCCTCAAGCGTCAAAAGGGTATTTGCTTCCTTCTGGGGTAGTGTACGCTCAGCCACTGACTCCAGACCCGTCAAGTACCACCGCTTGAGCACACGCATCCGTTCTGCCCGTGGTTTCGTTTGAGTAGGACGTCGGGCGTCGACGATCTCAAATAAGGATTTAATTATTGCCTTGCGGAATTGGTCGCACCAAGTAATCGAGAGATGATCCATTCCAATCCAAACATCTGGAATAGAAGATGTGAATACAGTAAATCCGTGGGTCTCGGGAACAAGAGATGAGATACTGGCATAGTCGGAGGGCACCACAGTATCACGCGCACCACCGGCGATGGAGATGAGAGTGACATGCCACAGTGGGTTGTTGTTAGCCCATGTTTGTGCGTAGGCGTCGCGCCAATATTCGTTGATTTGTTTATATGTGTGGACTATATCGGAATCGAAGGAGACAGGCGGTTTTGCGTGAGGTGCAGACATGGTGATGATCGTATTGACCGAATTGGCTTGGTAATTTGCCATAGTCAGAGCGGTTCGTGCCACTATTCCACCCATGGAGTGTCCAATAAGAATGACCGCGCTGGGATCTGGTAACCCTGGATCTCGGCGGGTGCGTCGCGGATCATGGTAAAGTGATAGGATATATGAGATCGCCTCGTTCACGTATTCCGCTTGATCCAACAGCGTCTGTCCATGGAACGCCGCCATATCCTCGTTGAAGTCCACCATGAAAAAGTCCAAGCTCCGCGTTCCAGCCGCATGGCGGCTCTCGTCGTGTCGGACCACATCGTAGTAATGTCGCGATGCCTCGGCGGCCAGAGATCGGACTTGGCGGTAACTTCCTGCATTCCCGGGTAGAAACAGAACTGGCACGCCGTTTAACTAAAAACACGAGTCAGCACAATAATCCAAGCGCATGCACCCAGTCTGGGCCACCGTACCCCGATGTTATCCTGGGTGTAAGGATCCACGCCTTCCTCCCGGTAGACGAAGAGATTGTATTTGCTTGCAAAGCGAGTATGTTCCGTATCGAACTCCAACATACGAATAAACGTCGGACTCATCATCGGAACCCCACAACCATCTCCACCATGTTGCCGACCGGTGAACGAGCTGACAATGGAGATCAAGAACGCAACAGCAACGCAAGTGGTGAAGGCCGTCAGGATGGAGCAAGACCATGGACTGCGTTGGCGAGATTGTCGCGCACGACGACCGTCGGGAGAGGGTGCTTCCATCGGAAGTCGGGGAGAGCCCAATGGCATCGGTTTGGTATCGTTGGAAGGTTGGGAGGACGAGGTGCGCCACACACTCGAGTTTCGGGAGCGCGGTGTCGCACTGCCGTCGCGGCGAAGGTCGAAGCTGGTGCCACGCCTAGCTATTTGAAATCTGGTTTTCTCGTCGATGGCGGTCCCATCGTCTGTTCGGGAGACCGAGGAATCTTCGTCCTCGACAGGGGAGCCCGACGAGCGTCTGTGCATTGGAGAAGGCGGAGCCGGGACTTCATCCAGCACACACAGACAGGTTCTTGGCGCAGGGGGTTAAACCTCGCAAGAGAACCCTTAACGAGTAAGGAACGAGGGGAAAGGAAGGGGTGGGAATGGGGAAAGACAAGAATGGAAGCCGGGGCAGTTGGAGGTTTGTCTGGGCCTTGGCGGAGAAAAGGCGTCCCTGTCCCTGAAAGTGGTTTTTTTGTGGGTACAGTGTGTCAAGTTATTCATGAACTGTAGAAGTGATTATTCTAATCTTTGAACTCTTGGGATTTCGACTTAAAATATTCACCCGGTTCAAGATTCTCGTTTCTTTTTTCTTTCTTTTTTTTCATCGACGCAATTGGCATGATAGTCTTGGCAGTCGCCATAGACTTGGTACATGGCCCTAGAGGCTTAAAGTCACGACAAAACAAGCCTATGCTGAGAATGGCTTATTATATTGTGTTTCATAACTATTATAAACAGAGATGACATTGAGATATCGGAAAATGTCAAGCTCTGATGTATAGATGCGCTGGGACTACCACGACAGGCAACCGTGTATCCTATCATAATGTTCCTGCAGGACGCGTATGTCACATAGTAAGACTTATTACTATCATAATATCATGCATTATACATATAATTGATACATATAATTGAAACCAGCTGGATGTTCAGCTACGATCCAAGCATTTCTTTTGATAAAAAGCTTGAATGACTTTATTATCAGGAGCAATGGCGTGATGGACACACCGTTACCTATACTCCATGTACTCCGTAGTAGTATGTAGGTCTAGGTGGATAGCATCACGTCTATATTCAACCCATCTTATACATACATATGTAATCATTCAATTATTTTATAACTACTATTTTATATTAGCCTATCCTGTTCGTATTCTTTGATTTAAATCCCAGCTGAAGTGTACAAGTGCGGGGTTTAGGCTGTGCACTATAAGGAGAGCCTCTTAGACAGGGCTCCAGGTCTCACACTTACTGTGTTTTTATTCTGTGTATCTCCTGTCCTCTTCACCCAACCAATATCCCACCGAGAATCCTGCAGTCCATCAAGCATAATCGCTCTTCATGTTAGAGGTGGGTAATACTAACTCTTCTATACTTCTCTGTCACACTCGAAGGAAATGAAGATACCCTTCAGCCCTAAGACTGGCTTGCGCGTCAGAATGAGCATTATCAATTAAGCAGATTCTGATCCTTGGCATGACAGACTATTGGTATCTACCAGTGGGCATCAAACCTGTTGACTAATATGCGCTAACCTATTGATGGCTTACAGGGCAACCGAGCACATGAGAGCGAAGCGTATCGCCGACGTCAATCTACAGCACACAAGGAGTCGTTGGAAGCCAATTTATTTTCTGTCCAATTAAATCATTCTACATGTTCCTTCCACATTTTCCGAAATAAAACTCCCAAGTCGCTGCACGGTCATTTTGAAGGAATCATCAGTCATCGCGCGGGTATCAGGTATCACCCCAGCTCTCAAGCCCTCCTATCAGGCCTACGGCACAATCGAAGTCCTAGCCTTCTCTGGATCATCCCCCAAGTCCACCTCCTTGGCACTGATTCCACGGTGAGCAGCAACCTCCTGGAGGTCCGCATCATGCTCAGCATCGAAGTTACGACCCAAACGCTCTGGCCCAGCAAGTGTAATCAAAATAACATAGGCATAGACACAGCCCATGAAGATGCAGATGACCTTGCCGTACTCGTAGCGATGGGGTGCTGCTTTAGTCGGAGGCAGTGGGAAGCGTTCGCCGATGGTTGATTCAATAGTCGAGCTAGCAGAGGAGACCAAGTTTCCAAGCTGGTAGGCGGTGCCGACGGCGAAGGTACGGATAGCTCCTGGCGACAGCTCCATCAGGTGGATAGGGATCACACCCCATGCACCCTGGACCATGAACTGCTCGAAGTAGGCTGCGGCGATAACATTCTTGTTCTGGACAAATGTGTAGGGGTAAAGAAGGGCGCCACCGACGATGGAGATGACGATGATAGAGAACCGACGGCCGAAGATCTGACTAGCCCAACCGCATAATACACCACCTGACAAAGCGCCCAGGTTGGCGACGACTTGTGTGACGGTGACGGCGTTCTTCGAAAACTTGAACTGGTTCTGCAGCATTGTCGGGTAAAGATCCTGAGATCCGTGCGACTAGTCTCCATGTTAGCTTGTTATGTTATCTGAAGAGCAAATAATGCACATACCATGAAATTAAACCCAGACATAAGCAGAACCAGGTATACAAGTAGTAGCCAATGTCTCTTCAGTGCGACCTTCCCTTCTGACATGAACGAAGCTGCAACACCTCCCCGCATCTCCTGCCGCGCTTCCTGACGCCGACGGAAAGTCTCCGTCTCACCTAGGAACAAACGGAAGATAATAATCAAGACTGGTGGGCAAGCCGCAAACCAGAACAGTGGCCGCCAGCCATGAGGGGTAGTATCAACGAGAGCTCTAGCGAAAGCCGTGGCTAGCAGATATCCAAAGGCGTAACCTTGCTGCAAGAGTCCTGAAATAATACCCCGGGCTTCAGGAGGGCAATCCTCCAGCGCGGTGGCAGCCGCATTACCATATAAGCCACCCATGGCAATTCCAAACAAGGCACGACAAGCCAAGAACTGTTTATAAGTTTGACAGAAACCAGCACCGAGCTCGAGGACCACGAAGAGAAGCTGGTTAACAATGAACGGCCATTTGCGGCCCCATCGATCCGAGGCAATTCCGAAGGTGATCGCGCCGACGGATCGCAGCATCAGCACCAGGGTGATTCCCCATGTGATGTCGGTCACGGATTTATCGAATGATTTGGCAAGCTCGGAGGTAGTGAGTGAGACAGTGAAAAAGTCAAACGCATCCCAAGACCAGCCGACAAACGCGACCTATCAAGTGAGGTTGGTTAGCCAATTCTTTTTTTTTCCTTGCCCATCAGCCCTCAGCTCTTCAAGGATATCTACATACCGTGAAATTAAGCCACTGAGTCTTGTTGAGCAGTGTCAAAGCCTTGAACGGGTTGGGCGCGGGGTTCATAGGAGGAACCAGTGAGGAAATACGAGTGGAAATGTAACGTCCAATACTCATATGCTCCTCGACATCCGGCGAGGATGTCGCCGCATACTGAGACTTTCCCTCATCCATGACTGCTGAGAATCTTGTAGCACCCTGAGTCGGAGAACAAAATTCAGATCCTGGCGCAGAGTTTCGGACGAAGGGAAATAAGATGGATCATAAGCCCAAACAAGGGGGTCAGCTCAGCTCTAAATATGGCTGAAAGCCTCCCCTCGTCCACCCCCCTCTGTGGTTACCGTATCCAGCGGGCATCCCGAGGACCGTAAGGAATCAACCGAATGACCATTGACGTCTGTGGTCCCGTCGAATGCAGGGATGAGATTACGTCTCATTCGCTTACCACGCGGGTCAGCATCCTGGAGTCGGGGACGGACACGAATAGTGACGGTGATCCAAGCTCAGCTGCCGATCATCGTATATTTCTGGGGTATGGCTCCCCAGAAAACGAACAATCCCCGTGGGGAACTGTTAAAATAAGTTTTCCAATGAATCCAGAGTGGCAAGGTGTTTCTGCGATGAAAGCAGGTTGATGCAAGGCACCGAAATCGCGATCTTTTATTTTTTTGAATTATGTTATGGAATTATTTCGTCTATTTTACTTCTACTCCGTACTCTACGGAGTTACGGAGTGTCTAGATTGGCTCATTGCACTTTTGCTTTTTCTAAGAACTTTGCATTTTCTTCCGATGTGCGTTCAGATCCAGTAGATTACTGCATCGAACAGCTGCAGCATATGTACTCCGTACATGGTTTCGTGTCTCAAACGCATTCTCCGGATTCTCCAGACTGCGGGGTTTAGTATGGAGAAAGAAAAAAGAAAATGTCGAAGTCACCCCACAATAGCCGTCTTTTATGTTTGGAATTCCTTTCAAGCCGGCATAGCCCGTGATACGCCCCTAGGTTATCCTCGGTCATCCTCCGTCTCGGTGTATAGGCTATTTTGCTGATCGCCGGTTTTTGTGTGCTAAGCGAGATAAGCCCACATAGTTACTGGACTTTGTGCTTTGGTGTGCTTTGGGCTTTTCACGCAATTTAAGAGCAACATCTACTTTATAACCCGTAACTGCTCATGAGGCAACTCGACCTCCAGACTCATTAACCTTTCCCCCATAATCCAGCGGCCCGTAGTTGCTTGGCGTGGCTTCTTTGAACTAAGACTTCGGATTAGTTGAATGCCAAGCATTAGGCGGGGACTGTGCGTGGTCATGCTCGGCTACACGAACTTATCTGGAGGGTTACCTTTGACCACATACTTCACTTTGGTATCTCCGATCCTATAAACTCCCGGCAAGATCCGAGATCTCGAGCGCGAGTTCTTGGCTGCAATGCCAATACTGCTATTGGCAAGAAAGCATTTTGTCACAATGTTTGGACTCGGTTGCTTGGCGCCCCTAGGTGTATGCAAATTGGGCTGAATCCTTTGCTCCTGCGCTTACTTGGCTATCGGTGTCCATTCTTTCTCGGATGTTAGATTCCCATACAATCTCCACTTCTCGGGAGTACGTGGCTGACGCTTAGAGGTCGTTATCGATTTTTCTTTATGAAACGATGCGGGAGACCTCGGGGAGGGGGGGGGGTTTAATTTCAGCGCAGATTATATTTTTTTGCTTTTCTCTAGACACATCCTGAAAATTAGAGACTTTTTGCTACGGGTCACAAAAAGGTTGGCCTATTAAAAAGGTTGATCACTTTGGATATTTCATCGATGGTAGCAAATTTGATGGATCCAGTCTCTACTTTAGCAAGACCTGGGGTACAACAGCAGGACATGAAAGAAGTTCATCCAATGGCCAGTGAAACATCGAGAGGATCTGGATTTGCTAAATGCCCTGATCTCCACCCTAATAGGCATTCACATGGTATTATTTGTCATTCAACTTCATGAATCGAAGACAGTGGGTTTTTCCTACCTTGTCTCAACACTCCAAGGAGTCTCTAAACCTTGGCACCGATCAATGGATACCTCAGCCATGCTTCTTGTCTTGATGGCAAGGTAAAAATCGTGGAGGGCATCTGGGTATCAGTGTTGAAGTGTACCTTCATTACCCATGGATTCCGCACTTTGCCAACATATATATGGGATCAAGAAAACAGAAAACAGAACGTACTGTTCGTTTTTCCCTTGCTGGTGCTAGCCAAGCTAATATCTTGTACTTTGATGCTGCTAGCAACTAAAAAGTCTATAAAGGATTTGTCCGTACAGTTCAGATTTGAGATCTGAATGCGCATTTTAGAGTGGGATAGCATCGGTGGAAGTACTACGACATTCAAACTCACGGCGAGAGTTATAGTGTTGTCTTACTGGAAGACCAGTGGTTGAAGTCCCTTGAGACTCACTAGGCATCATCGATTTGATTGTACTTAACAGGTGTGAGTACTCGGCTCCTCCTCATACTGACTGAGGAACGAGTTGACTGATTATTGTTTGAACATCAAGTCAATAATACCTTTGAAGACCAAGCAGTCAACACATCAAGACAGTAGACTTTTTTGATTTCAGCACGAAAGCCGTTAAATCCGAATGACCATAACAATGAATGTATAAAACTGGATATATTACTGGATTATTGCCACTCAAGTGTATCCGATCTATAAATACCTACCAGATCAGGAATGCTTCTCGGTTCCTTGCAGAAGCCTGTCAACTGCGGGGCGACAGTCTTGGCGTTGACTGGCCTTAACATGGATAGATGCCAAATGCTATATAAAGGCCCACAATCAAATAGATAGAGATATACTAATTGGCTACCTGATTCAACTGAAGAAATGTTGAGCCACATTCCAAGATGACAAGGAGGCTATGTTAATCTGAAACTGTGAGGCGGTGCTCAATTTCCCGCTCAGCCCCGGGAGCCCCGCTGATGCCGTGTATTTATTGTCAGGTCATTCCCACATCCCACCTTCCTGTCCAGTTCATTTTAAGTACCAAAACCTATAATCCTACCTAACAATTATTCAACAACCAACACTTATCCCCCCCAAGATCAATATGTCGTACGGTGGACCCCCGCAAAACCCATACGGCGGTGGTGCCGGTTACTATGACCAGCAAGGTCAAGGACACTACCCCTCTCAGCAGGGACATTCTCCTCAACCACAGCAAGGATATTACCAACCAGAGGTGAGTTTATACACCAAGAACATGAGATACTGTTGCACAGAACCTAGTCGCACAGCGCTCAAACTCTCACTCTCCTCCCGTACTCGTACCGCGGGCCATACCTAACTAACTTTCCACGCGGCAGGGCCAGCAGGCTTACGGTCAGCCCCAATATGGTCAGCCTCAATACGGCCAACATCCAGGACCTTATGATCAGCAAGGCGGCCAGGGCTACCAGGCATACGCCCCTCAGCACCAGCAGGGCCAGTATCCTCCCCAAGGCAGTCCTGGATACGAACAGCCTCCCCAGGATCGCGGCCACTCGCCGTATCCTCCCCAGCAACAGCAGTACCCGCAAGGTGGGGGCGAGAGCTCCGCATACTATGGCGGTGCACCCCAACACCAGCAACAGCAGGGACAGCCTGGTGCTGTAGGACCAGAGGGCGACAGGGGCCTCGGGTCGACGCTGCTTGGTGGCGCGGCTGGTGGGTTTATGGGCAATAAGCTTCACTCCGGCTTTCTCGGTACTGCGGGCGGTGCTGTTTTGGGTGCTGTTGGTGCGAATTTGGCGAATGATAAGCTGTGAGTATTGCCCTTTGCGCTATCTTTTTTTCTTTTTCTTTTTTCTTTTTCTTTTTTCTTTGGACTTTTGAGTTGAAACGAGACTGACTGTCGATACTTTGCTATAATAGGAAGGAACACAAGAAAGAGAAGAAATCTAAGAAGTACAAGAAGGAGAAGAAGCACAAGCGGAAGAGCTCGAGCTCGAGCTCTAGTTCTAGCTCTAGCTCGTCTGATAGCGACTAACTGCCCTCGCTTCTTTTTGGTGTAGTTGGTCACAATGACTTGTGTTATCCTTCAAATTTTGTATACCCTGCTTTTCTCTCTCATGTTTTTTGTGTTATAGTGGCATCCTACCTGTTTTGGGTTCTCCTCTTGGGGGACTTGATGACCTTATACGCGTTACGTTTATCGTATGCACTTGTATTCTTAATGATATGACAGCTATCATCAACAAAGTTGAATTATTGAATCATGCAACTATGTCTTGGTTTGTGAAATATCCTGAAGTGCTTGTTAGCCTGCATTTATCCCAATAGCCCTTCGTTTCAGTTCATAGTACACTTAAACATGGGAATGACTAGGGCCATGAATGGATTCCAAATCGCGTGTTATTACATTGGTTAATATTTTCATTGAGAGGGTTGATGCGCCTTGACATCATCCTCCTTCCCCTGAAGTGAATCCTTGAAAAAAGCCTCTGGATCGATGCTACTTTCCAGATTGAAGGACAGCTTGGGGATTTCCTTTGGTGAATCCCACAAAAACCGCCACTTTTGTGATGTTGGATTCCAGTACTGTCGCGGCACAAGAGCAGACAACCGTTTCCATTGACGACGCATAAGCCTGACTGTAATTGTATGTGGCCGACCATAGGCATATTCGGCGAAAGTGGCACCTTTCTCAGGGCCCCTAGCCAGCAACGTGAAGAGCTCGCCACCGGAATTGGTCTTGGGAATCTGGGGCTTTGAATTTCTCCGCTTGACAGGTTCCCACGGTACAGTCCCTGAGATGAGTCCTTCAAGCGTCCGGAGATCCTTCTCTGGTAATGGTGGAAGGAGACTGCTCAATGTAGTGTTGTACCATTTCCTCCGAATATTCCTCTTCCGACATTGGGCCACTTCTTTGCCCCAGGTGTCCTGCTTGGGAATTGGGGGTTCCAATTGTTTGATCAATGGCCTGATGCGGACTGTTGCAACCACTGTGTTCTGCATTTGAGAAGCCGCTAGGCTTTTCACGATAGCGGGTAGTTCCCAGCCATCACTGAAATCCACAGGCTGGGAGAGTAATTCTTTGAGAGCTAAAGAGTCATTGGGGATTTCCGGCTTTAACATTTTTGCCAGCAGCTCATGTCGCCGTTTCCCAGTGCGACCATATGACAGTAACAACACTTTCTCGAGAGGACGTGAATAGCCTTCATTTGCTCGCCGCAGAACTGATAACGCATTCCTTGCCGCGTGAACCGCCTGAGGACCAGCCTTCGGGGAACGGGAGGAAACAGCACGATACCGGGAGATGATATGTTCTTTCATGTAGATGCGAGCGATGGGATCAGGTAGGTAGGTACATTCGCGCAGCGTAGCGCGTAATAAATGGCGCCATTGCTGTGGTTTTGAGAGATTGTGTAGCCAATGCTGAGGTTGTGGTCCGGCCATTAGAAATATCTCATTTTATTTGCAATCGTGAAGCGGAAAAAAAAGAGAGCCTAAAACGGAGAAACGCGAAATCCTTGGCGAAATGCGTGTCACGGGAACTTCGACGCGCCATTTTAGCAGTCTCTCCCCCCCAAACCCCGCGAACATTGCCTTGCCTTGCATTGAGCCTCGGATCTTAATATCTCAATTTCTATTAGACACCTCGTTTGGTCGCTTTGTGGCCTTGAATGGTATTTGATCTGGCCTGCGGTTTCCCTTAAGAGGGTTAGCCACGCGCCTCCTTGAGCTCGCGTCATTCTAATCGACAGCCGGTATCTCTCCCCTTGCTACTTTGCCCCATCATTACCCGATTTGTAGGCTGACATTTCCTGGGAAGTCCAGCATGTCATACTCACAGGGGAGTGCAGGGTCGAATGGAATGGCCTACAACATGCTGAATACTTCGCAATCTCTCAACTCCACCCCTCGCGCAACTCCTCCGCCACCCAAAGGATCTCAGATGTCCTCTTTCGGTTACCACAACGGACTCCCACGAAATAGCTTTAATGGATACGATGGAGGCAACGACTATGGGTCGGTAATGTCATATCAGGAGGAGTACAAACCACAGATTTACCGAGTTCGTGATCTTTATCCATACCACACAGAGCATGTCACTGACGAGGGTCAAAATAGGCTGTTTACTCTAATGTCGCTGTTTATGAGATGGAGGTGAATGGTGTTGCTGTGATGAAACGTCGATCCGACTCTTGGTTGAACGCTACGCAAATTTTGAAGGTCGCCGGTGTTGTGAAAGCGAGACGAACAAAAACCCTTGAAAAAGAAATTGCAGCCGGCGAACACGAGAAGGTACAAGGCGGCTACGGAAAATACCAGGGGACGTGGGTCAACTACCAACGAGGCGTCGATCTCTGTAAAGAGTACCACGTCGAAGAAGCACTCCGGCCATTACTGGAGTACGATATGAGCCCCGACGGCTCCGGAGCTCCTGCCCACGGATCGACGATAGATACACCCACCAAAGAACAAGCAATGGCTGCGCAGCGCAAGCGCCTTTACAACGGCGGGGAGAATCGCAGCGCGTCCCAGCCACAGCAGGGAACTTTCTTCCAAAATATCTCGCGAACCGCCGCCACTGCTGTTAATGCCCTCAGTAAAGCGCGCTTCGACTCGCCCAGCTCTAACAGTCGTCGATCAAGCATGGCTCGCAAGCCCTCACAGCAGATGAGCAGCCAGGAATCTGGGCTTGCGTTCAGCAGCCAGCAGAGCATGTACAGCATGTCCGACAGTGGGTTCAGCAGCCTGCAAAATCGGTACCAGGTACAAGAAGACAACGAAGATCTTGCAGAACCTCCGCGCAAACGTATGCGCTCTACTTCGCACCACGGCCCATCTATCGGTCTCAACCGGGAACCATCCAATCTATCCATGCACGAACCTACACCTACAGAACCTAACGACTCATTTTATCAAGACATTGATCTTCCTCCCCCTCCCATGGATGATGGCTCGAAACGCGGCGTCGAGTCCCTAGCGCCTGCTTCTACTCCCGAGAGATTCCAGAAGATGAAGCTCATTATGACATTGTTCCTCGATAAACGAACAAAAGACTTTACCAATCACCCGGCCTTGTTGCAGCTGACCGGGGATGATCTTGAAATTCCCCTCGATGAGTACAGAAACAATGCCCTCCACTGGGCTGCAATGCTTGCCCGCATGTCACTGCTCAATGCGCTAGTAGCCAAAGGTGTCAGTATATCGCGAGTCAACGGTGCCGGAGAAACGGCTCTGCAAAAGTCCGTGGGCACTCGGAACAACCTCGATTATCGAAGCTTCCCGCGTTTGTTGCAGGTGCTAGCCCCTACCATTGACATGGTCGATTACAGTGGACGTACCATCCTGCACCATATCGCAATGATGGCCGCGACTGGTGGTGGTGGACACGTCTCTGCAAAGCATTATCTGGAAGCTCTTCTTGAATTTATTGTACGCCATGGTGGCAGCGTCCCAGGTGCGAATGGAGACCATGCGCCAAACGGGAATCCCGGCGGTGAAGTCATCTCTTTAGGACGGTTCATCTCTGAGATTGTCAACCTCCGCGATGATCAGGGTGATACGGCTCTTAATCTGGCAGGGCGTGCGCGCTCAGTCCTTGTCCCGCAACTCCTGGAAGTGGGTGCAGATCCTCACATTCCAAACCATACCGGCCTCCGACCTGCAGATTACGGAGTGGGTGTCGATATGGTCGACGGAAACTCCCAGTCTCAACAACCGGCCAATCGGAATGACACATTTATTGATCAATTGGCGAAGTCGAAGAAAGAAGTTCTTGATGGTAAGTATCTTCCTGCAAATAATCTACATTTTTGCTAACATCCAACCTAGCGGCAATGTGCCAAATCAGCGCACTGGTCGAGGAAACACTTGGGGGAATTGACCGAGAGTTGGCTTCGAGCTTGACACAAAAACAAGAAAGTTTTGATCACTGGCATACGAAGATCCGCGAGTCTGCTAAAGCTCGGCAGATCGAACAGAAGCAATATGATGAGCTCAGACGCAAGGGTTCTGAGCGCGTGGAGCTAGACCGACGCATCAAGAATTTGGAGCGCTCATCTGAGGGTCTTTTAGTCACGGTGAAGAACACACCAGGACTGGATGCGACCAAAACGGTTGTTGTGGGTGATGCCGACAGAGATTCTGGTGTTGATGTCGCGATGTTTGACGCCCTATTCCCCGAGGGTTTCGACCCAGCGTCTGGGTTCTCAGAACAGCAAATCACCTTCCTGGCTGCACTGCCAGCAACAGATCTGCTTAGGCGCCAGGCACACTGCTACAAAGAATTCAACGGAGGGATACTAGCTGAAGTCGATGGCATGAAAGCAAAGAACGCAGTTCTTGGTCAGAACTACCGTCGCATGGTGATGGCATGCACGGGATGGACGGCAGAGCAAGTAGATGAAGCCGCGGAGGGGCTCACGCAGTGCGTCAAGGAACTTAATGACAATCCCGTCCCCGAGGACGAAGCCATTGAGATCCTGATGCGGGATCGCGGGCAGGACTGGTAGTCTAGTCTGATGTGTTGCATTATTCTCTGAGCGTTTGGGCGGCTTCTTTGGACGGCGTTGCTTCACTTGTATCCAAATACCCTTGTGGCATGCATCCATGCCCGTTAGCACATGTCTTGTTATTTATGTGAAACGCAATTCTTGTACACTTGATCAGCAGTCTTGGCTGCATGTGTAGGCTAAATGTTGTTAGATTAGCCGGTCGATATGGCCACTGGGCTTCTTGGTGGCCTGAAGACCCTGTTAAATGCCAAGCTGGACATTTACCCCATCCCCCGCATTTTGCTTGATTGCTGGACTTCTGGATAAATAGCCTACTGTAAAAAAAAAGTACTTATAGTCATGCGTGGCACCTCCTGCCCAATCCTGTAGGCATCATTGTAGCTTTTGACAATTGCCATTACATTACGGAATCAATAATATGGCAACCGGCTTCCTACGTGTGAAGGGCGATACTGTCGTCGACGGGAATGGAGAGGGGGTTGTGATGAGAGGAACTGCTCTTGGAGGATGGATGAAGTACGCAGACGATCAAATTCTCATAGTTCCCGCGGGGCCCTATTTTCCAGCTAACATATCGTCTTGAAGTATGGAGAATTTCATTACAGGCTTCGCAGGCCACGAAGCCCAGCACCGCGCCGCCATGCGTCGAGTCCTAGGACAAGAGAAATATGAATTCTTTTTCGACAAATGGCTCGAGTACTTCTTCACCGAGGCGGATGCCAAATTCTTCGCCGAGCTAGGACTAAACTGTCTGCGTCTGCCTTTCAATTACCGCCACTTCGAGGACGATATGAATCCCCGCGTGCTGAAAGAATCAGGCTTCAAACACTTGGACCGAGTGGTCGACCTGGTCAGTGCTTTGCATATCCCTCTACGTAGGCGGGGTGGTATCAGAAAATGGACTAATCATAAATGCCGTATAGTGCGCATCACATGGGATCTATACCATCCTGGACATGCATGCCGTCCCCGGTGGCCAGAACCCAGATTGGCACTCCGACAATCCTACCGGTTACGCCGCTTTCTGGGATTACAAGGACCACCAAGACCGGACTGTTTGGCTCTGGGAACAAATCGCCAGTAGGTACAGAGATAATCCTTGGGTTGCTGGGTACAATCCACTCAACGAACCTTGCGATCCTGAGCATGTGCGGCTACCCGCGTTCTATGCTCGTGTTGAGAAGGCGATTCGCAAGATTGATCCGGATCATATCCTATGGCTGGATGGGAATACGTTTGCGATGGAGTGGAAAGGGTTTGACGAGGTGTTGCCAAACTGCGTGTATGCCATGCATGATTACTCGGTAAGCTTCGCAATCCTTTCCGAGGCTATGGGAACACGGAGGGTAGTTCTAACACGATTCAATCTCTAGTCAATGGGTTTCCCCACCGGCGATCGCTACAAGGGCACACCTGAACAAAAAGAACAGCTTGAACGCGTGTACCTGCGCAAAGCGCAGTTCATGAGCGAGAACAAGACCCCTGTCTGGAACGGGGAGTTCGGGCCCGTCTATGCGGACAAGGTATTTGACGTTGATGCCGAGACTGTCAACCAGGAGCGATATAACCTCCTCGGTGACCAGCTGCGCATCTACGATAAGTATAACATCAGTTGGTCGATCTGGCTCTACAAGGACATTGGTCTGCAGGGTATGATCTATACGAATCCCGAGAGCAAGTGGAACAAAACGCTCAAGCCATTCTTGGACAAGAAGAGAGACTTCTGGCTGGATAAATGGGGACGTCGGCCTCAGCCTGAGCCTGAAGCGGCTTTGAAGCCTTTGGTCGAGTGGATTGACCGTGTTAGTCCAACTGCGAAGGATACTTATCCCACGTCGTGGAATACGGAGTTGCATGTCATGCGGAATGTGTTTTACACTTTCTTGGCAGCGTCATTTGTGGATGAGTTTGCTGAATTGTTTCGAGGAAGCACTGAGAAGGACCTGGAAGAGTTGGCTAGGAGTTTCCACTTCGAGGGTTGTGTGCAGCGAGAGGGTTTAAATCGCATACTCAAGGACCACGCACATTCATCTCGTTGAGTCTGAGCAAGAGTTGGGTTGATATAGCATACTAGAATAGATTGGACATTCAAGATTGATTCCGACGCACTAAATCGTTGAGAGATATTGGATTAATAATAGGCGTGATGCTCTATAAGCAGAGTGTGGAAATAACTTCCGTTCCTGGCCGTATCGTCACTTCTTCCCAAAAACCACGCACTCCTGTTATCCACACACTATCGATAAGCTAGAAAAATCGAAAAAGACCGCGGGGCACATTCTCGACTTCAAGATAATTAAAGGTTACTGGAGGGATTCAACATGACTGAATCTCCTGTGTATCCGTCCAATCTGGACAGCATCTTCGATGCCGCATCACCTCTTAAAAACCGCATCGATCCAATCCGCTTGACATCGGAGAACATCATCCCGATCTTCAACCTGCCCCTCGCTCACAAGGTGCTGGGACACGATGCCCCAAAGGAGTCTCTTGCACAGGTTGCAAGCGGCGAGATCTCATATACTACATTCGTCGCCAATCAGGCCCGCGCCGCCCTCCAGTCTAGCGATGACTTGACCAAGGAACAAAAACAATCGCAACTCCTGCACCTCGGACTAGCAGCCTTGTTCAGCTTCTTGCAGTCCAACGTCACCGGTCCTCCCCTCGAATTCAGCTCCGCCGAAGCTGTGTTCCCGTCTACCCTACGAACCGAACGCACAACCCTCAAAACCGTGCGGGCAAAGATCATTCGTGACCTGACTGTTGATGGAGAATATGCATACAAGCTCACACCTAACCCGGAATTGTTTGCTGTCGCCAAGGCTCTGCTGGCCGATGCGAGCAACGATGGTCCGCTTGTGGCAAACACTGCGCGTATGCGTACCAACTTCCTTCACCAAAAGATGCTTTCGGAGGTCACGAGTACTCTCCAGGATGTGATCTACAAGGATGTTGAGATCCTGGACAAGGCTGAGTTGAACTCAGACGAGAAGAGTCGGTTCCTGCTGGAAAGGGCCACTATCCACACACACCACGGATTCGATGTCAAGGCACGGGAAGATATTGATCAGGCGGCCAAATTGCGGAAATTCGAATTTGCGCTGACCGGAAAGATGGGCAAGCGAACAAAATTCCAAGACCGTGATATCAGTCAGCTAGTTGTGTTGGCTAAGAGTGCTGATGAGACATCACAATCTTCGGAGTCTTCTGGGCCTAAGAACCTGAACTTGGACGACGATACCCTTCTTGAGGCCATCTCTTTCTCCGACCAAAAGCCCGACGAACAATCCTTGGCAATTCAGGACAAGGTCTCCGCAGCTTTGGACGCTCTTGATCCTAACAACCAGCCCATTCTCAACCCCGTTGACTCTGCTCTCCTACTCGCACTGGCATCTGCCATTACTAACACTTCGCCTGAAAACGGCCTCACTCGAGAGGAAACAAACCCGTACGCCACTCGAGTGCTCGATGGCGGCAGTTCCAACTGGCAGATTTATACCCAAGGTCTTCTTGTCCGCAGTCGAGTAGAGGGCTACCGTTCCCGTACTGTAGAGAGAGCTGTGCTGCAGATGCAGGCTTTGGTGGATCAGGTCATTGCGGACACCGCAACTAGCGACGACGCAGCTCAGAATGAATCAGGAGACCCTACAACTTTCTTGCCGCGCCCTGAACAGTCCGAATCTGCCCCAGCCGCTGACCGACTCGAGCACATCTGGATCCTAAACTTCTCAACACGCTGGAGCCTCGAGGCCGAGCTTGCCAAGCGCTGGGTTGATCTCGGTGGTCTGCGCACCGCACTCGAGATCTACGAGCGACTGCACATGTGGGCTGAGGCTGCGCTTTGCTATGCCGCAACCGAGCGCGAAGGCAAGGCGAAGAACCTCATCCGCCGCCAGCTTTACCAACCCACCGGCCCGGATGAAAATGATGAAAACGAGCAATTCGATGGACCAGAGCGGTCACCATTGCCGGTCGATGCACCACGTCTGCTCTGTATCATGGGAGATATCGACAAGGACGAAAAGATGTACGAGCGTGCCTGGGAGGTCTCCGGTGAGCGATACGCCCGCGCCCAGCGGTCCCTAGCCCGCTACTATCTCACTTCCACGCCACCACAACTGGAAAACGCCGAGATAGCTTATAAGAAGAGTCTGCACATAAACCGGCTGAACCAGGGCGCATGGTTCGCTCTCGGCTGCGTGCAGCTCGAGCTCGAGAAATGGCAAGAAGCAACCGACACCTTCACCCGCACCGTCCAACTTGACGATACTGACGGCCAGGCCTGGAGTAACCTTGCGGCTGCAATGCTGCGCATGCCCGATCCAGAGCCCGCCCCAGAGGTCCTGGACGAGTCCACCGGCGAGCTCTCAGCTGCTGAAATCGACCCCCACAAGCGCAAGCGCGAGGCCTTATCCGCTCTCCAGCGCGCAGCGCAACTCAAGGGCACTGACGCTCGTATTTGGGACAACGTCCTGACAGTCGCAGCGTCCATCCCGCCGCCGGCAACACCTTTCCGTGAAGTGATTACCGCGATGAAGCGCATCATCGAGCTCGACGGTACAAAGAAGGGCGAGAAGTGCATCGATGTGCCTATTTTGAGCATGCTCGTTGAATTCCTGAACGCGGCATTCGAATATGAGGCATTGCTTATTCGCTCTGACGATCCCTCAGAAGCCCCGATTGTTCGCACCGGTACTATCCCCGGCCAGATCATCTCGCTGATCGATCAGAATGTCGTCCCGCTTATCACGCACTCTTCAGTGCTGTGGCTGATTGTTGCTCGCGTTGAAGTCTTCCGTGGTCGATTCTCTAAGGCGTTCGAGGCTCATGAGAAGGCGTGGCGTGCTACTATTTCTGCTAATGCCCAGGGTGCTTTCCAGATGGGTGATGAGAAGCCCTGGCTTGAGGTTGTGAAGGCTACAGAGAAGCTTGTCAGGGATGGATATGCTAAGTTTGGCCCTATGGACCGTGAAGATCAGGAGCTCGAGGCTGATCAAGAGCCGGAGCTTGTTGCCAAGGACTGGCGGTTTAAGGCTCGCAGTGCCGTAAGAGGAATTATGGGCAAGGGCAAGGACTTCTGGGATGGCACCGAAGGCTGGGACCGCCTGAAGCAGTTGCAGTCTGAGGTCACGGCAAATTAGTACATATAACCCTTGATGCTGTTTATGAATCATAGAGATAGCTTGCTCGTCCCGTCCGGCAGGTGAAAATATTTACCAAAGTCATATACCAAGTTCAAAATTATTCAATCGCCTCATACTGATTGATAAATTGAAGATATTCATATCTGCGCATAGCTAGAGCCATAATCTTGTGAGAATCATTTTGATTCCAGGTTCAGCTTCCTCTTGACCATTCCGCAGAAGCTCTCAAACAAGACGGTGTTTGTCCCCTGTGCCCAGCGGACTAAAACCTTCACCTCTCTCTCCCCCGGATTCTCTCCCCGGACTATCCGTATCTGCAAACGTACTCCCAGCGCTATCTGATCCGGAATCATCTTCAATTTAGCCGCACCCTCCTCACCGGCAAGTTTCATCTTCCGGCGGGCGAATCTAGACCACACATTCTCAGCAGCGAAACCCGTCCCCGCAGAACGGGTCTGATCCCAAGACCAAAACCAAGGCAGCGAGTTGAGTTCTGTATTTATAGTAGCGATGGCTTTGTCAATTGATGATCCTGGTGGTAGAGTGAGCGTGAAATCTGAAGGGAAAGGCAAATGACTCTTCAGGCAGCCAGGTATTCCACGCGCAATGTTCTAGACCAGCAGTTAGACATGGCACGCAAAACAAAGGCGTAATTTAAGTAATAGGCGATAAACTATGACTTACCATGGCAGGCCTCCGGTCTCCCCATGACCACGCCACGGCCCAGCGCTTCGTCTTGCTTCCTTGATCGAACTCGGTGACTGCAAAATTGTGGTTCTCGTGCTTGATCAGGGTCTCCACGAGTACGTTGATACTGCTCAATTTACCGAGCATCGATGTGTACCACTGGACCCGGTCGCGCAGCTGGAGACTCTCGTCGATCATCTTCTTCACGAAAGCTACTTCTCCGCCGCTGGTCACCATCTCAACTTCGACACCAGTGCAAGCCTTCATATAAGTTAGTATGGTACGGCAAATAAGTGGAATATGGTGGGTGATGTATGGTAAGTTGGCATGGGAAGAACTAGTGAGACTCACAGAGAAGGGGTCTCGCTCTTTCTTCTCGGCAGATTTGATCAGCTCATCGGTCGAGGTGTAAAATGGTGGGTTGCACATGGTAAAGTCAAGGCTGGTAAGCAGTCAGATATTATTCTAGCAAGTCTTAATCCATAGGAGACTTACGTTTGGCAGCCTAGTTTTTCTAGCGGGAAGAGAGGTCCGTCAGGGTCGGAACGTATGATTCGAATCCGCGATTCGAGGTTGTTCAGGGAGACATTATGCTGGGAGGTGCGGAGGTTGTTCAAGTCGATATCTGTCGGGTTGGTCAGTGGGTGCTAGAGATACTCGGACTTGAGGACTTACCTGTTGCTACAAAGTTCCAGCGCGGCCGTGTCGCGCATCCCAGTAGGGGATAAATACTGATGCATCCCGTTCCGCTTCACTATGTCAGACATGATTCGGAAGTGGAAGGGGCAAGTTACGTACATGTCGAGGCCGACCACCTCCCGGTCTCGGTCGTACCCCTCATGCAGGCCTCCAGCAGTGGAGTCGAGGAGGTCCTGCAGCCAGAGGATGTAATTGAGTCTATGCTACATGTCAGATACATTTGTGTAAGGCCCAAGCCGTCATTCGGGACGACATACCTATTTGGTACCTGAAATCTCAGTTAATACACGTGCATAAAACGGTTTAGTATATACATACCGGTGGACATAACCGATCCCCAGGAATCTCAACTTTCAGGTGAAAATCTTGTTGCAGGAGGGTGGTGGTGAGTTGTCTGCATGACGCAAATCAGATCCACTCTCGGGATGTCAGATGTGAGAGTCCTCTGACTTACCGGACAGCGGCTGGATCATTAAAATCTAGTTGGCCATTTGGTTTCAAGCTGTATTCAATTAGTACTAGTCCTCCTGTATGAGCAGAGGCCGTGTCACATACTGCTTGGCGAAGTCGCGCGATTGCAGCGCCAAGGCTGCAAAATCGATGTCATTTTGATAGAGGCTTCGGGCAGATTCCATGGTCAGCACCTGGGCGACCTTTTGAAGGTGCTCAGTGTACTCGAGATTATTAAAATTAGAATGTAGTTGGGTACAAAGAAAGCAAAGTCCACCGCGCAAGATCCCTGGGAGGTTGATGTTGGTAAGTGGTTACGGATGACGAAAGCGGCCATGTGGAACTTTGATCTGATCCTACGGCACCGTTTTACGGCCTAGCCGTTATAGACATAACCCTACACAAAAATAACTTGCAAAAGATGCCAAAAGCAAAACGCTTTTCAGAAGTAGCTGTAACATCCAATCTTTATATTTATGTAAATATGTGAAACTGAGGCAAAAATAAATAATCGCCGAAACCATGAATAAGAAGTGAAATCAAAATCGTCAAGTCGTGATAGGCTTCCAACCACGCCCAATTTATGAACCTTGCCCCTTCTGTTTCCAATTTCCTCATTATTGACCGCTATTTTTCAAGCCGAGTTTTCCTTCTTTTGAATGCGCTCTTGGCGCTCAAGACGCCATCCGTATCCCCATTTCATCTCAACTATGAGTAGAGGGACCAACGCCATGGTAATGCCAGCGAGCATGAGAAATGCGAACTCAGCAGTAAGAGCATCAATGATAGGCTGGACAGCCGCAACGCCAGCAGCACCAATCAAACATCTCATGAGGTTATTAACTGCAGTTGCGCTGGCGCTAGCACCGGGGTACAAGTCGATGACGAGGGCGCTATTAATGGTGAAGATAGCGGTAGAGCCATAGGCGATGATAAACTGCAAGATAATGGGGACTGCAAGGTGGGTACGGAGGGACACTCCGTAGACGGCGACACACACAATGAAGATAGCAGTGATCCACCAAGTGTTGCGCATGCGGGCATACTCGATGGGGAAGTCGGGGTGGCTCTTTGAGTTGATGCGAGTATCGATTGGAAGACTGTGCTGCTGGCAGTATTCGCGTTCTGTTCGCTTGTGGTTGAAGTCCATTAGGTATCCGATTGTGTAGGAGCCGGTCATGCATCCGAAACCATTGCCGAGGAATGTCAGGCCGACTTCCAGTGAGTTCAGGCCATATATCTCTTCAAACAGAGCAGATGTGGAGGAGGTTACCATTGACCAGACTGTGTACACCATGCTACCGAACAACAGGGTAATGAAGACATCCTTCTCGGCTAGGAAGGTGAGGGGTGCTAGCACGGTCTTGAGGGTTACTTTGGCTTTCTTTCCAGAGGGGATTGAGTCTTCCTGTGCGCCCTTCTGTCCGCAAATAGAGTAGATTATTGGCTTGTGGATGCCTTTGAGGGGAACGGTGCCATTGCCAGCGATAGAACGAAGTGTTTCGGGGAGGAAAAACAAGATAGAGAAAAGACTGATTCCGGACGCAATAGCCAAGAACCAGAAGATAGATCTGAACCCAAGATACTGTGAAAGAAGTCCACCAAATACTGGTCCAACTCCCTGGCCCAACATGCGGACTGAATATTGTTAGATTAGAACAGCAGCAGTGTATCCGAGTATTAGGGTACTTACCACCACCAAAGATTCCAATCAGACTACCTCGCTCCGCTGAAGTGGTAATATCGCCAATCACACCAGCACCTAGGTAAGTTAGCTGAGACGCAAAATAGGGAGGATCAAGGTATCATACCAATTGAGATGGTAGCTGCACTTCCGGCAGCCTGCAGCGCTCGGAAAGCCATAAGTTCACCATAGTTGGTAGAAAAAGCCAAAGCAATGTTCGAAAGAATGTAGACACCAAATGTTCCGATGAAAATCACACGACGGCCCAGCACATCTGAGAAAGAACCCCAAAAGCTTGGGGCAAGACCTTGAACAATCATGTATATCGTTATGGTTAGGGTAGCTAGAGATATGGAGATATTGAGCTCCTGTATTGATGTTAGCGAGAAGTAGCCAAATTTATTGCTCGAGTTAACTAACCTCTGCAACATCTGAAAGTGCAGGGAAGTAGATGTTTGAAGATAAAGGTGAGAAGATAGCAGCGAGGGAGACGATGATGACCATCAACAACTTGCGAGTCCGAGGGAACACATGATATGGTGGTGATTCTGGGGCCTGGCTTTCAATATTAATTGATTCTCCTGACTTTGATGGTATCGAGAAGTCTTTCTCATCCCGAGACGAGAGATTCGGGCGGGAGTTAACCGCTATCTCTGTGACTCCAGGGTCCCTGAGGGTTTCTGTTGAACTGAACTGGGACAAAGTCATGATGAAAAGATTATTATAGAATATGAAGACAACTCTAGAGGTATCAACAGACGCAAATTGTTAACAATGAAAGAGGATTTCTAGCTTCAGTCAGCCCAGACAGCTTTAGAGATCTATACAGCTTAAAGATGGAATGGAGACAGCCTTTTGTATTTCGATTCCAGCAACAAACCCTATAACGCTTATTCAAAAAACAAACACAATATTAGGCAGACCAATGCATCTGAGAGCCGACTAAACGTGCTCCACAGTGGGCTCGACCAGGGGGACCGCTATACCATCCCCTTGATGGTAGAGGGTGGCACAGATAAGACAGATCTGGTAAACTTAAGGTCGCTCAATTCGACACGTACGGGCCATCCTCCACACTTGGGGTACTCGAGGTTCTATTCCAGTACTCGCCGCAAGCTTACAGCTGTGTGTCTATCGTGTCGTCTCTAAGCCTCGAAGACTGACGTCTACCCATGAATAGTACATTCCTGAGCTCCCAACGAACTATTTTGGGACTATTTGACTATGAGGAACTAGTGCTGCTACCTAAACTCATAGGCAGACGCGAATACCCACTGGAATTCCTTTCTGTCTCCATACATGCGTGTACAATTGAATTGATCTACATAACATGTACACGCACGTCCAGTTTCACCCTCAAGACTTGCAATCGGAGAAAAGGTGTCGGGGAAAGTCCGTTCTATACTTGCATGCACTTGCTCGGCTCGTCTCCGCAGCATCTTTCGTGTCCTAAAGGCCCCGAAAGTCTGCAGGATCAGGGATGTATGATAAGCTGGTTAACCAATCCACTAATAGTTTCTGGCCATATCTTGCCGAGGCGGATACATATCTCGATTATAGGAAAAGAGATTGTGAAATCTGATTTCTGTTCCAGTGTCTCATTTTCCCCACGTGTTGAATATCAGCCATTTATGATATCTATCTGTCAAGCAAATGCCAAGCTCCGTCATCTACCCTAGTCAATGTGTATTAAGAGGAGACTATTGGGCAGAATATGCCATTGACTTACGTGTGCATTACCCCTTGATGAATCGATCTGTATAGGGGATATTGGCCCTTGCTGCTCAAAACCCACCAATCGGGGACCCGCAAAGGGGAGCTGGATACGGGGTTTAGCATCATACCCAATGATGATGCATTATGATTAAAGATAAGTGATAGGTGATACTGCAAGCTATGGGACAATGCAGCTGCATCACCAGACATATATTAATAGGCGAAAAAATGTTTCTAAGACTTTCTTTCGGGACAAGGTTTGTGCTAGACAGGAGATGATCGACGAAACGGCCTTTATGGAGTACAAAGTAGTACATACATGCATACTACATTAGACTAAATACAAATGGTGCCAATCATCGCGTCGATCAGGCCCACAAAACGCCCCTATGCAACGTTCTCTGCATATTCTTCTTTATAACTTGGTAGAACGTGCATTTAATCTTTCCATCAGACTCCACTGATGCGCCACGCGCGAGACCCTGGGAAATCCTAACGGAGCCGCCAAGGGCTCGTCATTGTCTATGATTGATCAGTAAATTGCACATCGCTTCGCAATTCAGCGTCGGCTTTACACTTTCGGAGGTCTTTTTCTATCTCAGACCCAACCTTCGGCTCGGTTAAGGTTGGCTAAGGCTGTTTACCCAGTAAGGCTGATACAGTTACCTATCTTGGCAACTTGATAAACCTCAATATTGATGCCCAACGTCAATAATTTCACAGTGAGAAGGGTCTCCTGAGATCATATCACCTAACCGCCACACCCAGAGAATGCCGATCGCCGGGTACCCAATACCACCTCCATTACTCCGTTAGTGCACGTTGGGTGATTTTATTTCTAGATTGGCACGAGATCACAAGCCGAGATGCGACATCCCCACTCCTAAACAATATACGGGTCTGAATCCCTCGGTTATAGTATGTTTCCAACTTGATTCCCAAGCCTTCCGAGTCATACTATCCATCTTGTATGTTGACTGGGTCTTGAGTGAACTTCGGTCAAAATGATTCTGACAAAGTTTCGGAAATATCTAGATTTGGAATAGCACCCACGTACGTTATAGGATCTTCCTGAAGAATATCCAAGTCTGCTCGGTACATCGGTCTCGGCCCCACAGTCGCAACGGAACTGAGAAGTGTCTTCACAACGTAGGGAGATAAAAAATCAATCAATACTAGGAATATATGTCTAAGAATTTCATGTGATTGGAATAAATATTTGCCGGTTTCTAGATGTTGCCAATTTAGATATCACATTTGTTGACTAGCCATCTCTAACCAGCACCACATACCCCTCAATACAAGTTTTCTTCCTTTTTCTAGCTGTCGTACACAATTGAATTTTGTCTTACGTATTCTCTCAGAATTCTTTGAAACAGTAGTTTCTATCGACTATAACCTCCAAATCTTGCAGATCTAGTAGATCCCCCCTGACAGGTAAGTAAGACAACCACCATTTGAAACACAGTCTAGTCATATAGATCTACAAAGTAACGATAGTAACAAAGAAAACAAAGATGGTCATTACAAATCTATCGGCGTTACGACCACATGAGGCTGTGTCTGAGCTATTTGGGCTAGCGCTTCAATAAACAAGCGCATTGGTCAGGGGATTTGCAGATCCGATGTAGCCCCTAGCTTTCCCGACGGACTCCGTCGAAAGAACTTGACACACGATCTACATCTATGAAGAATTCCAAATCATTCTGCGAAGAATGTAGGGCTATTTAACAACAAAAGACACCCCAGAATGTCATCATGTGATGAAATGACCTCCTCAATATCCTCTACATAACCGCCCATCGTTCTATCATTCTCCAGGCCGCCTGAGTGTCTCATTAACAGAAACGTTAAAAGTGACTCAAAATTGAACCCCTGCCCCCTCATTTTTGCGCAGCCCAATATACTAGGTCCACTCCATACTTGGCACCATGCTGTTGGCTCCGGAACAAAAAAATGGACCGGACCCTACGGACGGGGGCACTCACGCGGTTTCCCGAATGCATATCCCGAGGGCCGATCCTACAGGGCTCCTCGGCACACCCCTCATCGCCGAAATATGGAGTTCGCGTGTGGATCCGGTCATTCCGTGAGTTGTTCTTCTAGAGATCATAATTTGATAGCGCTGTGGTGTGTGTGGAGATGCATCTCTTAAGATAACGGCCGGACCAGGTGGTCGGGGCCAATTACATTGTATTGCACTATAATGCATATTTTCAATTGATTGAATTAGTCTTGAACTGCATAGATCTTCTCCTCGTGCTAATTTGACTCGGTGGTGTCATTTGCCTAAGCCGTTGAGACCTTGGCGCCGGGAGGTCCGCACCTCTCGGAATATTTAGAAACTCAAGGATGGGCCTAGAGCTCTCTCCTGGTGCGGGTGAAACACACTATTCTAGAAGTCTTTCTGAAATATATCTATCTGCACGTGTGGATTTCCATGATGACTGCGGCATTGAGAGCCGCTGGCCGTTCTAGTCCGAGTATTTGCAAAAGCAATGCAAGATGGTGATATAGAGCTACCATATTACAAAAGAAATGAGGTAATCTAATTATGTGTAGTAGAGAGTATGCACGTATATATAGATTCTTGACTATTGTCTTAGTGGCGGGCACTACTCTAGTTTACCAAACTCAATGCACGACATATTTATAGATCAACTTTGGTTATCAAAGAGACCACAAATATATAGACATATATACATACCTAGACCTAAATTAAAAAAAAAACTTTTTATATTATGATTACTCTGAGTCATTGCGAGATCCCTTCATGCTACTGAATACTAAGTCCCAACAACAACCTCAGGACCCATGGATATAGATATTCCCCGGCAAGTACTCGTAGGTAGACGGGTACAGCAGCTTAGGTACACCTGCCGTTATAAACCCAAGCAAGAAATGACTGTCCCATGAGCTTTGTTTCTCGAATATCATGGTCAATATGGGTTGTAATCAAGTTGTTGGATTTTCTGGATGTCGCAATGTCCGTGGTGTTATATAAATGTATGACGTATGTTGTCCGGCGGAATGTATTCCATAACAGCTCCAGTAAAAGAGTACATATTATGTAACTAACTGTGAATGGCAAAAATAAAGAATAAAAACAGAAGGGTTTTGGATAGCACCCCTTAACCGCCGCCAAGGCCGCGACTTAGATCCTTGTTTTACGAGTCGCAACGCGCTGTTGCTTAATGACAATAAAATGACAGATCCTCCCATCTTTCTCAAATGCCAGATATGAAGGCCATCCAAGTTCGCTTTCTGGGAAGAAAGCTCGGGGCCACGCTTTCCCGCCGCTGCCAACTCCACGACATACTCATGGCGGCTCCTGTTTCTTCCAGCAATTCCAAAATGAATGAGACCGAGGGTATCGCGGATTCAAAGCATGACCTTGAGGCACTCAATCGGTTTACCTCAGGTCGTTGGCTTTGGAACGAGCGACAGCAGCTTGCCTGTTGCTATGTTAAGTTCGACCTTTCAACGCTTCTGAAACTAGCTGCCTCTGCGACCGGATCGAGATCATGCACCCAAGTGTCAAAGATCTCGGAGGGTCAATATAACAAAGTATTCCAACTTACTATGGACAATGGACGCGAGATTATTGCGAAACTTCCAAATCCTAACGCAGGCAGACCACACTTCACGACAGCTAGTGAGGTTGCAACTATGGACTTTGTATGGCCTACTTTCTTTTCTACTGGGAACTATTTTTGCGCATCGGTACTAAATTTGATAGTTGAGGAATGTTTTGGACCTCCCTGTTCCGAGAGTGTACGCTTGGAGTTCCCGAGCATCAGAGAACCCTCTCGGAGCAGGGTATATCTACATGGAGAAGCAGGCCGGCGTGGTACTAACAGATGTATGGGACACCATCAAAGGAAGGCAGAAGGTCCGAATTCTTGACCAAGTTGTTGATACTGAAAAGCGTCTAACGACTACACAATTCTCCAAGTTCGGGTCCTTGTACTATAGAGACGACCTTACTGACAATTCCGATTCTACTTCACCGCTACATTTTGATTCAACTGGGAACAAAGTCCGGAACACAAAGTTTGGTATTGAGCCGATTAATCACCGCTCTTTCTTTGACTTCGGGAGAGGCGCGTTGGGTATTGAGCGTGGTCCATGTAAGTTCATTTCCAACCCGTATGATATTATTATCCTGTGCTTATCCATACAGAACCTTTAGGGTCAAAAGTCACAGAATTCATGGCGGCTATTGCCCGGAGGGAGATTGCAACTGCAAAGGCAGGTCTCCGATACCGCCTAATGCCCGAAGGTCTTTTCTATGGCCCCCGACAATACCAGCTTAGCCTCTCGAAAAAGCTCTCCGGCTTGGAAAACTATCTTAAGGTGGCACCTCATACTTTCCCAGAGAATACGGCCACTCATGTCTCAGTTTTATGGCATGGCGATCTCCATTCGCAGAATATATTTGTCAATCCTCAAGACCCAAGCCATATTGTGGGAATCATTGACTGGCAGTCTGTCAGTGGTTGCCCGCTTTTTATGCAGGTTGGGCGCCCAGTGTTTCTAGATTACGACGGCCCGGTTCCTAAAGATTTGATGAAGGTCCCTTTACCACAAAATTTCAACTTCATGGGCCCAGACGAACAGCAGAAGGCAAAGGCACTCCATAGGGCACAGACGCTACACAATATCTACTTAGTTCGGTGTCTTCAGGCCAACGAAACAATCTTTCAAGCGATACAGGGTCATAATACTCTCCGGCATCAGGTTAGTGTGGTTGCGGGATTAGTCTTGATGGACTACGAGCCGCTGCTCAATAGCCTACTGAGAGATGTCGAGAAAGAATGGGCACATATTGTTGGCGTTGGGGGAGATGGCAGCTCTCCTCGAACGCCGTTCCCATTACAGCTATCGGAAAAGGAAATCCGGCAGCAGGAGGAGGATGGTGAACTATGGGCCCAGGGTGTTGAACTCATGAATGCATTTGTTGCCAATACTGGTTGTTTTAAACATTGGGATGGTAGGGTTAGTAACGGAGATTACGATCAATCTAAGAAAGAGCTAGATAAGGGAGTGAGAAGGTTCTTAGACCGTGAAGCCAGGAATGACGAAGAACGTAGGGAGTGGCTCAAAGCCCTGCCGTTCATGGATTAAAGTGTACTGGAAGGCTAGAAAATATCAATGATTTAGCATTTCTGGCATGCTTTTGAAGTTGCTCCAAGTTTCTGCATATCTTTACAGAATGTGCTGTATATATCGTTCGGTTCCACACAGTACGGATATAGGTATGGCTGATGACAGAAAAAGGCTTTATCAAATGGTACCAAATGTGTACATATGTAGGTAATTTGGTGGTATGCAACTAACTGACTGGCTATGAATAACAAACACCTGGGCAGAGAATTTACTTAAATAAGCAATATATGCAGCGCCCTAACTTAAACGAGAAATGACAATCCCATGAGCTTTGCACCTCTAATATCCTTGTCGATATAAATTGCAATCAAATTGCTGGATTTGCTGGATATCGCAATTCGTGGTGCGTCTTAATTCTATATGTAAATGTATGACGTATGTTGTCCGGCGGAATGTATATTCCGCAAAAGAGCTCCAGTGGAAGAATATTTAATTGTAGACATTAACTGGCTGTATATGCGGAAGTTCCTAACGTGACAGTTAATTTGTTATCTCAATTGAGTGTTAGAAATTTTTGTTCAGGAAAACGCAGTACCAAAAATCTGTTCATTATCTCTATCGATTAAATGTCACATCTCCAATACTTCAATTACGACGGCTGGGGCCAGAAGGCAAAGCGAGACTTCTATTACAGCCAAGCCGTCCGCATTGGCGATCGCATCGAATGCGCAGGCCAAGGTATGTGCACAAGCAAGCCACGCGGCCTCGCTTTTCAAATGAATAGATAATGCTGATAACATCATGAATAGGCGGTTGGGATCCGCAAACCTTTGTGATCCATCGAGAGATCAATGCGCAGATCGACCAAGCTTTCGCCAACGTGGACCTGAACCTGAAGCACGCCGGAGGAAAAGGTTGGGAGCAGGTATTTCGGGTGAACTCTTACCACGTCCCGATCAATGACGAGGCGCTGGAAGCGATGGTGCGGAACTTCAAGAAATGGATGCCAAATCACCAGCCTATTTGGACGTGTGTTGGGGTGACGAGGCTTGGCGAGGATGATATGCGGGTTGAGATTGAAGTTGTAGCTCATGACCCGTGAGAGATCGAGGTCGGAGGGGACATGATGTTTGATGCATTGATCGGCCATGAACCCATATAGCTCTCGTGTTCAAGCAACCTGAGTAGGCAGTTTCACACGAAAAAGGATATTAGCCTAAAAATGGGAGAAAAATTTTTCTCAAATACGATGATCTTAGCGTTTGTCGCCTCTGCCACCACCTCTGCCACCCCCACCGCGGCCACCTCTGCCGCCTCTTGTTTTGCCCTTTCCTCTGCCGCCCATCATACGGCGTCCCGAAGCCTGGACGCGAGCGATGTCGTCTTTGTTCAGGTTCAATGTACCTCCTGAGAACTTGCCCACGGAGGCTCCGCTAACACCGCGCTCTCTTCGCCCATTGTTGCTCGATTTGTGTACCTTAGTAGGCTTTTCGAGGATGATGCCGTTCTCCTTGGCCTCTTGACGGCGTCTCCCTTCCTTAGATTCAGCCTTAGCTTTGATGCCTCGTCGGTGCGCTGTAGGCATTTTATTTTGTGCATAGAGCGAAGTTTTGGCTCCAAGGGATTGCATGCGCAAATCCAAAGCCTTCAAACGGTTCTTTCCAGTGGGAGCAAGGTCGTCAGCGGAGTCGAGGAGGTGGGACTCCTTGAGTAGTCTTTGCAATGCAAGATCGTGCTTGAGGTTTGCAGAGTCGTGCGCATCTTCCTCCTCTTCTTTTTTGGATGTAGGCTCTGGCTCGGTGCTCGGCTTGTCCAAGTCGGACAATACTTTTCCACTCTACGGATCTCAGTGTGAGCATAAACTTAGAATGCATTGGGATTTAACACATACCATAAACGCCTTCCAAGTCTTCTTGTCCATTCTGTCTTCTGGTGCCATATAAGCACCCGTGTGTTCGACCACCTCGACTTGATTGCTTTCGTCACTGATGTCGGACATCTCATCCCAGTCACCTTCTGACCCAGACATATCAGAATCATCATCCTCGTCCTCGTCTTCTTCTTCATTGGAATTTGTAGATTTGGCGGTAGGGGCTGGCAAATCGAGTGGCTCGAATTGTGCCTCGAATAATCTGCGGAATACGTCCTGCGCATTGTCCACCGGAGGAGGGCTGTCTTCCTTAGTCTTGGGCTTAGAAGCCACAGTGGTTTCTCTCTTTCGTTTTACAATCATGGTGAATGTGTTGTTGACCAAATTGTAAAATCAAACACCCCGTCTCGGCCCAAAAGTTTTTTCGGAATTAGCTCAAGATCACGTGCGATAAGATAAAACCCCCCCTCGATTCAAACAGGGTAACTGGATGAAGTTGTTCTCCAATTCGCCAGAGAAAATGACCAAGTTCAAGCCATGCATTGACCTGCATTCAGGGCAGGTCAAACAAATTGTGGGTGGTACTCTCAGTCAGGTGGCCGCAGACCTGAAGACCAACTACGTATCCAAGTTCCCAGCCAGCCACTATGCGGGATTGTATCAGAAGCACGATTTACGCGGTGGGCATGTCGTGAAGCTTGGACCAGGGAATGAAGAGGCAGCCCAGGAGGCATTGAAGACATGGCCGGGGGGGCTGCAAGTGGCCGGAGGTATCACCGATAAGAATGCGCAATATTGGATCGATCAGGGCGCAGACAAGGTAAGCACGCGGACTCCGGATGGATTGCTATTTCTTCGCTTGGCATTGTGCTTGATCGAGAATTCAATTATAACTAGCTTTTTACTTCAAGTTCCTGTTTCCTTGCGCTCCGTCGTAGTAAGAGTCCGATGACGCTAATCATTTGGAATGCGGGCAATAGGTGATCATCACTTCATTCCTCTTCCCTGGGGGAAAGTTCTCACTCGAGCGACTCGAGTCGGTCCTCTCTGCTCTAGGTGGTGACAAGTCAAAGCTGGTCTTGGATCTCAGCTGCCGCAGAAAAGACGATACTTGGTTCGTTGCGATGGACCGCTGGCAAACCATCACAGAGATGGAGATCAACCAGGGTATGTCCTGCCTGTACGGAAACTTGGTTTATTATTGGTTCACTGACACTGTGTAGAATCGATCTCAATGCTGGAGCCATATTGCGCTGAGTTCCTAATTCACGCTGCAGACGTAGAGGGCCTGCAACAAGGCGTTGATGAGGAACTTATTTCAAGACTTGCTGAATGGTGTAATATTCCAGTGACCTACGCAGGAGGTGCGCGGCATTTACAAGATCTAGAAAAGGTCCACACGAGTAGCAAGGGAAGAGTGGATTTGACGATTGGCAGCGCGCTAGATATCTTTGGCGGCTCCGGGGTGACGTTCGATGAGTGTATCGAATGGAATAAAACACATTAAAAATATGACATAAATCAAAACAAATATATTATACCAAAGAAAATGATGAGCTGAATGAGACTTTCAAATTCATCTTTACAGTTTCACCAGAGACATCAAAATAAACAACAAGGAGGAGAACGAGTCACAGTTGTGTCTGGGGTTGTCCCAAACCGGTTTAGGGGCTTTTAGCAACTGAAGGTCCGCCCGCCTCCGTATCTCAAGTCTTCCACCTCAACTCTCCGTATTAGCCGATTTGCGACCACCTCTTTCGCCGATAAACTACATATTCCGCTCCTTCTGCAACTCCATTACCTGCCGTCAATTTGCCAATATGAAGCCCGTCGTCTCCGCCTTGAACGCATGGTCTTGGTACGCTCCCCTCATCCCAGACAGTATCCATCTAAACGTCCTATATCGCTCTAACACCTTGGTTCTCGAACAGTGTCGTTATCTCCGTTTTCGCAATCATCATTCTCTCAGTCCTTGGCTCGCTATACAATGTACGTCTTTCCGACCCCGACCTACCCATCAAACCCTCCAAAGATCCATTGTCACAGACCTACGTAATATTGGAATCAACCGCTAATACGAAGTTCCGCAATATAGAGCAACAACCACGCATACACCGGATCAGAAGGCGAACCCGAAGATGGCCCCGCAGTCGCCGCCTCCATTTACACCGCTGTGATCGTCTACGCTGTACGTCACTCCTCATCCCTAAGCCCCGACGGGGCCGTTCGTTGCACGAGAATGGAATCGGTTACTGACAATGCGCTTTTCTGGCTCACAGGGCTTCTTCGTTTTCTGCGGTTTCCAGGCCTACCTTCACATGCGAGGCAGCAGAGGTGGTGCTATATCACTTCATTGAAATTAACTTGGTCCCTTTTCCTTCAATGTGTTCACGACAGCTTTATCTGTCCATTTTCAATTTCTGAGCTTATATCTCGGGGTTTCTTGAGTGCAACGCGGCACGGTGGTTTAGATTTGATGCGTTGGGAGTGATTCAATCCCGAGAGAATACTTTCAATTTCTCTCGAGTATGAACTACCCATTTCTACTCTGTGCGACCCAGATTCGTCTATGTTACAGGCGAGCAGGGTCGGACTAAACTTGAAAGGCGTTAGCGGGCAGGTTTCCCGGTCTCCTTTGCTAGAATACACAGATGGCCGACCTGCGACTTGTACATAGGGCGCTCATAATTATTACCAGCTCTTTCATTTTTTGTCCATTGGATGCATCTAAAGATAAAATTTGGTATTAGACATTCAATCATTTGTCCTTCGTTGAGAAGAAAATCAAGTTTTTGTGAGACCGCCAACGCCAGTGGATGCAGAATCAGAGTACCGAGCCTCGGCTGGACACCTGGGTTCTTTTTGTTTGTGTTAATTTTTGTTTTGTTTTCCTTCAGGATATTACTCCTCGTCTTCCCACGGGTCCAACATCTTGGACATGTAAGGGCCATCAAGGTAGTACCCAAGACGAGCATAGTAGCTACGCACGCCCACACCGGAGATAACACTGATCTTGCGGCTACCGTGCTCCTCACGGGCAATGCGCTCCGCCTCCTCCATCAGCAATGTTCCAAAGCCACGGTGCTGGAACTTGCGGGCATCACGTCCGTGAAGCGGCACAGCAGAACCGTAGACGTGAAGTTCGCGGACAATACTCGTCTGCTGACCGGTGAACTCAGGACGGAAAGTGTGAGTCTCACTGCACTTGCGGAGACGAAGCAATCCAATAAGAATATCCTGCTTTGGGTCTTCATATGCCAAGAAAGTTTCCCATCCACCATTGGCAGTGTAGTCACGGCGGATCAACTCAATCTGCGATGGACGGATCTTGTTCTTGACCTCGTTGATACCAACTTCTCGTGTGCGGACATCACGGCAGGTTGTGCCGAAATCCTTCATACGCGCCAATGCCAGTTCACGCAGGTTGCCGTTCTCCACACCGGAGGTGACCAGAGGCATGGGGATATCGCGCTGAACTCGGTAGATACGGGTCCATGGGGGAACTAGGGCCAAAATGCGTGCGACAAGGTCGATAAGTGCGTTTGGTGTGTAGTTCTTGTAACGGCCAGTGCGCCACAGTTCGTAGAGACCGGTTCCTCGGATGACAAGTGTAGGGTAGAGTTTGAGACCGTCGGTACGGAAGTTAGGGTTTTCGAAGTACTCCTGGAATTGGTAAAGATCGCGCTCCATTCCAACGTTTGGCAAGTCGGGCATCATGTGGCTAACAACCTTGAACCCGGCATCCTTCGCAAGCCTGAATGTCTCAGCTACTGCTGCTACGGTGTGGCCGCGGTTTGTGTCTCGCGCAACATCCTCGTATAGACTCTGCACACCAATTTCCAGCCGCGTGCAACCATAGCGCAGCATGCTGCTCAAATGTGTATCCAGACAGTAATCTGGCCGGGTTTCAATCGTGATACCCACACACTTGACGTTGCTCATTTCGCCTGCTAGCACGGCCTCGTCAACGTTGTCTGTTTGATATCCGCTCAGCGCGTTGTGAAGCTGGGAGATGAAGGTATCCCGGTAATCTTCCGGCAGCGACATGAATGTTCCGCCCATGATAATGTATTCCACCTTGTCCACGCTGTGTCCTAGGGCTTTGATCTGGTCCACACGTCCTCGAGCCTGCTCAAACGGATCGTAACGAGCGCGGATCGCTCGCATCGAGGTCGGTTCATATCCAGTGTATGACTGAGTCGAGTATTCGAAGTCGGAGTCGGGGCCACCAGGGCAATAGACACAGATATTACCGGTATATGCAATGTGGGGGCATCGATGGGGTTTGCACATAACCGCCACCACGGCAATACCAGAGGAGGTTCCTATGGATGAGGTTAGCAATAGACCAGAAATCTCACTTGGGGTATGTAAACGTACGGATTGGCTTCGCAATCAGCTTTGGCAGGATATATTTTTTGTAGTGCTCGGGCACTGCCGCGATAATGGCCGTCAGCGGCGGCGAGTTGGACAAGCTGTGCTTCTTTGAAAATGTAGCCCGCAACTTGTTGAGATTGAGATCCTTCTTGGGCTTGGCCGAGTCTCTGTGCGACTCGTAGTCTTGAATGAGAGCATTTGCAATGTCGGAACATGCTCGCATGAACCGCTCGTTCTCCGGGACGTTCTTTGCATTCTTCTTGGCGGCCCTTTTGATTTCCTGGGAGGTCATAGTCATGGTAGCCATGGCGAAGAGATATACACCGCGCTTAGGCGGGGAAGTCTTTCAAGAACCAAAAGCGACAAGTTGCTGGTGTAGTGGGGGTGAGGTTGATTAGATAGAAAAATGTGGTGGCCGAGGCCTGCGCCCGAAGTGAATTTCTGCTTAAGTAAAATAATTATCCCGAGCGAAAACTCCCGGTTACGCATCCCGAGCACCAGCCCTTTATCCTGTCCCTTTCTTTACTTTCCACCTCACTTCATCACCTCTCCCCTCAAACATACAATCTTGCAGCAATGCAGGCCTTCCGCCGTAACACACTCTCGGCCCTTCGCAATGTCGGTGCCACCCAGCGTCGGACTCAGGCCACCTCTGCCTACAGCGAGACCTTGAACAACCTTAAGATCAACAAGGACACCCGTGTTCTGTTCCAGGGTTTCACTGGAAAGCAGGGAACGTAAGTGCAAACCTTGCGCCATTGTTATCGCACGCGCTTGATGCTGATATTTGACCTTGATAGCTTCCACGCCGAGCAGGCCATCGCCTACGGTAAATATTCATCCAGCCGCGATCGCATCCAAACAACAGCTTACACAAAACAGGCACAAATGTTGTCGGTGGTACTAACCCCAAGAAGGCCGGCTCCATGCACCTTGACCGTCCCGTTTTCGCCAATGTTAGCGATGCCATGAAGGAGACCGGTGCCACAGCTTCCGCCATCTTCGTTCCGTATGATAACTACTATTCTCTCGAAATATCAGCCAAACAATGCTGATACAATTAGTCCCCCCCTTGCCGCTGCCGGTATTGAGGAAGCCATTGCTGCTGAGATGGGCCTCGTTGTTTGGTACGTGTTTGATGGAGCTCCCCCTGTAAAGAACTTTTCCTGACAGCTTTTCCTTTAACAGCATTACCGAGGGTATCCCTCAGCACGGTACGGATCGATACACCACCCATTGAAGCGCGCCAACTGATTGATTCCATATAGACATGGTCCGCATCACCGATATTCTTCGCACCCAAAACAAGACCCGCCTGATTGGTCCTAACTGCCCTGGTATCATTGCTCCCGTAAGCTACCGCTCCAACTTTCTGCAATAATTCAGGCCGCGGAAGATACTCATACATTTCGGTTATAGGGTCAATGCAAGATCGGTATCATGCCCGGCTTCATCCACAAGCGCGGACGCGTCGGTATTGTCTCCCGTTCCGGTACACTGACCTACGAGGCTGTCAACCAGACCACCCTCGCTGGTCTTGGTCAGTCTCTCGTCGTCGGTATCGGCGGTGACCCATTCTCCGGCACCAACTTCATCGACTGCCTCAAGGTCTTCCTTGAGGACCCCGAGACCGATGGTATCATCATGATCGGTGAGATTGGTGGTTCCGCCGAGGAGGAAGCCGCCGAGTTCTTCAAGGCCAACAACATCCACAACAAGCCCGCCGTCTCTTTCATTGCCGGTATCTCCGCTCCCCCCGGCCGCCGCATGGGTCACGCTGGCGCCATCGTCAGCGGTGGTAAGGGTGGTGCTGATTCCAAGATTTCCGCTCTCACCGATGCTGGTGTCATTGTTGAGCGCAGCCCTGCTTCCCTTGGCAAGGCCCTTCTTGCTGAGTTCGTCAAGCGCGACCTTGTTTAGAATTGTTGCTCCTTTTGATGCATCGCGTGTCTTGTTGTCCTGGTTTTGAAGCTAGGGATCTGAGGTATATGTGCCATTTTATACTATGGGGTCTCATGGGCAGTCCTTTTGGCTGCTCCTGTATTCTTTTTCTCCTTTGTGTTAGAGATCCGTGAAGTAATCATGCTCGTGTAATTATTACTGTGTGGTGCTTGTGCAGAGTAATGGTAGAAATATGTTAATATATGGAAACTATCTCTTCGAGGTGCAGGAAGCAGGCTCCTTGAGCAGTTCCTTATTTTCGACGTCGACCGGTTTCATTCTAATCCTCATACTGGGAATACATAGTGAAACGAAGGGGCCTAGAAGGCAGAACAATTGCACAAAATAGTAGAAGCCTCGTCATCGCAGTTAGCAGTCTTAATTCCCGAAGAAATTGAAATTTAACATCAGTCCAGCGGTATCCGGGAAAACGAAGCATTGACTACAGGGCAACCTTTAGTATGCGGCTGGCCCATGACATGGAATATACTGAAGTGTATGTTGAAATATGTGAATATCACCTTATCACTCACTATGCTATACTGAGATTATGCTTCCTGAATCAAAGTCTCTAGTGGTTGCTACACTACGATAGTCGTTGATGCCTATAGATATCTACAATGCCCACAAGTCAGACTACAGAAACATGCACCGATGGATTGTCTCTCTCATCCCCATTGTACATTTGTATATGGTATATAAATGCCATATAAACAGGCCAAATAAAACAATACAGAACTGTGTGGCGGGTTGCCACTACATGTGAACATAGTTGCCTTTGCCGTGGACAAGGATAGACCAGGTCCCGGGGCGCCTCCGGGACCCAGCCCCCTCGCCTTTAGGCTCAGGTCAACTCTCGCAACTCTCCCAGCTTCCCCAAACTCTTCAGCTTCTCATCCAACCTCTTGATGATTTTTATTCTGATGTCCGTAGACATCACGGGCTGGTCGCTCCATTCCTCGATGGGACCTTTGGTTTCCACATCGATCTCATCTTCTTCGTCGACTTCCGATTCACAGTCACTGAGGTCTTGATCTGCCCCAGTGCTGTCACCACCATCGTCTGTATCACTCCACTCTTCCTCCCTATCCTCTCTGTATCGCAACTCCCACTTCTCCCATTCATCCCATTCATCCTCTTCATCGTCCTCGATGGTTGGAAGAGGGATGGGCTTGCTGGTGTGCCCTTCAGCGAGGGGCCATGCCCATTGAAGGAGGACGTCCATCTTTTCGGTATAGTCCTCCGCATCGAAGTTGAGTGCTTGGGTATAGGCGACTTTAAGTTGGCCGCCGTCGAAATACCCATGCAAAACTCGAACCCGAGCATTGGGGAGGAAGGACATGATCATTGTCTATATATCAGTCAGTTAGTCAGGTCCTGTCTATGGTAGTGACTTGGTAGAGCGTCTGGACTTACCGGGAACTCAAGTTGGGGACGCTCATGTCGGTGGTACCTGCTGAATTGGCGCTTCTGGTTTTTGATACCACTCAGCATCCATCGAACAAGCACGAGGAGCTCTCCAACTGAGGGGAGAATTTCATGATAGCAGCTTTGGCTTTTCATGACGACGAGTTGGTGGGAGGTCATTCCGTCGGCACTTTTGGCTCCATTTTCAATAGTGAAGCCGTGCCGATCGTTGCTGTTGAAGAGACTCTCTCCGTCTCTCATTCTATATTCCCCAGAGTTAGTCTCTTTCGCTAATTTCTATCTATTGGGAATTTGGACTTACGAGACTAGCGACCAGAGATCAGGGGACTTACTGCCCCCGGGGGATTTGCGGAGGTACTTCGAGAACGCCATGTGCAGTGAATGGTGCATCTCTTGGCGGACGAAGACTTGATATTTCGAATCCCGGGCCCTTGTAAACGGGTCGTCCAGAGGGTCCTCGGGATCGAGTGGAGTGTTGGCGATTTTGAAGATGGTGTCGGTGTCGGGTGCGAAGAATTGGATGAGGGAAGGATCGGTTTCCCCAGTCCAGAAATCCATCGGGTGGATATCGATGTCAGCAAACTGGTTTGTTATATAACCAGGCTCCATGTCGCAGAGCTCATTGTAGAGCTTCTGGAGCCTGTGCTCCTTTTGCTTGAAGAGCCAGATATAGAGGGGTCGGCACATTGTGAAACCACCTGGGGACAAAGGAGTATGAAGAAGGAAGAAAGGAATGGGAAGGTACAGACAACGGGGGGTCTTTTATGTTCCCCATGGGTCAAATCCTGGGTCGCCTCCGACTCCCAGCACGATATCTACTATGCCTAGGTGAGAACAAGGTTGGGCTATACCCGCGGATTTACTGCGTGTGTCAACATGAACCAAGCCTAAATCGGACGGATCTCAATCCATAAAGCATCCTCTCCAAGGTTGGAGTGCTTCGGACGACATATTTGGGTAGCGGATGGCTCTTGCCCAGGTCTGTACCCAGGTGTGCAGGTATGTACCCAGGTATGTATATAACAACAAAAACTTATAGTTCATACATCGGAACAGAGAACCACGGTAAAATAAAATCCTATGTACTCCGACTCCTATCCATGCTCAAAGCTACGAGGTAGCATCATTTGAAAGGCATGATACCATATACTCCAAAGAGGAATAATATACAAACTACTCATGTATTGCGTCATTAATAGATATCTGTTGTGTTGTAGGAAGAGATATATAGCGAGGGCAATATCAGAAGAAGATGAGACTACTATGAAGAGAGGCTGATTGAGTAGTCAAAATCAAGTGAGAGCAAAGTAGAGGACTACTGATTTCATAGTAAGCAATGAAGCTTTAGTAAAAGATATATAAGCAGATATTTAATATGTAGCATCATATAGGACGAGAAAAATTATCACAGAAATATCAAAGGAAGATGAGACTTTGTGAAGAAAGTCTGATGTAAAGTAAGAAGCAAGTGGGAATGAGGTGAAAGGTACCTAGGTAGTTGGTTGATGGAAAGAAAGCAAATATATCATTATACCTAGAATCTTGAGTTGAAATCTACAGGATATGATGATCAATCGTTGAAGGATAAAAACAAAACAACGCTTGATCAAGGGATGGATGTGGAAGATTCCAGCGTACTATCTGAAGTATTCTTGCCTTCTGTAGGGCTGCCAAGTTTCTCCTGGGCTGATTAATTCAATCAAGAAAGCTCAAGTCTGTGAGCACAAAGCTCATGTCCTTCCTGAGCCTCCTAAAGCTCTGCTGTATCCACCCTGCCCTGTTCAAGGAACAGCTGGGAAGCCGAGATGTCAGGGGTTCTGGGCCCAATCAACAAAGTCCTAGCAGTGACGACAGATTTGGAAGCAGACGAAAGCTGCCCTCTGTCCTGGAAGCCATCAGGTATAGTCGTGGAAATATCACGTTTGAAAATGGGTTGAGACGTACTTCTCGAGGCGCGACTCTCGAAGCACAAGTCTTTCCCTTCACAGAAGATGGAAATTGTCGGAGATCCTGCTCCAAAATTTCTAAAATCAGCAGGCGCACCGAACTACTATTTAAAGATATTTATCTTCGAAAGAACGGAGCTGAAGATCCTCACAAACCATGATATTGTAATTATTGCAAACAAAAAATGGATCGTACGGTTCAGTTCAACAAGATACCATCATTCTTCCTCTCGCTAATATCTAAACGTGGCAGGCACATAGTAGCCTACCTGCTCCCTTGCCATTGTTGTGTTTGATCGGATATTATAACTTCTTTATTCTCTTCGTAGCCCGTTCGTTCGTTCGGCACGAATAGATTACTCGCTATGTTTGCTCGGGGGTTTATTTGACTGTTGGTATATCCAATTTCTTGAGTACGTTGGTCTTCGCCTCAACCTTGCAAAGATACGCCCTCTAGTTTAAGTATGGACTTACTCTCTCAAACCTGCATTCATTGTATTATTTAACATAATATTAGCTGTCATTCTGCATTTGGCGTACCGGAGGATTAATTAGAAGCTGGATTTACCAATCCTATCAGAATATCTCGAGAATCACGACTCGCTGGGCGAGCGCCCTCGTTCTTCGGTTATATGTTTTAGGACTAGTACACTAGCTAATAATTGGATGGTAGGTAGAGATTAAACGCGCTGTCCTTCATCGGGGTACCTCAAGACCTTTATATTCGGCCTATTGACAGCACAGTTTACAGATAGCATCCCCAAAACAAACTTCAAATGCCAGATGCAGAGACCTGGTACAGTTCAATTATTGGCCTTTATAGTGTGTTCGGCCATAAGTCATATTACTCTGAACAAAGGTATCATGCAGGCCACTATGTCGAGCCCCTACCCTGTGCTTTGTAGCACTGAGAGTAAGTGATCACTAAATATCAACTCCTGCTATCCAGCCCAGCAATACTACAACTGCCAGGGCCCCGGCCACATCCAGGCTGACTGTCCCACCCTTTTCAGACACTATCACTCTAGCTCTGGATCTTGCTCAATGCCTCAATGACCTCCTCTGTGGTAAACACATCCGCAAACTCACCATCGAGGCTAGCAACAGAAACCTTATGAACAGTCTCCGAATGAATGCCAGCCTTTCCAAACGTAGCCGTGGCATCCTCGACAAGCACGATACGCCCCTTTTCAACTTTGACATCATTTTCATGAGTTCCATCCGATCTCAGCCGGACTGGTCCATCTCCAAGATACCGATCCACAACCCCCAAATTAGCCGCCATTCGCACAGTAGTTGAAACACAATGATCGGTCGTCAACCCCGCAATTATGAGCTGACGAAAGCCATTTTCACGCAAATGCACCTCAAGTCCTGTTCCGATAAATGAAGAATTGACATTTTTCCAAAACACAGCCTCCGACCCATCTGAGGCAGGGGTGGCGAAGTCTAGAGGACGGATACCCTTAGGGTTGGAAGGGTGGAGCGGAGATTCCGGGGTAGTGGAGGAGTGGAAAATGTGAATCACCTCTAGCGGTGTTGAAGATGAGGATCTCGCAGCTCGGAATGTAGAGAGAAGTGCTTGGAGATTGGTTTCGTAGCTCGGGTTGGACCGTGTGGTACCCCAATGAGATATGGTCTTTGGATCGCAGAGACCTGATTGGTTGTCTATCAGGATCAAAGCTGTGGGGAGAGTAAATTCCAATGCCATTTTTTCAAGTTGGGGTTCTAATTGCCGAATTATTGCTGAGAAATTGTGCCTGCAAGATGTTGGCAAAGTTGAAATTCGCTGAGGTTTTTATCCGGCTCTAGGGCTAATGCGCGACTCACCCCACTCACTAATCAAACATCAATGTTGTTTTTGGATATATAAACGCTAAAATATTGGTAGCGGCCTAGCGAAAAGCAGTAATACTCTATGTTCAGCTTCTTGGTCCCCTTTTTGTAGAGAAGAAACTTGAAGTTTCCTGATTCCAACTTCTTTCTTCGCCAGTTGGTTTTGTTTTAAGGGTTGAATGGCGTGGCTCGGGGCTATATAACTCGGAATCCTAGATCAAATAGTAACCATTCTATCCCTTTTTTTCTATCACGCCAACCTTGCGCTATCGATCCGGGGTCTGACATCGTTGATACTTCTGTTAAGATAGGCTGGCGATAGCACATTTTTATTAGCGATTCATGCCGGGAAGTTCTGAGCAGTCAAAACAGTCTGGTACAAATTCCCCGAACGCTAGATCGGTTAACAAAGAACCGAAAATTATTATAGTTAGCTCCACGCTTTATATTCCGTAGTTTTCCTTGTTTCCGTTATAGCTGTGGGGAAAGCAAGGAGAGAAAGGTTGAATTCAGTTAATAACTGGCCGAGAAGTGAAGGGCAAGGGCATATTCTGCCTGAGGCAGTAATGCTTGCTCTGCCCCGACATGGTATTTTGCAATCTTAGAGCCTTGCCATCGAAGTCTCTAAGCAATTGGCAACGCCAATCAAGTATAATGTACTGAATATCCTCTAGTTTTATGACCTTCGGCTATAATGTGTGTCACAACAGGCATACAACGCTGGGGATAAGGGAAAAGGGTGGTTCTTGTTATAACATGCCCCTGGACTGGCGAGTTACACACTAGACCAAAAAGACCACTATATCTGAGCATTACGCTCAGATATTCCCGGCTCCGATATATATAGTGCGACATGACAGTTCTTTAGGGTACGATATATCGACCCTTAGGCCTTTCCATTCATTTCTTCGCTAAGGAGCAGAAGATATACAGCGCTGGAGATACCTAACTTTTTCCCTCTCCCTCTTTCTACCCTGCCTCTTTCCACCCTGTCTGCCGTTCTGTATAGTAAATTAAAAATCTACCCAGCATTTTCGGAACTAGGTTTCCGGGTGTATGTACATATCAGTAACCATTGACTCGTAAATTTTGCCCGGCTTATCAACCAAAGTCAACAACATGGGTAAATTAATACGTAAGTGAAACACTGGCTGTCCCCCCGACAAAAAAGTGCCCAGGGTGTCAGTTACTAACAATAGTATTGAGAAAATGATAGGTATAAAATGAACAACTTATTATAGGTACGAGCTAGGTGAGGACAAAACAACAAAGAACAGGGCGCGCTAAGAAAGCCACACGATTCAGTAAGACATGCAGGCTGCCGCAATCACTCGCTTTGAGAGACCTAGGATATATAGCGGTTGGAAAATTGAAGCCTAGTATCTCCATTTATCCTCTACGCTGTGTCGCAACATGGCTGACGACACTTAAGTGTGTCTAACTAGCTATTGATATAGCTGTATTTGTAAGATTGGCGGTTGTGAAGACATAAGATTGTCGTCAAATCAGTCTTTTTTTAATAACAGGGTACGGAGTAACGCGGATAACAACACTAATGAAACTATTACTCCGTAGTCAGCCATGAAATGAAAAGCGCACGTAAAGGATGTATGGAGTAACACCCATGTTAGGCTAACTGGGTCAACACTCAAGAGGGTGCGCTAAAAAAAGAAATTGAGAGAAAGCAGCAGGCCTGTTTTGTACGGCTGCGCAAGCGACGTATACGGAGTGCTAGTAACCGATTGGCAGAAGTGGTGATTAGCAAGTATGAACTGGCCCCAGCCCCCTGAATTGAAACCGGCCCCCAAACACTGTCGCTGATAAGCCCCTCTGTTTTTTGTGAGCATGCCGCAGTAGGACGTACAAAATACAAAGTAGGGGTTTTCCCTCCAATCTTAAACAAGTGTGGGGCCTTGCGCTTCCATATTCGATATTGTGGGGTTCTCGCGTTAGATACAACAGTTATCGGTCCTCTTGATAGGTTATGAAATAATATCTCCTTCCAAGGTTGCTTTTTTTTTCATGGAGTTGGAATTGTTGAGCTTTACACTTCGGTACTAGATATGTATGTATGTCAACTGGTCCATATGTACATACATATCTACATTATATTTAGATGTCATTTGAGGTATTTTATTGTATTTGAAATTGCAAATACAATGTATTCCAATACATGTTGTTTTTTACATGTCTGTAAGGTCAATTCCAAGGTTAACGCCCATGTCGATGGGGCCCCTAATGCAGAGTGGCCAGTCGTGGAAGGTTGGGAATAATCAGCGTATATGTTGTATGAGAAAATTCAATGGATTTTGTTTTCCTCTCTCCTTGGCGTTATGATTTTTTTTTTTACTCCAGTCATCCTAACTAACTTGGAACCTCGGAAACTTCCTCGAGTGAAAGTCATACATATTTCAATACCTAGAATCCCCTTTGGCAACAGAAGAAAGGAACTGCTGTATTGTATGGGGAACAACCGACCCAATATGACGAGTTGAACTGACCTCAAAAATGCCCTAGACAAACAACATGGACAGCCCTGAGTACTTCATCAGCTGGGGGTCGGAGAAATATATTCCAATACGGCGATTCGAAGACCTCCAGCCAGACCGCCACGATCTTCTTCGGTCTTATGAAGAGGCCATCGAGACAGGTCAAACCTTCACACAGTATTTTTCGAACCAGCCGCTGGAAAGTTACGAAATGGACAGGTCGTTAAGAAAGAATATGGGCTGTGACCCTTCGCCTCTGGATGAAAATGCAAATACCATATCTGTTTGTTGGCTAGACATCGTTCGTCAAGGTGATCTCCAGCAACAAGGTGATGGATGTTACCACTGTTCTATTCAAGGGAAGGTATTTGTATTCGATCAGCAGTTACACGATAGGGTCGAGTTTTGCCGAAGCCATGCCCTTCAAATTTCTCATTCGGGGCCAAGCTACGAAGATGTGGAAAGGGAGGTGGAGACCACAATGGGTATATGGACTGACATCTCCAAGCAAATAACCGACTCTTTAAAATGTCCGTATTTCTTACCCTCACAAACTTGTGCAAGTGGTAATCTAACTGAAACAGTTATGAAAGGTCTAAAAAAACTTCAACTAGCAGTGAAGATACGCCTGAACGAGCTTCAATCCCTACCAGGCCATACCATAATATCTCCCACACCAACAAGTCCAGCACATTATTTGACACTATATGAGCCTGATACTGCTGTACCTGTCGAGAGACTTCGTCAAGCAAGCCCAGCACAGTCGGAGTCGTCTGGTGACTCAAGCTCAAACTCAGACTCAAGCGAGTCAGAAAACGCTTCTGATAACGACGAGGCCCTAGAGAATGAAGGCCCAGAGAACAAGGGCTCAGCCGAGGAGACCCTAGCGGGCGAGGCCCTAGAGGATAAGGGCTCAGAGGATAAGGTCGCGGAAGATGAGGCCCTAGCAGGAAAAGCCCCAGCAGGCAAAGCCTCAGCAGGCAAGGCCCCGGTTGGTAGGGCTCCAGATGACAAGACCCCAGAAGAGAAGGCCCCAGGCGACAAGATCTCAGCGGATAAGGGCGCTGCGGATAAGCGCCCAGAGGGCAAAGGGACGGGAGATAACAGTTCCAAGCAGGACACCCGTCAGCAGAGAAACCATAACTCTAATAATGGACGCAATCTGGCACCAGACGATGACATGGTTATTCCATTAAAGCCTTTGTCCTCGAGAACTTCAACCTCCACGCCTCTCATACCCGAGGATGAAAATGGTATCTCAACAGATCACGCTTCTCTGCCACAAGATACTGGAAAAGCTGTCTCAGTAAACCCCGCGCCCTCGAAAGGTTCCTCGTCCATCTCTTCATCAAAGGAAAAGCAAAATAGCGTCCCAATGGATTCTGCATCTTCGCAACAAAATCCCCCGGTGGATACGCACCTCTCAGTCCTCCAAAGTCCCATACGCAACAAGCACAATATACTCATTGAGAGTGAGGGCCCATCTTTCCGCGCAGTAAAGCGACGGAAATTGGCGATGAACATCCCGAAAGTACAGAAGGAACCACCGATCGGTAGGAAGTCTAAGTTTCAAGAGAGAGTCATTGCTGCAGCCTGGATGAGGGCCAATTTGCATGAGGGATGGACCCACGAGATATTTGAAACCGAATATTTCCTCAAATTTGGTTATAGCCGAGCATACCAAACCCTCAAGAAATGGATGAATGGAGAGAATTCTCAAGCTGAGAGCCATGTTGTGGTATTGAAAGTTCCCGCTCCATGTTCACATGAGGCAGTATCGAGTGACAATTCTTCATAGCCAATGTCGGGCCTTTAAAATGGCATGAACTACGTACTAACGTCCTTTCAATGTGGGCTCTCGGATAGCCTTCAAACCTCGTGGGATGGCTCTCAGGCGACATCAAATTCACAGTACCTTATTAAGATGGAAAATGGTCTGCCAAATTGCTAGACTGAAGGCTCCACGGGCTTATTAGTGTCTTCTTGGGGCTGACTATCAGTCGAGGTAACAGGCAGCATGGTCTGAATTTCTTTGGAAAAGTGAATGGAAAGAATCACACCTGGCGCTTGGCATAATGAAAAAAAAGTTTAATACAGGGATTGGAAGGATTGATATCATGGCAGAATGGCAGATATTTCCATTGTTTCATAAGTTTCTGCTGTACAATAGCATTTAATGATTATTTTATCTATGCAGTAACCCGTGCATGTGAAGGCCTCCTATATCTTTCTCTCGCTTCGTTGGTTCTTTACTAGATGCTAAGGTGCTTGGCCACCCTAAAATAGCTTCATCGCCTAGGAAATTATGTATTGTTCTCTACAAATTATCTTCCTCTATTAGATACTTTATCAATCAAGGGTGGTATAATTGAACCATTGTAGTAGAAACCGAGGGGAGCATTCAAGTTATTGTCACACGTATTTGCACTTCCCACTTACACTATTACGGTACTTTGGCGCAGTTAGAAAAAGTTCCAGCGGGAAAGCGGGACGCCCCAGCGCACCCTAAGGAGGAATTGTGACATGTCTTTGTTCTAATAAAATTACAGGCACCGTTGACGTGATCCTGGTGGTCAGTGATGAAGATGATGATGTTATGTCTATTGGTTCTGACATTCCGCACGATGCCAATCATGGTATCGAATCTAACTCAAATACCGCGGTGGAACAATTCGAGTTGATGATAAAGGGGGTGGATCACTTCGCGCAGAAAAAGCGCCCCGCGAGACCTTAGGGGTTCAATATAGGCCAATGATGAGCGGTTCCAGAGCATATACCTCTCGGGAGGCGACAGAAGCACCAGGATTCTTACGATATCTTTTGGAAGAAGGATATTCCCACAAAGAAGTGGAAGATGAGTACAACTGGACTTTCATCTCAAACTATCCTCGGAAAGCTAGGCGTCTCATCGAAAATTTTCCGACTGGTCTGAAAAGAAAGCGGTATCTCACTGCGCCTCAACCTCAGGGTCAAGCTAAGAAGCCTAAGCGTCTACAATCCGGTATCACAACCATGCCTTTATTGACATTCCTACGAGATATCACTAACTGACCGCTTAAGGCCAGACCCGATGATAGTGAAAATGGCTATTAGAGGATATATGCCAGCAAACTACATAGTAGTTGAAAAGGGATACATTGGAAGATATCTTCTTAGGTTCGTGCAGCCGCTTGTGGATTTGATAAGCAGCCATTTACTGTGTTTTTAATCTCCGAGATGTGCATACAAAGATTTTCTCCTGTGATATGTGATCCAACAAAACAATTCGCAAAGTCAAATTCCATCGACAAAACTGAGGGAAATGAATGGACCAAGATCAAGTCGATTCTCGTTGGGAAAGTCCCAAATTTAGACCTCAGAGACGGGCAACGATGTCTTTTCCCAGTAGGATAGCTCCAGTCGACTCCTAGTAGCACTTCCGGCGATTTGAATATCTTGGGCTGGGCATTATGATTCCTTTTTCTCTTCTCCCTGGACAGCGGATCCAAAATCGCATAATAAGACTCTGCCGAGCGTTCTCGGTGGCTCCAAAAGCCGAGAAAGGTAGATCGTTCTATCACCGACCATCTTTCGAGGAATTGGATCATCTAACTCAGTCTGAACGAATGTGTCAAGGATGGAGTGATCGTCGAGTTCTTGCATGATATTGTCTGGTTTGATATCTCGAGACTGTCAGTATAGCGCCAATACACACTGTAGACTATATCATACCTGTGTGAACAAGTTTGCGTTCCGTGTGTAGGTAGTCCGGTGCTAGAAGCACCTGCCTAACTGCCGACTTAACAAGTCGTGGATCCATCCTACCTTCCGGCATGATGGCATGGAGATCATACAAACTCTCCCAGAGAGGTTTTTGAACGAGACAATAGTGTTGGTTATAGAGATATTCAATGCTGATTTATTCTTCAGAAGGTCGGACCGGTTGTCAATGTTGAGATCCGGTAAGTTTCAGAATGAATATTTTCAGGAAGAACTATTTCGTGACTTAAACACTCGGATCCTGATCAGTGAACAAGATGGCGTTGCAATTCAGCAACCCAGCTACAATCTTCTTGATAAGAATTTCATTATCACTGCCAAGGTTACTGGAACCAAAGGCACCAGGACCTGCCATATTTTTCCCAATGGAAGGGGTACCAGTTGGATAGGGGATAAACTACAGTAACCATGGTCATTTCCTATACTTAAGATGATTTCGGGTATTTACTGTTTGGTTGATGCGGAGAGATGAAGATAACGTTAGAATTTTTGTTTGGATAACTTCAAAGTATTCATTGAATGAGATGGAACTTATGAAAGAGTCATACGACTGGCCGGTGCAGTTCTTCACTTGAAAATTTATCCGATTCAAATTCTCCAATGTTCATCTCCAATTATTTACTGTAGTCGGAACTAAACGGGTTATTGGGAGTATCTTGCATTGTTGGGCTTAATCTGCTGGGAACAAAAACGCTTCTTTCACAGGGATTTCCCAAGCATATTACCGTCACCCATGCCATAACAATGGCTCGTCTTCAGGCATTCATATTATCATTGTACCATCAAATCAAACCCCAAAAGAAAGCGAGCCTGGATACCCTACTCCTTAACTCCAGATTACCAGTAAAGGCCGAGCTGTGGTTGTATCCCAATTGCCACGGCGTTTGTGGATTGAAATAATCCAATTTTTCAAGGTTGGGCTGCAAAAAAAACAAAAAATGCCTGGCCATATAACTTGGTAATCCGAGAGGTAAAGGCAGACGGTTGAGCCCCATGCTATCAGTGCACTGAGGCTTTCAAAAGGTTTAGAGCTTGTGTCTGGAATCAATTTTTCTAGAGTCCGAGACATCTTGGAGAGCAAACTCCTTTATCTTGGCAACGAGCTCGCTCAGCTTGTCATAGTCGAGCTCGGGGGCGGCACTGTCGCCGGCCTTGGCGAATTTGGTGACAGAAATTATGGAGTGAAGCAAGGTATGGTATGTTCAAGTCAATGTATAGAACTGTAATTGATCAAATATGATAAAATGGGTATTGATCCCTGCACCCCAAAAATCCACATTTACACCCCAATTATACAATCACATGCTTATAGCCATAGTTAACTAGTTAGTTACCTACCTACCTATTTCACAGGAAGGTAAATTCCAGAAGAAGAATATGGCCACTCCAGACTATACAGGCAACCATTATTCTTGAGGATAGTAGTGGTGTTCAATGCGTTTGTTCCACAAATTCCAATTGATCTCACCCTTTGTGTGAGGAACCAAGTCAGCAAACTTCCAAGGCTGGTCTTGGAAGTTCCATGTGACTCATCCGTTGTGGAAATATATTTAAATTACTTAGTATAATAGTGATTGTCGAGAGTATTGATGGGATGAGCAAATTTGAGTGTCCCTGTTGAGACTGCTGGTGAAGATGTGGGGTGCGCCGTTGAGATTAAGATAGTGATGATCGACGATCTCTTGGGATTATTGAAATAGGCTTCAGTCTAGATGAAAGTGATCATATCTGATGGAATATCGTGGATTTCGATGACAAAGAGTATAGAGATCAATAAAAGCATAGGATACATATGCAAAGAGAAATAAATGAAGAGACGTTACGGTCCCGATCTTCAGGCAAACTTTATATAGCGAGCACTTTCCTTCTTCCTAAGGTGATAACTGTGCAAAATATCTGCCCGGATTTATTCCTATCACCCTCGGCAGGCTCAATAGTAATACTATCTTGAGGCTATGCGAAATAGACAATACCCAGGCTTTGGAATAAAGTTGAACCAGTGAGTATCTATTTTACTATGCCTCAGTTCTTAATCTAGAGTCGATTAGGTGCTAACTCTGGCGCTTTATTCCGGCTTCTACCCTAATATCATATGGTAGTGGCGGGAAAAAAAAAAGACTTTTATTTTGTTCTACTAAAGTATTTTGAGGATACCTAACTAAGGTAGTGACCAAAGCTTAAAGATTTGGACCGCAATCATTCCAAGTATATATTACATCTTTACATATTTGACTCATCGCTAGAGAAAATACACTTAGCTTCCTATCCAGCACTATTTCAATATCTGCCTCGAAGCATTTCATCAAACTTCATTTGTCACTCCGGTTAAAGCCTTCAAACCTACATATGTACCTGCGGCCACTTTCACAGCCCAAAGGTCAGTGGTTATTACCTTGGCCCTCGTGCTATCAGGCAATGCCACCACTACCGTGGGGGCTAATTCTACGTCCCTGGTCGATGGTTCGGCGCTGTCAGAGACCAGCTCTGGCGGCACCGAATCAACGATGACTCGCTTAACCAAGGACCTGAATCCGCTGGTCCAGGCAATGGACGAGACTCTCGGAAGAAGCCGTTTGATTGTTGATCAAGAGCTGATCGATAATGACGAGAACTTGATCGACACATTCGGAGCGCCTCCTGATCTCGTCGAAGTGACACGGGGCTTGGAGGAGACCGTCCGGTCGCAGAAATTCTACCTTCTATACGGCGATTACATGGGTCGCGTTTGGAGGTATCTCGAACATGCTCCCCGTAGTATCCAAGGTTTTTAGCCAAAAATAGTCGTCGCTGTTGCCGAATTGCTCGATCGGGATGTGAGCTCGGGATTTCGGTCAGCAGCGATGTGGCTAAAACGGCAATTTTGGGATATGCGAAACGCGTCCAGATCTGCCACGAAGCTCCCCATCGCAGCCCCAACGACAAAGACACTCGCGACACAATCGTGAGCCATGTTGGCGGCTTGGAGAGGCTTCTACCGGATGATCAGAAGGCGGTTCGTGATCACTGGATATCCATTGTCAATCTGTGAAAGAAGTGCGGGAGTTACTTGAACGAGATGCGAAAGCCGTCTCCGGGTTCAGCTCTTTTACTCGCCAGACCGCCACGTAACGCCGAAGAGAAGAAGAATTACCAACGAGCGCTGGATTCAGGCTCGTTCCAGGGCGAGCTGAAGGCCACAATAAAAAGACTAAAAATACATACATAGTCATAGCTTCAGTCATAATTTCTTAACTCTTCGATGGCCATTCGATAAATCTCACATTTTCAATCTCTTGTCGGGTTACAAGCCTTCGTTAGCTCTATCATAATCAAGTTTCCAAGCCCTGGAGATTTGAATTTCTCATGGATCACCTAATCTCTTTTGGTAGTCCTGAAGCCGGGTAGGCAGTTAGGTACCTAGGTGACGTAGTCACCTAATTAAAACTTGCAGTCTTTCCTTCTTTCTTCTTCCGTAGTTGTCAGTTATTCAGTACACCATACTTTGATTGCTTCATGATCTCAGTCACAACATATCGTTCAGCAATATCTTCAAGTAATCAAATTCATTATTCTGGGCCATGCTCTAAGCGCACAATGAGCGGCATCAGATCAATCTCCGGAGAACTCCTGAAGGACCAAGACACCGTTCCCGCTCATAGACATCTGGCCCCCAACACTGCCCTTGTGCAAGTAGGGAACTATTGCCTACCTTCAGATCAATGCAGCTCCCGGGAGGGAAGAGGGAACCTAGACTTGACGAGCTTCGGGGTATAAAAGCTAATGAAGGACCTATACCATCAGGACCCTAATACTAATAAAGGCATTTATGTCGACGGTATCAGGCACTTCACCTACGCTCCCTACCATGACAACCTCTCCATCTCTTTCCTAGCCAGAATGATCGAACTGGAGCCCAAAAAGATCATCTCCCTCATCCTCATCTCGTATGATTTCGCATGAAGAGCTCGCTACCGGTGGTCAACGACACCATCCGCAAGTTGTTTTTGAAGCCTTGGCCATGCGACCTATATAACTACCTAATGGGGTCCTCAAAAGAGTATTATGACCTGATATATACTGATGCAATGATAAAACCTACGTTCTGTTTGCCATCGTGATCTTTTAGCCCAGCAGGTGACATATACACATGATATATGTAGTTACCTCCTGGCAGTGGGAAATGTTCCGTTTTTATTATATACAATATTTTTGGACCTCCAGTGCAAGCCTCGCTCCTAAGAAGCTTTGCCTATGTCAGCATTTGCTCGTTCCGCATCGGTTGCTCCTCTCCTTCTCTCCTCTTTTCTTCTGTCTCAGCTCCAAATTTCAGTATTGAAATAGCTAAGATAGCTTATAATTAAGAAGCGTTGGTTGGTATTACACGTGCTAGGCTACTCTTCCCCTTTCAAAAAAACCCACTAGCTATTTACAATAATAGTACCTGTCTCTCAGACAATGCTAAAGTCAAAAGTGAAATCAAACGGCTCAGCATAGCACTTGTACGGCTCAAACGCGGTGGGTCCGACAGTAGCAGAACCCAGACCGTTGTTAGCGTAATCCAGATGCAAAACGGTCATGTCGAGCGGCTTCAGATCATACGGGTGCTTTGCACTGTCCAAATCTTGGGGCATGTAACGACGGGCAGTGAAGCTGAAGGCCGACTCCTCGCCTTGACTATCGCTGCGGCGTGCATCCAGCGTTACGCCCTTCTCTGGGTTACCGATTTGCACCCAGCGCAGATCCTCGCGATTACCATTCTCTTGCGGATAATCATAGTGTGTGAACAGATCATCCACGGAGGACTGGTACTCGCCCATACGACATGCCTGTTTGGAATCGGGGTAGCTCTCTCCAGGACCGCGGCCGAACCAGGAGACAGCGTCGAAGCTCTGTGGTAGGACGGCCATGAGGCCAATGCGCGGCAACACGGTGGGGGTATTGTCGCCAGAGAACTCGCCCTTCACCTGAAGGCGGAGTGGCGCCTTGTCATCAGCCGAGATGGTGTAGATCAGATCCGCCTGCACGCCCCAATCCCAAACCTTCGGCGCGACCCAAACCTTGTAGTAGACCTTGACGTCGCCGTTGTCGGCTTGCTGCCAGGTCACGTCGCGGACCTGCGTGTGTACTAGGCTGACGTATGCTGCATCCCACTTGGGCCCATCTCCTGCGCTGGCCTCGTCGTTCTGCGTCTGGGCGCGGTAGAGAGACAGTTCCGGTCCACGCTGGAAGATTTCCGTTCCGTCGACGTTCCATGTGGCATTTCCACGCAGGAGATCGAAGCCAAATGTCGAGGTGCCGCTCTGGATCTCGAGACGGGTTTGCTTTGGTTGAGAGATTTTTACGCTGGTATCGGCTTTGCGAGCAACAGAGTTGGAGCGGCGTTGCGAGGGGGAAGCAGAAGGTCCAGCGAGGTAGGCTTGATCCCAGGCGACTACATGGTCCTTCTTGGCCCAGACCTTATCCTCGTCAAGCAGGAACTCGACAATAATCCATGCTTCTTTCGACAGGTCTCCCTTCTTGAATGGAAGGTCCACCTTGCGACTTTCGCCTGCTGGAATGCTCGGGAGCTTTAGATCCTTTGGCTCTGTTTTCTTCTTGCCATCTTCCACAAGGTGCCACTGGGGGCGCAGTCCGGATAGGTCGATGAAGTCGTAGTGGTTCGTGATAACCAGTTGAGTCGAATCCGCAGTCAAGTTCATCGTGACAGGCTGGATGTTTTTGGCATATTCACCCATTGAGGGCATGGGGGTGTGGTCGGAGAGAACCAGGCCGTCCATAATGAAGTCAGCATCGTTGGGAGTGTCGCCGAAATCACCGCCGTAGGCATAGTATGACACGTTGCCTTCCTTTTTCAGGATACCGTGGTTGTTGAACTCCCATACGAAGCCTCCCTGGACAAGAGGCTCGGTTCTGAAGAGTTCAATGTATTCCTTGAGGCCGCCAGGGCCGTTACCCATCGCACTACTCACGTTAGAATGAATGATAACAAGCGGGAGGGAGATGCCCTGAGCTCGTGGGATGGGATGACATAGTACTTACTGCGCAAACTCGCACAAGATGAACGGCTTGTCGGTGTTGTTGCCAATGAGGTCCAGGATCTGATCTGGAGAGTAGTACATGCGGCTGTGTATATCGACCGTTTCACCCTCATAATCCTGTTCGTAGTGAATAATTCGGGTGGAGTCTCTCTGCCGGATCCATTTCGCCATGGCAGCGTGGTTCGTGCCGTAGCCGCACTCGTTTCCAAGCGACCAGATTATGATACCGACATGGTTCTTGTAGCGTTCTACCATCTGAATCGCCCTGTCCAAATAAGCCTCCTCCCAGTCTGGGTTACTTGAAACCTGCAAGCCGTCGCCGGTGATCTGGAAACCATGGCATTCAAGATCAGCCTCGGCAATAACATAAAAGCCAAGCTCATCGGCGACGTCAAAGAAGGAAGGGTGGGGTGGGTAATGGGATGTTCGAATTGCGTTGATATTTGATCGTTTCATGAACATCAGGTCTCGTCGCATGTCCTCGTAGGCAATTGTCCGTCCGGTGAGATGATTGTGCTCATGTCGGTTGACACCGTACAAGATGATAGGCTTTCCATTGACATGGAAGTTGGAACCGCTAATTTCGACGCGACGGAAACCGGTTTTTTGGCTGATAGTTCGTCCGCCAAACGTCAAAAGTAGGGTGTACAGGTTAGGGGTCTCAGCAGACCACAGCTCCAACTTATCACCATCAAGTTTCTTGACATATTTTTCCGATGATGAGATAGTGGCCTCGTCGACGACCTTCCCACTTGGTGACAGAAGCTTGACTTTCACATCCCCTTCCTCACCCTGGATGGTAAAGTTTGCTGTCAATGTACCACCACTCTTGAAGGAGTCATCGGCCTCGGGGAAGACGTCGAAATCGACAATGGACGACTTGGGGAAAGGAATCAGATACACGTCTCTAAAGATACCGGATAGCCACCACATATCCTGATCCTCGATATACGAGGCATCAGACCACTGATAGACACGAGTTGCAAGGGTGTTCTTCTCCCCGGAAGCGGAAAGATAGTCGGTGATGTCGAATTCGCTGGGATTGCGGCTGCCCTGGCTGTATCCAACCTCCTGGCCATTGACCCAGACATGGAAAGCACTATCCACGCCTTCATAGCGCAGCCGGATTTGCTCACCATTCCAGTCCTCGGGCACGGTGAACTCGCGCCAGTAGGACCCAGTGGGGTTCATGTAGGAGACATTAGGCGGGGTGACGGGGAACGGGTACTCAATGTTGGTATAGTGAGGGTGGCCGTAACCGCTGAGCTGCCAATGGCCAGGAACTTCTAGCTCATCCCACGAGGAGACGTCGGCCGTCGCCCACTTGGGCGCCTCAAACGGAGAGTGGTCATAGTGGAACTTCCAGGTACCGTTGAGACTGTGGTATTGGCTCTGTTCTCGGTCGAACGAGAGAGCTGCGTCCTCGGAGCCGTAGGAATAAAAGTGCGCGCGAGGTGGTAGGGTATTGTTGTGGATGACATTCAGGTTCGTCCAGTCAGGGAGGAACCCAGGGAATGACACCGCCATGGCTTCTTTTTAATCCTGGAGGAAAAATCTGGTGATCAGCATCGACCTGCATCTCACTGACCGTTCTTATACACATCCTCAGGAGCATCCCCCGAGACTCGGGTCATCTCAATCTCCAGAGATGTCTAAGAGTCCCAAGAGAGCCAAGAGTTCCAAGAAAGCCAAGAGTGCAAGGTGACTCTTTTCCACAGTTTTCCCCTCCTTAGAAGGTGGGTTCACCTCTGATCCACTGTTGTGAATTAATCACATAATCAACTCATATGACTATAGTACAACGCTGTAGGTTTGCCAATCTTTCTGTATAGATTCATATATGTATCCATATAATCAATTTATTACCAATATCGGAATTTATTTACTCCTTATTCTTCCTTCCTAATGTTCAAAGATCAAGTAGGTATTGTATTGTACGTTATGTTAACTCCTGGGAACTTCTTACTATTTATTTAAGCGAGGTGAATTCACCTAACCCCGAGCACCTTTTCGACCATAGCTGGCCGCATATACAAAGTACACCCCTCCTCCGCCACTGGCTTTAACGATCAACAATGCAACATACGTCAGACACTATGCCGAACATGAAGGTCCCACCACCTGCTTCACAGACGGGCTCCATACCTAGCGGATCATTGCTTAAATAGGAGATTATGCCCCAGGATACCCCGCCTCACCGCGCCAAAACGTATGGAGACCATCAGCCACGCGATTGTGGAATGTGGCGAAAAGGAAAGGGGAAAACTGAAAATCGAAGAATCCCGCCTCTCCCGCGCGGGGCCGAGTGGCTTTGAATCTTGATTGATGGAAACCCGCTTAGTGGCCCCGAGCTCAAGACTCCCGATGTGACGAGATGTGAGCGATGCCCCTTAAAATCTTACGATCGTCGGCTTGCAGTCTCGTATGATACCACATTTTACTCTTCTCGTTCTCGTGATGTTGCAAATTGATGTTACAAAACTGGAGCTCAAGGCTACCGATGTGGCGATGTCCCTGAAGATCTTGCGATCGTCAGCTATGGTCTCGTATAATACTACATCCTAACCCCATTGTACAATATATGATAGACGAACCCTCTCTTCCTTATGATGTTGTAGAATTAGGTTACACAATGAGTGTGGAGGCAGTTAGACAACAACCTCAAGGCTCGAGCGTCCGAACGTGCGTCGTGGGGATGGGGATAGCTCAACCACTACCTAACAAGGTAATAACTCCTTTTCGTTTTCTTGGCTTCCCTCACTGTTAGCTTCACCCATATCTTCCAATGCCGGCCGAAACAAGGATTGTGTCCCACCGACGTCAGGAATGAAGTTTGTCTCCAGAAGACTGTAGTCGGCAGGCCAATAAAACGCAAGCATTAATCTTATCACGGGTATCCGATGATCTTCGGCGGGAAAATTATGTCAAAAGCCCGGGATGGAATCGATTCTTCCGAGATAGCATACAAATTTCGCATGGAGTAGATAGAATTTATTGTTCCATGCGCTAAAACACAATAGTTATATGTTATATATCCAAGACACTCCTGATTCTACCCGGGATAATTTAACTAGAGGACCCTGTAATTGTCATCACCTGCATTGCTGCATCTGTCGTTCCTTTTCTTTATATCGCCCAAGGGCCGCCTTTCGCTCCGCGTTCTGTAGCTGCTTTCTTAGACGGCTTGATACGACATTAGCCAGTAGAAGTGTAGAAGCTTACCGACTAGAACACTCTGAAGGAGTCTGACGCGCATTTTTCTAGTCCTTCGTTTCCCAGTGGTGTACAATGTAAATTTAGATATTTCTATGGCAAATATGTTCTATCTAGGACCCAATTTCCACTATTATCTGTTGGCAGCTCGATATTCCATCTCCAATGCTTTTCTTATATCTAGGTTGTATGGGAATCTATCATAGAACCTGATGTTTGCTGAGGGTTGGGGTTTTTCCTGGCGCTGCAATGTATTCATGGATGTATGTATGGGCAACCTTGGAACATATGTAAGTTACCTAATGCTACTGCCCCTACATTACCTGCCCAGGTGGGTAGTGCCTGCCTCATCTATAGTATTGTTGATCTTCTGTCTGTTTTGTCTCCTTCTTCTTCTTCTTCTTCTTCTTCCTCTTCCTCTTCTTCTTCCTCTTCCTCCTCCTCATACCAAGGGCCCAACACCACTATACCTATAGGTATAGGCCCTTGGCTACTCCAAAAATACTGCTTAAGTACCAGTATAATCCGACGACACTTTTCATTTGGTTTACCAAGAATCTGCGGTGGTGGAGGTGTGAAAATGGATTCCTCGCAGTGAGTTCCACATGATATTTTATTTATTCAAGCATTCCTGACTGAATTTTCAGGGATAGCGAGCACAATCTCAATTGGCCAGACCTACGATCTCGTCGATGAGACACGGAACTTGGAGCGGGGTGCCCAGTTCTGGTCGCAAGAATCCTACCTTTGCTATGCCGATTATATGGGGCGAGTTTGGAATTACCTCGAACCTAATTACCGTCATATCCCGGACTTTTAACCTCTGGAGTCGTTGCTGTTGCCGAAATGCTCGAGCTAGAGGAGCTCGTGCTCTCTGCCAGTAGTGCGGTGGTCAAAACGGCAATATTTGAAGATTGTCTACCCGGACCTTTGTTTCAACCTGGCGCTTTTCGTCATCTTCTCATCTCATCGAGTTGTTTTCTGATCTCATCGAGTTGTCAGTGCATTCGAGCCATGCAAAAATAAACTGATCGAGCTCCTATTCAAATTCCTAAGGAATTGTTGGGGAATGGAGAACCCTCTACCGGATGAGGTGAAAGCAACTCGCAACCAGTGGACATGCATATTCAATCTGTGGAAGTAGTGCTGGAGATTGGGAGAATGTGCGAAATCCAGCACTGAAGACATCTTCGTCTCTATGTTCAGCTCGATTCCTCGCTGAATCGCCCTAAATCACCAAGGGAAAGGAGGAATCCAAAGAAGTGCTGGATGCAGGTTTTTTTCAGGGCGAGCTGGGTCAAGCAGAGCCGAGAAGGCGCACGTGAGAGTCGGCGAGGTCCGACAGAGTGTGCCGATCATAGGAAGATTAACCCGACTCCCTCGGCATCTTGTCTTCGCCCTTTGAAGTGACAGAAGTGACGGCTACCCAGAGAATATTTGGCTTGGGGGAGTGGATAGACTCTGGGCAGTGCTGATCGTCACTGTCAATCAGTATTCTCGGATCTGTGCACCAGAATCCGACTCCCCTTACTCAACTTTGAGGTCCTGCGCAAACCAATAATACGGCAAAGAAAAAAATGAACGGGGCTGCAGTTCTATCGGTCCATCGACCAGCGCAAGGAAACATTGAATCAGGCGAAGGAGCAGCGGGTGCCGTAGAAGGCTTTCTCTCACTTCTTCCCAGCCAGTTTTGTTTCTTTTTCTCTATCTTACCATTATGAATCCAGTCTCTATTTATCAATTCATCCAGGTTACCTTTTCTAGTATATTCGTACGAGCACCCAGTGCAAGTATCTGAACTGGCGTACTGACGGTAATAGACTGCCGTAATTCCACAAGCCGAAAATCTCCTAAATATTCAGGAAAGGTGAACAACCCCATTATCGTAACTTGTTGTGGTACTAAATGGCATTGCCCATGGAAATCCTCAGCTAGATCATCGGTTGTCTTCCACAAAATAAGCTAGCTGGGTGCGCCAGCGTCTGCAAATATTGGAATTCAATCATTGGGAGAAATGCAGCTGCTCTACGATGATTCTGATACATTTGATCAAGAGTCCAGAGTCTACAGAAAGAGAACAGGAGAACAGTGTTTCTCATGGGTTGATTGAAATTATGAACCATTATGGGTGCATTTTCCCTGCTCCTTGAATAATTACAAAAAAACACACAACACACCAACAGCGAAAGCGAAAGCGAAAGCGCTCAAATGGTACAAATGGTATCATTAGAATGTATTAAGTGCCAAATGAATTGGCTCATATGAAGATAAGTGTTGACCAGTTGTACGTGGAATCTGCAGAGACCACAAGAGAGAAACTTTCCGCTAAATGAGAATTCTCGCTCTGGGAACATATGTTAGTCAAATGTTTGTGGTGCTATCAAATGAAACATACCGTGAGCAAAGACTTGAACATTAAAGATTGAATCAAAGTCATGTCGGTTAAAAGATGACCTGCAATAACCGACGTCCAAGCTCACCTATTAGTACACGCTCGGAAGGCCATTCTGAATTGGGGTTGATGCAGCCGTTTGGGAGGGCGAGTTCGAATTGTACACGACGGGTGAGCGCCGAAGCTTATCGGAGGGCCGGAATGAGGGGTACGGGGATACATAAGACCTTGCGGCGGTATAATGTGGGTTTGGGACAGCTGCTGCTGGCATTTTTCGGATTGTTGGGAAGGCCCGAATTGGCTAGGAGGGATTGTCATTCATGAAGGCCATTTGAAGATGCGCCGGGAGTTGTACTTTCAATACCACGATTTTGCTCGGGCGCTTTGCTTTAACTGCTCTTTCATCCAGTCGGTCGACCCAAAGCCTGATTGTGAGCCAGCGGTGAAATACACCAAACTTTTCGGCGTAGGCTTTCTCAACATCGGCTGGGAGCTTTCCTGCGTCTACTTGGCTCTTGAACCAGGCTGGGGCATGCGCCTTCTCGTAGTCGGTGAAGTTATTCCGTATTCTCTTGTGTCTATCGCGTCGTTTTCCTGTGCTGGAAGCTTTGCGTTGTGGTCTAATGGGCGTATCGACCTTTTCTTTCCACATTGGCAGCTCTTGGCTAAGGTCGATGGTCTCGATATCTGCCGATGACGAGGCAGTATGCGCCTTTTGCTTTTTCAAAGGCGGTCGCATCGGGTCCTCGTTGCCATCGACCTGGTGTTTCGTTGGCCCGTCTTTTTGGGACTGCTTGGGCTTCTGTGTGTCATCCTTGTGGACTACAACCTCGAGCTTTTTGGTGCCGAGAAGTCCAGATACCGACACTCCTGTTTCGTTATCAGATGTTGTCTGGTTGCTTTCTGTGAGGAGACGCTCCCGTTGGCCTGGACCGTAAATCGTCTCATCATCAACCGTCTCATCGTCGTAATCATCAGTGTCATAACATATTGGATTGGAGATATCGCCAGGGGCGTTGAAAGGGATGTCAGATCCGCTTGAGACACCCGAGCTTTCCGATGAACTGCGTGCACGGGTATCAAGAGTCTCGACAGATACCGTAGGGCGACATGACTCGTTTGGAGTAGGGTACTGTGACCTGGGGGTTTGCGGCGTGCGAGACCTTTTCAAAGGGCCTCGAATGCATTGAAGCTTACTTCGGCGTTTCTTCAGTGACAGCTGAAGTCGCTTCAGTTTCTCCACGTCTGTTTTCGTTAGTACGTTTCTTACAATCTGGGCGTGTAAGAAATTCTAGGAAATACAGACACTTGATCTTTTTGTCGAGTTCGTCCAAGACATCTGCCTCGATGGCCAAGGTGATTTTCGCCTCCCTTTCAGCATCGGCGGGGGTGGGCCACAGGTAGGAGTTTGCTGGGAGGAAGCACCGGTTGAGTAAGATACTTTTGTGTAGAGACTCATCAATCTGAACGCGATTTCCTTCATCGTAACAGTAGTAGGAGCCGTCACTTTCCTTTTCGAAACTGCCATACTGGAAAATGTTGACCCAGCTGATAGAGGGACCATTCTCAGCCTCAGATGAAGAGGGAGGACGAATTCCCAAGGTTTCCCTCAGGCGTTTCTCGATAGTGTAACTTTCAAGTGGCTCATCTGAGAAGTATTGGGTGAAAGTCTCATCATTGTCAAGGACAGCCTGATAAGATTTCATTAACGCGATGTCATCCTGTGACAGAGACTCAAATTTCTGCAGTTGGGACCGGGCGCCTTCTCGATACGTCCCCCATTTTATCAGATGGTTGGGGCTACCCTCCATGTTCAGGCAACGTTCTGTAAATAACGTTAGCCCTCGTAAAGCGTTACGGTGGGTTAGCCGCGTCTCACCTAAGATAGGGTAAGGATTGTCACTTGTGGTGAAAACTGGGTATTGAAATGTGGAATGAAAAGAAAAGTTGAGATGTCGAAAGATGGGTAGAATGAATGGGGCGAGAATTAGAAAATAGTTTTCCTAGACCTTTTCAAACCCCCGTGTTGCAGGATATTCTCAGGTGTTCGTAAATTGTGGTTTGCGCAGGTAGTGGTCAAGGGGAGTAATAAATACCAGTAATGAAACCACGTATTTTTCAACTCTTACGCAACTCTTCACGCCCACTATGTGTACCGTAGGCTAGTCAAGTCACTCCAAGTGAATTTATATAAATGCAAGATGGCTTCTAGCTTAAATTTTATAGGAAAATCGTCTTCTTGTTAAGGGAAAAAAAATCTGCGACACATTTCGAGTCGCGGGACACTATTAATTGACCTATTAATTGAGACCAGCAAGCGAGGCCCACACTTTATTAGTCGGGGAACCAGGCGCCTGAGGTCCGCTGCGGTCGCCCACTCAAAATCACACTTTAACATGGTCGTTTGTGAGGACGAGTCCTTCGATCTCTAAATTGTTATAGGCGCCAACGGTCATGAATGGTGAACGGTTGTGAATGATGAATGGGTCATGAATGATGAACACTTATCAATCGTGAATAGTTATAAATAATAAACGGTCGTAAATAGTAAACGGTTATAAATTGAACGGTTATAAATCGGTCATGAATGATGAACGGTCAAAAATAGTGAATGGTTATGAATAAGAAACGGTCATGGATGATAAACAGTTATAAACAATCAACGGTTATCAACCGTGAATACATATGTAGTTATGAATATTAATCGGTTGTAGATGGTGAACGGTCATAAATAGTGACCGGTCATGAATGATGAACGGTTATAATCGTGAACGGTCTTATATGATGAACGGTAGTCTTCGCTTTCCCATGCTGGAAACATTGGAAGACTAAATTACTCGCTGATATAGTCTATGTATCTAACAAGAGCACATTCACCGCTATCTATTCATTTTTTAATTGATCTTCTTAGTGTTGTGGTTCCAAGCTGGATGATTAGTTTATCGAGATGGAAATTTTTAGAGTGGAAAGAAAGGGGGACCAGGGATTTATTTGGCGCAAATGGCTCAATAATACAGAGTACTACGCCTCTTAACTATTATTATTATTTACTACCGTATCTAGTATGAAATATTAACAGCGTAATTTACGTATTATCTGTAATTTGCGTAAGATTGATATTGATGATAACAATCTATACATATCACTAGCCTTGTTTGAAATTAGTCGAAAGCCCTAAAGGTATCTTTGTTTATTAAATAATAATACTAATGTGCAAAGTTTTCTGCGCCATATGTTCGCCTTGTATCTTTTATCGGTCTTTGAAATTTCAAAGGATGAAAATAACAGTAAAAATGATAGGATTGGACAGGTCAGTTTTCCCTGGGAGAACACGACAGGGGATGATAGTGGTGGCCCGAAACCCCTGGTAGGCGAAGGATTGGCCATCGATAATACATATGTAAATAGCCGGTGTGCAGGTTCGCTATCACAAATTTTGAATGATCATGAAGATAGCGCCCGAGGGTGGACTAAAAATTTCAACTATACATCCGCTATATAGCGTGAGAGCTTTAGAAGGAACCCCTATATAAGTGCCCCTATATAACTAAATGGCCCTATATAAATGCGCGAAAAAAGAAGTGGGGCAACCATAATATATACCATCACGTGACCATTAAAATCAGTCGAGGCGAAAAGCCTCAAACAACCCCTTCTAATTACGCCAAACAGACTTCAAGCGACGCTTGCTAAAATTCAAGATGTGGATTAACTGCGGGAAATTGTCCGACTTCATGCAGGCACGATATGTGGTCCGCCTAACCACAGGCAAGAAAGTGGTCTTATTCCGGTTACCGACGATCGACAAATCAAGCTTGAAATCCAACGAGACCAATGATGGCTGGTCATACTACGCCATGGAGGCAGAATGCCCCCATGCTGGCGGCCCAATGGCTGACTCCTCAGTTGATATCGAGGACTCGGCGTATGTCGTGTCTTGCCCGTGGCACGCATACGATTTCAATGTAGAGACCGGCGAATCGAGCGTCGGTATCAAGGCCTGCACGTTCCCTGTGGATGTGCGTGGCGAGTTCGTTGCAATGGATTTCCCCGTCGAGGATGGGGTTACCGTGGGTCTTGCTAGTGTCGATCCTGTTAGTGAGAAAGTCAAGCTTAAGCACCCGCGACCTGCGGAGAAGGCTGCTGCTTCTGCTGCTACCACTACTGTTTCTGCCCCTGCTTCTGTGAGCCAAGAGGATCCCGGCATGGCGACTTATCTCGGCGATGAAGCGACGCTGTGTGACTGGGCCGCCCACATTCTCAATACTGCTAATCCAGAGCACAAGATCGAGCTTACTACACATCTTTTTTCTATCTTCACTGCTAGAGAGGCTTCCGATTCGCCCATGCCGCTTGGTAGGGGCACTATTTCGCCACCTGACCAGCCGCCGCGCGAGAAAATGGAAACTGTTGACCCGGGCCAGATGCCAAAGGCTGGACGAGGCGGGACCCTGAAGAGCCGTATTGCTATGCTCCATGCGCTGGCAAATATTGAACTATGGGCTATTGACCTAGCTATTGATATATTCATCCGCTTTGCAAAGTTCCAAACAGAAGGGACCACGTCCCAGGAACTTCCGCGCGCGTTCTTCTACGACTGGCTGAAGGTCGCAAATGACGAAGCTAAGCACTTCTCCATTCTCCGCACCAGACTCGAGGAGATGGGAGCTAAATTTGGTTCGCTCCCGGTGCACCACAGTTTGTGGCTATCAGCAACTGAAACTTCATACGACCTCCGAGCAAGAATCAGTATTATCGCACTGGTTCATGAAGCGCGAGGCTTGGATGTTAACCCCATGACGATCGAGAAGTTCCGCAAAGCTGGCGATGGTGAGAGCGTGGAGGTCCTGGAGGTTATTCACAACGACGAAATCACACATGTCACCACTGGTCATCGGTGGTTGACGTGGATCTGTGCCCAGGAAGGGACTGATCCTGTGCAGGTCTTCCGGTCGAATGTGCAGAAGCATTTCAGGGGTCCGATCCGGGGACCATTCAATGAAGAAGCGCGTTTGCAGGCTGGAATGGACAAACGATATTACGAGAATTCATGTGCTCCCAGCGCGGGAATTGCGGCTTCATGACCAGGCGCGGCGATGAAAGAAAAGGGAAACGATTTACGTTGAAACATGATTGTCACGTGGTTGATTGATGTTCCGATCCTTTCTCCTGCTAGTATGTTTTTTTTGATATCCCCGTCTTGAACTAGCAGAATGTACATAGCAAGAGAGCAAGCATTTCATATTCATTATTCGTTGAGATCGCTATTAACTAATAAACATTAGGAGGCCCCGACTCCTGACCATCCATAATTAGGTGCCATTATAGAGAGCCAAATCACCCTGAGCGACCGTGGGAATATCTACTTGATATATTCGGTCTTCAACTGGACCTTGGAGCAGCTGGAGGGGATGATGGCATCGTAGTATCGGTTCAAGTAGAATAGCTGGGGTGCATTGTGGATCCAGTCACAAACTGTGGAGACGTTAATGTCACGATCTTAAAAAAGTGAGGAAGAGCGAAGACGTGGGGTTCTCTTACCGAGCCAGCCACCGAACCCGTTCGCTTCCGACCATTGAAAGTTGTTTCCTTTGACGGAGAAACCGTCGGTGCCGCCATCGCCGGCATTGATAACGATAGGTGACCAAGCTAAAGTGAACAAAAATATTAGGTCAGTCCATACTGAATTGTGAAACAGGAAACCTTTTCCAAAATATGTGGCAATACTCACATGCATAGTTGGTGTTGCCAGTGGCGATCATTCCCCAAGGGAAGTCGGTCTGCAAATCGAAGAGTGCATTCGTTCCATTCAGATAGATAGGGCTGGCGATACTAGCATCCTTTGTGAGCACAGCGTCGTTGAGACCTGCGCCCGTGTGGTAGGCGTAGACATATAGGTTGTTGTGAGCCGCAATTGTGGCGCCGCTGGATTTCAGGTGGAAATGCTTGGCGGTACTAGCGACAGGAACTGCAATGGTGGAGGTAGCCAGCAAGAGAAGGGATGTGAGGAACTTCATCTTGAAATTTAATATGACGTGTTTGGTGATGTGAGTTGAAGGTTGGATGTGAAAGTCCGAAGGTTGGAGGTTGGGGGTCGGGGGTTCTGAGTTAAAAGTCAAAACCCATATGGTCAGGAGTCAGGAGGGAAAACTAGCAATATTTATATGCACGGTTTGTTTTCAAACGGGTTCTAACTGTGGAGATACATATCATATCTACCATGTCTCTTATGGCCGATTTTCTGAGTACTTGCTCTTTGGGGAATTAATCACTCCATTTCTGTACAGACCCTCCAGTCGGACCCTCCGTTAAATTGTGTATGACCGGGGAAAAGCATTCACTAACCCATGAATAACCCGATCAAAATCTGATATTGCACTGATCGCTAGAGGTCATGATGTCAACAGACCTGCTAAAAATGGGTCTGAACCAGTGATGTGCCGAGGCGGCGAAAATCTTACTAGATCAAGGCTTAGTGCCACTGGGGTTGCGACGAACTACTAGACACTAAAGCATTGGCGGAGGGGATGTGAGACATTTTCTTATTTATCTTCAGCTTCGGGCATCTATGAAAATTATGATGTTACTATATTCAATATCTGTTGTGACATCGCTCGTTAATGGCTGAGACATGTTCCGTCTTTCTCGAAGCCCATTTGTCGGAAAATGTTAGTAAGAAGTGATTCAGGCAAAGGAACCGGCTATTTACTACCTTGGAACATATCATATGACTATCAAGATGATGGGCTGAGACAAAGAGGGGGTTTTACTGTAATTGATGTTCAAATTGATTGGAGTTCGAGTCCGTTCGAGTCTGCATGTTGCTTATTAGAACGATGTAAGGGGACAACCTCCCCGCATGTGCCAAGTGTTGTATTCCAAGGTTGTTTCTGCAAATCCCAATCTTATGGCATCAGACTCGAAGCAATCGGCGATTATTCAAAGCTAATAAACTAGCATTAGTTATACCAAGGCTATGGTGTCGTAGCTTAATTATTGGAAGCCTGAGGCGACAAGTTGAACATAACTCCTATATTGCCCTATCGGCCAAAGGCTCTTTTTTTGAGACTTCAATTGAAGATATGCATATTGTTTCTCACTGACAGTTGCAATTATTGTGGTACTGTGGGGTCTAATATATAACCCCTACAAAGTATATTGACATCAATTTCATGCAAGATCGTGATATGCAGTTGCAACCAAGGTCGGTTCTATGGCCAAGAGACCCGCCAGTATTGGCATCACTAGTACTACTCCGTATAATGTAATTAATATCCTACAAGCTGTACTCCGTACATAGAGGTGGGTTACCTTCACGTTGCGACCGTGAGATAATCAGATCAATTGGATCAGATAGACCACAATTAACTCGCCTATTCCTAGGATTCTGAAACACCACTGTACTCCGCAATTCCTACATATGCAGGCTGTGCCTAGGCATGGAGCATGCTCGTGGATCTACACGCATGATAATATAGCCGTCTTCTTGAGGTCCTCTCCCATACCCAAATTTCAATCATCTATTTTGCATCATAACAGCAGTTAACCTGTTCAGATTCATCTCGCATTCCACGTCGAAGATCCTTAAATAGTCTCTCTTAAAGCAAACAACTCTGCTTGATATATAGCAATTCAATCCACATTGATGCTTCCTCTGCTCCCACGAAAGCATTCCCGACAAGGCCTTATTATTAACGATAATTTCATCCGGTGAAGCTGACGCTCTATCAACCCAGAAGTTGGGTGAAACAATCAGATTGCTTCTGATATTAGAATTATGAAAAATAGCCCACAAGATAATTGGTGAGCTCTAAAAGAAGGCGCTGCTAGCATTGCGCAAGCTACTCCCAACAAAGTAGTCCTTACGAAGAAAATTGCAAACGAAAAGCAAACAGAAAGCTCACAAGCAGACCAAACGCAAATACCTCACTAAACCAAAAGCTAAACCAAAAGCTCCAAGACTTCCCCTAAGGTTCGCCCGCGCAGATCTGCTTGGCGCAGGAGAGACTGGAATAAATCCCCAACATCGGCTAGCTACAGGCCGGTGCTATAGGATGTCCAACAATGATTTTAAAAATTGTGGCGCTGCTCTTAGTGGCATGCGAGTCATTGGCTGATGCCCCTCCGCTGTATCAATCGCGACCATATGACCTCGGAGCGTTCGACAGATGGCCTCACCAGCTGTACCACTCATCCAATGCCATTGGACCTATCCTGAACGTTCACAAGGAAAGTGTGCAGTGTTATAATGGAAGCATTTACACCGTTGTGCCCAACTGGGGAAACCAGGTGAATATTCCGGGAGTGATGCTTCTCGACACAAAAGGGTATCTTGTCTGGCACACGAGCGGGTATGTGACAGCAGACATACAATCCTTTCGGGGGGAGAACTACATTGTCTCCCTTTCTGAAGACTCGAGCTATTATGCACTGGTAAGTTGTCAGTTTGTGGCGTAGCATTGGGAAGGTTCTAATGTTTTTTAGATAAACTCCCGCTACGAGGAAGCTCACCAAATCCGTTCAGGCAATGGGTGGCAGCTTGATGCGCATGAGTTAACCCTGAGCCCCTCGGGGACAGCACTTCTGGTTATCAATGGTGTCTTCGCAGTGAACCAAACAGCCTTTCAGGCACCGCTAGAAGTCGAACTTATTCTGGATGCAGGGTTCCAGACAGGAGAGGTATTATTTGAGTAGCGAGCTTCGGACCATTACAGCTTCGAAGAGTACTATCACTTCCAACCGGGCGATGGAAAAACCGAAAAAACCGCGCCAGATCTCTTCCATGTCAATAGCATCGATAAAGACGACCTTGGCAATTATCCCATTTCCCGTCGAATGATGAGCTCCATTGTCTATGTGGACAGTCGGACAGGCGCTGTAATCTGGAAGCTTGCAGGAAAGGCAAACATGTTCAAAGACCTATCCGGTGGGGCCGCGACGGACTTCAATGGTCAGCACCATTCCCGATTCCACGAAAATGGCCGAATTGTTTCCATTTTCGATAACGGGAACTGCCCCGGCCGTCCTGTGACAAGTCCAACCCGGGGTTTGACGCTGTTTTTGGATACAGAGAAAATGACTGTCCAGCTGCAGCATGAATATATCAGTCCAAACAATGTTCTCACCGATAATAGTGGATCGATGCAGATTTTGGATAGCGGCAATGTGGTTCTAGGATTTGGCCTGAACGCGAACTGGGCCGAATATGCCTCGAATGGATCCCTGCTCTGCAATGTTCATATGGGCCCCCAGGCTTTCTTCGATAGCGGGGAAATTCGCAGCTACCGGATCTCGAAGAGTGCCTGGATTGGTCATCCTCAGGCCACACCTGAGTGCTGTGGATGATGGAAGAGTGTATGTGAGTTGGAATGGGGCCACGGAAGTGTCTATGTGGACTTTGCACGGAACCGATGTTGAGGATGTCGAAGGAGAATCAGTCTTCTTAGGGAAATTTCGACAGTTTTGAAACGGAAATATCTATTCCCACCATCCCAATAGGCCGATATTTCTTTGTAAGTGCTTTGGATAGGGCCGGGTAGGTCCTCGGGTCAACCTCTGCAGTGCAGTGGCCTTCTAAACCCAGACAAGGTATTGTGTACCAAGGTCTTTGAAGTTCTCTAGCACAGGGAGGAATTTGAACTCACATATCGAAGAAAGTCACCGCTATTCCCTCGCCAACCATTCCATTATCTTGGCAACATCTTGGCTATTAAGGCCAGATGTTGGTTTTTTGGTCTTTTCTCTCGGCTTTCATCATTACAGTCCATATGGCGTGGCGTGTCTTTGATACCAAAACGATTGATTTTGTTGAAATATTTACACCTTTTTATACAACACAAAGCTTCGCATTCACTCTATATTATGCTTGATCTAACCTATTTCTAAGCTTCAACATGTTATACGCAGGTGGGCCCACTGCTTATTTTTTATTATTAGCGATGATCTTCTGCCAGGCCCTCAGGGAATGTAGATTATAATTCTCCTATTCATCAAAAACTACGAATTATGCCCCGTAAATCGAAATTACCCTATAACTCTACACACATTTTGTACATTAGCTGGAATTTCCCCTTAAAGCTAAGTTGCTGGGATGTTCAGGGGAAATGTTTCCCGCCCAAGAGCCCCCTGAACCAGGTTGGGGTGTTATACGGAGTAGCAGAACCATGATGTATGAACAGCGAGACCTTCAACTACTCTCGGACGGCAAGGGATAGCTTCAGCTATATTTATAAATACAAAATCAAATGTTATAGAAACATTCAAAATGTTCAAATGTTGTTTTGACACTTCACATAACTTGTTGATTCCTGGACCCACAGTTGAGAGCTCCCGAAATCTCTTCGCGCCCCTGACGCGTTGTCTTATTAGGAGACTTGTCCAGGGTATCTGCTAGGCATCTATTATCTTTATAAACCCGGAAATCCCGGAAATTATCTAAGAAGTCCGTTATAGTCAGCTTTTTTGACTCGGGTGAGTGAGCGCCCGCTGGAGTACATTTGACAGCATTAACCAGAAGACTAGACTCTGTCATACTAAGACATCATGGATCCCTCTACATACACAGATCCCGAGCTCACTTACCAAGACCGACTGGTGATTGATGCTATTGTTCAGCCTCAACTCAGCTCAGATGGTAATGCTCCTGCATTGTCGATCAAATAAATCGACAAATAACAAACTAACACACATGTAGACAAAACAAGTGCACAGCCATTGGACAAGCTGAGCACTGAAGAAACAGTACAAAAGCTCCACAATCTCAATGATCCTTCTCACATAGAATTTGATCCCACTGTCTCCCAATTCTGGGATACCCCGCTGCTGCGGGCCAAGCTACCCGCGCCCATCCAGAAGTACGTGCTCACGCCATACATCAACTGGGCTCAGGGGATCGTGCGATATCAGACCGATGTGGTCATGTTAACGCACCTTATACTTTACTTCACCACTATTGTCCCAAGTGCCGCATTCCTATATTACCGTTTCTCTTATCTCCACGGTGCCTTGCATTGGCTCATGCAAGGGTTTTATTGTGGCGCCTTCACGCTGATGAAGCACCAACACATCCACCAGAATGGAGTCCTGAAGTCAAAATTATATCTGTTCGATATGCTTTTCCCATACCTGCTAGACCCCATGCATGGACACACGTGGAACTCTTACTTTTACCATCACATCAAGCACCACCATGTTGAGGGTAACGGTGAGGAAGATTTGAGCACAACCATGTTCTACGACCGCGACAGCCTCCCCGACTTCCTGACCTATGTGGGTCGATTCCTCTTTTTCATTTGGCTGGAACTCCCAATGTACTTCTGGAGAAAAGGGCAATACAAGTATGCAGCGAAATGTGCCTTTTGGGAGGTAGGTAACTACGTCGCCATTTATATGCTCTACAACTACGTCAATGCCCGCGCGACCACGTTCGTATTCATTCTTCCGCTCACCGTCATGCGCTTGGGCTTGATGGTTGGAAACTGGGGCCAGCATGCTTTTGTGGATCCATCCGACCCTAATTCTGACTACCTGTCCAGTATCACACTGATTGATGTGCCGGTGAGCTTCTATCAACCTGCTGAACATATGCAACCAAGACTGACAAAAATACCAGAGTAACCGATTCTCTTTCAATGACGGCTACCACACTTCTCACCACCTGAACCCGCGCCGCCACTGGAGAGATCATCCTGTTGCTTTCCTCAAGCAAAAGGACATATATGCTAAGGAAAACGCCCTGGTCTTCCGAAATGTCGATTACATCTTCATTACTGTGAACTTGCTCCGGAAGAACTACGACTTCCTGGCCAAATGTCTGATCCCCATCGGTGATCAGGTCAACTGGACCATGGAAGAACGAGTAGAGATGCTACGTCGTCGGACGCGAAAAATGCCCCAACCATCTTCGAAAAAGAGGGAATAGAAGGCACTGGCTTTTGAAAGCTTGTTCCCGATAAGACAATTCTGTTCCTGGTTCCTAATTTACTGTTTTCACAAAAGAGTTCATAGATATTTCGCATTGAATATATTCTGCCGACACCCGAGAACTCGTTTCACTTAAAGGTCCAAGGTTTGTATATTCCTTGTATAAAGTGTTTGTCGGTCACTTTGGAAATCCTGTTCTCGTGATATATATTGACACTACGGATTGGACCTACTGAACCATAGCGCTTGTCTATGATTCGGTTAACCTCACCCTGGGTGCTTTGGGGGTGTATTCTGTATTATTGCCACGACTCAAAGGTAAGATCTTCACATCAAAAATAGCTTCAATTCCACAAGTCCATATGAAATCAGAATCATAGCGTATGTATAACTGTGTGCATGATCAGCAACTAGCAGCACTCACCGAGGAAAGTATTAAGCAACTTCTGGTGGTGTTGATGAAGATTATTTCGGGTATATGCATTTAGCTCGCTTAGCTACTCCATACATAGGCATGTAACATGGCTGGCGGACCATCACTTCCTTCAAAATGACTGATTTCAGACCACAAACCCTGGACACTGTAAAAAATCTCGGAATCTATATATAATCCAAGCTAACCGTATTGTATAGCAAATCAACAGATTGATACGTCTTGGCATAGCTTAATTAGGAAAATCATATAGGGAATACTAGGTAGGTTGGTCGGATTAGCACCTACTGTGGGTTCAGCCCGTTTGCGGGGTTTAACTGGCCACTTAGGAGTTCTTTACTAATGTCTAACCATTATCAAACGGGACATAGATTGGATGGAAATAAGAGACAAACAAATCCTACCTTCGGGGGCCTAGTCTCATGATTGAAATACTTTCAGATCATGTTCAACTAGTAATGCATAGTTCTTTAGACAAAGAATATATGGAAGGCCTATTCTTCCATATTTTTCTATCCCTGCTCAAAGCCCTGAAAGTAAACGCATCCCTTATTCCAAATGGACTGGCAAGAAGCAGGAACATTTATCCATCTGCGGCCCATGCTTTTGAGCCTATCGTGCTTTTTGAGCCCCCGATTTCTTATAATTGGAGGTATTTTTTAAAATCCAATAGGCCAATCGGCTAGTTCGTGCCGACCTTTGAAAACCGCTCCAAAATGCATCCTCCACAGCGGAACAGTCTACGGGTACGAGGCTCGCTTAGATAACATTAGGATTGGCATTTTCTAAACAATATTATAAACCCATGAATAAGTACTTAGAAGACTGGCTAAAGTTGTAATTCTACTTAGGTCGACTGATATGGTGATGAACTATTACTACCAGGAATCCCAATTCGGTATCATCTGATAGGAACTATGGACTGTGCAGAATATAGAGTGGAGGGAGAATTTTGTTAAACTGTGCTCTATATCCATATAAGAAGCTACTTCAGGAAAGAACGCCATTGGCACGCTTTCTCGCTCATTCCTGCACCATGTGCCTTTTTGTATAATGCTAATTTCTCTGGAAATTGCTCGCAGACTGCCAAAAGAAAAGGATATTGTCAGCCGTATGCTAAATCCACTTTCCCGATTGTTGATAGCGCCAATTCACAAGATATATATACGCCGTAAATGTGCAGAATACTCATTTTTCATATCAAAACTTCTCAGAGCTACAATCCCAAGTGTAGACTTGTTCGGTGATGATTTTTGCATCTCTTCTGCTTTCTATGGGCACATGGGCAGCGGTTGTCCTCCAAGCAACCGCTGTTCCCCATGGCCCATCCAACAAAAACATCCGCCGACAGGAGGACGCCTGCGGCCCAGTTGCGAAGTACACGGAGAATCCCTCCATTGAAAAATGGAACCAGGCCGACACCGATAACTGGCTTGAGAAATGGTGGACTGTGAACGCCGCCAGGCGGACGAGCAACGCACACGGATTCGCTGGTGCTTTCGGCCAATATGCACTAGGCCAGCCCGGCTGGTCGTGCCAGAACAACGGCAACGACGGCAACTGTGAGATCCCGGTCTGCGATAACCCCAAGCTCAACGCCCTAGGCAACAACACCGAGGAGGCATACTATGTTCTGCAGGCAATCAACAACCTCCATGGCTTCTTCCTCGGTCTGGATGAGTCGTTCAATATCCCTGCCGTGGTTGCGGCCCTGGACAACGATGAGATAGTGAATAACTTCTGGTTCGACGAGAACAACTGGGATTCGACGCTCTTGAAGCAGCTCCTGAATATATTCGGTACCCTGCTTGCCCTTCTTGCTGGCGCCTTGGCTGCACCTGCTCTCGCAGCGACTCTGGCGGGTAGTGTGCCCGCCATTGTGGCATCAAGCTCGGCTTTGGTTACCGGTGGAATAAATGCAGCCGGCATATCCATTTCTTCGGTGTGAGCTCTTCCCTGGCCGAGAGAGACCTCTGGCAATCTACTATTACTAACATCCCCTTGCGTAGGACCTCAAATGATATTACACAGTCAAATCTCGGCCATATGATGGGACAGGCAGTGAATAGTATCGCTGGCTCATTTGTGAGTATCAACAACGAGCTGATGTTCGGTAATGGCTACGGAAACTCTGGCGATATCCGCAAATATCTCCAGGGTGGAGCGTGGGTTGACTACCCGGGATTGCAGAAGAACGGAGCTCGTGATACGATGATCGCTCTCATTCAGTCCATGATGATCAATTCTCTTTGGCGCATGCAGCGTGTTTTCATTCTTGGCGGCGGCGCTTGCGGCGATGGCCAGGGCATCGGCCATGGTATTTCTGCCCCCGACGACAATTATATCTGCGATGAGGACAACCGCGCCTGGTACCTATACTTCTGGCAGAAGGAGAGTGGTGGTGGCGTAAAGAGGAAGCCTCAGGGATGGGTTTCTCGGCCCTGGGGGTCTGATCGCATGGGTGCATCTCCTCGGTTAGAGACGGAGGGCGGCTCTGGGCCATTCTGGAAGAATCTCAAACCACAGGTTCGTGGTCGCGACGCTGATTCAGTACACATTACATACTAACCAGTTTCCCCTTCTAGGACGCCATCAAGTCCTCTCTCAAGTCCTTCCGGGCTGCTGGAAACAACTACACCCAGGACACCTTTACCAATCGTGTGGGTGATATGTTCGCTTCAGAACTTCACTCAGACGGTGCGAGCATGGAAGGTCTTTGGACTATCCCCGTGTGCGATATCAGTAAAACCATTGACCCCAGCTTCCGTTACTCCCGGAAGGGGGGTATCCTCCATCCGTACGGCTGGGACGAACGTCCAGACTGGTGCGGGCCGATCTGTGAAAATGATAAGGATAAGACGGCGGAGTTCTTCAGGGCGGCCAACTTCAAGGATGACTTTAACAAGCCCTTCCAGCATTCATGTGGCAATCAGTATTTGGATGTGGACGACGCTACCAGCCTTTGGTGGGATTGGACTACTGGCAAATCGTGGTATCGTAACCAGCCATATAACCACTAGAGAAATTTCTCTTTATTATTCATTATTGGTGAGGGCTTGTTAGTGAGAACTTGTTGAGATTGAGCATTTGTGTAGATGCTGTGCCGGGTTGTAAAGTAATGATGTAGCTATCAAGCTATCTAGTTTCTATTTGTGGGTAGAGAATCACTCCTTCTTCTCTTCTCTTTACTCTCTTATCAGATGTAGATATAGTTTAGCCTGGATTTGGAGCCTGGCTGTCATTATCTCTTCTTAGCCTTTCATTATTGCAGCTAAAAGTACTTGCCCTTAGCTGCGATCTCGTTGCGATTGGGAAATGCAACTCTTATGCAACTAGTAATAGATGTTTTACATATTCTCCTCAAAGCTATGTATATATTAAGGGAATTGATATGACCCACCCCCCTTTGGCTCACACAACCCCCCCCCCCTCCTACCCGGTTTTTCAGTACCGTCTTCCTAATTAGGTGCGACCGATAATTCTACCATGTATTCTGCCACCACCATAGTAATTCTGGTTTACATAGTAAAAAGCCCTGCATTTTGATCAGAAAAAATCGTACAATTCATTGATTTATACATTGATATACTCTACAAATTAATCATGCTACTTCTCAGCCCCCCCCCCCCCCGCGCTTCCCTCCACGTCAACCTCCTCGGCCGCGACCACGTCCGTGTCCTCTGGTCTCAGTATCATTACTGTCCTCAGCGCCCTCAGTGATTGTCGTAGTCGCTCCGGTAGACAGCGTGGGATATGACAAAGATGACTTCATTTTGTTAGAAGGCTTGTGGCCTTTGTGCTTTTTGTATGGATATTCCGTAGAAAAAGTACATAATTTTCAAATGGATGTACCCATTACTAACTAGATGTTTACGGGTGCGCACCAACACAGCGAAGGCATGCTTAGCGCTTGACCGAATACGATATCTTAAGAGTCATTCCCTATATGGAGATTTGTACTGTGGGAACAGTTTCTGTAAGCGTGAATGCTCAGGGGAAGGAAAGATGCTTGTATTCCCTATCTGCGGACTATCCTATAGTCGCCGGGTCAGGTGACATGGTCACCTGACGGTGACAGTTTCAATCAATTTGCAGTGCACGATATGGAGCGGTGTTAAAGGAAGCCTAAAAACTCAATCCTAAAAACTCAAGCATCTTCCCCCTGGATGCCCCATATGTGTGTATTATTGTAGGTTGCCCTAGTCTTCGGGGAGTTATGATCAGCGTTGTAGTCTCAGGTCTCAGCGTCGTCGGTCTCATGGTCGTCGGTCTCAGCGTCTCAGCGTCTCAGCGTCATATGTCTCGGAGTGGCCAGTCGCGGTGTTGTTGGTCTACAAAGGGGCATAGCACTCAGGATCGTATGCACCTAGTAGATATCCGGATGTCTGGATTTGGCATCAGGAGTACCTGGCTCACTACATATACCATGTCAATCATGTCCCCACGTATTGATATTGAGTGTTATATAGATGGGAAATTGTGATAGGAGTTCATTCAACCCACTCTGAAATATGATGATACGAATCAGTATGGATGAAAAGCTTCATTCTACCTTGAGGCTAGCATCTAGATAGGTTACTATGCTTAATAAGGTCTCCCTAATTATATTTCAGGTACTCCTATTTTCTGTGAGACCAGTTTCAGGCTAAATCTAAGCAGCTATGTAGGTATCTATTAGGTGCACGCAACTCTGAGCCCTATGCCCCTTTGTATTCTTGTGCAACACTAATAGGACCATTACGGACCAGCCGCTGTAAGGCTAATATATCCATTTAGCTACTCAGAATTATATACCTGCTGCCTGTCTACCAATATGTCGGTTTTGTTTATCGAGTCCATACAAAAGTACACTAAAGTATAGTGCATCATTCATTGTCTTTCCTTCTCAAATTGCCTACGTTCATTGGTGTGAATGTAATTAATCTTTATTAACAGCTCGGACTCGAATGGAAATGGAATGGAAATGGAAATCTCGCTGCTAATACAACGTTTGTATTCATTCAATAGACCGCGTTCTTCATTGATAGTTCCTTTTGCTTCTCTATTTGTACTTACACCCGCATTTTCCCATCCCAGTTCCTCCCCCGCGTCGCATTTCATGATTCTGTTTCTGCAATTACAAAAAGCTTATTCATTTTACACTTCAAGCACTCGAGAAACAACTATGGATGATCGCGACTCCCTTACTGAGGTTTCGGACCCGGTAGGGGCTCGTGGCGTCTCGCTGACTGAAACCGACGTGAATATCAGTCCATTCATTACTTTGCAGCACAAGATTAGTGATGCTTACAGGAAATACACCGGTTATGGCGAGATCATTGCGAAGGAAGGGCCATTGGCACCACAATTCAGCGACTTGATTAGTTGGTTCGAGATGGAAAGGGCAGCCGCTAGAATCTTTAGCGAGCCGCGCCCGCGCATTATCGATGGCAACGTCAATGAATCCATCGAATGGACCGATGTGCTTCGTGAAGCACCCACTCCTGGCCATTTTCAACTACAAGAGAATGGCATGTACCGATGCAGAGTTCGGGGAAGCCTGATCGAGCTCGATGAGGCCAATTACATCGAAATCCTTGCCGGCGTCACAGAACCACATTTGCAGCCATTGAACATGTTATCGGACGAGCAGAAGGAGACTCGGGTGCGCCTCAAGCTATTCACCTACCTAAACCAGACACACCAGTCTCTCATCCAATGTAAGTCCACACTCTTCTATGGGCTATTTTATTTCGATACTAACATCCCAATTAAACAGTTGCCAATGCAGTTCATACATCTTTAAACCTTCTGGATCCAACTCCGCCCATTCATGCTGCGAGCTCTAGTTCCACTAAAAACGATGGAGTTCCTCAACTGCAAATCCCTGGGGTTGCTAGGAATGATCTGGCTGAGCCCGAAACATCCAAAGTTTCTCAAATCAACCACATCGGCACACCCCAGATTTCGGATGAGACCGCTGGGCTGCGTTTATACAAACTCGCCATAGAGGCCAGCCGTATGTCACACAGCAACAATTTCAATGCTGGATCGGTCGGCGGCAATATCCCCTCCTCCATGGACAACACTGAGCTCGGAAACACGAATACTAACGCCAATGCCAACGTCAATTCCAAAGGCAATTCAAATGCCAATACTAAACCGTCTGGCCTCACTTCCGAGATGACTTCCCACTCAGCCCAATCCAAGGGACACCAAGCTGAGTCCCTTCCCATGGAGTCTGGAAGCAACTCTCCAAGCAGGCCACAATTGAGGTTCATGAGATACTCTCAATTTGAGAAGGACGAGGGACGAGCATTTTTGAAGTCCCTGATTGACAAAGGATCTACTGGCCCCGAAATCGAACTAGAATACTACAACATGTTCGGAGCTTCCCGGAGTATGGGTGCTCTCCTCCAGCGATTCAAAATGAAAGGTTCTTGGGCATTGTATCCCGAATACAAGAAAAGCAAGGACTAGGAGACTGCCCATTACTCCAATCTTAATAGGAAACTAACTTTACTGACAACTGCTTTTAGTCGGCATAGTCTTGCTAGGATTGGGATTGGGCACAAAGGCAGTGAGTTGAGAGGGTTGATTACAGTGGAGGGCTTGCAGATGAATAATAGCTGGGAGGCTATCTAGGAGGAAACGAAGGAATTTCATCATGGATTGTTATGCCCACTACTCAATGAATTCATTTTTATCAGGTTCACAAATTCGATAATGCCCAGTATCAGTGTAAACAGATGAAGACCGCCATAAAGACCGCGCATACTCCCTGCGGGAGGAATTGGGATCAACTGCTGTGTTTTGGTCCCATTGTATGTATTCATAGTAAAATAAACAAACCTCGTTATCGATACAGAGTCTGAATTATTCCATCTTCCATCTTAATCCTTCGTCTAAATCCTTTTCATCATACTCACGACACATACCTTTCAAATAAAAGCCTTTGAACACTCCCATTCTTCGTTTTTGTGCTCAATTCACCTTTCATTGCTATCGCATGAACAGCCGCCACTAGCATGATGCCCACGCAGGATCCCGTTCTACCATCCTCGACTGAGAAGGACGCTGTTATTGACCGAGTGGAACCATTGCATGAAACACAGGATGGAGCCAATGACCCAATTCAATCCCCCAAGAGTGTTCCTAAAGGAACTAAGTCTGTGGCCTCAGGTTCTGACGCTGAGCTTGAGAACGCGCTCAACAAGTTCTTCGGTGGTCCTCCCTTTTCCTTGGTTACTCCTGCTTTCATTGAAGCACATACAAAACCTGTGCGGGACAAGAGAGTATGCAGAGGACGCGTTCAATTGACCCGGCATAAATACCCCATTGTCACTTGGATGGATGTACTTTCTGCAGCATCGACCGCAGATTTCTTTCATCTACAGGGAAATGGCATATACCACTGTCGTGTCAAGGGAAGGTTGGTTGAGATTTCTGCGGAAAATCACCATTTCATCGAATTGGGTTACCCGCAACGCATGATGCAGGCTTCATACTAGCCTGTAGTACAGGGACAACAGGACGCTGCAGGAACTATGGGGAAACAAGATGTTGGCCCTGTCAATTCTGACCTAAAATGTGAGTTTACAGTCTTCGCCAGTCAGTTTGTTGGTTATTATATACTAATATAGAGCAGCAGACATAGAATCGCTCACCAACCTCGTCCCCGGCCCAATGAAACCAGCCCTAACCCCGACTACATCAAATCTCTCATCTCAACCTGACAGAGGCATCAAGATCTCAGATGAGAGTAAGGGAAAGGTCAAATACGATAGCGAGGAAGATATCAAGGGGGCCTCCCACAGGGCCCAAGAGTTCCAAGCTGAAACATCCCGCTCTCGTCCCAATACCAGACAGCCTGATTCCCAGCCCCGTCACAATCTGGGTTTTTCCGGTTGGGGTCCCATGATAGTCGCAGACAACACAAGTATGTCTGCCCATGATCCAATCAAACCTGGCACCTCAGCCCACAATGACGATGGCAGTGTGGGAAGCTCAAATGTTAAATCCGAAGTCCCAGCTACTCCGACCTGCCGCGAGTACATTTTCATTCCCTGGGTTCCTTCTCCTAAGAAGGGGAGCGGCGAGGGTACCAAGACCAAGAATAAGGGAAAGAAGAAAGATACAGGTCCTTCCGGTGCGGAATAAGGCAATGATGGAGACCACACATTGACCACAGGCGCTTAAGTTGTTGGGGGGGGGGGGGGGGGGGAGATACGCAACAGGATATACAATACTTGAAACCACCAATGAAATTCTGCCCACAACCAATGATGCAGTCATATTGACTAAATTAAGTAGTACGTACATAAAGTATAAGCTTGCGATCGGGACTCAATAATTCCGTCAAAAATATGAGGACTGGACAGTCATTTTGTAGCGAAGATATGCAAAAAAAGAAAGTGCCCCCGAGTCCACCGTAGATGCTTCAAAATTTCTAATATTCACTGTTCCTACAAGGCGAGAGCAAGACCCAGAACACCAGCAGCGCCCACAAGACTCATAGCGATACCAGTAGGGGCGGCACCACCATCGGCAGAAGTGGATGAAGCAGATCCGGACTCTGAAGCCGAAGCAGAGGAAGAAGCAGCATCCGAGCTGGTGGCAGCAGAGGAGGACGGTGAATCCGTAATAGTAGAAGACGAATCGGCAGAAGACGAGGCCTCAGAGGATGAAGCATCGGAGCTAGAAGCACCCGTAGAGGTGGCCTCGGCAGTGCTGGGGCTGGAACTGCTAGCGCCGGAGCTGGTGATCTCGGCGGCGATGGAGGATGCAAAGGAAGGATAATAATCTTCAACCGCAGTGGTTACATACTCCTTCACACTGTCGGGGAGGCTGCTGTACCAGCTGGGCCAGTTGTTTGAGACAATTCCTTGCTCGACTTGAGAAAGGAAAGCAGCGGTGTTGGTGGCTTCGGCCCAGAACGAGGTAGGGATGCCGGTTGCAAGAACGACGGCAATAGAGGAGGGAATGGTGAATTCCGAGTCTGTATCTGCGGATTCGGACTCGGTATTGGTGTCGGCCGGAGCGGCGATGGCCATGCTGGCAAAGAGGAGGGCTGTGAGCGACTTGTACTGCATGATGACGGTTGAAGACAGTATATAGGTGAAGTATAAGGTAGAGAAGACGAAATGTATGTGAAAAGCAGTCTCTGCGGGCTAATTAATGAAAAAAAAATAAAGAACCAGCATACATCTGGGGACACTATGTATGTTTAAATACGCCCAATGCGTAATGCGTAATGCGTAATGCGTTGTCACAACCTAGAAGGCTATGCCAACTAAAATCATCGCAATGCTGGGGCTCTTGCGGCACAGCCCGAAAGAGCCCATCGCGCTATGTTCCCAGGCTCCACTACAAACGGCCAATTGCAGCTTCGTGACCCCAAAAATTGCCGATCAAACGGGAAGAGGCGCCCCAGGGATCGTTGATCGTGCAATCCTTTGCCCTACAATATCGGATTTTGGGGGCTGGGTCCACGTCCTGCTATGAGATTACCCGATGCTCTATTCTAGCGAGACTGGCGGCCCTTTTTCTCAAACAGGTCTTAATATTCCTCCAGAGCTTAGGGTGGGCTCGGTGTTCTGTCCGTTTGCCGTTTGCTAAGTCCCAATTGCATTACGCACACCTTCTATAGTTTGTACACGCCTCTTTATTATTATTGAGCTCAGAGACTCTTGGATATTGAAATGACATCATTTTCTGGGGGCCAGCAAACTATACTTGGAAAGAATCGTTGCTGCCTTTCTCTGTATAAAGTATTGCGTCTGACTGGTGCTTGAAAGGTGTCATCGCCGCCTGATCATGAACGTGGGGTTGTGGGGGCGATCCGAGTGGTCATAAGGCAATTTATTGTCAGATACAATATTTTACGCTCATAGCGAGTCATGCACTGTCTGCGCAACTTCTGTACAAAATTTTCGTCGATCACCATCCGTGGGAAGTCATTATTAGTCCAGAGTATTGAAAGAGTCTACGATGTACCACACTTAGGGCCCACCTAGTCACGTTTTTTGTGTTAGTTAAAAAGGTCATCAATACCTGCAATGAAATCGAATCAGTCTACATCGGCATCAATGCCGATAGATATTAATTTTGACGCGTCTGGGTGTTTGCAATGGATATTGGCAGTGCTTGGAATATTTACATCGCCACTATATAGATACGTACTCTTTTCTCGGCATTCGTAATACTACATATTTAGTTATGAACCATTTATGCCCAGTAGCCAGCATCTTCCATTTAGGATGACAGTCAACAGCCGTCGCCAATTAATCACATTTAAATTATGCACTTCCATAGGTGTGTAAGACGTTGGGAGGTAGTATCAACCATATATATTTGCCAATCTGTCTTTTGCTTCCATTTTTGCGACCGCTGATTGGCTGCCGCCCGTGCTTCCACTTTGCTTCTTTCTGCCGGCCGTATACCGCTATAGAGCAGAGCGCGTATAGTATATATATTTACTAGATTCAACTTTCAGCCATTCAGCAAAAACAATAGAGGTTTAGGGCTTTCAGGTACTTACTTTATTACGAAACTATGGACATTTCCTAATTCATGGATATAATATAAAACCACGCAATTAACTAGCTTCTTACCTAGTTTACCCGCTCTTTTCAACACCCAAATAGGTCTATTTCTACCCAATTATTTACAGTATATGTCTCTTCCCTGTCAGCCTTTGATCACATACGACCATAGGGTGTGGAAAACAGGGCTTCCCGTCCGCTCAGCCGTACTTAAGCCACACGCCGGTGAGTTAGTAGTTGGGTGGGTGACCACCAGCGAATCCTCACTGTTGTATGTCATTCTTTTTTTGTTTTTCAAATATTTATTACATCTAGGGTATTTGGATAGGAAGGGACTACACAAGGTGGCCATGACTTGTAGGTATATATATATACTATCATCACCCCGCACTAATAGTACTAATCGTATTGTAGTGCGCAACTGCCAATTTGGCTAAACTCCATTTATACATAATAATAGGTGACACATCAAGGATTATTTAACAGAGAGACATTAAAGGCAATGAGTCGCGCTCCAAAGAATGCCAGCATTCACCACAGCCAAAGCTACAATATGTATTTACTACGGCCCCACTTGATATGTTCACGTCGGAATTTTTTTGCTGAAATTTCCGCTATTGTTTTACCAAGGCAATTAATTGAACAAGACGAGCTGAAGGCAAAGACAAGTCATTACTAACGAAATGACACCCATCCCATTCAATATCGACGCAATTTGAAGGGATAAAATGAAGACACAAAAAGAAACAGGAGCAAAAAAGAAATCTCTCCCTCGGGGAATCGAACCCCGGTCTCCCGCGCTTATCGGTATTAATGACAAGCGGAAATCATCACCACTAGACCAAGGAAGAAGGTGATCGAGTTACTGCTCGACCATTGGCTGGTTTGATGGAATAAGGGGGGAGTTCATGAGTTATGATCTTTTTTCATCTAATGTCCAACCCTTGAACCTTCCACCCCTCTTCTCCTATCCAATCGGTATGTAGTTTATTGGCCGGTCCTTCCAAGCCAGCAATATCCCTCTAGGGTCGGCTAGATTACAATATGTTGGGCCAATCTCGCTATCTTGGAGATAGCACAGCCCAAATCCCACTTCTCCACCCTTGAATGTTCTTAAACGGAAAGTCCTGGAGAAGTCCGGGTTAAATAGCCAAAGGACATTCCGACTTCCCCGCATGAAGCAATAAATACTTTGAGAAACGCCGCATTATTTTTTTTGCATAGCTTCAAAGTCATACAAAACTGGGAATCATGACATCTGTTTTCAAGAATGGGCGCATCTTCATGCCATCGCAAGGCTCAAATAACGAGGGGGACTTTGCCGAAAGCATGATCATCGAGAATGATAAGATCTCCCATGTCGGCTCCCTCGATGGAATAACCATCCCAGAAAATGCAACTATCATTGACCTGGAAGATCGCACTGTCCTTCCAGGCTTCATCGATGCTCATGTACACATCCTTCAATACGGGCAATCATTGCGCAAAGCGGATCTCATCGCATGCACCTCCCTTGAACAAATTCGTGAAACCATTAAATCTTACGCTGAAGCCCATCCATCTATGCCGCACATATTATGCAGAGGCTGGATCCAATCATCCACCAACGGAGTCGCACTAGCAAGTATGCTGGATGGTATCGACCCACGTCCCATCTTTATCGACTCCTTCGACCTCCACTCCATGTGGTGCAGCGCAGCGGCTCTGGATGAAATGGGGGCTCATACAGCCCCCGATCTTCCCGGCGGAACCATTCACCGTGATGAAAACGGAAAAGCCTCAGGCCTACTTGACGAATCTGCTATGATGAACCTTGCATGGCCTTATCTAGAAAGTGTTACCTCCACAGAAGACAAACTGAGTGCCTTGGACACTGCAGTTGCTGCATACGCCGCTGCCGGGTATACCGGACTTGTGGATATGGCTATGGACGAAGGAACATGGGAGATTCTGAATCTCTACCGTCGCGATCATACCATCCCATTCCACATCGGCGTACACTGGCTGGTGCCCTTCTCAGCGGATCAAAGCGCCAACCTCAAATACGTGGATCGAGCAATCGAGTTACACAACCAGTATAACCAGCCAGATTTCCATGTCCTCGGAATAAAGCTCATCTGCGATGGCGTTGTCGACGGATGCACTGCCGCTCTTCTCCAACCGTACACTGGTAAATCTGATCCCATCGAACCAATCTGGCCAGAGGATATGCTACAAGAAGTAATCCAGCGTGCCGACTCAGCGGGCATCCAATGCGCAATTCATGCGATAGGCGATAGAGCAGTCCACCAAACAATCAACGTGTTATCGAGAGTCGGCACCCCAGGCCGAAGACACAGAATCGAACATCTAGAGCTGACAACCTCGGAAGACGCCAAGCGACTAGGTCAGCTGGGTATCACCGCCTCGATCCAGCCTGTGCACTCAGATCCCATGCTTTTCAAGGCGTGGCCTGGCCTTGTGGGCCCCGATCGCTGTAAGCGCGCATTCGCATATAAGGAATTTTTCGATGGAGGTGCTCCTATTGCGATAGGCACGGATGCCCCTACTGCAGCTCACTTTCCTTTCCCTAATCTTTACAATGCTACTACTAGGCGCTCGGCGCTTGAGGCCGAGACGGATGATACTGTAAACGCACATTTCAGGTTGGGTTTAGCGGAAGCGGCTAATGCTGCTACGGCTGGTGCGGCTTATGCGCGGTTTGCTGACTCCTGGACTGGAAGTGTACGGAGCGGATTATATGCGGATTTCTTAGTTGTTGATATGCAGTGGAGGCCGGAGACATTGCTTGAGGCGCGTGTCTGCCAGACTTGGTATCGGGGGAAGAAGACCTTTGATGGAAGTGTCGACAGCAATAGTTCATAGGCTAATTATCCAGGAGAATGCCAGATATATAAAGAAATTACAATTGATTTTCTGTTCCTTAATGACGTTGGGTCTTTATGTGCGGGGTGGACATCACGGTGACATCACCAGTACACGCTTTTGCCTCGAGAAGAAATTGAGGCCGACACAATATACGACTTACAGCACACAAGTAAAATGTATAGTATCAATTTACAGTTGTTTAATTTACAGCTATTCGTTACTTCATGAAGGCATCAGTCCACGTTCCAATCCAGTCTTCCTCTGGAACTTGCTTGTAGTCCTGAGTCCAACAAAGTATATGAACCTCAATTACTCTCCGAATTGTTCGGGGTGCTCTTGTAGTTCACGGTCGATACTTAAATCAGAAAGAAAAGAAGCTAGTGCTCGTTAGTACATTGAATACGATCCCAGTGCCATAGGTCGGGTGTAACGAAGACATACAGTGATCTACCTCCTGTGAAGACCTGCGCTCTGTGTGCTTTTTGAGATCTTCAGAAGCATGCTGTTGTGAAAGATCCGAACACATTGCACGGGAAGAGCTGTTTTATTTTAATTGGGTCAGTTACGAGATACGTCAAGACAAGCTTCTAGGATTGTGGTCTGAACGCACGGGGCAACTTCTCTGTCTACCATGATATTCTGATCGCTAGAACCAGATTGGGCTTTATTTTGATCTTCCATGCTTCCGAGAGAGCTGCGGCGTTTTTCGTAGTTGGGATCTAACGGGTTTTGATCAATGGTAGTGTTGACCATGTTAAAGCTAGTGTCCACAGGTAGTAGACTGTGTAGTGGCAAATCAATAGTTGATATATGTAAGAGGATCAGATGTAAACCTTTTGGCAGGGATGTCGAAAACTGAGAGGAAATAAACTATTTATGCTTTGTTAAATGCGGGGGAGAGTCGCCGATGTCATAAGTTGGGTGTGGCAAATGTATGATATAAAGACTTTATGTGAACCTATCAGAGACATCTTGATCCCTGGTATTTGAACAAGGAATGTCAGTTATCCTAAACATTGATGAGGAAATACAAAAGGAGATTAGCTGTTGTGATACTCACACGAAGCTGAGTTGAGTGTTACACAAGAAGATAGTTGATCATGGCCAAATCGGTATGAGGTCAAGTGCTCGTCAACGACACGATGGCAAAATTAGTAATGTTCTCGCCTTTTCGACTGTTTTATGGACTATGGAATGTGTATTAAATATATATTTAGTGGTCCTTGCTCATTTATCACAACATACAGCCATAACCAGTGAAATACTTGGTTGTGGAGAGTGGTGGTTGTCGCGATGCCAGGCTCGTGGTCATGTGTTTCTCGAAATAATTATTTTCTAGGAATGTATCACAAGTTATGCTGAGTGAATTGAAACCCTCATTCGGAGTTCTCGCAAGGAATCTTTCGTAGTCTTATTCTTCATAAATTCTTTCTGAGGTCGAGGTATGTTGCATATAGATTAGCAGTGGATTTGGAAGACAAATATTATATTATATAATATTGAGTTCTGTTCCTGACTTGCTGGTGACACAAACGGGCTATTGGCGCGACCGTATGAGTAGAACAGGACAGCGATACGGTGATGGATGTGCCTCGCGACCATGCCCGACTGCTGTCAATTAGGGGAATCATCGGGATTTGAGTCTAATGACTTATGTTCTGGTTTCATCGCGTGGTTTAGTATTAATTTGCTTAGTTTATGTTAGTCTGCTCCTTTGTGCCGGTCCCAGTCACAACAGATCCCCAAACGTCTATCTTCGGCCTCCAGGCGTACTCCCCACGACCAATGCCAATACAAAGAGCTATGGCTTGAATCGTGTTGGTTTTCATTACACGACCCATATAATGGCGCACTCATGTCACATAGGTATTACCTAGTTGGCTAGGATATATAGTCTTCCTGTTTCGCCCCTTTGTTCATTTATGTCTTAAAAACTATTTACAAAACACTTATTGTGCCGCTTATTTCTACTCGATATGTAGATACCAACAAAGCGACTGCGCAAATAGAAACGTGATCGCGAACCGAAAAGCGACAGCGCGTGCGATCAATAAAGTGACCACTCGAACAGGAAAGTGATCGCGTACGCGACTAACAAAGCGACCGCGTGAACAGAAAATTGGCCGAATGCAGAGGAAAGCGGCAAAGAAGACAGCGATGTGCCTATAGAACATTGAAAGCTTCCTTAGATAAGGAGTAACCTCACCTTGAAATAAATGAGGCCCTGCTGGGAACAGTCCTCACTTTGCATGTGTAGATTCACGCAATAATGAACTATAAGGCCGAGCCAGATGTATTTGTTGAGTGTACTTTGTAGATACATGCAGGCAGGGAAGCAGTTGCCTGAACAAGAAAACAGACTAGTACCTATTAGGCAATGAAATGCGATCGTGGGAATGGAATCGATCCGCAACGGATACTAGTAGTTTGGCGGCAGAGCTCGGATCTAAATTCAAAGATTCGCTTCTACAATTTTGAAATATCTACGGCGTAATAGATATCGAGATTGAACTTTAAAAGATTGATGATGTGCGGCTGAAGCGACCGTTAAGTGCTATTAATAGGTTGATGGTTTTATAAAGATACAAAATACATGTGTACATAGTCAGAACAATAATAGGAATTTGAATATTACGCTAAAAAGTGACTGACGGATATGGGGACAGAGCAAAGACCCAATATGGATGTCTAACGGAACAAAGGCTCAACAACACATGCTATCCTAGTCACTTGAAGAGCCAGCATTTTACCTAAAACGCTTTGATTGATATGTAGTGATTAGAGTAAAATAAGCCATTCTCTTGGCTTCATAAGGTGAGCCATCAGACTCCACTACGTCTTGGCTGCTTCATACAGCCAGCGATCCGATATCGAAGTTGCGAGCTCGCTTAACGCGGAATAATAGATGATAACCAGAGCAAAATATCGGAAATATCGTCTTCTAAGCCCAATCGACGAGAACCGTCTAGCTCGAGGTGCATGGCGCGGAGTCAGCCGAATATGATTCGTCACAGGATGAATCGCACAGGGCCAACAAAGCCAATGTGGAGTGCAGAAGTAGATCATTTAGCTAATTCCTTCTTCTAAGCAGATCAAAAGAAGAGCCGGTCAAAGCAACGTCATGAACCAACCATGTTGTGCGAAGTTGAAATCGACCCTGGAGCATAGTGTGACTAGTCCTAATTGGGCTATTATCTGGAGAACCGGGCCATGTGGAGAGAATCACTCTGTTCGGATCTGTTGAGATGGTGTGCACAGAAAATTTTTCGCTACTTAGACGGGTTTAAATGTAGCTGGATTCTCTGTTTTCTGATACTTTGAGGTTGAGAAAATCACATGGCCGCTTTCGACTACGATCTATATAAAAACTTTTGAGGTGAAAAATTACATCATACCTTCAAGTTTGGTTCACTCTCCCCACGCAGAATAGAAGCACCAAGACAACAAGAATCTGTGATTCAGGAACAGCCTTGAAGAGTTCCGTTCAATCGTGGTAGGATCGGCATGGTGTTCGCACGTGGTGATGTGTCCGGCCATGATGATCAGACAATAGGTAAACCAGAACATTACCGGCAATTGAGACCCAGAATATTGACTAACAGTGACACAGATCATCAACATCCCAGCAAAGATGTCACGATTGTGTCCTGGGATGGACCGCAAGACCCCGGAAACCCATACAACTGGTCTCTGTGCGAGAAATGGCTTCTCACTGCCCTCGCTGTATTCGCCACCTTTATGACCATGATCAACGGCACAATATTCACAGTAGCCCACGAAACTATGAATGAGCGCTTTGACATTTCAGACGCAAATTTCCCTCACTCTTACTGGCCCGTCACATCCTGGGCCGTTGGCGGTGGCTGCTTCTCCTTGCTTGTCCTCCCGCTCATGGAGGACTTTGGTGTGCGATGGGTGTTTTTGGGCACGTATGTGACCTTCCTCTGTTTTGTCGTACCCCAGGCTGTGGCACAGAATTTTTACACCTTGGTAATAACGAGATTCTTCGCTGGAGGATGTGTCTCTATCCTTGCCAATACGTCTGGCACGGTAATTGGGAATGTCTGGGACACAGAGAAAAATCGCAACGTCCCTGTCAGTCTTTTCATCGTTGCCTACCTGTCAGGTAGCAGCATTGGACCCGTCATTGGAGCTGCTATCTACCAGGCTCTCACATGGAGGTGGATTGGCTATATCCAGCTCATGTGGTATGGTGCTTTCTTCCCTCTATACTTTTTCTTGTTTAGGGAGTGTCGTGGGATTGCAATCCTGGGACAGCGGGCTAAGGCTCTGCGACGTGAAGGCAAGAATGCCTATACCCAGCATGAAATCGACACACAGCACCAGTCTATTCTGAGCATCGTAGGCCACAGCGCGAGCAGGCCTCTTTTGCTGTTTTTCACCGAGTCAGTGGTGTTTGTATCCGCGCTATGGTCCGCCTTTACCGTCGGTACATTGTATCTGTTTACGCAATCTGTTGATCAGGTATTCGCAGAGTTGTATGGCTGGACACCCTCGCAAGCCGGATACGTCCAAGCAGCCGTCGTGGTCGGAGAGCTTCTGGGATGGGTGGTTACCTTGTTCTCGGGCAAGCTTTACTTTGACTCAGCATCCCGCAACAAGGAAATCCCTGGTACACCTATCCCCGAGGCTCGGCTATACCTCGCCATTTTGGGCGGTATATTCGGCATCTCCGGTGGTATGTTCACATACGCCTGGACATCGTACCCCAATTTTCCGTGGATCGCACCGGCCATTGGTCTCGCCATGGTAGGGGCCGGTAGTGTCATTGTCGTGACGGGAATCTCCGACTATGTAGTCGATGCATACAGCAAATACGCGGGTAGCTGTATGGGTATCATTGCCACTGGCGAGAACACCCTGGCGGCATTCCTGCCTCTGGCTACTATGAGCATGTATTCTCATCTTGGTCTCCAGTGGGCTAGTACAGTACTAGCCTTCATCGCGCTGGCTCTGTCTTTTGCCCCGATATTGGTGCTGGTCTGGGGTAAAGAGATCCGAGCACGGAGTCCGTTCATGAAAGAGGCCATGGTGGAAAAGAGGAGGAAGAGTATCGACTCTGTCTGATGGGTTTTGCTTTGTAAATAGAGCATTTTGAAGACATATTGCATATCAAAAGACTTTAGAGTTTTTTTTCTTATCTTCACTGAATATTTTCTCGCGTCTAAGTTCAGTATTTTTCCTGATAGAGTATACCAAGACCTGCCTGTGCCCCAGGGGGTTCCCCAAAAGCTTGGCCATGGGATTTTGAAAGCTACCTTTTAGTTTGGTCCGACTTAGGGACCAGATCTAAGACAACCAACGTAATTCTCACCCCATGAAGCCACCGCACGAGCAAAAACACATGCAAACCAAGTGAATTCAACCAGATTGTAAATGCCAAGAAACACGTGGAACTCAATAAGCAAAACATCAATATAGTTTGAATCAGGGGGAATCCCGCATAGAACTTGAAAAGCAGGTCGGAGATATTCCAGATTGCGGTTTAGAACAGACGCGCCGCTATGCCGCTAGCCCGAAATGAAGTTCCCCCCTTAACCTCCACACCATCTGTCCTTCCACGTGTGTTGCTCTGAAGCCATTTATGCGAGTGTTTATATTGATTAATGTTGTTGTTATTTTGATGATAATATACATATCAGCCACATACGAAGTACTGACCAACTAGGAGAGAAAAAAAAGAAACAACCCCAAAAAACACCTCGGTATCACAACCCACGATTTAACGACCAGGTTAGGAATAATAGCCGAATACTCCGTAGTCCTACTCCTCCAAGAATAGGGGGCCAGACGGGTTAAACCGCCTCCCTTCTTTTTCGATAAGTTGTTGACTGATCTGTTTTTCCGTATGGGGTTCCTTGCATAAGTAGAGAAACAACATCCCCACGTTTCTCGGGCTCAATCGAATTTCTAGATTGTTTCAGGGACGACGATCAAACGGCTTGATTCCCGGTGCCCTGTGCGATGGTCTGATGACTACATATATAGAGTACGGAGTAGCATACATACTGCATTTGCACTAGCTAGGGTCTCTGTCGAGGGTATCTATTAGCTTCTCAGGGGCAGGGAAACCCTGGTCAGAGTTGAAACCCCCAGCCAGAGTCTATATTGATGAGGATTGAATTCTGTATTCCGTATGAGAATTGTGCACTTGGATATTTCTCGGATCCGGTAGGGCTCCGCTGGTCTGAATTAATGTGGAATTCTTATTTAAAGGTAGTAATACATGCCGATCTTGGTTCTGTTGCTGTGTCCATTTCTTTTTGGTTCGATTGTTGATAGGGGGCGGTTCTAGAGATGAACTAGTTAGTGGTCAACTGTGGTGTTTTTGTCCGATAATGAGACATTCTATCCTGATATATATATATGTACGCCGATCTAAAGATGGTGATCTCCGTTGGTGGAGATAGCATCACTATACATGATTGTATATTCTTGGGGCACATGGATGTGCCACCATTTCGGTGTTGTGCCAATATATTTTGGTCTACCGACCTCATTGAAATTTCTGACTAGGAGACAATCCATACAGACCAGAGCCGGATAGTCCACGGAGTCCACATGCTATGGGGTGTACCCAACACCTTGGGAATTTTGCCCTATTTCCCACTCCATGGAAAAGTTACGGTACCTGTCGCTCATATGGTCTAGAACTTTACTCATCTTACTTATGGATATGGCTGGCTAGTGAAAAGTGGACCAGGGAGTACAGGAAGTACAGGAATACAAATACACATATCGGTTTGGCTTGATTTTGCACAGTAATAAGTACTCGGTACGGAGTGCAGCCTTGCATCATGCAATCATCTGAGAGATGATTCTTCAAGATGCTACTACTTTATTCCCACTTGACGAGTCTCATTCGGTCGCATGGGCCAGAATAGGCAAAATCGGGGATACCGGATAGACGATCCCAAAGCCACAGCCGTTTAGACACCGGAGCTCGGAGAAAATACCAGGGGATAATCTGGAAAAAAAATGGAGGGTTTCAATGCATGTAAGCGCCCACTGGAATTCTGAAACATGAAGGCGGGTGCTTCAGGTCCCAGCGCCAGTTTGATGAGTCTTGGCTGGCTCCACCTATTCTTCCAGTTGGACTTCACACGGCTTTCTGTGTAGAAGTATCTCTAAATGTGGCAAGTGATATGTTTATCACTTGGGTATGCAGCCTAGTCACCATGTGGATTAGGCCAATCATCAATTTCAGACATGCCATACTACATACTAAAATATTGTACGGAGTACAAAAAGAACTTAAGGCAGGGGGTGGTTTATATTCACCTTTGTTGGGAAGAACAGAAGTCTTATTCAGTTTGATATCAAACTGTGAAGACTAACAACCTATTGTTAACTGGTGATTATTGTTTTAACTTGATACTTCTATTAACAAAGATAAAGCCCTGAGAGTGCCTGTATGGGAAGTATGTGAAGATGTACCTGATCCTCTGAATAAACCAAATAAACCGGATTTACTGTTTGGCCTTGTAAATGACAGAGAGATACAGTGTAAATAACAAACAATACCAAATAGATGACAAAAATAACAAAAATAACATGATTAATAGGGGATAATATGAACCATCCCCTTATGACTAACGATAAACCAAAATAACATACTAGTTCTTGACCGGTCAGACATCCTCCAGGGCGCTTCCCAGTTCCCAGCTTCGATTATTATTAGACTTGCACTGTATCTTCCTTCCCCCCTTCTTCTTCTTCACCAGTACTCAATCATCCTCTTCACTTTCGTTTCTTTCTTCCCGCTGCGCGCGAAAATTCCTCCAGAGGCTTACCGGCTGGTCCAGTTCCATTCTCTGACAATCTCTCTTTCATTCTCTTTGTCTACGAGGCTGGCTCCTCTTCCTTTAAACCCTTTTTTCGCGTGATCTAGAACTTTCCCGATCGGATATCTTTTACTGGTTGGCGACGTTGATCCTCGCACTTCCGATCCTATCTTGTGAGCCATTCAGCTGGTGAGTTTGATCCGAGGTCTTGCAGCTATGTCTCAGTAGAGTCGCAGAGGGCTTCCTTCTTGATTGGACTCAGATCGCCTCTTTGTTTGCGCATGCGTTATCAGCCGCTGTTTTCCCCGGTGCTAATTATCTATACAGTGCGCTTCACGCAGAAAAAAAAATGTATCCTCAACCAGGTGCTTCAATCCCCATGGCACCACCACAAAAGCCTGAAACCTTTATGCTCTCGACCGAAGCACAGCGAAGCCTACCTCACGACGCGCAAGTTGCTCTTCAGCAAGTGGATAATCGTATGTCTTTGTTTGGGTGGTATTGTCCCCCGCATCAAAGCAGTGTATTGACATGGGCCAGTGAAATACTTCCTTCTGTCAGCTCCCGTTGACTGGCAACCCGATCAACTTATTCGACGCTTTTTGCTTCCCACAGGCGACTATGTCTCTTGTGTTTACTGGTTCGTCCCCTTCTAGAGAGTGTGATTGCCTGGGGAGCTGACTGACCCTCGTCATCAATAGGAGTGGCCTTTTCCACATCTCCGGTACCGATATTGTCCGATGTCTCGCGTTTCGATTCCAAGCCTTTGGACGACCAGTGAAGAACTCAAAAAAGTTTGAGGAGGGCATTTTCTCGGATCTACGAAATCTCAAGGCCGGTGTAGATGCGGTCCTGGAGGATCCAAAGAGCCCATTCCTGGACTTCTTGTACAAGAACAACTGTATTCGCACCCAAAAGAAACAAAAGGTGTTTTACTGGTACGGCGTGCCCCACGACCGGCTATTCCTCGATGCACTGGAACGGGACTTGAAGCGCGAGAAGATGAACCAGGAGGCCACCACGGTCGCAGTCAGCGAACCGGCCATGTCCTTTGAATTCGACTCGTCCCAGTCTCTGTACGAGCAATTGACCAAGTCGCAACAAGTGAATCTGAACTCATTCGCTGCCCACGCAAGTACGACATATGGCCAGCCCAACTCCCCCGTGGTTCGGACCGTTGACGCAATGCCTCCTCCGCAGATGGCCCCCCCCAGCGATTCCTCTACTCCAGGACGACTCCGGGAATCAGATGTACAGCCACCCCCAGATGCCCCTTTCGAACAATCTAGTCCAGAGCATCATTAAACGCGAGCAGGACTATGGCCCCATTCAGTACGATCGCCACGGAATGCCCATTCCCCGCCCCCATCAGCGCCATTCGTCCATGCCGACCTTCTATGAGTACTCTCCTGCGCCATCATTTGTATCTTCACAATATGAGGATTACAGCAATCGCGACCTGTCCTTTGAACCAGTCACCCCGCCGCAGCATTCGGTCGGCCTCGGAGCGGAACCAGCTTACATCGCCAACGAAGACACTGGACTTTACACAGCAATTCCGGACATTTCCAGTGGGCCCGCCTATCACCCTATGATGCAGCTGCCTCCTTCGAATCTGTCCAGTTCTCACTATCAGCCTGCGCCCCGGTCCTTCTCGGCAAACCCGTATCCTGTTATGGAGGGCTCCCCGACATACAAGCAGCGCAGACGTAGGTCATCTATCCCGCCCAACACCGGTGCTGTTGCACCCAGTGGCGCCACTCATGTCCAATCAACAACCCCGGGAGTTCAGTCAGTCTCGTACGCTGCCCACAGACCAAGTGATCTGCGGCGTTCGGTTTCTAGCTCGGTTGCTCCAGTCGCAGAAGGGGATGAGCCCACCCAGGAACATATCGCTCGTACCTACCCAAGTGCGATGTTGCCACAAAAGGATATTCTTCATGATATGTCCCGTCATGGCACGCCTCTGCAGAGCATGGACCACCGCACCGCACAACATCCAGGCTCAATGGCAAACCAATCTGATGATCTGACATCTCTGCCAAGCAACAGTGCCGTCGAGTCTACGGTTCAAAACATTCATGGCCGGTCGGAGCGTTCGGCGCCTGGTCCTACTCGGAGAGCTAGGAGTGCAACCATGATGGAGTTGGGACCGTATCCAACCAAGGCCCATTCTTGCCCCATCCCATCATGCGGTAGAACCTTCAAGAGATTAGAGCACCTCAAAAGGTAAGCTTACTTCTATTTTTGCACCCACGTCGGTGGGGCTGACCTGCACCGTGCACTGGTGAGATTGTTTCGTTAGCCGCCCACTAACCCCTATTTCTAGACACGTGAGAACACACACACAAGAGCGTCCATACCCCTGCCCCTATTGCAGCAAAGCTTTCTCCAGGTCCGATAATCTTGCGCAGTAAGTTATTATTTTTTATATTTCTTACACAACTTGTACTAATTATTCGCTAGGCATCGTCGGATCCACGAAGCGCAGCAGGATGGTCAGACTATTATTCCAACTGACGAAGACCTGGAGAATGAGACACATGAATTCGGTTCCCCCAGGGAAGAGATGTCCCCACCGGAGCCCGCTCACACAATGATTAGCATGCCCAACATGACGTCGATGGCAGCTCCTTTGAGCATGCCGTCCGCCCTGACCGGCATGCCTAGTTCGCACATGATCGCTCCGCAACTTCTCCAACAACACATGTGAGTATACTATAGAGCACGGTGTGTCTACTGATAGTAGATGCATCAACTCATGTACTCACCCCTAGGGTATTTCCAAGCAAATGTTTCAACTCTCTTTTGTCTTCGGGGCGCATATAGGCGTCGTTTGGTTTGGGGTTTATATCGCCTCATGTTTAATCGCACATGGTCCAATTATGGCCTTGCACATACCACGATATTCGTGTATAGCCCGCGTGTCATGTCTTTGCCTGTCTTTGACACATTCTTCACTTTCTTTTGATTTTCTTTTGGTTCATTTTTGGGTTTTCGCACTGTGCGATGGTTACACCGTGTATTATTGGTGTCGGCTGCCCTGCACGTGAATTGGGTTGCGCTGGCAGACATTCTTTTCATGCTGCCTGGCGGGCACGGGCACGAGAGACGTTCGACTCACCTCTCAATGGGAAATGGTTTGGGAAGGGAAAGTTTTAGGTTGGCTTCTTGGATTGTCAGGCATTGTCCATGAAGAGCGGCTGGGAATAGGAAGGTTATTTTTGGACGCCTCAAATCACACTATATAGACAGAGACATGTAACGACTTTGAATTGGAATCCGAGAAACCCTTGAAATCTTTAGTCAATATTTCCTTGTACTTCTTGCTAGTATCTATAGGTGCACCCACGGTGGCAATGATGTGATTATGCATGGTTATTATGCATATCTATGTAACCCTTCCAAGGTTAGAATGCATGTCACGTGCCGCTGACGTCGTTCCCCCTGCAATCATCCACGATTGCGATCTTAAGCAGCTCGTACATCTGACACACCGCGTTCTGATCGGGAGGGCTATCCACTGCCCAGTTTTATCTTCTTTCAGCTACCTACCTCATGGGAAATGACGCGTGGCTGCCAACAGTTAGTTAAACCCCATATTCCCGACGTCTACTTCCCCACACTCTAGCAATCCACAAGTCCACACTGTACCAGGGTTGTAAAGTTAACTAAAACAATCTCCGCTCTCAGCAAAAGGTTACTATAAAAAAAAGCATATCCCAGCTCGGCTGCTCAAGTGAACCCGGAACCACAGTCAGCAGCTGGAAATCACAGCCCCAACACACACTCATATCACCAGATTCGATGAGTTAATCCTGGTCTATACCATTTCAATACATCGAAATCACGATTCTTTAATTCTCTCATGGGACAATTGGACTGCAAGCCTGCCCCTAAATTAACTGACGAGAGCTCGCCTCTCATGGTTGCCACTCGCCCTACAGACGGGCGCGGTGTGCGCCCCCATGGGGGTACTGATGAGTCGTCTAAGAGTGCATTGTACATGTTTCTTTTGACTGTGTCCATTGGGGGGTAAGTGATTTTGCATATAATGAATTGATTCAATCTGGCTATGTGCTATCTTGACCCTTGACTTGTGCATTAACCAGTTATTGACATTGCGTTTCTTGAATAGACTTCAGATTGTTTGGTCTGTCGAACTTGGCAATGGATCGGTAAGTATAAGTCACAACTTAGAGAATATTCGATTTGACTTTTTATCTTACTTCTTTCATCTCGGGGCTGCAAGATTGAGTAAAAGGACATACTGACCGGGGTACAGCCATACCTTCTATCCCTCGGGATGAGCAAGTCGCTTCTTGCCGTTGTTTGGATAGCCAGTCCCCTGACGGGCGCCTTGGTGCAACCATACATTGGTATTCGAAGCGACAACTGCCGGCATGCGTGGGGTAAGAGGAAACCATTCATGGTCGTTGGAGGCGCAGCAACTATCGTTTCATTGCTAGCTCTGGCATGGGTGAAAGAGCTTGTGGGAGGCTTTCTGTCTATATTTGGTGTTGAACCAACATCTGCAGGCGCCAAGATTACTATCATTATCATGGCAACGATTTTCATGTATTGCCTTGATGTTGCCATCAACACTGGTGCGCATTCCATCTTCACTTTTATGGTTGTTTGGCTGATCATCATCCTACAGTGCAAGCTGCAATCAGAGCATTCATTGTCGACAACTGCCCCACCCACCAGCAGGAGCTGTCCAACGCGTGGGCTAGTCGTATGGTTGGCGTTGGCAACATCTTGGGGTATATCTTTGGCTACATGGATCTGCCGAAGCTTGTCCCTTGGTTGGGAAATACCCAGTTCAAGGTCCTGTGCATGCTTTCCTCGGCCTTTCTGATTGCAACTCTTGCCATTAGTTGTTTCTACATTCAAGAGCGAGATCCTCGAGGAGAGGGGCCTGTCACCGACAAGCTTGGCGTGATCGCCTTTTTTAAACAGATCATCAAGTCGATTCGGAGCTTGCCAACTCAGATTTCCCGCGTCTGTCAGGTGCAGATCGCAGCCTGGGTGGGCTGGTTCCCATTCCTGTACTACTCCACAACCTATGTCGGGCAGCTGTATGCCAATCCCATTTTCGCAGATCATCCCGATCTCTCGGATGGGGAGCTTGATAAGATCTGGGAAGATGCTACTCGCGTCGGGGCATTGGCTCTCCTCATCTATGCTATCATCTCTTTCCTTTCCAATATGTTGCTTCCACTTTTCGTGGTACCCTTGTATGCACCTGCGCCAGAGACTGTTTCGCGTCGGAATTCTCTAGACGACAATTCAGGTGACTATGCAGAGCAAGCTGCAAGTAGATTATCATTTTCAAATATGCCGGCAGGCAATGCATCCGAGCCTCTTCTCGAAGAAGCTCCAGTCAGACAGGAGACCGAAAAGAGATCGACTTGGCTTTCACGCCTGCAAATCCCAGGATTGACTCTCCCGCGAGTCTGGCTCCTCTCCCACCTCCTCTTCGCAGTTTGCATGTTCAGCACTTTCTTTATCTCCTCCCACCAAGCCGGGTCGGCGTTTGTGGGCCTTGTGGGTATCGCCTGGGCTGTGGCGCTGTGGGCTCCCTTCGCACTTATCTCGGCGGAGGTAGCTAGGATCGATCCATCTAGACGAGAGAATCGCCGCAAATCTCACACCACATATACTGAGCATGCTGCTGAGGCTCAGGACGGCAGTCCTGGTGGGCATGGCAGCGTCGGTGGCAGTGATGTGGAGCATGGACAGCCGAAGGATTATCAAGGTGGGGATGTCGCACAGGCGGGTATTATTCTTGGACTGCATAACATGGCCGTTTCTCTGCCACAGATTCTGTCTAGTCTTGTTTGCAGTGCTATCTTTAAGGCATCTCAGAAGCCAAGAGGGGAGCCGTGGGATGATAGTGTGGGCTGGGTGCTACGGTTTGGTGGATGTCTTGCGCTGGTGGCTGCGTGGTTGACTAGAAGGGTGTCGGACGGAAGATAGTAGACTTGGATATCTAATGCTACTCTGTACAATTCATTCAGCAAAGATTAACTCCCTTGTCTATAACATACAATAAGGATTCTGCAGGGGAATATTGATTGTCGTACGGAGTATGTATGTGGGTCCTTCCATGCAGCCCTAGAGCACTAGAGCACTAGAGGGCAATCAATTTATATATGTTTTCAAATACAATAACAATGTCTTCTCGCACGGAAAATATTCTCTATCGACACCAACCCCTTTGTTCCGTATATTTGTCCAAGTCCACTGATTTTCTTGGCAGTTGCGTGGCCCTTAAAACTCGGCCCACGTGTATTTTCAAATAGCAATACATAACAATACACATTGTATTTTACACTATCGCTGTATCCTAATAATTTCAACCCCAATTTGGCTCCACACAGCCCTGTCGTATTCTGTATTATACAACCCCGTACCTGACCTCATATCTGTCCCTCTGATGCAACTTAAGCAATGCGTGTCCCTATGCTAACCTAATTCGATCTTTGTCGCAACCTCGCACTTTCCATCTGTGGATTATGTGCGCCTGGTCCTGTCATCTTAATTTCACACTGGGAGTGAACTGCCAGTCATCCGCCCTGGCCCTTGATATCCCCTAAGGCGAGAGCCGCAATGGCTAGCCAATTTATGAACGATGGCTTACACGCCCTGCTTCGTATGTCTCTCTGATCGGTCTTGGACGTGCTTGAATTCTCGTTTGGATTGGAAGCTAACATGTCTGTTTCTGTTCTAGGGAGAGCCACTGAGGACTCCGATCCCGATGGTACGCGTGCCTCCACTCAAACCCCCTCATCCCTCCCCCCTCGTCTTGTCGCGCGACATAGCGCTATTCAGTTTCGGAGATTTAACTATTATGGCGAACTATAGCTCCCCCCGAGGCGGGATCCAAGGAGATCACAAGTTCCTGGGCATTGTTTATCATGATCATGTTGTTGATGTTCGCCCTGTTCACGAGCTACATCCTTCAACAAAGGAAGATCCAAGCTGTGCACGAGACCGTACTTTCGATTTTTGCAGGTAGGTGATGTCCTCGAGTGGCGCAGGCACGACTTCGAAATATACTTGAAGCTTCATTCGGTCTGCTCAGATTTTACGGACTTGCTAACGGTCGCCAGGCATGTTCGTTGGACTGCTCATCCGCTTCACGGACTCCACCCTCCAAGACAGCGTCGCCTTCGATTACCAATTCTTCTTCAACCTCCTCCTACCTCCGATTATTCTCGCCTCCGGCTATGAGCTCCACCAGGCGAACTTCTTCAGACATATCGGTACCATCCTCACGTTCGCGTTCGTCGGTACCTTTATATCCGCAATCGTACTCGGTCTCGTGCTGTACCTATGGACACGGATCCCGATGAATGGGCTGGATATATCTTTTGTCGAAGCTATTTCCGTCGGCGCAACCCTTTCCGCTACGGATCCTGTCACCATCCTAGCTATCTTCAACCTGTACAAGGTCGAGCCGAAGCTTTACACTATCATTTTTGGCGAGTCGATCCTGAACGATGCCATTGCCATCGTGCTCTTCGAGACTGCGCAGAGGTATCATGAGACTGGCGCGGCTGGCTCTTTGACTGTCCTCAATCTATTTGAGGCTGTGGGGCTCTTCTTCCTCGTCTTCTTTGGTAGCATGGTTGTCGGAGTGCTGGTTGGAATCGCTACTGCGCTAGTTCTCAAATACACCCACGTGCGACGGATGCCCAAGATCGAGAGCTGCTTGATCATTTTGATTGCATACGCCAGCTACTTCTTCTCTAATGGTGTACACCTATCCGGCATTGTCTCGCTCTTGTTTTGTGGTATTACCCTCAAGCACTATGCTTACTATAATATGTCGCGTCGCACGCAGTTGACCACCAAATATCTATTCCAGGTGATGGCTCAACTTTCAGAGAACTTCATCTTTATTTACCTCGGCCTCGATCTCTTTGTGGAGCCTAACCTTCAGTTCAACCCCTTGTTCATCATGGTGGCAGTCGTTGGTATCTGTCTCGCCCGCTATCTCGCGGTGTTCCCGCTCTCCAAGGCTATCAATTGGTATTTCCGGTATCGAGCACGCCGCCGTGGCGTGGAAGTTGCCGACGAGCTGCCATTCGCTTATCAAGCGATGCTCTTCTGGGCCGGATTGCGTGGTGCTGTCGGTGTTGCGCTAGCAGCTGGTCTATCCGGAGTCAACGCCCCCGCACTTCGTGCGACAGTCCTTGTTGTAGTTGTGCTAACCGTCATCATCTTCGGCGGAACCACCGCACGCATGTTGGAGATTCTGGGCATTCGAACGGGTGTGGTCGAAGAGCTTGAGTCGGACGATGAATTCGACACTGAGGTGACCCACGGCGGCACCTACTACAAGCGCTCCGGCACGAGCCTGGGATACATCCCACGACGCACTGATTCGGTGATTGCCTTGGATGGAGTCGGCACTTCTTCACGCGCTGGAGCCGGGGAGCGAACACACAGCTACTCCAGCGGCAACAATCGCCGCCCCAGCCCACCCTATACCCACACAAGAATGTATTCCGCCGCGTACAGCAACAAAGATCAGTCCTGGCGCGACCGCCAATCCGCCGCCACGTTACTCAACGGCGCAGCTGGGCCTAGCGCCGGCGAAGGTAGCGACGATGAGTTCGGCCTACCACCCTCGGGTCCTAGCCGTTCCGGTGATCCAACCCACCCAGACGAGTTTGACCTCGATATCGAGGGCATCTCCGATGATGATCTCCCACCCGCTGCAAATGGATCCTCGCGTCTCCGTCGATCAGCCTCACAGCCCCCTCAACCTTCCCCCGTCCCGGGCACCAGCGCAGTGGCATCTACTGGTGTCTCGCCTACTCACCAGGGTATGTCTGCACGGGATGCGGTTCGGGGTCTGTTTTCAGGTGGTGCTACGGGCGACCATGCGGCTTGGTTCCGTCAGCTCGATGAGGACTATATCAAACCCACGCTTTTGTTGGACCAGTCGAATCATAAGGGCCCTGGGCCTGGTGCTGTTTGAGATGATGATACCTTGATTGGAAGTTTCACTTTTTTCCTTTGATCTGGATGTATATTTAGCCTTTCACTTGTTTCGGTCTGCATTCTCGTTCATGTTTTGCTCTTTTTGCATTTTGGGCTTCCATACAAGGTCCGATTGCCTGTATGAGCTTGTGTAAACGAAACGCGTTTGAAATTTATAGATGCCAACGACATTTTCAAGTGGGAAGTACATATATCCTCAATATCTCTGTAAAAAGTAATACAGAATTGAGTTTCTCCGCACTTTAGCATTACATCCTACCCCACACTCGGGTATCTCACCTTGGCATTCACAAGCAATAGACACTCAAAACTCCCGACCCGAATAAGACGAACGTAGGTATACTAATATATCTATGTATATCCCGAGGTCCCCGTGCGGAGTACATGGAGATCTAATAAACGTAACGTCCTATGATAAGCATAGGCTTCGCTCTGCACGCCCGGCGCTTCCTATCTCATCCTGTCTTATCGCCCACTCGGATCAGCGACAGCTATCTGTGTAGACTAGCGGCAGGACTTTAATTGTGTACGGCGCCATGCTTGTTTAGGGCATACTTACGCCAACGCCATATCTCCCCTGTCATCTGATCCCATATTAGCTTCCACTTGCGTGCTTGTGTATGAATCTTGGTCAGATGGAACCTCTGGATATATTGTTGAACATACAAGTATTCCTTAGATGTCGGTTTATTGATGGATGATGTCTCCGCTGAGGGATCTGCGCTGTGGGCGGGAGAAGGCAATGCGAGGCACGCAATAATTGACGAATATCATTTCCTTATACGTTCTTCATAATATCTTATGCCCAACCTAGGAGTATCTAACAGTAAGTCTGGAGTACACATGTATCAATTGGGACCCGATATACAAGGGCAGTGGCAAACCTGCCCATGAACCTGTCAAACAGCTTAGGGCTGCCAGGGGTCAGGGGTGGCGGAGTTTTGTCCGATGAAAACGCGGCAAGAGATGAACCCTAAAGCGGAAACGGGAAGTTTCTCTAGCATACGCAGAGTACTACAACGTTGTACCCATTTCCCCCGCTCCGCTAGACCAGCCTCCATCCTCTGTCGATCTGCCATTGGAAAGAAGAGGAGATATGCAGAATTGTCTCATGTACCCCTCAGATTTGCTATAGATAGACCTGGCCCTTTGTACTCCCAAATCGGAAGGTATTTAAACGTTATATCTATGGCAGGAAGGATCTGTGCTTACTGCACGTCCTATCTAAGCTTCCAAGGAACTACTCCCGAGGTCTTGATTCGATGCTTATAGTGCTCGTGTTTATCGGAATATTTGAACCCAAGCCTCCCTAGCCTTCTTCCCGAAGTCTTTGTTTTATCAAATCTAAGGCGTCGCGCGTTCGATCGCGTTGGCTATTTGTTTACCTATCCATTAACTTGTTTCTTTCTATAATCATTACACGTAGCCGGCCATGGAGGATATAATGGAGAAAGTGGAATCCAAGACGAGTAAGAGACGTCAGTCCACGGCCACTCATGACTCGAAGCCCCAGGCTGGGGATATGGAGTTGCTAGGTGTGTATATCGCGCCCTTTTTTTTTTGGCGAAGCTCGTGTAACTATGAGATTGTTGTCACTAATTGATCTTAGCGACACTTGGATACAAGCAGGAATTGCGGCGCCATTATTCGACGCTTCAGATATTTGCTGTCGCCTTTAGTATTATGGGGCTTTTGCCTTCCATTGCGACTACGTTGGCGTTCTCAATGCCCGCTGGTCCGGTGGGAATGGTTTGGGTAATATACTTCTCATGCTGAACTTGATTGGAATTGTAACTGACATAATGGCTCTGACTAGGGTATGCAACTATCTTTCCAGAAGTGGAGTTCCGGTGATTGTTAACGGGTTCCTTGAATAGGATGGTTGGTTGCAAGTTGCTTTATCTTCATTGTGAGCTTGGCAATGGTATGGTCTATTCAATCTACAATCCTGGCCACAGAACTAATGGCCCTCAGGCCGATCTGGCATCCGCAATGCCCACCGCAGGCGGACTCTACTTCTGGACACACTACTTCGCAGCCGAGAAATGGAAGAACCCGCTCAGTTTCCTCGTCGGATATAGCAACACCATCGGCTTGATCGGAGGCATATGCTCTATTGACTGTAAGTCAACCTCCACACAAGCCCAAACAATAAACCCACAACTAACACTGCCCCAGATGGTTTCGCCAACATGCTCCTCTCAGTAATATCCCTAGCCCGCGACGGCAACTGGTCCGCAACAAGACCAATCATCTACGGCACATACGTAGCAACAGTCGTCTCGCACGGCCTCATCGCCATCTTCTTCGCCCGCATCATGCCGAAAATCCAATCAGCCTGTATCTTCCTCAACATCGCTCTCGTGGTAGCAACCGTCATCGCCCTACCAATCGGCAAAAACAAGAACAGCCCGCCCGTCAACCCGGGCTCGTATGTTTTCGGAGAGGTTCAGAACTTAACTGCGTGGCCCACTGGTTGGGCATTCATCATGGCGTGGCTCTCGCCCATCTGGACTATCGGCGCGTTCGATTCCTGCGTACATATGAGCGAGGAGGCGACGCATGCTGCTCGCGCTGTCCCGTTGGGGATTATCTCCTCCGCTGGGTTGTGTGGTATTCTGGGCTTTTTCTCGCTGGCGGTTATTGCCGCTTCGATGGATAGGAATATCGAGGGGATTTTGAACTCAAAGTTCGGACAGCCTATGACTCAGGTTTGTTCTTATCTTGCGTCTGATATAATTGTTGGGGTGTACTTTCTAATGTGGGTTCGCTATAGATCTACTACGATGCACTCGGCAAAAATGGAGCCCTGGGCTTCATGGTCGTGGTAATGATCGTCCAATTCTTCATGGGATTGAGTATCGTAAGTCTTTATTTCACCATTTACTAACCCAATTTAAGCCATCCATTAACTCTACCCATCCAGGTCCTAGCCGCCTCCCGCCAAAGCTGGGCTTTCTCCCGCGACGGCGCCCTCCCTCTATCCTCCTTCTTCCGGAAAGTAAGCCAGCGCAAAATCATGCGCTACCAGCCAGTCCGCATGGTCTGCGGTGTAGTCCTTGCATCAGCAATTATCGGCCTCCTCTGTCTAATCGACGAAGCCGCCTCCAACGCCCTCTTTTCCCTCGCCGTAGCCGGAAACGACCTCGCCTGGCTAACGCCCATCCTGGCGCGTCTGCTCTGGGGCGGTGATCGCTTTATCCCCGGTGAATTTTATACGGGTAAGTATCTCAGTAAGCCTATCGGCTGGGTTGCCGTCATCTATATGGTGTTCGTTATTGTTCTTACCATGATTCCTTCTGAGGGGCCGAATCCGTCGCGTGAGTTTGAATCATACTATGTTATATTATTTGAGGTGATTTACTGACTGGGTGGTATTTAAGCGCAAACTATGAATTATACGGTTGTTATTAATGGGAGTCTTTGGGTTGGGGCGTTGGTTTATTATTATCTTCATGCGAGGAAGACGTTCAAGGGGCCTTTGACTACTGTTAGTCCGGAAGATGAGGGGAAGGCTTTGGAGCAGGATCCTAAATAGTTGGCGAGAGGTAGATATTGTGACTTTGGGTGGGATTTTGATTTTGGTCTGCCGAGCTCTGTCTTTGCGAATCTTTTGTCGTTCATGTCAATATCTTAAGTTCATATGTACACATGTGCCAGAGCTTTGAGAAGTGATAAGTCTCATGGAGATTTCAAATTCCGAATTTGTATTTCAAGTATCGCTAATCACCCTCACCAGGGCTAAAAAATCGTTGCTATGGACATTCAACTCTTGTTCTCGTTTCTCAGAAGCAATTGCTCTTCGGGGTCTATTTTTCCCCACTCAATGCATAGATAGCGCATCTATTCAGGAATCTCGAGGACGTAGCGACCAGCGATCTTGCCTTCCTCTGTATTGCATGTATTAGCATATGGTCAATATCAAGTAATCGGAACATCTGAAACATACCCATGAGCTTGAACACCTCAGGCAAGTCCTTCAGAGGAGCAGTCTTGAAAGGAGCCTTGATCAAGCCACGTGCGAAGAAGTCAACGGCCTCAACACCATCCTGGCGGTTACCGACGTAGCTGCCCTTGATGTTGACCATCTTGACAACGGTATCGAAAACAGGGGCCTTGAGGAATGCATGGGCGGGAAGGCCAATGCAAACAATGGTACCGCGGGAGCGAGCGTATTCGACAGCCTGCTGGAAAGGCTTCTCGGAGACAGCAAGCAAGAGCACGGCGTGGGCACCAAGGCCTTCGGGAGTAGCAGCCTTGACATCGGCAACGAGATCACTGCTCTTGGTGAAGTCGACGTAGGTCTGAGAACATCACACTATATTAGCACGAATCCAAGAGTTCAAAAGGAAGAGAAAAGGCTCACCTCTGCGCCAAGCTTCTCACACATAGCCCTCTTCTCATCACCACCATCAATAGCAATAACACGCAAGCCCAAGGCCTTAGCGTACTGCTGCGCAAGCGATCCAAGACCACCTCCAGCACCGACAATAGCAACAGTCTGACCAGGGCGCGCACCGGACTCCTTGAGACCCTTGTAGACAGTGATACCAGCGCATAGAATAGGCGCAACACCATCGAGCGGCACTTCCTTAGGCAGCTTGGAGACATGAGCCGCCTTTCCAATCGCGTACTGCTGGAAGGTTCCGTCAACGGTGTATCCGGACAGCTGGGCATCGGGACACAAAGGCTCGTCGGCAGTCTTGCAGAACTCGCATGCGAGACAGGAGCCGTTGAGCCATTTGAGGCCTGCGTGATCGCCGATTTCAATTCCCTGAGCGAGCGAGCCCTTGGCGACAACAACGCCGGCACCTTCGTGGCCGCCGACTAGGTTCTGCTTCACGGGGAGAGGCCAGTCGCCGTTCATGGCGTGGAGATCGGTGTGGCAGACACCGGTGTAGCGCAGCTTCACCAGGACTTCATCGGGGCCGGGCTTGGGGACGGGGATTTGCTTGTAGACGGGGGGTCCGCCTTTCTTCTCGACCACTTGGGCCCATTGGGTCTCGGGGATTGAGGGGGACATCTTGGGTGGGGGTATGTGAGGGAAGTGGGAGTTAAGAATTAAGAATTAAGAGTAAAGGAGTAGTCAGAAGTATTAATGGAGAGAAAGAAATCGGGAAGGTAACACAGGTTGATTGTCATTCTTATAGTAACCAGTGTGGCATTGCCTGATCAGAATATTCTCTCAGCTTCTCAGACATCATGATCATTCGAACTTATCCGGTTCTACGGCAAAGATATGTCATTCTCACTAATAACCTTGGAATAGCTAGGCATATCCACTTTTAGTCCCCGTTTGCGGCATACCGCGCTATACAATGCAAACCCCGGTATTGCCGAGACATCTAGGCCTTCAATTTGCTGGACGTAGATGTACTTTGTATTGTGATATTCTATCTCGCCACGACATCCCTGACATATATCCCGAGAAAAGGACATAGCACCTCCACATCAGGTTGTATGCATATAGGCGATAGAAATCCCCTCAAATACAACCCCTCATTTGAACAAAAGAACGAAATTGGAAATAGATAGGACTAGGAAGATCGCGAATATCATAGAACCGTCAAGCAATTGGGAGGCGCAATTGTACTATAAAAGTGTAGGACGTCATCACCTAGCATCAGGCAATGCGGGGTAAGGTGATTGGTTTCTTTTTTGCTATAATTATCTACTACTACTACTACTACTACTACTACTACTACTACTACTAGCTACATACTATATATACACCTGGATATAATGCCTGGCACTCACCCCCTTTTAATGCTCTGCTCTTGCCGCTTTTTAATCTCAGAGTAAAATTGAACAGCTTCTCACAGATCATTACATAATCCGTTAAACATCCAATTATCACATGACCTCCTAATCTGATCCACTCACTGATCATTATATAAGCGATCTGATTTCCACCTCAACCTTGGATCAGAGTCGATCAGAGTGGACTTCAGAAGGCTTGAATGCACCGAGTAAGCTACTTTGTATATCAATAAAACACCATATATCATTTCCATCACGTGTGTTAAACCATTCCTATTAGATTATCAGGAAAAAAGTCTGGCGCAGTCAATGTGACCGTTGAGAACTCCATCCAGGCTTACGTTGCTCTATCTCTAAAAGACTCTCAGACAGGACCTAAGGGTCTGATGCTTCTAGCAGCTATTAAAACTAGGAATCGCCCAAATTATTCAATTCAAGATTCTGGGTGCCGGCTTAGGTGTTCATTGCTAGGTGAGACATTGCAACAGTGTTGAGGCGGAAAACAAACAGTCACGAAGAAGCGAAATGGAGAAATAGACAAGTGTGGGATCTGACTGCAGAAGACCATCAAAAAAAAAAAAAAATTGGAACGGCATTGGTCACTGCGCCCTATGGTGACATGAATTCTGAATTCCGGGAAGTAAGTTGAAGACAGGTTTTAGCGGCATACCACACAATCTATCTATCATTCGTTGATAATAAATAGGTGTTTCTTAGTGGCATATTGTGGTTTGAAATTCTGAAGGTCAACGAGAAACTTCACTTTTAGTTGAAAAACGCCGTCATGTACAACCACGGAGTTAGGGGATAGGGAACTTGCAAAAACGGGGCTTAGACATTCGTTAAGCCCGGACAGCGTCAGCTTTGTCAATATATAATCAACTGTTCGCTCCCAATGTTTAACATATCGAACCTGAGTTTTGAATTCAATTTTACTCAAAATGGCTAGCAAGTGGTCATGGTCATCAACGGGCAACGAAGTGGTGGATGAGTATCCCGGGCAAATCAAGGGACGCACTTGTAAGCAAGATCTATTCCTTATAGAGCAACCCCAAATTGACCCAAACAGTTTTGATTACCGGCCCGAGCGACGGTGGAATTGGAGCAGAGACCGCTCTTTGTCTTGCATCTCAATCCCCATCGACTATCATTCTTGCCGGCCGTGATAGAGCCAAGATCCAACCCGTCATCGATAGAATTACTCACATCAACCCTGAAGTTAATACGATATTTATTACTCTCGATCTTAGTGACCAAGCTTCGGTGCGAGCAGCAGCAGCAGAAGTCAAGAATCAGGTTGACCATATCGATGTACTGATCAACAATGCCGCAATAATGGCTTGTCCATATAGCTTAACGAAGGACAACTTGGAGGTTCAGTTTGGGACAAACTTTCTCGGTCCTTTTCTTTTCACCGGTCTATTACTCCCCAAGCTTCGTGCTGCAGGACTTGGGTCACGCATTGTAAATGTGAGCAGCTCCGCGCATCGCTTTGAGGGGATTCGATTTCATGATATCGATTTCGAGGTATTTATCCGAGACTGTGGTTCTCTGTTTTGTTCTGCCAATTCAAAGATTGACTGTCTCGACAGAATGGACGCGCTTATGATACTTGGAAAGCATATGGTCAATCAAAGACTGCACTGATCCTGATGGCTATTCATATGGCCAGCAAAGTCCCTAGCAATGAGATCGCTACGTTCTCTGTGCACCCAGGAAGTATGTTTCTTTCCTGGTCTTATCCTATTTACCGGCTAATAATTTTCCTAGGCATTGCATCGAATCTGCAACGACATGTGGACTCTGAGTCGATCTCAGATGCTAGAGTGAAGTCGCAGAATAGTGTGTCATCACCGTATCTGCCTTTCTCAGAAACAAAATCATCGCTAACTCTGTTTCAGTCACCGACTATGAAGTCACCGACAGAAAGACTCTTCAGCAAGGCTGTGCTACGACTTTGATTGCAGCTCTGGATCCTCGTCTAAAAAGTGAGTCGTTCGAGATAAGCGAAACATTGAATAATGTCCTAACTAGACTGTCATAAATTTAGAATTTTCGGGCTCATATCTCAGCGATGGACAGTTGAAGCAACAGGCAGACCATGCGCGCGGGGCAGATAATGCTGAGAAGTTGTGGCATTTGGGCGAGGAGATTCTTGGACAAAGATTCGCGATTAACTGACTACTTAAAAATGGAGAAGAAAGAAAATGGCCTGTACTCTCTGAGGAAAAGCGAGAGGAGAGTCCAGGAATCTACTGAAGAAAAAAGCTCTCTGGAAAAGTCTTTGATGTATCTACTGAGTCGAAAGGCTAAGACGCTAGGAGCAAACTAAGGAAGCATGTATATATACATTTCATTAAATGTTCTATAGACCCAAGGTAGTTTCATCCACATGACCTCAACCATATTAGTATTGCTAGAAATCTCCATAAACTATGAAAGCAATAAATGATATAACATCTGCATGACTATTTCTTAAACCAAAGTAACAACTCTTTATTCCCTGACGCTTTAGCCATGCACCGAGCCAGAGGGCAATACTATCAACGACCCTATGGGGGCTAATTCCTTCTGGGTATAGTTTGCGGTAGGCTGTATCAGTGTCACTGATTGGACACCTGATTGAGCATCACTGAGTAATTAGAGAGCATCCAGCACTCGCTCGGCCCTCGCTCGGCTCTCGTCAAGAATCAATTATTTTGCACGTGACCAAGCCAAGCATAATCGATGATCCCGTGCTGACATCTACTTAGGGAGCCTGAGCTTAAGCACCCTCATAAAAGCGGCGGCAGCTCAATAGGAAAGCCCCACCCGGAAAATCCAGTACTTTGAATGTATACTCCGTACTTACTTTGGAGGCACATCTTTCTATCTAAATTATTAGAATGCCTATCAATACGGAGTACACGAATAAGATATTTATCCTAGTCACTTCCCTTAGGTCTGGACAGAAACCGGGATTTGAACTGAGGATATGTATGTACCCTTACCCTTCGTGGCTCTTGAAATTGATTACTTCCAAGGTTGGTGTTATGCATGAAAATATATGTGCATTACATATATGAAATAGGTTATATATTCTACCTGGGCATATTTACCGGGTGGGAAATTGAAGTTATAAGGTGATAATATAATGCTTATAGAGAGCGACATATAGAGACATGGCCCTGGGGGAGACATCTGATAGGTGATTTTGCCCTATTTAGCGATTTATATGCTCCATATGCTCAGTATGTGGCTTTTTTGAAGCTTCAAAATACAAAACTAACAAAAAACTAGATAAATGTAGGCAAATTATTACGAATCCAGTGAATCTAACATTATCAGTCTCTACATGGATACTCCGGGTGGATAAGGACCATCTCACGATAACTCGGATCGGCCACCGAATAGATTTTCGAGGAAAATGGAAGAAGCGAATATTGAACAAATGTCCAGGACTTGAAACCCAGAAGATTTGAAACGATTTGAAAATATTCCCAAGACATTCGAAAACATCGTTGATGTTCATCCTCACCACCTCTCCACGGGGTGTTTGTATGGACTCTAGAAGTGAGATGGGGACACAACTTTGGAATTATCCAGCCAAAAAAAGAAAATGATTCTAAAAAAAAACATGAAACAATTGAAATGGCCATTTGGAATAGAAAAGTGAACTATTTACACTCTAAACACTGTAACAAGCCAGATCGGATCTAACCCCCGGGATGCCGGAGTTGGTTGAAATACCCCAGAATGAAGAAGAGAGATTCACGAGAAGCCAAATCTCGTCAACCGTTCCCCTTTCAATTTATGAAGTTGTCCCCCCCTCTTCCTACCCGACTTCTATTCTCTCCTTTAATAATTCCCCCATCCCCCCCATCTCTCCCTTCTCATCCTCATCCATCGCCCCTGCATCAGCTCGCCTAGGCCCGCGCATTCTCTTTCTTGGGCTCCACGGAAACTTCCCTTCCTCCTGCATCTTCCCACCACAAACGAATCCCATCCCTCCATCAGGTATTTATGTCTTGCTTTCTTCCCCCATCTCTTTCATCCCTCTTCACTCCGAAATCATAACCTGAAACCAACAACTGACGCCGCGTCACTAGCATCTGGAACCCCCTTGACAGGTGTCTCTGACCAAGGGTCTTTGACTCTCCTCCCTCAATTCTCCTAGCTCGACCCGAGTGCCCAACCTTCGACGCGCTCAACCCGTAACCGGGGACCGCGGCCATCATGACGGGCCCTCCGCCATACAACGCCCAGTCCCCGACTCAGCAGCAACGGTATCCGGCCTACACCTCTCCGAATAAGAACCATCCGTATTACCCAAATGAGCAACCGCCACAGCAATACCACCAGCATCCTCCGCAGACCCCACCCGCATTTGGCCCACCCACCGTCGCGCGAAGCCCGCACTTTGCGCACGCGTCCCCGATGCCCTCGACATTGCCGCCGCCCTTGAACGGAAGCGCGCCACCTCACCCGTCTCACCCGGAGGCCTCGCAATATCAAGGTCATTCGGCAGGCTCTCAGCTACCACTGCCGCGCCCTTACTCCAGCTCCGTGATCACGGGCAACGGTGCCTCGCCGTACGGCTCTGCGACTCCCCATAGCCATCCGCCCAGCCGCCCAGAAGGCCATTCGCAATCCCCAACTAGGGAGTCTGAATCCCCATTTCGGATGCGAGGCAATGGTGCTGGATATGGACCTCCGATGATGCGAGAACCCAGACCGGTCTCGCCGCAGGAAGCCGTAGGCATTACCTAGATCCCTCAGTATCCTATGATTTACTAACCAATCTTTCGCCCTCGCAGAAGCCCGCACGAGCCGCAGACCCGATGTCTTTCGCCAGTATCCTTTCAGGCCCATCGGACGAGCAGCCTATGAGAAAGCCATCGTCTCCCCCGGCCCCCATCTCTGTCCACACGCCGCATGCTCCCCCCGTATTTCCACCCCGGCACCTGGAGCACAGCTCCACGCCAGCTATGCATCACAAGCAGGAACACCGATTGGACTTTGATAAACGCATCGATGCCCCGAAACCACCACTGGCCACCAATGGGTTCGTCAAGCCAGAGGTGGAATACCCTGCGCCCGTTCCTCGTGCACCGCTTCGGAAACCATTCCCGCCCGGTGTGGACCTGGAGCAGGTCAACCGGGCTGCAGCCGAGATCGATCATGCTGAAAAGAGCGATATTGATGATCCTGCATTCGACGCGGAAAGGGAACGATACCGGGAGAAAGGCCACAAACGGGCGGTGGAAAGCACCCGCGCAGAGGAAGTGCGACGAAAGGTAGGTCGTCTGAAAGTCATTTTATGTCCAGCCAATCGCTCATACTAACATATGCTCAGCGTCGCCGCAACAACTTCCTTATTGAGCTAGGTAAATCCTTCGAAAGACAAGCCATTCTTGGTACCGAACGATTCCGAGTGCTCAACGAGGGGGCCGTCATGGCCGAAGTTCAACAAAAGGAGATCCAGGATGAAAAGGAACGGAAGAAGGACATGCAGCGCAAACGCCGTCGTGAGAATACTGTGCGCCAAGAAATGCAAAAGAAGCTGGAGGCTGAGCGCAAGGCAAGCAAGGCCCAGGAACCGGGAGAAAGGGCCAAGTTCCTTCGTGAGGCTGAGCGGGCTCAGAAGAAAATCCGCACCACCAAGCGCGCTCTAGAGGGCGGTGATGGCCAGGATGAGCTCGGTGAGGTCACCCCGCTTGCTCCCAACCTCGAAGGTGGGACAACGAGCCAATTCCATATTGGTCGTTCCTCGCCCAGTCGACGCAGGTCAGGCCGCGCCGGTCCTGTCACTCGCCCCAAGAAGTCCAAGGAGCAGAAACAGGCCGAGAAGGATCTCGCCGAGGCTGCTTGGAATGCTGGGTTGGACGACGACTTGTATCTCACCCCAAGCACAAGAAAGGATGTTCGACGTTCAAAGGAGGGTACTCCCATGTCGCAGCTACACTATGACAGCAAGGGCTACAACCAGATCTACGAGCAGATCTGGCGCGATATCGCGCGCAAGGATATTCCCAAGGTCTATCGCATCAAAACCACCTCCCTCTCCACCCGCCAGGAGAATCTGCGCAAGACGGCTCAGCTGGCCAGCAAGCAGTCGCGCAAGTGGCAAGAGCGTACCAACAAGAGCACAAAGGACACCCAAGCTCGTGCCAAGCGGACGATGCGTGAAATGATGTCGTTCTGGAAGCGCAATGAGCGTGAAGAACGCGACTTGCGCCGTGTGGCTGAGAAGCAGGAGCTTGAATCAGCCAAGAAGGCAGAGGCGGACCGCGAAGCGAACCGACAGAAGCGCAAGCTTAACTTCCTTATCTCGCAAACAGAGCTGTATTCTCACTTCATTGGGCGCAAGATCAAGACCGACGAGGCTCAAGGAGACGTCGCTGTTGCTGCAACCGGGGAGACTATTCAACCAGGGAAGCCAAACGCACACACAGTCAATCTTCCAGACAGTGTCGCCAACCCCAAGGCCAAGTCCACTGCATTTGAGGATCTTGACTTTGATGCTGAAGATGAAACCGTGCTGCAGCAAGCTGCCATGACTAACGCGCAAAACGCTGTGCAGGAAGCCCAGGACCGTGCCCGTGCCTTCAACCAAGGAGATGGTGATAATATGGCTGCATTCGATGACGGAGAGATGAACTTCCAGAACCCGACTAGTCTGGGTGACATTGAGATTTCGCAGCCGTCCATGTTGAATGCTCAGCTGAAAGAGTACCAGCTTAAGGGTCTTAACTGGCTTGTCAACTTGTACGAGCAGGGTATCAACGGTATCCTGGCAGATGAGATGGGTCTCGGTAAAACCATCCAGTCTATTTCCGTTATGGCTTACTTAGCTGAGGTGCACAACATCTGGGGTCCTTTCCTGGTCATCGCGCCAGCATCTACACTGCACAACTGGCAGCAGGAGATTACTAGGTTCGTGCCGAACATCAAGGTGCTTCCCTACTGGGGTAATGCCAAGGACCGCAAGATCCTGCGAAAGTTCTGGGATCGCAAGCATATTACCTATAACCGTGACTCGGAATTCCACGTTCTAGTCACCTCATACCAGCTTGTTGTTCTTGACGCACAGTACTTCCAGAAGGTGAAGTGGCAGTACATGATTCTTGACGAGGCTCAAGCTATCAAGTCCTCTTCAAGCTCCCGATGGAAGAACTTGCTGGGATTCAGCTGCCGCAATCGTCTTCTGTTGACAGGTACGCCAATTCAGAACAACATGCAAGAACTGTGGGCCCTTCTTCACTTCATCATGCCAACTCTGTTTGATTCCCACGACGAGTTCAGCGAATGGTTCTCCAAGGATATCGAGTCGCACGCCCAGAGTAATACTAAGCTCAACGAGGATCAACTCAAGCGTCTCCATATGATCTTGAAACCTTTCATGTTGCGTCGTGTCAAGAAGAACGTCCAACAAGAACTCGGAGACAAGGTTGAGATTGATATCTTCTGCGACTTGACATACCGCCAACGTGCCTTGTATACCAATCTGCGCAATCGCGTCAGCATCATCGACCTCATCGAAAAGGCTGCCACAGGCGACGACGCTGACAGCAGCACACTGATGAACTTGGTTATGCAATTCCGTAAAGTGTGTAACCACCCCGATCTCTTCGAACGTGCCGAAACAAAATCTCCCTTTTCTGCTGCATCCTTCGCGGAAACTGCATCCTTCGTTCGTGAAGGAAACTTTGTCGATGTTCGCTATTCGACCCAGAATTTGATCGAATACGAGCTGCCACGCCTATTGTGCAGCTCTACCGGACGACTTGACCTACCTGGCTCTGATAATCCTCGCGTAGGCTTCCAAACCAAGTATTTATCCCAGCTGATGAATGTCTGGACACCAGAAAACATTCAGAAGAGCGCCCGTGAAAATGGTGCGTTCTCTTTCTTGCGTTTCATCGACACTTCTGCAGGAGAAGCAAGCGACATGGCACGACTTGGAGTCTACGAGCGCGCAGAGCGTCGTCGCAGCAAGTCAAACAGGCTTTCTGCCTTGAACGTCATCTATGATGAGAGTGATGATTCAAAGAACTCTGTGCTACCCCATTCGATGTTGAACATTGTCGATCGTAATGATCGCCAGGCTGTTCGAGATGTCGCCATTGAGGGCCGAATGAACGATCTCATGACTGTTTCACGCTCGTCATTCGAAGACCAAGGCCTCCACCTAATCGAGCCTTGTGCTGGTCCTAAAGCTTCAGCGCCCCCCATCATCATGTCTGCTTCAGGCCAACAGGCACCACGCGAAACCAACGACGCTTTGTTCAATCCGTCTGTTCGACAAGCATTGTCTGGACACCGCAGCAGACAACTTGAAGAGCAGATTCTCATCAAGAAGCTCGATCCTGCGCCATACTCTCACCCTCCTATGCTACCAGAACCGGTCTCACTCAAGGGACGTTACAGCCACATTGAGGTACCATCGATGCGTCGTTTCGTGACAGATTCAGGCAAACTGGCCAAATTGGACCAGCTGCTGCGGGAGCTCAAGCCTGGTGGTCACCGCGTGCTCCTGTATTTCCAGATGACACGTATGATCGATCTGATGGAAGAGTACTTGACCTACCGGAACTTCAAGTACTGTCGACTGGATGGAAGTACCAAGCTGGAAGACCGTCGCGACACTGTCGCAGACTTCCAATCCAACCCGGAGATCTTCGTCTTCTTGTTGTCGACCCGTGCTGGTGGTCTCGGTATCAACCTGACGGCAGCCGACACTGTCATTTTCTACGACTCCGATTGGAACCCTACTATCGATTCCCAGGCCATGGATCGTGCTCATCGTCTGGGTCAAACTCGCCAGGTCACTGTCTACCGTCTCATCACCCGCGGCACCATCGAGGAACGCATCCGCAAGCGCGCCTTGCAGAAAGAAGAGGTGCAGCGTGTTGTCATTTCCGGCGGTGCTTCTGGTGGTGTCGACTTCAACACCCGTGCTCGTGAGAACCGCACCAAGGACATTGCCCTCTGGCTTGCCGATGATGACGAGGCCGAACTCATCGAGCAAAAAGAGAAGGAAGCCCTCGAACGCGGTGAGACCCTTGGCGCTAAGGGCGGGAAGAAGGCTGCTCAGAAACGCAAGCGAGATCTTACGCTGGATGACATGTATCATGAAGGTGAGAACACTCCGCTCTATTGCTATGATTGACATTTATACTAATCGATTACATAGGCGAGGGTAACTTTGATGACGCCAGTGCCAAACCCTCAGGGGCTGCAACACCCGCCGAGGAACCTGTCGAGACACCTTCAGCAATACCCGCAAAGCGCGGGCGTGGCCGTGGTCCCGGCAAAGGCACATCGAAACGCGCCAAGACCACCAAAGAACGTCTCCGTCTGATTGATGGTGATGGCGGCCTCGATTAATCCCATGACAGTCAAATAATGCTACTCGGGGCGGCGTTCAAGGTCAAAGCTACTTCTCTTTCTTATTTTCTTTTGTCTCGATTGCTTCTTCCCATTCCCCCCTTGTCTTCCACCTTCCCTCTTTCCATTTTTTCTTCTTATCTTCTCAAACGGCAGATATATGAAACTGCTCTGTATTATCATACAAAACCTTGACTATGTTCTGGAACGGCGTGAGGCTCAGTATGGACATTCCCCATAAAGTCTGCTGGCTGAGGGTATCGTTGATGCAATGATGAAAAGATGCTTTCCTCCCCCTATGATAGACTTGATCCGGGCCTTGCTAAAGCTTGTGGTTCATGGGTGGTTGTGGTTGCTGAGGTGAACTTGTGAACTTGTGATTTCTTTTGAATTTTCTTTTTTTCCCCATTCTACATTGTTCTCGTTTTGACGCCTCTTTTGATTTTGGCTTTCCTCACTTGTATGTTCGATGTTTAAAAAAAGGGCGCTCGTGTTAGTTTGGTTATGAGTGTCAATGTATTGGTTTGATGGACTCTGCCCTTGGCTTTGGATTGTCGTTGTTGGAATGGGATGATCAGATGTAGATGTTATTGTAGTAAGGTGTAGTCATGGATAGTGATGGTTGATGTGTGAAGTTATGGTTTATAATAGTTAAGTAGTTTGCAAGGTATGAAATAGTACTTGTACTCAGTTTGCCTTGTCTCCAACCTTGAAGCTCATACATGTCCTAAATACACAAAAAGCTATACATGATATTCTTCTTCCACGAGATCCTTTTCTCTCACCCCTCTAATGCAAGATACCTTCTCAACCCATACCATATACAGCACCTACTGCTTACATAGAAATGATTACTGAAACAACAGGTCAAGAATACTCGTCATTGCATTTCCTGCCATGTCTACCAATCCGACCCAGGTCACAGGACAGCGAAATCCCACTTCAGAACTGGCGATGAAGCGACACATTCATCAGTGTGATTAATCTGCTGTGTCAGTCGGCTATCTTAAGGAGCCTCCTGCTGCTAGTCTATGACCCAAAAGGAGCAGCCATACACAATGCGGTTCCGCGACTTGGCCCTTTTCTGAAGCAGAAAGTTTGGCTATCTCATAAAGTCCAAATTCTTGGTCAGACTGGCCCATCGCTTGGCACTGTGCATATTGAATTCGGTGTTTGTAACTTGGAGATTGTACGCAACGCCTGGTGGCCAAGGAACGGCCGATACCGATGGGTATCGACTGTGCAGCCAGACTCATTCATCCTTTTCTTCTGCATGGTTGTCATAGTCTTCATCTTCCTCGTGTGTGTGGGGGGACTCCACGAATCACAGCAAGATCTGGCCAGTACCAGGTAGTATTTCTGATCGTGTACGTGGGAACCCTGCGAAACGCAGCAAGGTCTAGGTAATGGGTCAGTGGGAAAGAGAAGACAGTTTGGAGAAGGAAAGAAAGGATAGGAGTGGCAGTGTATATAGTAGTGTAGAAAGGGGGCAGTCCAATCACCTCTTAGAATACTGTGCGCTCATTGACCTTCCAATATCTTCCTGCTGCACCTCTGGGCTGCACGCTTAGTGTTGGTAGTAGGTAAAGCAGATCAGGGAGACTAGCTCAGCACTGCATTCCAGGCCTCATCTCGCAGCTGACCACCATGCATATGGCCGTTCGAGCCATTTGGGTGCCACGGAGAGTCTCCCCAAGATGAAGAGGTGGTCTCTGGGACATGAATGGGTCATTGTGGGGCTGCTGTGCAATTACATGAGCTGTCATAGCATATCGCTGCCAAATCCATTTTATGCGAACCAGGTAATATCACTCTGTATATACCGGCTTGAGGCGACAACCCCAACACCAGAGTCCGAGGGGACGTGATATAATAGAAATTCCACTACTTGCGTGGCGGTGGGAGGACGTAGAATGTGTGGAACGTCTGGTTAAGCCGGTGGGAGTAGTGGTATTAGCGGTGGGGTACCGCACTGGTAATCTGCTTTGTTGTACCTGATTCGAAATAGTGATCGGTTCTCCCGTGTCTCACAAGATATTCCGGGTATTCACTTCCGTTTTGGTTGAGATGCTGTGGAAACGTCCTCTCATCTTTCTATCACCAGCCATATTTACTTTTGGGATAGTCAATTCAAAGCCGGTTGAAAGAGGCTGCTCTGGTTAGATAAGGATTGAAGACATAGAGACATAAAGAAGGTGATCATTAGGTAGAAATGGAGATCAGAATTATCTTTCGGGTAGCTCGCTGTTCTTCATGAGACCTGGTTGTCTTCTGCACATCACGATTCCGAGTAGGAGAGTCTGGGAACAATTCGACCCATGGTTCATGAATTGTGCGTATCAGTTGATTGGAAGAAGTATACACCAGGCCATACTTGGGGAAAATAGCGAAAATGATCGAAGATCATACCAAACAAGTTCATCAAGTGTTGCTGGTGGGTAGTAAGTATTCCATTCCGAAATAATCGAAGATTATTTCGTCAATTTCTGTTGAACTGCGGCCTGGCCTGCTGTTTGCTTAGTCCAATCATTGACCTTTCAATATCCCCCTGCTGCACCTCTGGGTTGGACGCTCGGCATTGGCCATAGGAATAGCAATAACAGCAACAGCGGAAAGAGCATCATACTGCCCGATCGTCATCTCATGGTCAATAGTGATCCATGGCACGATCCGTTCCTCCATGAAGTGATCCTAAACTCGTCAATCACAGTGTCACAACGGGCACAGAGGATCATCACGGCACAGTGCCAAGCAGAAACCGATTCCTCGTCGTCAATGAGTCGAACCCGAGTCGAGGCCTCCACGGCAAGTCGATCCTATTCACCGACAATAGGACGGAGGTCACGAGAGACATGGGAAGTACGAGCGTTGATCCACGCGTCGTAAGAAGCGTACACGGCCTAGAAAAAGGGCGAACCTTCAGTAAACCAATCACGAACCGGGGAGAATTCGAGAGGGACTCACCGCAGGAACGCGGGTCCCAGCCAGGTTATGCAGATGACGATGATTCTTGACCAGGTTATCGAAGCTGCCAATAACCTCCCGAACCAAGACCGAGAGGTGGGTGACCAGCTCATTCCTCTATGATATTTACCAGTGACGATTCCATGACTGTCTGATGCACAAGGCCTGGAGAAACACCCTTAGTACCATAGATCCTCCCTGCGTGCACACAAAGAACGATCATGGCGATGAGCAAATCTGGCCAGGTTTCCTTGCCCACGCGCAAACGATCTCGATTGTGGCAAGGTGTTTACCTCGAAATCAAATGCAGATGTGTGTACCAAGGGGGTATACAGCCAAGTTAAACTGCCCTGTCCCTTGGCAAAAGAGAAAGGCTGTACTATAAAATTCACGGATGAACACAATGCAAACCGTCATGCAAAGAAGGCTCACGGGGAAAATCAACTCCGAAGAGGTTCCTTGCCCGCGCGCAACCGACCACAACTGCAACAAGACTTTTATCTCGAGATCAAAGAGAGTGCACGATCAAGTCAAATGGTTATCGCTTAGTATGCTTGTTTGCATTCGACTTTTGAGGTAAACCCTTGTCACAATTGGATCGGTTGCAGATGAGCGAGGAGCCTCCTCCGAGTTGCTTTTCCCGTGAGCCTTCTTTGCATGACGGTTTGCATTGTGCTCATCCGTGAATTTTATAGTACAGCCTTTCTCTTTTGCCAAGGGACAGGCCTGATTTTTGTCCTGCATGCTCTCAACATGCGCTTTGTGGTCCCACAGAAGGCCATGTGTCGTCATGAATAATATAAAAACTCTTCGACGTTGGGCAACGAGACCTATATAGATATCTGGTTCTTGCTGAGGCTTCATACAGGTTTGCTCTGTCCTCTCTGTGACAACGGAAACTGAGTAAGATGAAGTGATACTCACAAATGAATGAGCTGGAAGTGAGAGGTAAAGAGTGAGAGAAGTCACATAAATGGAACGACTGGGAAAAAGGACGACAGCCCACAGTATTTTGGTTACTTGACATCTCAGTACGAATATTTCCAGCACTCTTCATCTTTCGACCAGGTAAAGTGACGAATTTTATCGAGATCAAGTGTGGCAGATCTTTCGGTAACCAAGTTGATTTCCTATACTTCTTGTTAGATCCTTTGGCTTCTTGTAATGCTTGTAAAAAAGGGACGAAGGAAAGCTCACTTGGGCCACGTCGCGCTCTTGCTACTAAGCAGCCCAGCGACATATCCGTCGAAGAGTACATGACAGAGTCCTTCTTCTTGTAGGATGTGAGCAAGTTCACTTGCTGTAGCATCTATGAATATATGGTTAGACAGAAGAGACTCCATCGTGAGCGTTCCCAAGAATAGAGAGATGATGTAGAGAGGGAAGTGAGAGAAGCTGTAAGGTCTCCACATCACTTGCATCTGAAAGTGATAAAAGGTGTGTGTGGAAAGAACCCCAGCACATTCCACCTGAGAGGGAAATATTTCTCTCTTACCTTAGTGTCGACGCCGTCACTTCTCACCTCACTTCTTTATCTCTTCTTCGCCGCTGGAACCAATCTCCTTTTCACAAGTGTATATAAATATAGATAGCTCAGACCTCTTCTGGCATCGATGTGATGATAGATTGGAGTTTCCCTTGATAAACGAACAGTCACTAGATGGACTAGAGGATGTGTATGACCTTCTAATGAAGAAGAAATCTATGGGAGTTTTATAGGCCCCATGAAGAAAGGCAAAAGCAAACAAAAGAAAAGCAACACAAACAAAAGCAAACGCAGGTCTAAGAAAATAGACAATTGGATGTCTAACAAACCGCACAAGTCAAGTATTTCCTGGATTTTCTTCCTTTGTTTTCCTTTATAATCTTCCTATAGCTCGGTAATGTTCTGTCAAGGCCCAGTAGGACGAATTAATCGGTCTTGGGTGTTCTCAAATTCTTACAGGGAATTTTCAAAGTCTGTTTACACGTGCAATGCCCTGTCTTCCACTGCCCGCCTGTCGCCATTATTGGCGTTTACAAACGTTGAAGTGTGATCCTAAATATGATGAATGTTTCAAGCAAACAAAAGTCACTGGGTGGAAAAGATTCCCGATACTTCAAGACATGATGGCTTCTTGAGCAATATTCCGGAGTACATAGTCTTCTAATAGATATTTTAACAGTGGAAATCGCATCAATCAATGTGTCGAAGTAGAGACTGGTATGTATTTGGAAACAGGCCTGGATATGCAGGCTACCATCCAAAACCAGAGACAATCTCCATTGGCTGCCATGATCCAATTTCCCCCTAATTCACTTGCCCCATATCCTCGTGGTATTCCCTCTGTATTCTATGGTTTTCGACATCCAAAGATCCTGCATATCATCATTTTTATAGTACATGTTCCATACTAGCATTCGCAGCAATGTTCTAAACCAAAACTGACTAAAATTGTGGCTGATCTCTCATAGCACCATCTCACAGTTCTCGTGCTGGTATTGGCTGCTATACTTCAAGTGAAGTACTGAGCACGTGCTATTCACGAGGTTTGATATATCACTATAATAATGGGTGTTAAAATTCCAATACATCTAGGGATTCCTATACTAAGAGCTCCCGTTGACTATATTTATTCTGAATATCTAGCACAGAATCTAAACAATACCTACACGCCTGATTCTATTTTTCCAGAAGATGAGGGATTTTGACCTATTTTAGGAAACTCCTATCGTCTTGCTGCAGATTAGCAACGCGAGAATGCCAACGAGTCTGGCGGAAATGCAGAAAAAATGCCCTCAACTAGAAGATGTTCATATTTTAGGCCCACCTTGATGAGTGGAGTGTTGATTTTATGTAGGAAAGTATCCACCTCAAACTGTACTACGTAGCGCTAACGTCCACAAGTGTATAAAAGCATCTAGCTAGATTCATTATTAGATCATTAGGAAATAATAATAGTTGACAGCAAGTATGAAAGAGATGTTGAAGAAGCCAGATATGGGTTAGCTTGAGAGGAATGATATCGAACCTGATCGAATGGCCCGAGAATACGGGCTTATGCACTATGGTGTATTCTCATTTGATCCTATATTGGTGCCTTGTTGATGCCTTATTTGCGCTTTGGCTCAAACATGTTTCAACTTGGAAGCTACCGAGGTAAACCAAATTAATTTTACTAGAAATGTACAGAATTTGCCATCTTCCCTTCCCCGGGATCTATGAAAAAGTGGCAAAGCCCGGCAGTGAGGCACATCGGGAAGGAACATCCGTATTCCGTACCTCGGGGTCTGCTTTGCCCAATCAGAGGCCTTTGTATGTAAGCCACTAGATGAGTCAGCACCTGGGCCCATTGATTTTCCCTCTGGTTCCGTCGGTGTTCGACAGATGTCAACTTGTACATCTCCCTTAAATTGAAGGGGATTTTTGTCTTTGGGTTCTGTTCTTCTTCTCATACCTTTTGAGTCAATTGTTGAAATATGGAGGCACTTTTACAGCAGTCCCGCACTATGTGCCCTTTCCTCAAGCGCACATCCCCCACTACCCTGCGCACTCTGTCAACCGCTACTCGTCCCAGCACCAGCCCGGGAGGCGGAACCATGTCCAACCTGCAAGTTCTGGGTCGTCGATGCCCAGTTATGAGCAAGGCTCTGGCTGTGCAGAGCGCCCGTCTTAGTGGCACCAAGCGCTTCGCCTCGCGGGCTGCCGGAGTCACTGGAATCCAGCATATGCGGTTTCCGACTGGCAAGCGGGAATTGCACACCACCGGTGGTCATCCCGCCAGTCTCGCCTCTGGTGGGTATGAGAAGAACGAGCGAGGTAAATTGAGTTTGTGAGACTCGGGCTTTTGAGCTGTTGCTAATCTGACTCCAGGAAACCCTAACTTGGCCAATCCGCTCCGCCCCTCCCCTGCCACCGGCCATGCCGGCGCCGCAGTCCGTGGTCCCCGCCCGGAAGCCCCAACCACCAAAAAGTTCAACTACGATGATTTCTACAACGTGGAATTGGAGAAGAAGCACAAGGATAAGTCCTATCGTTACTTCAACAACATCAACCGTCTTGCCAAGGAGTTCCCTCGGGCCCACACTGCCTCTGCTGAGGAGCGCGTGACTGTCTGGTGCTCCAATGACTACCTTGGCATGGGTCGTAACCCGCAGGTCTTGGACTCCATGCACAAGACTTTGGACACCTACGGAGCCGGTGCCGGTGGCACTCGCAATATCTCGGGTCATAACCAGCATGCTATTGCCCTGGAGGATACGCTTGCCAAATTGCACGGAAAGGAGGCCGCATTGGTCTTCAGCTCCTGCTTCGTGGCTAACGATGCGACCCTGGCAACTTTGGGTAGTAAGATGCCCGATTGTGTCATTCTCTCGGACAGCCTCAACCATGCCTCAATGATCCAGGGCATTCGCCACTCTGGCGCGAAAAAGATGGTCTTCAAGCACAACGATATGGAAGACCTTGAAGCCAAATTGGCCTCATTGCCCCTTGGTACCCCCAAGATTATTGCCTTTGAATCTGTCTACAGTATGTGCGGATCAATTGCGCCCATTGAAAAAATCTGTGATCTCTCCGACAAATACGGTGCCATCACTTTCTTGGATGAGGTCCACGCCGTAGGAATGTACGGGCCACACGGAGCTGGAGTTGCTGAGCATCTCGATTTCGATGTCTACGCATCCCAGGATACAGCTTTCCCTCAAAGCACCAAGGGCACAGTCCAGGACCGAATTGACATTATTACCGGTACCTTGGGCAAGGCCTACGGCTGTGTCGGTGGATATATTGCAGGCTCGGCAGCTATGGTAGACACCATCCGCTCCCTTGCTCCCGGTTTCATCTTTACCACTTCGCTCCCACCGGCAACCATGGCTGGTGCCGATGCCGCGATTCAGTACCAGTCCCAGCAACCCCGGGACCGAGTCCTCCAGCAACTCCACACCCGTGCAGTCAAGACCGCCCTGAATGATTTGGACATCCCTGTCATCCCCAATCCCTCCCACATTGTCCCCCTCCTGGTCGGTGATGCCGAGCTTGCCAAGAAGGCTTCCGACAAACTTCTCGAGGAGCACGGCATCTATGTACAGGCCATCAACTACCCCACCGTTCCCCGCGGCGAGGAGCGTCTGCGCATTACCCCAACCCCAGGCCACGTGAAGCATCTGCGCGAGCACCTCGTGCAAGCCGTTCAGGCCGTTTGGAATGACCTTGGCCTTAAGCGCACCAGCGATTGGAAGAGC